TGGTGCGACTTCACCACTATGTGTAACAGCAGATTCTCGTAGCTTTTGTACAATCCTTTCTGGAGAATGATATGAACGAAGTTCTGTTGAATTACAAGCTCTGCAGGACTAGCAGTGTTAAGCATCACCACTGATAGACATCTCCTGATTGTCGCAATCAGTCTCCCAGGGGTTAGATGGCGTAGTGGTGTGCCCGGGTTGCAAGTGGTCACACAACTGCGCTCGCTAGTGAAACCCTACTAGGAAGCCATTGACCCATGCGTGACAGGTTTAAGCTTAATAATTTGAAGAAATCGACTACGTTCGGAGACAGCCTGTGCAGTACCTTGCGCCAACAGAAGGATATCACCTGGTCATGATCAAAGACGATTAACCTTATCTGGACTGGGGCAAATGGAATGAAGTCTGAGAATCCGGTTTGCGCTTCGAAGTGGAGACTGCCCGTTTCATATTAAAAGAAGGTGGGACTGTGGGCCTCCAACGGTGCTCGTGTCCGGGTCCAAGCGTTTTCTGGGGCCAAATATTCTGACTGAAACGAGAAAGTGCTATGCCGCGTTAGTGTGGATCAAAGCGTGTCTGGCGAGATTGCGAGATGCGTTTGAAGGGTATTTCCATTTGATGGCCCACAATATGTGACTTCTGGATGTCATATGGAAATATTTCAGAAACGCAGATCTCGTTTCACCATTATCAAGATGAGGCTTCTGAAACCATGTACAGAGGACATAGTACATATCTTGGCTCTTGAAGGTCTTAATCTGAAGTAGAAATGAGCTTCAGTCACTTGGTAGAGGAGAAGTCTTGTCTGATTCATGGCAAATTAGGGAGATGGCATAGCCAATGATCAATGTGTACTCCGTACCAAGGTCGATATTGTCTTAGTGCCCACGCTTCCTCAGGCTTGGCAACCTGTCCCGATACGGCACTCGACCCGAGTAGAGCGAATGAAAAGGCAGAACGGCTCTGCGCCCACCAACCCCGGCATTCCAGAGAGGGGAACCGTGCAGGGCATAATTACCTTTAGCCTCACATTCGCACATTGAAAAGGGGCATTGAAAATGGGAGGCCAAGAGAGGAGAGAAAGCTTCATATATAGAGAAATGATAGAGGAATGTCGATGGTAGAGCATGTAAAAATAAAAGGTCATCTGACTGATGCCTGAGGCCATGAATCCAAACCTCCCTTCTCCACGGATTCTCCTCCAATGGCTTATCTGCGATCTTGTCATTCCTTTAATTCTTTGATTCTTTTGATTCTTTTATCTTTTAATTTTCCTTTTCTTAAAATCCTTGGCTTTTCCCCTCATTTGCTTCTTTTTCTTTTCTACTTTGCCCAGAAAGCTTTTGTTTCAATCTCAGGTTCAGATGTCCCCTGCCAATGCGGTGTTAGAACCTCATCTCCTGCGTCGCGTGTGCCAGTAGGCAAAAGAATTGCTTACTTTGTTTCTATAATTTCTCATTTGATCTGGAATCAGACAGGTTTTACCTCCAGGGTCTCCCCTCACCATGTTGCTCAAGCCTGCGACACCCCTCAGCATCTTGCTGCTGATCGCCTTTGCGCTTTTGCTACTCTCATGTCTTTCAACTCCTATTGTTAAGGGAATTCCTTTAGCAACTTTCAAAGATGTTGATTATGGTGTCTTTGGATATTGTAAGGGGGGTACCTGCACCAATATCCATGTGGGATACACCAGCAGTCAGTCTCTCCCCTGCGTCTCTGCTTGCCGTCCGCTAAATTTCATGCAGATGATATCAGTAGCACCGGTGATGATTTCAATCTTCCTTCCGGTCCTCGAAAGTCGCTATCCTCTATCCTCATAATCCATCCAGTTGCCGCCCTCCTGACCCTCATTTGCCTCTGCCTGGCTATCGCAGCCCACTTCCATGCGCCCTCCCACTCGCCGCGCTTCCTGCTGACGCTGCTCATCTTGTTACTGCCAACACTACTCGTGACTCTCCTCGCGTTCCTCGTCGATATTCTGCTCTTTGTGCCACATCTAGGATGGGGTGGTTGGATCGTGCTGGTCGCGACCATCATCCTCACCTCTTGCGGAGTGGTCACCTGTGCCATGCGCCGCACCCTTGTGAGCAGGAAGGCAAGGAAGCGCCGAATCGCCGAAAATCCTGAGATGAGCGGAGAGAACTATTACAACCGACAGAATGCTGCTGCGGCTGCGATTGCGCCCCCTGTTCCGGCTCCTGTCGAACCTAAGGAAGCATTTATGTCGAACTCTCTCAACTCCGACTCAGCCCCCACATTCGCGACCTTCCACACGGAAACCCGCGACAGTGATGATGATCGAACGCCTCTCAACTCACGGACTCCCATGAGCGATATCCCAGCACCCCCGGACCATCGCGGTGGCCCCTATCGCACTCCTGATGAATTCGGTAATGGCCCGCCTCAAGGCTCGGGCCCGGGCCCATACGGCGTTGGTCCTATGTCACGAAACCCCTCCGATCCACGAATTCGCCCCCAATATTCCGATGGCAGTATGGGTTCCAGAAGAGGAGGAGCGCCGCCTGGCTTCAATGGACGCGGGCGGGGTGGATATCCTCCCCGGGGTGGGCGTGGAGGAGCTTACATGGGACCTCCTCGCGGCCCTTCCCCTGGCACACGTGGTGGCTACATGGGGCCGATGCCAGGCCGTGGAGGCCGCGGTGGAATGATGCCGTCTCGAGGACCAGTCGGCTATGGCCACGGTCCAGATGGGCCCAATCACGGGTTTGACGCATACGGTCGATCAGTGTCCCCTCCCATGGATGACCCTTATAGTTATGGGCCACCGGGTCAGATGCGCCAGCCATCCCCCGGGCCCATTGGCATGGCCGTGTCACCAGAGACGGTAGGCCAGGCCATTGAGATGACTCCGCAACCTCGGCCGCAGTACGATATGCATGAGTCGACTCAACCAATGAGCAGCGTACCACAAGCGCTCTCAGCCGACAATAACGGCGCTGTCCCTGAAAGCCCGACAAGCATGTACAGCCGACCTGGGTAAGTCAAATGTTACAAATACCGTCCGCAAAATTGGCCGCTAATCTTCCATGTTTAGTTCGTACATTCCTCCTCGCTCGGGCTGGGGTGCAGCCGATCCTCGTACTGCGTCCCCACGGCCGCCGGGGCAATCCCCGCAACCTAACCACAACGGTCCCACTTACTATGAAGATGTGGATCCCCGTTTCGCTCGTCGACCATCACCTCCCACTGACTCCGTAATCCCCTCCTCTCTGACGCCTGGAGCTGCTCGCTGTACGTGCTGTCACATATCACACGTCTTGACGGAGCCTTGCTGACTTTCTCCCAGTTTAATGAGATCTGTTGGCTTCCAAGTGTCAATAACGCTTGACACGATTCTTCCACCTCGTTCCCGCTTTGCGATACCCTTTACTTTTCTTCACTTCTCTGGCTAAATTCCGATTATTACATGGAGTTACGGTGTCATCTTTCGTCCCATTCCTCCATAAAGCGCCTCTCTTAGGGCGAGAATTCGACGTTTCATCTTGTGCTTGGCCATCCGCCACGAAACATAGGCGTTGAGGACGAGTGTTTCTTTTTCGCTGCTGAGTTTGTGCTCTGCCTGAACTTTGATGTATAGCAGCAGGCGGGTACGATGTACAGAAAAAGATTTTCAAGATCTCTGGCTTTATCTGAGATCAAAAGCACTTGATGCTGCTTTCGATTTGATCTCTCTTCTACTTTCTACTTTCTTCCACTGAGTGGACTGTCAATTTTATTGTACCAAAATCCACATACATTCTATTATCCGGTACATGTGGCTTTTCTCAATATGAAACGTAAATAAGAACTCTCTTAACTGATGCCAGTATATACGTTCGAAACTTCTTTTCAACACTGCCGTCTTCCATCTTCCCCTGATCGCCATCCTGCTAACTTCGCTGGAAAAGAGGCTTGGTCTACCATTGCATCACTAAAATCAATTATGTGGAACCCCTACTACCCTGGACCTATTTTCTATATGTTATGCCTCCAATTCTTAGGTGTTTCTACCATTACACCCATAATTGCCTTACGAGGGCTGGAAGGGCCAGGGTAGTCATGATATTTCGTTCAACCAACGGAAAACAGAACGAACCATCGGCCAAGCTCTTGCTTGTGAGTTAGTGAGGAGGTAGCGTACCGTCGTACATTCCTTGAGGTAGTGTCACAGAAGAAAGGAAAGTCTGCTTAAGAGCAGGGCGACGTCATTCGCAAACATGCATCAACATCACGGTCTGATCTTCCGCTAGGGACGCAAGATGATAAACCATGTTACAAGGAATCCATGTAGGGGAGTTCGAGTTTCGACTGTCTAGAATGGACACTCCTTGGTCTGACTGACTGACGGCAAGCAGAAACACATGTCTCTCCCGATGAGGATGACGGGCAGGGGCGGGTCATTGCTCCATTGATGAGTCGATAGAACAGGACTTCATAACCCTATTTTATTAGGCTGATACTGTATTATCAATTGTGCTATAGGAAATGATTTGCCTAGGTACCGTCGATTCTCACTTTGCCCTTATTTTTCATTGAAGTAATTGCTTTATCAGCCCTCTCTGAGATATAACTTGCATATCAATCAAGGCCTGCTCTGAGATCACATCGTCACTAGGTTTGAATAGATAGGAGTATTGATGGCAATCGCTGCCTGGGCGGCATTGATTATTAGGCTGCACCAGCATTATTCCATTCATCTCGTAGATGACAATAGGACTCCGCGACGATATGGTCCCTGAGTGCTATTTAATGCACTACCTAGGGCTTTCAATTTCAATTTCTTCAACCACTTTCGCATACATAGTACAGCTGAGAACTACGTACAACCAGGAAGGTATGACCCCTTCGCCTATAACCAGGATCTCAGATGACACAATAAGCTAACTACCAATATTACTACAGTACATATTAAACGTCACTCGACACTTCTCGACACTTTCAAACCTACTACTCTAACCAGTGAGATACATTCTGACCCTCACGCTTCGAGTATTACTAACATGTATAAAGTGGGCGACACCCGGCCCATCCCTTCACCTGATAACACTCAGCTCGAGGCGCTGACAATACTGACCGAGCGTGCACACCGCCGCTCCCGCGAGCGACAGAAGGTTGAGGAAGAAGTAACTCGCATCGTGAATGCCAGAGAATCAACGATGGCCGCCAACCAGTTTGACCACGTTACCCGGCGCCAGCTTAACCAAATGGATAGACAGTTGGAGTGCCTCAACAACGTGTTGATTGGGATTCAGGACGAGGAAGCAATTGACGCCATCGAAGAGGAGCGCATTTGGACCCAGATAGGTTAGACATACAGAAACAGGGACCTACTTAAGCATGCTGTCACTAAGCGATTTATCGACTTCGGTAGACTTTTAACGATAGTACTTTATATTACTAGATATATAAGTCCGTTTACCATTGTCTTCTATTAGTAGAGCTCTGAAGTTAGTCTCATATATTACCCGAAGCGGACTTCAGCTTCGCTCTCGTTGGAGGTTAGAGGATACATACCACGTTTAAGGCCATCGGAATTTGGACTCGGTGTATGGTAGTCCTCGTCTCTTACTTTATGCAAGCATAATTGCCTGGTTTGTCGGAGGCACAGCAAGGTTCGCTGCTCCGGCCGCCTACATACTGTATATCAATTGTTGTATGGGCAATATCTTGCTAGGCACTGCGGGTTCTCACTTTACTCTCAATTTTCATTGAGATCATTTCTCTACCAGCTCTCTCTGAAATATAACTTCCATGTCAATTAAAGCTTACTATGATATGGCCTTACATTGTCATTAGTTCTGAATAGATAGAGGTATTGATGGGCTTAAGACGCTACCCAGGACGTTCAATTTCAATTTCTTCAACAACTTGCACACCCTCTACAACCAACAATCACAACCATCAAGGTATGACCCCTTAGCCCATGACCAAGGCCTTAGAAAGAACAATGAACTAACTACGGATATGGCTACAGTACAGATTAACCACCATACCCACACCTCCTACTTACCAAACCCATCCTTGACCAGTGAGATACACTTCGATCCCGCGCTTCAAACACAGCTAACGCGTATAAAGTGGCCGAAACTCAGCCCATCCCGTCGCCAAGCGACGCTCAACTCAAAGAGCTCGCGAAGCTCAAGGAGCGGGCACATCGCCGCGCTCGCGACATCGAGTTAATACATCAGGAGATTGCACGCCTTGTGGACCAGAAGGAAGCAATGACAGCAGCTGGTCTCCATTACCACTGGTTTTACCGAGACCAGCTGGAGGGAATGGAGCAAGAGTTGGTGTGGCTCCACCAAGACTTGAGAGACATCCGGAACGAAGAAGAGTTCGACACTGCCAAGGAGAAGAAGATCTGGAACTAGGTCGGTTGAGGATAAATGGGGACCTGTCCAGTCTGGATTTTCTGGTCCCATATTTTGATCACAAAACAGAGTCAATCCTTCCTATTTCCTATCTAGTTGAAGCTTTTATCCAGTTATTATTGATCAAACAAGGTCTTGTGTCATTCGCAGTTGTTTACCGATCCATGGGGTCTCTCAACTTTGACGACCAATTAGACGTTCCGGACTCCGTTCTGCATCACTTTCAGTATAGCCAGGTCGTTAAAGAACAGCAGCATTGGCAACTTCTACCATAAGCCCGTCCACCGTAAGTATGCTCTAACCCTCCAACGAGAGCATAACTAAAGTCCGCTTCAGGCAATATATAGAGCTCTACTAATTGAAGATAAGGATACCGGATTTGTAAATCAATTAATATAGAGTACTGTCGCAAAACGGCAAGAATATCGAAATTAATATATTCCTTCCCGACGACGGACTTGACTAGGTCCCCATTTCTGCATATCTAGCCTATCTGGCTCCCAATCCACTCCCTCGATAGTGTCAACCTCCTCTTCATTCTGGATTTCCACCAACTCCTAGACCCAGTGTATGGTATAGCGCGCGTCTCTTACTTCATGCATCTGTAAGCATGTCGCCTGGTCTGTCGGAGGCACATTTAGGTTCGCTGGTTCAGCCAACGAGCATGGTGAAAACTACCTCCACAATGATGAAAAGCATTCGATAGTGCCTTAGGTGCTTTTCTGTCATCAGGTAGGCGTAGAAATACCACACATGTCAACGTGTGGGGATTGTCTCCCGCCTATCACCAGGCGCTGGAATTAGTCCATTTTGGACACCGAACCTTTATGAAAGGGCTGATTTTCCGGCGCCTCGAACATTATGAGGCCCCCCAGACGAAGCGCGCTCGATACCATGGAGGGAGAGCTGCCTTGGGCTGCTGGAACAGTGGGACACACATCAGGGTACCAAGCACCCAACGCAGACTATAGTTGTTTATTTCCGATTGTGTGTCCAGATCGGGGTATATATCCCCATCACAACTAAAATTGGGCGCCAGTTCGATGGCGCACTTAGCTGGGTGATTTTCCTTTCGTGCTTTCGTTCTTTGACTTCTGCTGGTGGCACGATTGTATTCCATTTCGCGTTATATTCGACCTCGTCAAGATATGGTAGACCTGAATTTGGATCCAATGCCAGTCTCGCTGCAGGCAAACTGGTATTCGTTGCTAGCTTTTGTTAGGTTTATGTTTGAATGTAGTTAGACATGGGGCGCATAGCGGCTGCAACTCACCCGTACAACTTGTTAAAATTAGGACTTTTCATGGTCTTTATATAGCGAAGTCAAGACCATCTGTCGGAATATTATGGCCATCTCTCCAGGGCCGTGAATTCTACTCATGGACAGAGGGAACTCTCCTTCGCTTGTTCAGTTCCGTACTTCGACCAACGTTGACTTGTAATGCATCGTGATGTGGTGGAAGATGACTGTACTGTGGTGGAAGACGGTTATGACAAAAGATACATAGGTAGTTGCATGAGAAGTACTTTGTGTGTCCAAGACTACAAATATGAAGGGGCGGTGGCCTGAGGGCCGATGAAGTCCAAGTAAGTAGTAAAAGGAGCTGACAAGATGGGAACCCATAAGAGGAAGACTATCTTGACGGGCACGGTGTCAAGAGTTGAACGCGTCAGATTTCACTCCCGATGTATATGCCGGGCCACGAGAAACAGAAAGCAATGTGATGTGAAAAAGTTCCAGCAGCGAGATAGATATAGATAGATGATTGATAGGTAAGGTAAGTTCCGGCCAAGACAAGGAAATGAAGGATCCAAGTTCAGATTGCTTTATGATCTCCCTGGTCATCAGTTCGGTCATTAGGGACAGCTTAGATTTTGTGAATACTTTACCTAATCGACTCATGGAACACTGACCACAGTGGCGGTGTTGATTTCAGGCCTGCCATTTGCAAGGGGTTCTGTGACAATGTACGCTGCCAGGAACCATCTCTTCGGCTCTGCAATACTGCACCGACGGCCATAGGACTATCCAGTCCAACGTCGGTACTACCTGCAATGTGTGGGGTATTGAGCCTGGTGGAGGGCTACAAAGAATGAATTTGGTTCTATTACATGTGTCCAGGTGTGTAAGCAGTTCAGCATCCTGCCTACACGATATATCATCGCCGACAGGATATGATATACTACAGGAGCCGCGAAGGGCAATGAGGCCAAGTACCGTATCGACAAGGGAGGATGGGCATTATTGCTCTAGCTAGACATGATGGTCAGAACGATGACAGGTACCTATAGACAGCCGATTGAGAAGGAATACATTAGAGTTACCTAGCACATACCCAAAAGAGAATAGAAATATATAAGTAGCTAATGATGGGTAATGGACGTTCCTTTCTTCACTCCTGGAAAGGGCTTACTTATACGTTGTTTAAATGGTCCTTCATATCCAATATGAGAATAGGTTAGCCTGCTACGACATAACTTATTCCGATAGTTGAGGCTACTCCCGACCTGTAAGTTTCCGAAATAATTTCAGTTGACTTAGGAAAATATCCCAGTCAAGGACTTTTCTGTATCCTCCGCTAACTCCGGGCTGGCAGAGTCGTTCCTTCTATGCCCTGAGATCGGGATCGAGCTCGCTTTCGCCCCCTTCCTCTTGTATCTAAGACCAGCTGTAAAGGAGATCCTAACTCAACCTCCGCTGCCGTTGTTGTAGATGGCCTCCGCGACAATCTCGCTCAAGGCCTCGGTGGTAATCCCGTTGGCACTGCCATGATCCGGTTGTCTGGCCATGTGTGAATTGCCCCTTCATACCTCGCAGTTCCAGCGGGTACTAGGAAACCTCCTAAACGTCGTTAGTAAATGGATAAATAGAAGTTGACGTCTTCAATATACTTCTCTCTGACGCTTTACGGGCATACCGTCTCGATACCGTACATAGAATTCGACGAAGCTGCTCACGAGTTTCGTTCGACGGTTGAGTTACCACGTCAGGATAGCGACAGCACGGACATCTCCATTTCCGCCGACCAATAAAAGGCTAATATCATTGATCAATGCGTTCCAAGATTCACTCCAACCTGCGTACTGTATGATGAAAGAGGGAAGTGTCGTACCTCGATCGGGAACAGGTCTGGCTCCTATACGAACAAGGATAAGGGCGTAACGACCACATATAGTCCTAGCTGACATGGCAATTCCTTGATCGTACCATCGAAAGCTGCTTTGGGTCCTATGGTCCACCGAGGAATATGGCTTTTTCCAGCGCTCTTTTGTCATGGCATCGGCGAGGAAGGATTATCAGTCATCAACGGCATGAAGTCAACAATTGCCGGTAGTCCGCTGAGTATCCTTCTCGCAAACCAATCAATATGGCCGATATTGAAAAATTTTCGAGCATCCAAGGTTCCTGAGTTCCTTTCGTTCATGCATGAAACCTTGTATGGCCTTTGTCACGACACATCCATAATCACTAGCGTAGGGGCGAATACCGGTAGTCATGGTGGTAGCTGATGTGGAATGAAGCACCTCGGATAATTTAAGACATTTGCGCCATTATCGGAGGACGAAATTGAGGCTACTCAGAATTTAAAGTAGCTATTGCCTTTAGGTATCAACATGGGGACTTGTTAGCATGGGAATTGTCGACATTGGGGTACTATACCAGTAGCAATCCGTTTCGGCTCTCCTAGGCTCTCTTGGGGATAGGATGCTAGATCGATTGGTATATCCGCATCCTCCCCAACCCGTATGTTATTTATTTAAACCTGGGAACATGTCATGCCCCGCTGAACGAACCGAGGGAACGACCAAATGCGCTCAGGAGAAGTGGTATGGGATCTTCGCGATAAACTAATCATGTTCAAGAATCTCTCGCAATCCGCGTAGATTCCGTGCGAGTAAATGACGTTGACGAATCGCCCAGGAACATAGCTGTGTCGATTGTTCGCCGTTGTTGTTCCCTCGATGGGTGGTTGTCCGCCATTTCTTCCTTGTCAGCTTTGTGCTTGATACATAGTTGGCCACGAAGCGTCGGGGGTATACCTCACTTTGATTGTGGTATCAAATGTATGAGAGTATTAGTTCTGGGGATGTCAACCTATAAGAAATCTGTGCTAATAGTCAGCAATTGTCCTCTTGCAGGTCTCAGTGGTGGGTTAAGGGATTTCGCCTGGAAGAATTTGTGGTTGTGGGAACCCGAGTGAGGTTGTTGAGGAACAGTAAGGGTAGACAATATCGACTTTGAAAAGTTTGGCAGAGTGTGTACATACCTTAGAATTCGCCATGTCGAGAACATAGTCTTCGTTGGAAGGGAGATACAAACAGTCTACCTTGGTCTCCCAGTCGCGGTGAGAGACATATATGCAACATTGGCACCAGGAAATCCTGCGGGCTATAAGGATCAGCAGTTGTTCCTGGTGGTTGCCACGAGACCCTGCGGGAATCTCTGTTCCACAGTGTTGTATAGTTATTCCAGGTACGCTGGTGACAGGAGATACTGGTCGAGGTTATCGAGGAATAGACGAGAATCTAGGATATCTTGCGCTTCATGCACAATTATGGCGCGCATACGGGGTCGCTGGCCACATCTGACCCGTACGAGGGTCGATTCCTCGAGCCCCTCCTCCTTCAATATGTCGATTTGCTGGTTTCGCTCCATCTCTATCTTGTTAGTTTCGTGTTTTGGAGTGTAGGCATGGAGCATAAACGGGTTCTATCCCACTCACTGGGTTGCGGTATTGGGGACAGGAGGCTTTCCAGTAGTCGTGTCCGGGTGGAATCCGCGAACTCTGCATCCGTCGGAGGGAGGATTTGATGGTTGCCTGCCACGGCATCTTACCAGCTTTTTGTTTAAAACATAGCTGTGCACGGAGCATTAACGGGGTATATTTGACCAGTGGTAGTGCGAAAGGATGTATCCGATGTGGTTGAGGGAATATCTAAGCCTGTAAAATAATCTGAGCTAGTTAGCATTTGGTATCCCACTAGATCATCGTTATATGAAGTTGGGCTTTACCTTTGTTGAGATATCTCAAAGGTTGCAATAAGGAAGGAATGCGGTTGTTGGAGAACATAAAAGGAAAGAGTTCCAGGGAAGATCTTAAATGCAATCCAGGGGGTATGCATTCACAAAGAAGATATGTTTGCCTTCTTCAAAGTGGGAAGAATACGCTTTGATATTCAGTCAACCCAGTGCAGCTAACTCTTACAACCATGATAGCTATGACCAACACCATTGATATATTTATATATGTAGTGTAAGTCTGGATGTCAGAATTTCGTCTAACAAATAAAAAGTGATAATCAACTGGGAGTAAACTGAGATTTGGAAGAGGGCTTACCAACTTGTGCTTCCGATAACAACTAAGAACAAAGCGAGACTTAGCGGTGCCTATAAAGCAAAGTCTCAAAAGGATAGGAGAAGTCCTTGTTAGAGTAGCCTTCTACAATGGAAATAGTCATACAGCATGGGGATTGGGCGGTTTTCCGCCATTTCTTGCCAGCTTTGGGTTAGATATGGAGTGTGCATGGGGAACCAAGGGGTTGTAACTCACTATGATTATTCTATCACTTTCCCTAAAGACAATCAGTAATAGTCAGCATTTGTCCTCTTGTAAGTCCTGGTCATGAGTCAAGATTTTTACCTGGAAGATTTCGAGGTTTGTGGGTTAAGAAGAAAGAGTAAGGGTAGGAAGGATCGATCTTAAATAGCAATCCTGCGACTGCATTTTCACAAGGGAGGTGCAATCAAATAAAATCTGAAACTGCTGACCTCACCAATCCATCAGTGCAACCAGACGGGTATTGTCCTGCTTTCGACTTCATTCCTCCCACAGTCTCAGTAGCTCCTCATCGCGTTCTTCCTTAGTGCGTAGTGCATGGTCCAGGCCTGGCCGGACCATCCAGCTCTCTCTTCGGTGGCTGTATCGCGGGAGAGCATATATTGATTCAGAGCCAGGGCCTAATGAATCCTCAATTCCATGTCAACGATGTGGGTGTCGACGGCTAATCCTAGAGCTGTACTAATATGAGAGGAAGCCCATGATGGTATTGTCGTTCGATTATCTTTTAGAATGCCCACATAACCAATTCATTCATTGATCTGTAATGGCAAATTCTAGGAAGAGAACAATGATGTCTCATTGAGCCGTACATGAGGCAATCTAGTCACTTGGCATCAGGTCACTTTACCTAGGTCCTCCCTCCGGAGTAAGGCGTCGTCCACGACATATATCTAAGCAAAGCCGTGTGGAAAGGGATATTGCAGTAGAAAGCAAAATGCATGGAGAAAGGGTCCGTAATAAGTGGAAAAGGCATAGAGAGAATCAGGGACGAATGAGTATCGCTATGAATCGATTCAAGGTGTCCTTCCAGTTGGTCTCTCGCACGGTTCCACGTAAGCCACCGAATTCCCCGCCTGGCTTATTAAATTGGACGACTACAAAGCGCCTGCGGGTATTGCCAACATATTGGTGCACTTCGAAATCCGAAAGACCACGTGAGCCAGTTTGGAGACTGTGATGACCTTGAGGGCAGGTAACATAACCGTCACGGATGTCGAATTGCCAAGTCAATATGGAGTTTCACACACCATACATGACTGACTCGCCCCCGGCGCTGGGCCGGCTAATTCTGTCAATTCCGCGCTGGATGGCGCCAGAGCCGTAATAGGTCTGCCCGTCATTAGTGATTTTAAGACATAAAGGGAAGACGCACTTCCACTTACTCGCGGCATCTTGAGTATCGAATCTTGATTTTGATGATAAGAGAGCCTTAGAGCTCACGTGTGTCAGCCTGCGCGTCATTTTGCTCGACTGTGTCTCGTTAGTGTCGTCAATGTTGTCGATTGGAATGTGGTGGTGGTATCTTCAGCAATTTACTCCTGCCACCATCGCATTGTCGCATTGTCATGGTCTTCCTGCTCACGTAGACGCGCGAAAAACCCAAGAACGACTGCCCATCGCCGCCTCAACATGCTGTATAGGTATTCGACGTATGCTGATGACAACGCATACTGGTTGAGGTTGTCCAGAAAATGACGAAAATCTAGGATAGCTTGTGTCTCCTTCACAAGTATACCGCGAATCCGGGCCCGTAGGCCAAATCTGACCCGTACAGCGGTCAGGTCCTCGAGCTCCCCGTCTGTAAAGGTCTCGATTTAATGATTTCGCTCCATCTCCATCTCATAAGTATCGTGTAATGATATCAACCTCCAGAGAATCAGTACTAGTCCGCCGTTTTCCCTCTTGGAAGTCGTGATCACGGGGCAAGTCAAGAGGTCTTACCTGTAGAGGTCCTAGAGCTTACTCCGCTAGCTCCTGGTCTGTGAGCGAAGGGGTTTGGCGGTTGTCCGCTATTGCTTTCTTGTTAGCTTTCTGCTTGAAACGTAGTTTGACCCGGAGCATCGATGGGTATATCTCACTTAGGTCGTAGAATTGAATGTATGCGATAATTGGGTTTTGGAGATGATAATCTGCAAGCAACTTTTAGTGCTCTTGTAAGTCCTGGTGATGGGTTAAGGGATTTTTACCTGGAACAATTGGTGTTTGTGTGATCGCAAGGGAGATTGTTGAGAGGAGAGGAGGAAGGGCAAGCAGAATCTAATCTTAAATGGCAATCCTGGGACAGCATTTTCATATTTTCACGAGGAAGGTGCAAGCATCACCTTCAATGGAAAAGACTAACCCTTGGACAATCTAGTATAAAATGGAACTAAGAGAATAAGACGGTATTAGCAATTTATCTGTGGAAATGCAGATGCAGTGAACATTTCAACATAAAAAAGAAAAAGAAAGAAAAAGAAAAGAATGGTGGGTCCTTCCACCTTCACTCCTGCCACAGTCCGAGCATCTCGTCGTCCCGTTCTTCCTGGGTCCGAAGTGCATCAATGAGGTCCAACAGGACCGCCCATCTTTCTTCCAGGGCGTAGTACATCAACCGTAGGTATTGAGGTGAGAAGACGTATTGGTTGACCGTGTCTAGGATGAGGCGGCAATCTAGAATCCTCTGTGCCTCGCGCACAATTATTGCGTGGATTTGGGGTTTCTGACCCACCCTAACCCGTAGAAGGGCAAGCTCTTCGAGTTCCTGGTCCGTAAAGGACTGGATGGGCTCGCCTTGGTCCATCTCTTCGTTGTCAACTTTGTGTTTGATGTGGAATTAGGGATGGATAACCAAGGGGTTGTATCTCACTTCGATTGTGAGTCCAAGGTTGGGTTGGGATGTCAACCTACAAAAAATCGGTAGCAGTCAGCCTTTTGTCCCCTCGCAAATCCCGATCATGAGCTAATGGATTTTACCTGAGAGAGTGAGAGCTTTTGGGGGATTTCCAGTGAGGTTGTTGGGAGAAGTAAGAGTAAAGGTAAGTAGGATCTGATCTTAAATAGCAAACCTGGGACTGCGTTCTTCCGTAGATAGCAAACACATGGATGTCAGGTAGGTAATGATGAAAATGTAAAAAGAACAGTGGAAACCATCTTAGAAGTTAAAGCGTATCATCCCGCATGTTATTCTGCTCGACAGTGTATGTCTCGTCGGTGTCTTCAGTGTTGCAATCTGAATGTGGGTGTTGGAATGAAAAGGACCATCTAGACGTCGCCGAATGAAGTATTCGTAAGGGATAAGCTCACGGCTATACGGGTGGGAAGAGTGCAATATGTTAGATTGTAAGGGAACCGCCACTGTGGAAAGGTAGGGGAGCTGCCGAAGATCTGTGACCGATGGTGGCACCCTCCAGCATCCTACTCCTGCCACCATCCCATCGTTGCATTATCACGGTCCTCTTGAAGATGGTCAAATATGTATATAGAAAGTCTTAATTGATAGCAAACTGAGACCCAATAGAACACCAATGAAAGAGCGATTTCAAGCAAGAGTAAAAGAAGATTGAGAAATGTGGATATCTATATAGACCTTGAGAACAAAGGAAATATAATTCAAACTTACGCTTCTACAGGAAAAAAATGTTTGATTTCTCAACATCTATACGTTCGCTGATGGAAACCAAAGCCGATCACAAAAAGTGCATTCTCAGCCATAAGAACTTCTTATGGCCTAGTTCATACTGAACTGCCGATGTAATATAGAATAAAGTGGGTTTCTGAACGTCGTGCCCGGACTCCTCCCAGAGGCCCCAACTGGCCCCTTCATGCTAGGATGTCCGAAGATGAACTTGTGCTAGCTCTTCCGGCTGGTCATTATTAGGTACTAGAATTAGCAGGGGTGCGGCCACTTTGCATTTGTTAGCTGTGGCTAAAAGGCTAACCTCAAAGCTCCACTAACTGGGCAAAGTGCAAAGAAAAGAACAGCTCAATGCTTACTGTAGACTTGCGGACGAACATAGGGATCCATAGCAACCTTTCTGCATAATTCCCTAAACTATCTGACTCCAGATCTGTTGTAAAACTTGAGCGTCTTCTTCCTCTTCATCATCGATACGGCGCAGTCTTTGTGCCCGAAGACGCTCCCAGCGTCCCATCCACCGCGTAAGGAGGCCCGAGTCCAAAATCCCTACCATGGCCGCTTCCAAATCGGCAAGGGCCCTATCAACAAACCCATGGACCCGACGGCGTTCTGCGTCTCGCTGTAAGGCCCGGTATTGAAGGTGCGCCAGCTCTTCAAGCTGCGCATTGCTAGGGACTGGAATAGGCCGGGGTTCGGCCACTTTCCATTTGTTAGCTTGGCGTTCGAGAGGGCTCTGGGAATGGGGTGTATCTGACTAGTTTGACGAGATTTGATTTACGAGGGAGGGTGATTGTGTTTAACTTGCGAAATAACCAACATTAGCTCATTGCCTCGTTCCAGATGTTGGCCATGGGCGAGGTAAGTCATACCTGAGTACCCTTTGTGGTTGGTAAATGGGTAATGTGGTAGTTGAATGATAAGAAAATAGAACAAAGTGAGAGAACGCGAGAAGGCATAGTGAATAGACGGGCCTTCACGAGGAAGGTGCGATTCCGGGCAGTGAATTCCACGATACTAATGCGTGCGTCTTCTGGCGGGGGCCCAGAGGTGTAGTTGTGCTAGCTCTTCCAGCTTGTTGTCATTAACCTCTGGAATTGGCATAGGTCAGGCCGCTTTGAACTTGTTAGCTTTGCGCAAAATACTAACCTTAAAGATATCCTAATGGAATATGCAAAGAAAAGGATATATGAATGTAAAACTGTAGATTTGTGCATTAACCCAAGGAATTGCTCAGCACAAACCTTGTCCATATGTCGTGCTTATTCAAATGATTTGCTCCCACAGCTCCCCATCGAATTGCTAGTCTTCCACCTCTCCCCATCGATACGACGTAGCAGTCGTAGCCGGAGACGGCTCCACCGTCTCCTCCAGCGCGCGAGGAAAGCGCTAGGGTCCGGGATACCTGACATTGCAGCTTCGAAATCAGCAATAGCACGCGCCACGGGCTCCTCGATTCTTCGCGTGCGACCTCACGCTGAATTGCGCGTGATTGCAAATCTGCCAGCTCTTCGAGCTGGTAATTGCCGATGACTAGAATTGGCCTGGGATCGGCCACTTTGTGCCTGTTAGCTTGGTTTGGAAGTAGGGGCGGGAACAGGATTTATCTTACTGGTTGGAGAAGGTTTGATTGGTTTGTGAGTAGGTTTGAAGAGCGCGGGTTATGATTACCTTGTAAAATAGCTAGTGTCAGCTCATTGTCTCGTTGCAAATGTTGGTCAAGTGCTAGATGGGTCGTACTTTGGCAACTCTTTCGGTTGCTAGATGGGTAATGCGGAGGTTGAAAGAAGTAAAAGAGGAAGAAAGTGAGAGAAAGTGAGAAGTCATGTTAGTACTACCCAGGTAGTGAATCAAGTATTTCTCCACGAGGAAGGTGCGGTTACGGGTAGTGAATTCCATGATACTCATATGTGCGTCTTCTCTCGGGGCCCCGGAGGTGCATTATCCTAGATCTTGCAGCCTGCCATCAGTAGGCACTTCCTAGGTGGAAGCGCCATAGGCCCAGCTACTTTGAAGTTGTTAGCTTTGCGTAAATGACGAACTTCAAAACTATGAGGTCCTACTGGAATATGACAAGAAAAGCATCAATGAATGTAGAACGGCAGATTTGTGCATTAGAACTTCGTAGCGTAAACCTCCTTCATATTTTGGGCACATTCAAGTGATCTGTTCCCACAGCTCGCGCTCCAACTGCTCGTCTTCTGCTTGTTCCTCGTCTACCCGACGTAACTGGCGAAGGCGGAGACGCTCCCACCGTCGCCTCCAACGCTCCAGTAGAATGTTCGAATTTGGAATGTTAGCCAGTGCGGCATCAAGTGCGGCAATGGCTCGTGCCACAAACTCTTCGATCCGCACGTGCCTTCTCTCTCTGGGAGGCTCGAAGCTGGAGCTGGGCCAGCCCTTCCAGCTGTTCATCGCTGGGGACTGGAATCGGCCGGGGTTCGGCCACTTGAATTTGTTAGCCTGGCATTTGATAGAACTCAAGGAACAGGGTGTATCTGACTGTTTAGAGGGGATTTGTGTGAAAGTTGACGGGATATTGATGGTGCTCAATCTGTAAAGTAACAAGCCTTAACTGGTTGTCTCGTTGTAAACTTGGTCATGGGCCATACCTTGTGTGGTTGGTAACAAGGAGTACGTAGGTAAGGAGAGGTATATGGTAGTTGAAAAACAAAAACGTGGAAGAAAGAGGGAGAAAGTGAGAGGAGACCTTAAATAGTAGTGAAGTCAGTACGCTTTCACGAGGAAGGCGCGATTATCAGCTTCGATATGGGAGGAACCAGCCCCTGCTAAAACTAAGCTTGTGCAGATATATGATACAAAGTCCGTTTACGATGAGGATACACATAATTAGATATTGTTGATGTAAAGGTTATATTTGATAGTGGAATGAGAGAGCGATGAACAGAGCGAGAACCAAAAGCAAAGTGATGTTCGGCGATCCCTAGCAGTTGGTGACTAGTTATTGGATATGCAATGTTGGCCTGGGGGAGAACGCGTTTGACGGCCTGCTCCGTCTACATATGGTACGACTTCTCTAGGTCATCCTAGAGTGCAGTGATAAAGTTCAAAGGGGATGTGAAACTCATCCGCTAGTAATAAGTGAAACGAACCTGATGCTGCATTGCAATAATATACGGGGGCTAAATGATCCTGGAAATGCTGCCTACTAATAGAAGGTAAACACATATGATTCAATATACTTGACCATGAACCGGAAGCTTTCTCTGACTTGCTAAAGTAGTGAAACTATTTCACCTGAAACTACGGAGGCAGTCATACCAATATAAGCACATGCCTGATTCCTGATCGTCCCTCCTTCCCCTGGCCGTCTTGCTTTCAGATTGTATAGCGTGAGGGCAATGCAAGTGAGAGTGTACTGAATTAAAAGTAGAGGTTGGGGTATTGGGTTGGAAGCGACTTTCCATCACTAAGTCTGATGTGATATTGTAGCCACTGAAGAGACCAATAGGGCATATCCAATTGCGTATCTCTTGAGAAGGTTGGCACCGTCGAAGGTTGGACCTTGAAATTTATACCAGCGGCATCGGAATGTTGGTCGGTCTGCCCGTCATGAACCAGGCTAGAGAACTCACGTACTATGTGGTTTAAGACATAGAGGGAGTCCTAGCAGCTTGCTGCTGGAAAGTACAGGAGGCTGTGGTTGGGCGCATGGGTCCGGAATCACCTCGGGAAGGCACGCTGTAGGGTCTAAAAGAAGGAGTTGGCTGCGTGACAAATCCCATACTATTTTCCTCCATGCGGGCCAGATCTTTCGCCTATCGAATATTGCTCAACCGCGAGGGACAAGCATGGCCATGTCTGCGCAGTTCCCGAACGGGACTTTGGAGTCAAGAAGCCCACTCTAGGGCTATCCATCGCGGTATATCCCCTTGGGATTATGTTGAGACCCTGGGGGACTCCCTTTCAACGAAAGATCGAACGGAGCACACTGGGAGGGGACATGCCTTACTGTCCATAACTTCCGATGGATATGTAGTATTCGGAGGATAGCGAAGTGCGAGTCAGATTCAACCTGTAAAAAGACCAGTCTCCATTAGCTCCTGTTTTTTTTCCTAGTGCTAAGCTATTGTCGAAGGTATTGTACCCTGGGGGCTGCAACTCACTCATCCGGCAAGTGATTCTAGGATCTTCTGCCGGATGACCACACCATCTGCAGTTTCGCTGGCTAGAGGACGAGCACACTGGAAGCAGACCGGTATAGCTAATGGTGCGCAACAACCAGACCCTTAGTGTTCAAAGGCTGAGGCGCCTCTGTTAGGATCCTGCATCGATCGTGCGCTGGGTTCGGCCCGCAACCTCTAGCTTTATCACGCGATTCCACTGCATAACCGCTATTCCCCATTTCCGCTGATTATGCGTAACTTCGACGTGTGTTGTAAGTTTGGCCATTGTCGCAGCGGACCGTGGCAAACGATTTCATGTAGGGAAGCTGAACTTGTTGTCGTAGCGCTAACTCGGAGAGGAAGGATGGCTTGGAAGGGGGGGTTGAAGCGACCGTATGCGAGTCTAAGAAGGAAATGAGTTAGAGTGGGGGATTCTCGGGTTGAGACAGTGTCGACCTACTCCTTACTCGGCAACGGAATCGGGTGGTCGTTTGTAACCCTCCCGAGGTCTCGTTCTCAGCTCCATGTTTGGGGGTGCGTGGTCCGAACAGCACATCGGTGGTGTGCATAGGCACAGCCAAGCTATGGCAAGGCGGTGATGTTGCCCGAGACAGTGACCTCGTTCCTAAAAGAAATGTGTGCGTGGTAGTTGCTTGGTTCCTCGGAAGATCATAGCATAGGCGATGGAGTCTCACCTAATCCGTGTAGTGGATATAATGAGTCCCATACTTGACTTGGTGAAGATCGGTGAAAGACTTACATCGCGCCATGGCCACGAGGAAGGAGCGCGCTGAGACCTTTAAAATAGAAGGGTGAGCATGGCAAGGATCAGCCACATAGTCAACATCACTGTGGGCTTCGAGTTAATAATTGTGTTAAATCAGACGTAGACGGCCATGGGGGTAAAGTGGTACCTGGTGCGATGTAATGGCAGTCCGTGGCGACCTGGATCGAGAAGGGGAAACACTTCCTGGAAAGAAGGATCTCTGGCAACTATTTCGGTATGTCGAATTAACCATGGCTGGAAGCGCGCCAGGACACTGCACAATGTCACATTTTGCTGAATAAATGTTGTATCATGTTCACTATCCACATCAATAATCCATCTCCTGTTTCCCTCGTATTCCCAGGGTCTTCCGAACGTGGCCTAACGTACCCTGGTCTATGCTTGGAGCATATACCACACAGAGCGAGACCGGTTCAATGACCAGTCCCCGTGCAGGTGGATTTGAAGTCACCAAATACCATTATTATATTCACCTCTAGGGACCTTCATATGCATGCAAACGCTAACCAGGTGCCTGAGGCTATCAGTCGTGAGAACTCTGAGTAGTTTACCACTAATCGCTGACGTTGGCTTTACCAACAGGCGCATATATCGATCACTCCAATACACAGAAGACATCCTCTGCAGGGTATTGGTTTGGAGCAGGATAGAGAGACCATCGTCCTAGCCATATCCATATTTTCACATGCCTCCGCGACTATCATGGTACGAACGTCCACTCGTGCAGCGCTGGGCCGTCGGGCTCGTATTAGCAGTTAACGTTGCTCATCACCGGGCTTTGCAATAGGCCTATCAGTGATCGCCTTATTCTCGTTAGCTTTGAGATTGGAACGGCACTGGAACGTGATTGGAAATGCTCGTATCACTAGAACTCAGGATAATCTCCCGAGTTGAGCTAACTGTTCCGAAAGGAGACAATCAATGACAGCGTGCCCAGATGCTCCGCTCCAGTCCCAGGTCGTGTTCTTTATCAAGTTCTAGTCCAATCCATTCCATCCGCAAAATCTCCATGCGGTGCTGTAGTGCCCACAGCATATTCTGAGCGGCGACGTGCTGTGGGTGGGTCGTGGCTATGATAGAGGATACGATCAGGGAGATGGCAACTCCGAGCATTTTGCATCATGGATAATTTGTGTCGTTCATGTCTACCTAGCATCACTAGCAGAATTAAGGGTTCCCGTAAGGCCCAATCAACGAGTCCGCACCCAAATGCACTGCTCAAGTTCCATGTCGTATTCATCCCGCCTTTCTAGTTCAAGCAATTCCGCGCGCAAGATCAGCATGCGTTGCTGTAGCGCAAATAGCATATCCTGTGCCGGGGCATGTTGGGGGTGGGCAGTGGCTATGATGCCCTGGGCCATGTTGATGATCATATTAGCTTCTGTACATATTTATGTTCGATCGTGCTCCCGCTGGGCCCTCTGTATTCGGAGGCGAGTTAAGAAGTCCATCTCCCAATCGCCCGTGGTGGGAATACGCTGGTTGTTTGCCACTTTTATTTTGTTGGCTTCATGTTTAAGCATGCGTAAGAATGCACATTGAGGAAACAGAGTTTATCTCACTTTTGATCATCTTGTAGGTTGGATCTAACTAGTCTCTGTCAGCTTTTGTTTCATTGTAGAGCTCGCTAATCGTTGGATGGACCATACCTTGGAAGTGAAATTGGTTGGGGAAATTTAAAATGAGAGTGAGAAGGAGAAGGAAAAGAAGCGAAAATACCTAGAGTCTATTTTAGGTCAGTAGGTCAAAGGTCTATCGTCACCTAAGAGCAGACATAATGTATGAGACAAGGCGAAACAGAGGGTAAGATAAAAGAAATGTGAACTCGGAGGATTTTGTATCCCAGACAGTGGTCTCATTGATCCTTGCATGACTAGAACCCAGCTCCGTGTCGAGCTAACTTTTCCGTAAGGAGGTAATCAGCGACAGCGTGCCCAGATGCACTGCTCCAGCCCCATATCGTATTCCTCATCGTTATCCAGCCCAATCCATTCGATACGCAAAATACTCATACGATGCTGTAGTGCCCACAGCATATTGTGAGCGGCGAGAGGCTGTGGGTGAGCCGTGGCCATGATTCCTTGTGCCATGTCGATTAGGAGATCGGCTTCTAGCAGTATTTGTGTTCGGGCGTGTTCCCGTCGCTCTCGCTGGACTCGGAGACGAGTTAGGAGGTCTAGCTCCCACTCGCCGACAGTGGGGATGTTGTGATTATTCGCCACTTCCCTTTTGTTAGCTTCATTTTTAAACGTAAGTATCAAAGAACGGAGGATATCTCACTTTACTTTGTACGTGTCTAACTAGTCTCTGTTAGCTTTTGCTTCATCGTAGATCTCGCTAATCGTTGGATGGATCATACTTTGGAGGTGAAGATGAAATTGGTTGTGAGATTGGAAATGAGAGAAGGAGGAGAAAGAGAAGAAAAATTCTCCGTGATCATTTTAAAATAGTAATTGCTACGAGTGAAAGCGCGATTTCGCGAGCCAGGCGCGACCGCCACGTTGAGGAAAGAGCAAGGGAAAGGTCATCTCAACAAAAAGTGACAATGAATTGTTCAGGCAAGATTCAACGATCACTAGCTATAGGGCGCTGGGAAAGCTAGAAGGAACATTTCAACATAGAATAGAAGTATTCCTTGCAGCTGCACGGAACCCAAAGGAGAAATAATCCCAGCTACAACGATAGTGGTAATGGAACGTTCCGCGCAGAGCATTCGCTAGAGCTGCCCACAAACTCTGGAATTCAGACCACATCCATAATGCAACTTGCCTGTGCAAATATCGTGGTGCGATCGCACACTCATGGCGCGGTGTGGACTTCGATTTGCATAGGCAGCCACGGCTTCTCATATCCCAACCTTGGAATGTGTCAATACCAATATAGAGAGTGATGTTGTCGGATAGCGAACATAGATGGGTGAAGTTTAGATGGCTAGCTAAGTACAGCAAAGTGCATTGTCACTTGAGGGTAGCAATAAAGTGCCAAAGAAAGTGAACAAGTCGCTATACACCCTTAGCTCCTCCTTCTTGAATGACAGTGGCTCCTTCCTCATGAAAAACACGCCTTCCCTCGTAGAAATTACTATTTGGAATGATTTCCATAAAGTCTGAAGTCTCCTTCATTCTCTTTCCACTCCTTTATTTGCAATTCACCAACAAAAACTTACAAGGTACGGCCATTCACTAATGAGGAAGATCTATGATGAAGCAGAACCTTGGAAGCTAACGAAGACGATATAAGTAATCAGATACCTTTTTGTCACTTCAAGTTCATCTAACTACCTCTAATCAATTGCTAGTAAGATTCACCCTTCCCCTCGATACTGCATTTACACTTGTTTTTAACTACGAGGCTAACAAAGAAGAAGTGGCCAATCGCCAGATCTCATCTTCACACGAGGGCCAGCTAGAGCTGCTCTCGCCGCTCCGTGGCCTCGGAGAAGCACCAGCGCGTGTCCGTGCTTTTATCCTCACAGAGGCTGAATATATCATGAGCATGGTCACAATTATCGTCCAGCAAACCTACTTCGATGGATACCCCCGTGACAACCAGCTATGGGCCTTACAGGCAAGAATGCAGGTCCTGCTCGACAAAATGAGGCACCTGCAGGAGGAATACGAAATTGACTGTACAATTGCATATGACATGTGGCGCAATTGCTAGGGGGATACTCCTATCATTTCCTTTGGGTTATTAGTCCGGCCCCATTTCAAGTCAAAATCTTGTCGACAACTTAGTTAATGCTTTAAGGTGTGGAGGATTCAATGAGAACTGATTCTACTAAGGTCGAGACTTCCATTGATGGAACATGACGATGTATGTCTTTATGAACAATTGTAAGGTATTGAAAGCAAAGGAGGCTTATGGCTACCTACATGTACATAGTATGTACCTAGTATGTAATGTAAGGTGATTTGCCGACCATGTTGATAGGGAAGGTATTATATAGTCAGAGCTGATCAATTTCACTTTGTTCTTACTCCTCGTTAAGGTTACCCTCCTCTAGATCTCTATCAAGTATATAGTGCGGATTAGTCTATATATGCCATACTACTATATCTAGCTTTGAATGCGTCAATATGTTGACAACGATGTGGACATTCCAAGGTTTCTACCACGCAAGCATGGGTTGGGCTCAACACCCTTAGCACGTCCTTCTCGAGATGATAGTGGCTCGTCCTTCACTTGCTGCTTCCTCGTGAAAACGCAGCTTCCCTCGTAGCAATTACTATTCAAAATCATCTCTGTGAAATCTCTGTTCTGTTTCTTCTTTCTCTTCTCGCTCTCACATTTGCAATCCATCCAGCAAAACCTGCAAGGTACGATCCAATTCCACGGAGGGCGATATCCACAAGAAAGGGAAAGCTAATAAAGTCTCGCTATACGGATACCCCGTTTGCATCCAGTTAGTAGATTTGAATCATTACCATCAAAACTCCGACAACAGAAGTGAGTCGCACCACTTGCCTTCAATGCTGCATTTGCAACTATCTTTGACTATAACACTAACAAGGATGAAGTGGCGAAGCAAGCTATCCCGACCTTAGGCGAGGACCAGTTAGAGCAGCTCTCGCAGCTCCGAGGGCTTAGAGAAGCACGAGCCCACGTTCGTGGGGAGCTCCTGACAGAAGCTAATTACATTATGGACATTGTCCTAATGATTATCGAAGAGTCATACTGCGACGACTTCCCTCCGCACAACTTGCTATGGGGCTTGGTGACACGGATGCAAGTGCTGATCGACATACGATGGCCTTGCAGTCCGAGGACGAGGAAGAACGCTGGATAACCTGTGAGATTTGGGGCGCTTGTTAGAGATCGCTTCTCGTTCTAGCATCCCCATGTCACCAGCGGCACCGTGATCATGATTTTGAAACTGATTGCCCAATTCATTGGCCAAGCAGTAGAGAAGCTGGAGGAGAATCTATCCGAATAATGTCGAGACATCCACTGGTAGAACGTGAATATGCAGGTATCAATGAACGGATCTATGCTATCCAAATAAAAGGAGACGATAATATTGCATATTCATGACGCATGCCCACCAGCTAACTACATTTGGGGGAGGGTAGTTGTGTGATCTGTCACGTCTGTCAATACCCTCCCCCGTCGTTCACCCTCAGTCGGCGTATCTAGATACATGGAAAAGAAACGAAGCAAAGAACACCGGCTGAAGGGGTTAAGACATGCACGTCCGCATCGAGTTGGGACGACCCAATGAGCACGGTACAGGTTGTGATATGTGTCCTGATAGTTCAAAGCAGCTGGTCTTCGTAACATCATGATCAAGAAAAGACGCAAAATATTGTGGCAATATAGACAGGTAGACAGACGAAGCGCACCGTAGCATAGTATGCCAGGGCATGGCAGTGGGAGCCCGGACAAGATTGGCAATGACTTTGTCAAACCTCCAAGCGTCCGGAAAGACTTCAGAGTAGAAATACTCTTTTTGTGAGCGACCATGCATGCGAATTTGTCCTACGTATGACGCGTTAGCTGGGGTTACGGCGGCTCGGAGGACTCGTACTGGATGTCACCAGTGTCCGTATCGCATGGGTTGATCTTGTTGCCTCGTAGGGTATGCACCTGGCGGGACTTTTCGCTGGCTGCGCGGGACATTACCTGCGGCGTGCATCCTCGAAGTGGGTAAAGAAGCGGTGGAATGGATGTTATGCGAAGAATACGGTTGTGCTTTGTAGGCCTCAGTTCATCGCTTATATCGTTGTGTCGTAATCCAACCCTTGGAGTCAATTGCAGTGCTTCGGCCCGGGGTGATTGTCGCTCCAAGTTGCGTTAAGCACGGGCATGCAATCTTCAGACTATCTTCGTTTGATTTGTTTCTCCCGCTCATGTACCATTGGGATCATCATCCATTTGTCCGTTGGGTTGTCAACGAAGTATGACTTTGACCAGCCAATGTGTTGGACTTGGTCGCCGTAGATAGCCAGGCCGCAATCCAGTGCGGTCTCGGAATAGGTGTTTGGACGCAAGGTGGATGTTTCTTGTGTGAGGTGAAGTTGGTAGAGGATTCAGCAATGTTGTTCCGGGATTCCTTTCGCCGATATGCCCGTCACGACCCTCACCAAGCCACAGACCGACCATCTCGTGTGGTGAGATTTGCATGCAGTACTCCATCCCTTGCTGGTGGATGCTGGTGTAATTCCATGAATACGAATTCTTGTGAGCATCCTAAGATGCTTACCACTAGTCGATGGGAGTTTGTTCAGGGTCGAGACCTGTATAGTGTTAGGCTTCAATCTAAAGCGTCTATGGGAATGGAATGTTAAAGTGGAATGGCTCATCTCACTGTTTTTGCCGCGGTAAAAATGTTGTAGAGGCAGAAATATTTTGCCTCTAAATCAAACAGCCTTTGTTAGCTGCTATTTGTGTCGTTTATGCTTGGAGGGGTCGTACCTTAGGGATCTGGGGGTGAAAAACCAAATTGTCAAACAAGGACGAAGGAAGGAGACAGAGACAACGTCGATTGCTGAGGATGTTAAGGAGAATTGCTTGCAGAAAATAGTTCGCTCGGGGTCACGTAGTTATAACGACATTGTTAGGATCCTGACATTTCTAAACCTTGGAAAGCACCTATATATCGTAGCGGGACACATACAGAGTAAGCTAGAACTGATAGGAAAGTGATATCACATAGACGGCTTAGGAAGATAATATAAACGAGAAATAAGAGCAGTGAAGCTCAGTAGTATCTATATGAGGTTGCGGACCCTACAGCAAACATGCAATCATGCACTGGAAACATGTATTATTTCACTCAGAACTTTTTTAAACTAATTCTTTTTCTTTCAATTTGTGGAGACGCTGGTGGGTGAGTGGAAAGCCTGGTAGAGTGGGAATAATATCTTAGGCTGCACGTATCACCTGCCGCATCTTGGGAGACACAACGGCGAGTTCCATCTGGCCCTCCCGGCGAATTCAGGGTCCGGTGACAGCTCGAGCTAGTCATCAGGCGGGGGTCGGAATCAGTCTGCTGTCCGCCATTTTTCACTCGTTAGTTGGGCGTCAAAGAAGGGGGAACGGAGTATAGACGGTGAATCTCACCCCCGTTGTGCCTTTCGGTGATGTCATAGTGTTAGGAAACTGAAATTTGGGAATCGCATTGAGGTTGTGATCTAAGCAGATTTGGTTAGCTTATATGTTGTCGTAGACCGAGCTTATCGATGAGTGAACCGTACATTAGACATTTTGATATGATGATCTGAAATGAGAAGGTGGGAAGGAGAACCGTCTAAATAGTAATTGCTACGAGAGAAAGCACGTCTTCGCGAGGAAGATGCGACTATCACGCCGTAACAAATAACTACACCGTTAGCTTCTCGATACTGTCAAGACCATGGAGACATACTAGCGCTTCGATTCGTTCCTCCCATTCCTAGAGGTGTACCGTGAGCGGGCATTTCGGGTGCGCGAGAATTGTGACTCGTGCAGCGTGCGTTATTCCTGCCGGCTCATGGAAAACTCAGCGGTCAGTCCTGTCTCGTGACTCTGCTGATTCTCAACCATCCGAGTACCTAGCTCTAGCTGCTCATTATTTTGGGCTATAATGAGCTTATTGTCCCCGACTTTTTGGTTATCGCATTTTCGTCTAAAATGCGGGAACACAGCATCAAGGGGAGGGTGTGTGTCACAGTGCTATTTCGAGGTTGATGTCTGATAAGATTTGGACATTTTGGCTTGGAGACATTTCAAGTCCACCTGGAAAGTAACCAGCCTTCGTTAGCTTTCGTTTTATTGTAGCTTTAGGTCATCGTTGACTGGATCACACCTTGTAGGCTTTGAAGAAGTTGAAAATGCGAAAGGTGGGAAGAAAAAGAAGGAAGACGCGAGAGAGGATCAACGGAGAGGAGTTTAAATAGTACTTTCTACGAGAGAAAGCACATTTTCACGAGGAAGGCATGATTCTCGTATAGTAGCAATAATAAGGGCATTGCGAATTTCGAAAGTTTCAACCACCTATATATAGTAGGGGAGATATATAGATGAACTCGTAATTGATATAGAAGAGATATTAGATGGAGAGCTGATGGAGGATAATCTCTATGAGCGAGATTGAAGATAAAGTTTATATATGGACCAAGTTAACGACCTGGTAACAAAGATTCAAACATGCAATGAAAGCATTCATTAAGTGTCGTCACAAAGAAAACTAGTCTTGTCTCACGGGGCAAAAGCAAAAGGAACACTAATTCTCCTGCTCTCCACAATTCTACCGATACAACAACTCTCCTGGTTACTGTACTATTGCTCCCACACTTATCGCCATGGTAAGGCAACCAATCCACTTCCGCACATATGTCCATTTCACTTCAGACTTGACTAGTGTGACTCTAGAGAGCTCGTATCATACCGCGTTCCACTTGCTCTTCGGCGCGGATTTGTAACGTCTCGCTCAAAAGCCATTCCATTTCTGCTTCCAAGTGGCCGAGGTATGCTTGGCAGCAAGCATAAGGATACCCACTGTGCATGAAGGCTTCCACGAGGTTCATAATCTCGCAGGCCCGTCGGAAGATTTGGGAGCGATGGCTTCTATGTGAGCAGGGACGCCGCATCTGGGTGAGCTGCTCGAGCTGCTCACTGGTGAAGGACGCAATGGGCTGTGTGTTGTCCACTACGTACTTGTTAGCTTTGCAGGTCAGGAGGTATCCCAGAAGGAAGCATGTAGTAGAAGGGGTAAAACTCACTCGCGTAGTGGGTTTCTATCCCCGTGGTATTTAGAACAGGGTGGTTTCAGCTTTTGACGTAGGCAGTCTCATTAGCTTCCATGTTTATATCTTGCTGTTGAATACATCGTACCTTCGTTTGAGGGGACAATTGCGAATGTGAAAACGAGAGTAAGAAAGAAGAAAGAATTAACAGAGAGAAGGTTAAATGGTAATTGCTACGAGAGAAGTTGTGTTTTCACAAGGAAGGCGCGACTACCACCTTGGGGAGGGAGCAAGGCTGCGCAGCTGCAAATCCTAATCAATGCTTTTGTACTGGCAATAGTCACAGATCAACGGTCTCAGCACCCTAATGCCTTCAAAACAGGATATAGGAATCGAATATGTGTAGTACGCCATAGTCGATAGGTGATAATATCCATTAGAGCGGTAGCGAAGGATTATTTCAATAAGACGCAAGAATGAAGTGAAATTGAATAACTACATGGGCCATTGAGCCGTCCTAGGAGGGTTTTCGTTTGTGAGGTCAGAATACATGGTGCAAATTAGTCCCTTCCATTGAAAGGATTAAGGTAGATTGTAGAAGTCAAATGTCTGACGGACAGCCTGAGGGACCTTGCCCGTATTCGGACACGCCTATGGGTGCCAGGGTCCCCATCACAGGCGTGATTAGTTTTCCGACTCCGAGTCGGCATCCGAGTCAGAAACGTGCCATTGGAACCCATCCAGGAATCCAGTCTGACCCGAAGATGATGACGAGAAGTCGGTTTCATCGAGGATTCCGGGTAGGTTTCAGCCCTGGGTATCGTTCGAAGAACATGGTTGGCCATTGCCGGAATTCAGGAGGAAATTGAAGCATGAAATTCGAATCCCTCTTGGTCAACTTAGGACGGATCTCTTCATAATCATTGTACCACTTCCGTATCCGGTACATGTCCTGGCGATAAATATTCTAACCTCATATGTGGCCGATCTAGGCCGAGGCAGCTTCTATCAAGGTGCGCTCTATTCCTCTTCAACGGGCAGGGAAAGCATTTCTCGCAGAAGTCTCCACATCTGTTCCTCCACTTCTTTGGGTTATTCGGGAGAGCGCGCATATATAACACCACAGTGTATCAAAGCTGTCGTAAGCGACCATTTTAGCTTCCTCCATGTACAGACGAAGCATTGTGGCGCGTTTCGCCAGTGGAATCAAAAGTCAACATTGAAAACATTCGAATTAAAGGTGTAGTAAGTCTCAGAGACAACCAAGGTTGGAATAGCGTCTAGCAGCAAAGAAATAAGGGTAGTCAATTCATTCCAAAGATGCATCATTGTACGTCCCTGATCTAGGCCCAGATGGCCTACACTATGGTTCGCTCTATTTGTAGTCAAATGGGCTTTTGAGATAGGGTGATCTTAATGAAAAGTGAATGAAAAGTAGGAGCAAGGTGAGGTCGCCGATGGTTATATGTAGGCAGTGAGAGGCCGCATGACAAGGTGAGCAAGGGCCAGGGGAGAGAGAAGAGAGAAGTAGGTTGAATTCTCTGACAGTGTGAGACTAGCTAATATACTACTAGCTAGCAAACATGTGAAGCCTGACAAACAAGGCATCGGGATGAATGCCTGTCACAACACGAAGCTGGACAAAGAAAACAATTAAAAATGCAATATGAATCCGCTGACGTCTTGGATGCAGAGTCACTTATGACAACACACAATGTCAAAGCCGGTGGATTGGTTCTACACTAGGGCATAGGTAGAGAAGACAAAGAGACAAATGGGTCTATTATTACAATCGTGAACTGAGATGAGGATAAAATTGCAGAGGCGAATTTGTTGGACTTGCTCACTCAGTCTTCTAATTTGTCGTTAGGGAATGGGTGGATTCTTCGTGAGAATCCCGTGATCTCTTCCCTCCTGGTTGTCTCGGTGTCTTCACGGACGACGGGTCCTTTGAGTCAAACACTTTAGTAAAAAGGTATTCCAGTGCTAAGTTTGACTGAGGATATACTACTGGTTATTTACTATTCACTTATGGAACGGGGTAAGGCTCATTTTAGGTTCTTTTCCACATAATTTCATTCAAGCAGCCAGTCCAGTGCATGATTGACAAGAGCCTCGCTGGTCACTTGTTCGTCATGTAACAGATGGGATAGGTCATCCACCTCAGAGCCAGTCTCCGCATTGCGGGTATGGTGAGGTCCATGAACATCTGCACATATACTGCGCACTGTTGTACTCTCTAGACCTAGATCACTTGGCTTTGTAGCGAAGTTCTGACGCTCGGAGGGGTAGGAAGTGTGCTCGGTCACAAAGCGGGCCATCCAATTGTCCAGCACGAATGGGTCTGAGACGGAATCCTGACAGCAATTGTGGAATTTTCGCAGACGTGCCACCTATCAACGTGGTCAGTCGTGTTTGCATGGCCGAGATAGAGGACTTACAGAGTGCTCGACCACGGGCCAATATGATTTGATGCCCATCAAGTACTTGAAGTTTAATAGTAGCCATTGTCGTGCCATGGAAAGTGCTTCAGTGTTGTCACTGAAGAGTAGAGTATGAAGGTGAACACATGAGCTGATCACGGCGATATGGCCGTAGATGAAACAGTTTAAATCGCAATTTTCGATGTTTGTGCTATGCCGTAAGATGTCGGATACTATATTTGCACTTCGTTTGCACTGCGAGGCGTTTTTTGCAAGTTTGATATTGTCATGATCCCTGCGTGCGTCGAGGAAGGGGAAAAAGAGAATTTGACGAAAGTGGTGGTACCCAATATGCATTGCCAGGAAGGTCCGACCAAGCCGTTGGTTGACAGAGGACATGATGTTCTCCGTGGTGTACCTTAAATTCAGGGGCAGACTTTTCTCCCATTCATCAAGACGGCCTTCCAGTGCCTCCGCCTCCTGACAATAATCATCGAAAGAAATCGAGCCTTGGCTCATCCGTCGCAGGAGCACGCTAGTCTTGTTAAAGATGCCAAGTGTCCTCGCCATATAAGCCCACATGTTGTACGGAGATGGAGGTGAGTTATATGTTCCTTGGACCAGGTCTGGATCGAGACTCTGGAAAGCAATATCATCGAATTTGAGAAGGTCGACTTCCAGGCCGTGATTCAATGATATTGGTTCGACTGATATATCTATTGCCGACCAATCACTGGCAATGTTCACGGAAAGCCATGTGCGACGGTGTTCCTCTTGGGAGAGGAGGCTTCCATCCTTGGGTATCTCCCAGAGAGACAAGGTTTCTGCGTGTAACCTAGCCAGGCCAGTGTAGATGTGCTTTGCTTTCCCATCACCTTCCCCGCCATAGTAGTAGCCAATCAGGATAAGGCCTTGCATTGACTCCAGACTTGGAGTAATGATAGACTGTTGAACGAGACGCACAGCTTCGGATATGTAAATGCTTCCCCGCGACCCACGGGCGATGCCATGGAAAACAGGGTCGTCTGAAAACCGAGCAGCGAGTGCACACATGGCATAAACATGAATCATAGATGCTGTGCCCTCTTTGAATTGGTGCATGAAGCTTGCTTCGTGAATCATGGTATGAATGACATTGTGTATGAAGCGAAAGTATAGTAGAACCAAATCATGGAAGACCTCCCGACTCGTTTGCATTGTCATCCCGTGGAGACCGGTCGATGGGCTGGAGACAGAGTAACGATCATCAAGCCCACATTGCATGGAGAGAGACCGGCATAGTTCGCAACCATGCCCATCACCTACTGGACTGCACCGTTTTTTGCGCATGCTGAAACATTGTATTTAACATCACGTCAATCATTGATGATCCAGAACCTACCGGCAGTTGACACAGGCTCCAGCTCTTGCCCTCTTTGGGTTGCCTCGAACCATGATGTCAGATACAAAAGAGAGCCCACGTATACATCAGCGACGAACTCAGCTCTCATCGGGTGTCATACTGCGAAAGGTGGGAGCTAAGCGGTCAGGACCAACAAAAGGGCAGTTTCAAATGCCCAGGCGGGCTCCCAAGGTCGGCACGGGCACGATTCTGCTGACTAAGATCCTGATCCACCCGTGGACGGCTGGTCCATGGACGGACGATGTGGGAATGCTAAAGAAACCGACAACCGACACAAACGGCCAATATCTATCAATAAAATGATGGAATACACTAAAAGACTACACATTTAATGGAAAATCTATATCGTTGTACGACACTGTTATTACTAACACATACTAATTGAAGTGAACCAACAGGTTGTGGATATATATCTTGAGTTAGGGTATGCTTTGAAGAATCATCCATGGATTCATGTTCCGACTCAGATGGTATGCTAAGGAATTATGCCCTATATTAAACAATTCTGTGCATCACTTGCTCGTATCCTCCACCATGACCACATCAGTTGTCTTTTTCTCATCCTCAACACCTAGGGGAGCCTCATCACCAAATAAGGAATCCATTTGCTCCAGTGTCTTGCCTTGTGTCTCAGGGAAGAAGAAAATGTATGACAACATAGCAATCACGTTGAAGACAAAGAAGACATAGAAGTAACGGAAGCCAATTCCGGACAAGGCACTCGGCGAGATCTGGGCGAGGACAAGGTTGATAGTCCAGTTAGTGAAGGTGGTGATCGAATTACCCTGGTTACGGATATCGACGGGGAAAATCTCGGCAGGGTAGACCCAAGAAATAATGCCAACGAAGGTGTAGAAGAAAGAGAACACAAAGTTCATAGCCACCATAGCCCGGAGTTGGTTCTGATTTCCCTCATCCCAGTGCTGGGACATGGCAGCATTGCAGACTAGTGCACCAGCCATCCCCACAGCAGAGAAGATGAGAGGCTTGATACGGCCCACGCGCTCCAGTGCCCATAGACCTCCAGTGCAGTAGACAATGGAAAGGGCACCAGAGATTCCGATGATCATCAAAGACATTTGTGTGTCAAATCCTAGCGTTGCGTATATACGAGTCCCGTAGTAGTTGATGACGTTGATACCGGACAAGACACCGAAGGCTTGCACGCCACAGCCGAGGATGAGACGGCGCCGCCAAGAGGGCTTCCGCAGGATTGTAGTCAAAGAGACCTTTGTCTGCATACGCTCAGCCTGAATGGTGTCGCGGATTTCTTGGAACTCCAGCTCAATGTACTCCGCTGTCTCTGGTGTACCGTCACCATGTAGGTTTTGGAGTGAAGCGAGGGCTTCTTCGTGGCGATCTTTCTCCATCAACCATCGCGGTGACTCATTCAAGAACAAGATTCCGCTAACTAGGGCCAAGCCGGGGACGCACTGGAAAGCAAGAGGAAAGCGCCCTAGGAAAGAAAATCAGTATCGACCCAACCAAGAATGTCCCTTAAAACCGAGTAACACTCGATCCCAAGGGTAGAATAATCCACTCACACTGGAAGGAAGTCGCATTGAAAGAACATCCGTACCCCAGCCACTGGGCGACAAGATATCCCCAACTTAACATCCACTGCAGAAGACCGGACATCATACCACGCGAAGAAGCCTCGGCGATCTCACCAGCATACATAGGGATAACAGAAGTAAGCATGCCGACCGCAACACCGGCAATAAAGCGGCCAACAATGAGCATCGCCAGATTGACCGCACCAGCCTGCAACGCACACCCAAAGCACGATATAGAAGCGCCAGTAAATACGGACCACTTTCTGCCCAGACGGTCACCGGTGAAGATGTTGATGATTGTGCCCAGGATGGCACCGCCCTGGAATGCAGAGACAATACCGCCGGTTACGGTGTCGCTAGGATCAGAGAAGTATTTAATGAATTCGGTTTGGCCAATAGTAGATGTGATGATACCGCTGTCATAACCGAAAAGGAAACCTGATAGAGTGTGTTACTATGTGGCTCCTGTCTGTGGAACCGTACTGATGTGCAATTCTTACCTCCAGTGGCCAGGAACGTAGCCGTCAACAACGTCTTGAATTTAGCCATCTTGTCTGTGGTGATGAGCGATTTGGCTGTGAAACGTTCAGCGAAGTATGGAACTTCAGACAGAATCTGGGGATATACCCCGTGGGGATACCCGAGGCATATTATATAGACACCAAAGACGATCGGGATGGCAACACAATAATGGAGCTAGTCTAGAAGAGATCTAGCTCTCGTTTCTTGGCGTCCGTTACTCTCCAGGAGTCAGGAGTCGGGGTAGGGCATGCGAGGCGTGTACGGGTTTTCCGGTTTCGCCATACGGCAAAGGTAAAATTAAGAAGAAAAGCACGGACCTTCGGTCTGATCTTGCCCGAGGAATCGGATCACGCTAACTGAATTAGGTCATGGCCAAGTTGTAAATCGGTAATGTTAGTTGCCGGTGAGTTTGGGATCTGGGTGTTAGCCCTTTGGTGGGGAAGAAGTATACAACATAGAGGGTAGTCTGACAGGAAAAGGGTTGGTAGGCGGGGAGGTTCGGGTCTTTGGCTTTGAGGAAGCGAAAATTTTCAAGTTAGAAGACGGCTCGACTTATTTCTAGAAGTAAAATTCTATAATTCTATTGCCTATAACTGAATAGATACAGTGTACAATCCATGGCCAAGCTCCAATTCTCTCCCGTGAACAGACTTGATTTCTTCCTTTGCACAGCCAACTTCAGCCTGCCTCATATCGGCCGGAAGTTTGACTAGAGCAGAAGTTCCGAACGGCACCTGGAGGTCCAGTTTCACCGAAGTCTTGCTGGTACGCATGAACTCAATCGAAATCAACCCATAGGGAGAATCGACAGATCCCTTAACATGGTCGAATTCGGACTCGTAAGGAGGATTAATCTCAAAGGTTCGGTATGCCTCCGAAACAGGCTTCAGCCCAAGGACAGCAGCATAGAACCATTCATAGATTGTGCCCAGCATGTCATGACATTTGCTACGGCATTCATCCTGCCAGAACTCTAGAAGCGTGGTCTCTCCACGGCGCAGGAAACGCATGTATGATGGATGCTCCTCTTGTCTCACCATCTGCAAAACAAGGTCCGGCCGCTTCGCATCAGCGAGCGTGTTGAAGAGGAAGCGTAGCCCGATTTCACCAGCGCGGATCTTGCCATCGGCTACGTCGTCCAGGAAAGCTGCCATGACGTCGCTGTGGAACTTGGCGGGTACGAGACCAAATTGCAAAGCCATCGCTTGGGCGATTGCGTCACAGTCCCTTTCTGGGTAGTTATCGAGAGATGTATAGTAAACGTAGGGGCGCGACTGGTCATCAGTCACCAGGAGGTGGTGATTGTAGACGTCGTAGATCCGAGCGGACCACTGCTTGAATTTGTCCGCTTCTTCGAGCTTACCCAGCTCGCGCGCCATCATCTCAACGCATTGTAGGCAGCGGTAATACACCGCTGTCTCGATGTTTGCTTGGTTGTTGCCGAAGGCGATACCTCGACCCCAGTCGCCGAGTCCGTGCTCGATAAGTCCACCCTTGCGCTCTTTGGTCTTCATGTATTCCATATATCGAACTGCTGCGGGATACACCTTGGGGATGACGTGTGTGGAACCATAGTATTGCCGCAGGATATCCGGAAGTAGACACAGTGCGCAGCCCCAGGTGATGGTGTCATGGAGAGGACCACACATATATCGTATTTCCGGTGCCATTGTTGGCACAGAGCCCACTGGGCTCCTGACTGTCCAAAATGTCATCGAGAATCTTGGTGTACAAGCTCTCCATGTCGCGGATGTATTGTGTAGCTGGAGCCAGTAGATGGGTGACTTCGAGCCAACCGAACTTCTCGATCTGCGGGCAATCCGTGTGGTAGCTGAATAGGTTGCTGCTGAACGACCAATACAGGGCACTTAGCAACGAGTTGACATCAGCTTTGTCGGTTGTCATATGTCCAAGATTCCTAGCTGCGGACGAAATATGGCGACCAACAGCAGAATGAATGAGGGGCAAGCCGCTGCCTGCATCCAAAGATACACCCTCGACTTGAATGTATCTGGCGCTTGTGAAGCTGAAATCTGGCTCCCATATCTCCGGCTGGCCCGTACCGGACAGGATGATTCTCGAAAAGACACCTGTCTCGAACTCCTTGAACAAGGGATCAGGCATCAAAACAGTGCCATCCTCTTTGACAGACTCAGAGTATCGAACAATAATCTCCGCGCCCGCCGCGCCTTCGACAGCGATTTTGACCATGGTCGACGCATTCTGCCCCAAGTCATAACAGACAACCCCCTTTCTGGGGCTATGGATCTTTATTGGCTGGAAGGTTTCATGCAACACAACTGGAGGCTGGGTCTGGTAATAAATATGGCCTCTAGGGCCAGTAAGAGGCTTCACCGGGGCCCATTCGGTATCGTCAAAGCTAGCGGAGTCCCAGCCTGAAGGATAGAGACGTCGATCATGGTTCTCGGAGGCATAGATGTTTGCCAGTGTGGTAGCGCTCTTCCTCACTTTCCAGGAGCTATCAGAGATGAGAACAGTGTGTTCGCCCTCCTCATAGAAAAGATGCAATTCACCAAAGAAGCAAAGCTCATTCCCGTACCGGACGTATGTGTTATCTTCGTACATGGGCCAGAAGAAGCGATCATCACCACCTTTGTCTCCAGCGTAGAAGCCATTGCCCAAATGAACACCCAGGGCGTTGCGTCCAGAATCAAGATGGCCCGTCACATCGTAGGAGGTAAACTGGACGCGGCGGTGGTAATTAGTCCAGCCTGGATCAAGCCGATGGTTAGAAGCCGGCTGGCCATTGACCGACATATTGAAGTGACCGAGTCCCGATGCGAACAGAATAGCCCGAACAGGCTTTCGGGCCAACTCAAAGGACTTCCTGAGGTAAATGGGCTTGTCCCCTCCGTCGCCGATCCAAACCGCTTTCCAGCGATTCGCCTCGTCTTCGAACCAAGACTTGAAAATCAGACTTGTGTGAGGCATGTATGTCTGGTTCATGCTGTACGGCGGTAGAAGATGGGACTGCGGATACGCTGTGAAGAAGTGGTTCGTCGCGCTATGGTGCGCACTGTTGGTTTGATCCCACACTGTGATTCTCCAGAAATGGCTAGTAGTAGACTGGAAGCCGGTGGCAGGCTTGCAGAGGATGTTTCTTTGTTCATTGCTCTCAACGCGTTCAGAATCCCAGACCAGTTTGGAAATATCTGGTCTGTCTGATTCCAGCTCTGCGGGATCGGTTGTCACTACAATGCGATAGAAAGCCTGTGTCGCATCTTTGTCTTCGCTCTCAATTGCCCAGTAGAAGCGGATCTCATCTGTGTCGATTCCGAGCACTTCATGGAAACCATGAATGCCACAGCGACGAATTTGCATGGCGGCCTTTTTTTTGGCTTTGGCGAGTGGAGGCCAGTGAACACGATTTCAAATGTGAGTACGAAAATGTCAAGACCATCGGGCGCCTACATGTCTCAAGACGCGACGACTGGCCGAAACCATCGGATATCCCGCTAGCAAGATGATGCAATACTCGGCGTAGTTTATACCGAAAAACCCCGCGAATAATCTAAAGACATAATTCTCAACAAGATGTCCCATGGGGACAGTAGGGTGGATGAGAAATGGTCTGAGCCAAGTGGAGTCAGGTCGTCGGCGATGTACCAATCAGAACCTGGAAACGCCGCCGGTGTGGGGTAACCTCATAGCTAAATTGGATTCCAAGGTTCCCGAGGTCCACCTGGGCAGACGCTAGTGCGCGCTAGGGAAGTATCGGCGTTCCCGTCGGTGTGCTCTCGGGACCCAAACTCGGTAGTCACATGCTCTTGGGGAGGGAATCAGAACGCATCAAAGACTAACTTAGGCAATTTCACCTCTTGTCACCCTCTTACCTGAAAGTGAATGATATATGCCGGCACTGTGGTTCTAGAAATAACATGAGGATAGGTACGGAGTAGGTATACAATCCAATTTCAAGAAAGCCAAAAACCTGTGACTATTCAAACCATCCAAAGAGACCACAACCTCAGTCTTCCAGCCACAACAAGTGTACTCCGCCAGTCACTCTACTTTCACTCTACTTCCACTCGCTGAATTCAGCGTACAGTCTCTCGGCCCGGTAGCTCACACAATCCGCGGAACTTGACCCAGTTCACAAAATCAACGTTTGTGGGGATTGTGGACCTACTGACTCACATACGGAGTATTGAACAGCCGGTTTCCAGTTAGGGATGGGGAACCGGGGAACCAAGTCATCATAATACATTCTGTAAACTAATTCTGAATATTGCTGTAGTCTTTATTATGTTGATATCTTGAACTCAGAGGTGGTTCATATGACCAGTATATAGTTCAAGCAATGCTCTCAGGCTCAGGACTCCGCATAATGGGAATTATCGGTTTCGGAGGCCACTCATGACGATAGCTACTCGCATCCCATTCACATGAGAGGTGATAACGTCCAGATCCAACCCATGCCCCGTCCCGATTTGTATCAAGTTCACAGCGTGTCTGCCTGTGCTGCTCACTTGGTAATATAACCAATGCAGAGGAGTTTGGAGGTACCAACAGTTCCAAGCTGAATTGGTTATCCTCGGGGTAAATCCTCCATTGGCATTCCAATCGTCCATAAGGCGTTTCATAGGCAACGTCAGCAGAGTCAATTGTACCACCTGGGACAGGCTCAACTCGGATTTCCTTCCACCCTGGTGAAATCGGAGTGACACCTCCAACACTGGAGTGTAGCCAGTTGATGATCGAGCCAAGAGCGTAGTGATTGAAGCTGGTCATCTCCCCTGGATTGATGGACCCGTCAGGAAGCATGCTATCCCATCGTTCCCACATGGTGGTTGCTCCCATGGTGATAGGATACATCCATGACGGGCACCCCTTCTCCAGCAACATGCGGTAGGCGACTTGGTGATGACCAGACTTTGTAAGCGCGTGGGTGATAAGCGGAGTGCCGGCGAAACCAGTGGCGACTCGGAATTTGGCTAATCTGACCAAATGAACCAAGCGCGCAGCAGCAGTCGCTTCTTGTTCAGCGGTCGGATGTAGATCGAACATAATAGCAAGACTGAGAGCCGTCTGCGTATCACCGACTACCAAGCCTGACTGAGCAATATACTTGGCTTGGAATGTAGACTTGAGTTGGCAGGCGTCTGATTGGAACCGCGCGGCATCTGCTGTCTCCCCAAGAGCGTTGCTGATTTGGGCCATTGTACTAGTCACATGTACAAGATAGGCGTCTGCCACCAGCGTTCCGTTCGTGCGAGCATCACCTGGCTCAATTGGGGGAGCGGTGGGATCCAGCCAATCTCCCAACTGCCAAAGCTGAGGATTCCACAGACCATCCGGGCCCCTTCGAATGCCACGATCGATCCATGCTAGCATACTCGCATATTGTCGACGAAGGATACCAATGTCCCCATAGGAACGGTAAAGCTCCCAGGGTGTCAAGACGACCACATCATCCCAAATGGCTTGTGGAAGATGAGGCCACAACTTCTCACTAATGACATTCGGGACAACAAATGGAGGGACACAGCCGTCACCATCCAGAAGCTGCTCTGCCGCCACATCTTTGAGCCAATCTCCTAACATCCCAGCAGTGTTGTAAAGGAAGTTGGCCGACTGACAGAAGATCTGAATATCACCTGTCCATCCAAGGCGTTCGTCCCGCTGGGGACAATCAGTCGGAATAGAGAGGAAATTGCCACGCATACTCCACCAGGCATTCTCATGGAGCTGATTCACCATGGGGTGAGAACATGTGAACCAACCAGTGCGAGCCATATCCGTGTGCAATACAAGCGCGGTCATGTTGGTCAGCAATGGGGGATCTTGATCGGTCCAGCCATCGACCTGAACATATCGAAATCCGTGAAAGGTGTATTGCGGTGACCAGTCTTGCAGTTCAATCCCAGCAGATATAATTTTATCTGTACATTTTGCATGTCGCAACGGCCGAGTTCCAATTTCTCCATGTTCCAGGACCTCTGCGTGGGTCAAAGTAACCTCGCTACCTAACGGTTTGTTCATGGAGCGGATGCGCACTCGACCGACAAGGTTTTGACCGAAGTCAATTACCGTCTTCCCCGATGGTGTTTGCAGGATCTTCACTGGCTTTCGTTCTTCGGTAATGCGCACCGGTGGCGCATCTGGAGCAACCAGGGTGGCAGTCGTGAAGGGCAACTCCTGAGCCGGAATCCAGGAGGCCGCTCTATTCGTGTCTGCAGCGGGTGAGTTCCAACTGAGGTCTTCCTCGCGCGCATCATAAACTTCGCCGTCATAGATTTCACTCTTTATGATGGCACTTGGGCAACAGGCCCATGTCGAGTCGGTTATCACAGATATATCTGGGGCATCGTTCTGCGGTCGCACCTCTAGCTGGGCAAGCACGGCAAGACGATCTCCATAAAGCTGTCTGCGCCCTCCAAGAAATCCAAGGCGCGTTGCATACCATCCTTCACCGACCTCTACTGCAATGACATTGGGCCCATTCAATTTCAGGAGCGGTGCAACATCATACACTTGGTAATTTAAGCGATGCCGGTAACTGGTCCAACCTGGAGCCATGAATTGATCTCCGACTTCGTGGCCATTGACGAAGGCTTGATATACGCCTAGGCTGGTCATGTATAGGCGCGCTCGGTCGATTGCCCCGTTGCCGAGGTAAAATACCTTCCGAAATCTCAATGGGCGTAGGGGGGCTGTCTTGTGGCTGACGTATCGGGCTGGCGATGGGAACAGCAACCCAATCATCGCGGGCGAGCAAGCCGCACTCAACAGTAGTCCACGGGGACCAGTTTGTCGGCCTACTCTGGGCCTGTCCGTCGGATATCCCATATGATCGAACCCGTACCTGGGCACTCTCGCGTGATTTCAGCGGTTCGCTTGGCCACGGGACGAGAACGGAGGCATCTCCTATCACTTGGTGGGTCTCGATCGCTCTTGAGGGTAGAGACGTCTGAATTTCATATGCAGTTTGTTTCCATCCTGTCACGTTATTGTCGGATGTGGTCAAAAATCGCCAGGATAACCGTGGGGAGGCGACTCCAATGCCGAAGCCAGATGAATGTTGCTCGACAGATGGAGGTGTGATTGTCGGGTGGGGCATTGTGGTATAAGACACAACCAATACTCCTTGGAGGTAGATAGGGTCCCCATTCCGAGCTTTATAATCCTCCTCGGCCTTTGGTGGAATTCCAGTCAGCTTGGCCGGAACATGATGGAACGAGGACCCGAAAGGTACTGTATCCGATTCGACTTGTTCATGATATTGATTTGTTCGGTTGTGAGCCCCACCTGCGGCGTTGTCAGAACCTGATTGGTCAGTTGCCGCTATCCACCCGCGTCTGCAGATCCCAGGCATCGCCAAGAGTCTCCGGAGTATCTGCTGCAAATGAATGAAACATGATGACAGCAACGGGAAAATTGAAGGGAAATTCTTTCAGCTTTAGTTCAGAGTAGAGAATTATCTACGGTTAAATTTCTACTAATAAAAGATGAAAATTGACAATTCCTTGATTTTATAAACAGAGTCATCGCTTTCCCACCTTGAAGGTAGGCTCGGCGTCAATATTTATAGAGCCCAGTATAAATCAGACGATTAGTTAGAACATGGTCGACGTGGCTTTGTCAAGGTTTTTCTTCAGCTCGGAGAGAAGATTAGAAGTTTATAGCTGGGCCACCAGCGAATTTCCTTTTGTCATCATAGCCTTAGGCCTTCCTTGCTAGTATCAACACCGGACTAACAGCCTTAGGTCTCCCATCGTTTGTAGCTTTTCTGGGATTTGATCTCGGACCCTGACCAAGTCCTGATGTACCTGCCGTGCGGCCTTGGGTCTTTTAGCATGTTGCTTGGTACTCGTAAAGCATTCAGCGCTGCATGGCTGGCGATCCCAGTCCACTTCCCTGTCTCCAGTCAGGACCATATAGCAATATATATATAAGGATATATATATAATAAAAAAGTATAAACGTCACAAGAAGATCTTCAGGTGCACGATCTGACACTTCAATATTTGTATAAAGAGACCCAGGAGCACCGCCTCTAGCTTGTCGAATTGCCCTTGATCCAACCTCACAGACCTCAGCATCAAACTCAGGCTGCGTCTTTCAAACTTCCACATTCAGTATCGAAAGGTTGGTTACTGTGTGGTTTCTTCGACAGGACTCTCCCGCCCGGCCCAGACAACATGGGACGCAGAAAAATGATGCCTTCAATGTTCATTATCGGTGTTGGTCGCGGCTTAGAGATGTACTTTGTTTATCTGATATGCCCTCAGATCTCGGCTTCAACCTCACGGGCAGCCTTCTCTTCGGCCCGCAGGATCTGCATGTTACGGATCAGAGCCTCGAGCCATGGGCGGAGGCCCGACAGCATCTGGGCCTGAGGAGGCTGCCGCATTTGTCACGTATTTAATTTGGAGATGGATGGCCCGGCGTGTAATTATCCGCGCCTCTCGGATTATCGCCCTACGCGCATTGTTGCGCCAGATCCGACCTAGGTGCAGCTGAGTCTGCAGCTCCAGCTGCTCGTTGGTCAAGGCTCGAATCGGTCAATTATCGGTCACCTTTTAATAGTCAGAGTCCTGTTTATGATTATGTTGGGAGGACGATGACCTCACTTTTGATAGCGTTAAATTTTGAATCGGCAGCTATGGAATGGAGACTCTTAGCCTACTGCCTCACGATAGATGTTCTCTGCTGAGAGGTCGTATATCGTGGATGCCGGGTATAAAATGCCTGCAAGTATGAGAATGTTAAACAAGAAAGAAGATACTAATGTGGAGGATCTTATCTACCAAAGTAGAAACCTTGAAATTGCTTCAACGAAGCGCACTTTCAGAAAGCTCGATCTGATTCGCCGTATCTCTTCCATTTCAAATCGGCGTAGCGTTTGGGAATTGGCCTTTGCTTCATCTGGGGGTGGCCGGCGAGGACTCGGTGCGGTATACACGGTAGGAATTTGCTCGGTAGGACGAAGGATTTCCGGAAGGTTTAAACGCGGCGGGTTCGGGATTTGAGGCTTGAGCCAGCGTTTACATCATCTCTGTATTTGCAAAGCTAGACGTAGTAATATAGTATATATAGAGTAGCCCAAACCCTATGGTAAACTGATATTTGATAGTGATCTGGCCAAAGGATGATCGTTCTGAGAAGTAAGAACGTGAATATTGACGACGTTTATATAGGCAATGGGGCCCCCATGACAAACATTCTCAAAGAAAATGTGACCCTACATATCCCTAAGGCAACAAAGGCACACAGGAACTGAAAGATCCAATGGAAGTTTGTTCCACTCCTGGTGGAAGTAGAGAATTGCAATTACTTCAACGTTGCATCCTAGAATTTTGATCAACTCTAGGTACTATGCCACATATAGACCGTTGTTGAACCTATCTGACTATAGAGACGCAGAGAGAGAATGTGAGGAAGCATTGATTGTCTCTCTGCAAGAGTAAACGAGCTAATGTATCAGTTAACAGTGGAAGCCTCCGAAACCAGGCATGACATATGCGTCTGTCTTAACGTGGCCTATGTGACGCATTTATTCGTATGTGCGGTTCCTAGTTATGGGCAGCTAGCTCACCCTACGTATACTATAAATGCCACTCTGTAGGAGTGCAGCGCGCTGTATGAAGTTTCAACCTGACTTGATTTGATCCTTTATTCATCTCACAACTAAATTCATAGCTTTGTAGCTACCGCGAAACCTCGTCCTACTTCTTGCAGGTAAGTTCCTCAATAACAAATAACTGCGCGAAATAGGAATAGTAGTGAAAGCAGAGACCTATGGTCTGTTCCGCATTTGAATACACGGATACAGCTACCGCATGTTGAGAGATCGTGGCCGACACACAGCAAACAATGCGCGCGAGGCAATTGCGTGTTTCCTCTTCGCCACAAGCTCGACAAGAGAGGAAGCGAAGGTGACAGAGGATGGACAGTCCAAATCAGGTCCAGTGCTTGGTACTTGTTGAGATGGTCATTCCAATTTTGGATGTTTATTGGTTTTTCGATTGGTTTACCACGACCCCCCTCCCCCAAAAATGTTCTCCATCGCCGGCTTTTGTAAGTTGGGCCAGATTTCGGCTCCTAGCTGACGGGAAGCATCCTCTTCAGCCTGCAGTATTTGTGTGTTGCGAATCAGCGCCTCTAGCCATTGACGGAGCCCCCCATAGTATCTAGGCACGAGGAGGCTGCCTGTTGGCCTCGTATCGGAGTAGAATATCGTGCACCTCGATTCTGATCATGCGAGCTAGCCGCAGCTGGGGAGCAGTTCAGGCTGCTCGTCATCGAGGGCCTGAATTGGCGGAGTATCGGTCACCTCTCTCGTCAGCTTTGCCTCTTTAAAGCGGCTAGGGGTAAAGCATTAAGGGGAGGGTGTGAGTCTCACTTTTTGGGAGGTCAAAAGGTAAATATAATGGGAACTCAGAGATCAGTGTAACTTTCATCTTCTGAAAGTCCTAGTCAGCTTGTTGCCTCGTCATACATATTAGTTATGGACTAAGGCACCATACCTCTAGTAGGTGTGGTCAATTTCTTGACTGAGAGTGTGGTGAAAAGAGAGTAAAGAGAATACTAGTGGATAGCATCTTAAATCAACACTGCTGAACTAACTATTGTACATACCAGAAACGGATAGAAAAGATACCAGCTTGATGCAATCATCCATACAAATTCAAAGGAACTAATAAAGTCACTACCCATCCGACTGTAATTAGTCACAGCCTTCGTTCCTTTATAACTGGGCAGAGTTTCCTTTTCCTTTTCTTTTCGACTGGTAAGATAGGGTGCACTCGCTCCTAGCCTTCTCTATCTGGACTCAAGTCTACACTGCATCAGTGGTGAGCGAAGATCGGTGGACAAGGGTAATTGGCAGTGGGATATGCATCCTTCAAAGGTTTGATGTTCATTTAATCACAACACATATACATTCAGTATGAAGGACCGGGACCAGAGGAAAAGAGAAGAGGAAGTGAGGGCTGAACTATCTATCTAGCTGGGCAGTTTCGGTCCCATGGGATGCCAGAGACAAACAAACATGTTTGCCTCACAGATGAGGGATCAAACAGATTCTTATTGGCTTTGCGAGGTAAACGCCAAAACGAAGACCAGGTAATGGACTGGTTGTCCCTCCCCCCAAAACCAATCGAGTAATAGTTCTCATCCCCTATTGTATGTTCGTCCAGATTTCGGTTTCCAGCTCACGGGCTGCCTCCTCTTCTGACCGTAGCATTTGCATGCTACCAACCAGCGCCTGTAGCCATCGCCTAAGCCCCCGTAGCATCTGGGCACGAGGAGGCTGCCCGTCGGCCTCATATTGCATTCTAACCTCGTATGCGCGGGTTCGTATTATGCGAGCCTGTTGGATGATCGATCTGCGAGCATGAGCTCGCCAGGTGTGAGCCATCCGTAGCTGAGTGAGCAGCTCAAGCTGCTCGTTGTCAAGGGCCTGAATAGGCCGAGTATCGGCCACTTTTCTAGTCAGCTTCGTCTTTGCAATGCGGGAAGGCTTTGAAGGGAGGGTGCGAATCTCACTTTCTGCGGGTGAAAACGGGAAGGCAATAGGAAGATGGAGATGTGTTGTAATGTTTGTCCTATGAAATTCCCAGACTTAGTTTCTTGCTTCGTTGTCAATGGATATAGGTTAGGTATAGACCAAGGGGCTATACCTTTATTTGTTGTGGAGTGAAATTGTGGTGAAAGGGGGAGAAGAGTTGCGGAGAACCACTTGAATAGTGATCAGTATAAAAAGTCGCACTTTCACCAGGGAATTTCGAGAGCGGCTGCCATCCTAAGAAGGAAGGAGCAAAGGTCACGAAGTTTAGGCAACATCTGCGTAGTAGGCATCCCAACAAACGAACGTCCTGAGTATAGCAAGACAGTTTTAAAACCACTCATATTGATGGAATATATAACTATAGAGTAAGTCAAAATTGATAGCAAAGTGATACTTGATGGAGGATTGATTTGATCATGCTCAGAATTAAAGGTGTTGAGAGCTACGAAACAAAAGCTGGGGAGAATCAAGAAGAGAAACTTTCTTGCGTTCAACTTATCAAGAGAAGGCCTTTTATGCAAGACCTGGAGCAAGCAAACTGGGGAAACAAAAGGCTCAGGTTAAATAACATTAAGGCATCTCATCTAAGCAGGAGGGGATGATCCAACAAAATGCAGGAGAAGTGGCCTAAGCAGCTGTCCAGGTTCCCAGGTGCCCACCTGGGCATGACCATTGACTTGGTAATCGCCAAGTCTACGCGTGGATCTAACTAGGTGTCCATCCATGGATGGATGCCACCAGATCTCCGCTTCTGACTCGCGCGCAGCCTCCATTTCAGGCCGCAGCATCTCCATGTTGGGGACAAGAGCCTCCAGCAATGGCTGGAGGCCCTATAAGGCCTGCGCACTTGGTGGTTCCCCGTGCAGGTTGTGTTGCGTTATAAATTCTTCTGTGTGTCGCCTAATAGTCCTTGTTTGGATAATGATGGTCCTGCGAGCGTTTGCCAGCCAAGTGTCACCTAGGCGCACCTGCGTGAGCAGCTGAAGGTGCTCGGTATTCAAGCTCAGAATGCGCCGGGAATCTGCCACTTTTTCTTGTCAGGCCTTTTGATACAATTGAAAATAGATCCTCGGGGCGAGGGCATGTGTCTTGCTTTCCCCAGCTTGAGATGTGGAGGTTGTAGGCGGCAACTATGGTAGAAATATTGGAGCTGTAAAATGGCCACCATTAGCTGACCTCTTTACCCCGGATATTGGGAATAGGCTAAGGGATCATACCTTTCGAGGATGTGCTTTGTGTGAAATTGTGATGGGCGGTAGATTCAGCGTGGGAAGAATGTATTGACAGAAGAACAGAAGGGGAGTATGGGAGAAGTCGCAGCGTCCCAGGTGCCGCTTTTAGTCGACGTAGAGACCTATACACACTTAATGTTCTACCAGTAAAATATAAAAATATGTACTGATAAAGGATAGACAGAGACAGTAATATTTTCTTCAATGTTCAATACTCGGTTGGTTTGGATTTCCTCATGTACTTTGTTTAGCCAAGGTTGCTCCAGATCTCTGTCTCGAGCTCACAGGCGGCCTCTTCCTCCGCTTCCAAAACCCGCATATTGTGGATCAGCGCCTCAAGCCACTGGTGCAGATGTCACAGCACCTGTGCGTGTGGAAGTCTGCGGATCGCGAAGTATTCGTCTCGAATAAGCCCGGCTCGCGCTTGGATCCTCCCAGCCCGGCGAACGATGGATCGAGCTAGCCGTAGGTCCGTGAGCAGCTCAAGGTGCTCATCGCTTATGGTCGGGATTGGCCGAGTATCAACCACTTTTTCTTGTTAGCTTTCCAAATACTGTTCGGAAAGACCGTCGAGGGGAGGACAAGTGGCTCACTTTTGGTCGGCTGAGTAGGAGGAGTAGTGGGAGAGTGGAGTGGTGGTGTTGAACCTATGAAATGCTCAGCCTTAGATTATTGCTTGGTCATGAATGTTAGTTATAGGCCAGGGGATCATACCTTTGCTGGTTTAGCTTCGTGTGGCAGGCAGTAGATTAAGCGTGGTAAGGATTTGTGATAGAGGAAAAAGAGAACAGTATCGTGAAGCATGTGAAATAATTGCCGTGGGAAATTGCACCTTGGCAGGCCCGCGTTTAAAAAAAAAGGACATTAACGATTGCTCCAATGTCGGCAGATTGTATTGTGATCTAGGGTTGCCCACGAGTGCCCAGGTGAATTATTGCCTTAGTCCCCTGTGCAATGTCTCTCCAGATGGCCATTTCGAAGGCTCGGGCGGCCCTCTCAGTAGCTCGTGCTCCCAGATTCCATTGACAATATACACCATCCGAGTCTCCAAGCTCAAGAGCAAGGATGGTGAACCTCGCCTATGATTATTCTCAAAGCTTCTACTAACCAAAGGTACAGACAAAGCCTCCCTCGATGTTCAATATTCGTGGTCTGAAACTTAATTCTGCAGTTCGTGTATTCAGACATTTATCCAGATCGCCTTTTCAACCTCACGCGCGGCCTCTTCCTCTCCTCGCAAGATTTCCATATCCTGAATAAGGATATCAAGACACTGGCAGAGATCCCACAACAACCATGGGTGGGGACGTTGGCCGGTTGCAACAAATTCGTTTCGAATAACCCGGGCTCGGCTCTGGATCAACCGAGCTTCGCGAATGATGGGTCGGCGAGCACGAACCCGCCAGGATCGACTTAGGCGTATCTGGGTGAGCATCTCGAGTTTCTCGTCGCTTGGAGCCGGGTCTGGCCTGTCATCGGCCACTTTTCCTTCTTAGTTTCCAGTCGCTATACGGGTATGAGTAAAGTATTGAGGGGTGGGAATGAATCTCACTTTCCGTAGGTTAAACTGCAACGGCAGTAGGATGGTTGAGAGGTGGTTGAATTTTGATGCTGTCAAATTTCCAGTCTTGGCTTATTGTTTCGTCGAGTATGGTACTTATAGATTAGGGGACCATGCATTCCGTTCTTGTGGTCAATCTCTGGAATGAGAGAGTGGTGAAGTGGAAGAGAAGAGAGTGGTGCAGAAGGTCGTAAATAGTAATTCCTACGAGACATCGCAAGGAAGGAGCGAGAGCGACTGCCACCTTCAGAACGAAGGAGCAAACCTTGCGAAGTCTACCCCACAAACCAACATGCTCATTAATCTTCGTTCGCTCGAAGCAAGGTATATCGACCGAATACGTACTATATAACTATAGAGTAAGCCATAATGGACAAGAAAGTAATACTGGACAGAGGGTGAATTAAAAAGTGAATATAGTTGTAAGTGAGAATAGTGTGATGGGTGATGACAGCCAGATATATATATGGGCAACTCGGGGTCTCCATATGGCAAACATGCGTGAATGAAATGTACGATCCAGGACAATGCTAGGGACAACATATTGACAACAACAGAAGCGTTCAATGGGAATTCATCCCGCTATTGTTCCAAGTATAGAACTACGTACGACCAACTTGTTATTAACTGGATATCATAATATGTACTTTCAATAATCAAGAGGGGTTAACATCCTCACTGGGTCCCTCATCGAATTGCTCTCGAAATCCCTGATCCCGACTCGTGCCAAAAATTATCTTCCACACGAAGAACAATCATCTGGACTAGTATGGCAAGCATGTGGCATTTGGTCACTCTAACGTATCCTTTAGATGACCGCTGTAAAGGCTCAGGCGGGTGAAGGGTTGCTCACGCACCTGCGTTAGGGCTTCAACTCGACGTTCGGATCGGATAGTTGGTAAATTTAGCCTCGTCAGGTTTAGCTCCGGGACGCCCTTGGGAATGTAGTATCGAAGTGAGGAGGTGTATCTCACCGATTGCTTAGTGCTTGACTGGTAGTCTCCTAAGGTTCGTGAATCCTGGCTTGTAGGAATCAAATCCACCTATAATCATTGCTGGCTTGATATTGAAGGTGGAGGCGACGGTTTGAGGTGAGAGCAATTGGAAATTGGCGGTATGGGTCTCAAGTATAGAAATTACTAGCATGATCCGCAGCGTCACATGGATCGAGTGAGGGCGACTGCTATCCAAAGAAGTAACCACAAGGCTGTCCACGTCCAACCAATGCTTGTATAGTAGTTATAGCCATATCCCCACGTCCTTAGCATCGTGCGGCCACTTGAGCTTGACGTACCGATCCAATATGTGTATGGTAAGCTATACTCCATATTGCACCTGGGGGCCGCGATGCGACCCTACGCCAACTGGGCAGTATGCCTGCCCACGCCCACCGCCGGGCCCCCGGTCATGATCACAATGAGAAGCAAGAGTGACGTTAGTGCTTGAAGATGAACATCTGGTGTCCGGCTATCTAATAAGAATTTAGGAGAGTATTGCTAGCTTTATATGGCTTAGCCAATTCTACATGTCTGGATATATTTATCGAATGACGAATGCTGTGGGTTTATATGTTTTCGCTCAAGATCATCGATGATGGGGATGGTGTGAAATTTACCGTGACTGGTAGAAAATACAGTGATCGTCCTTGTCGAGAATTTTGCGACTCTCGGGGCTGCCCCTATTTGAACTTCACCATGAAGCCCTATTCAGTCATACCTGGTCTTTTGCGCTACCTGGAAGCAATGATATGAGTATGGCTAAAGCTACCTCAAGATGGTCCTTTAGCCATGGTGTCGATGATTTCGGCCTGTCATTCGAGAACCAAGCTGCCGTGGATGCAAAAAAATAACACAAGCGAGTCCACTCGACGATCGAGAAACATGGCAGTGACCTAGCCCTATCTCATACCGTGGATGGGGATAGGAAGGTGGCTGTGGTGCGTGAGAGTATAGTACACAAAAAGATTTTGGCCTTTAGGAACTCTCAATGGCGGAGAGATCAACCTGTCCGCGATATCAACCTAACTCCTGGGGTGGATATGTCACTGGTAAGTCTGTTATATACGGGGGCCATTCCTGTGTAGAAGTTAAACTACTTTCTAGCAACAATTCTCAAGGGATATTGGAAATACTGTCCGGTTGAAGGTGTGGAAATATTGTGAACAAAAGTCGGGTTTTGGCCTGGTCGGCATGAATGGCTACTTGCCAGATTCTATGATGCATCAGAAATATATACAATCAGACTTTTTGCCATTGTACCTCCTGGCAGAGTTTGCTAGCTTATAAATCTGGTGCACAAGCCATAGACTTGGCCCACAGGTGAATGGCGTTCTGAAGTTGTCAAACTCTCCAAGCGTCGGTACCATTACTCCTCAGCCCGGAGACAGAGTTTCCCATTAAGCAAGACCAACATTGGGTCTTTCAGGGCTACAAGGACTCGAGCTGAAGGCGCGTTTCGGATGATAAAATATGAGCCCCTGATTGTGGTTAGCAACTCGCTACTCTGGCAAGAGTGAAAGTTCATCCAAATTTTCATTGCTGAGTACTGGGACTTTTCGCTCGTCAGCCACTTTCTAAGGCTGTATCATCATTGGTTGCTGTCTGGAATTAGAATGAAGGAGTGGGAAGTGTGAAGTTACAACCAGATGAGAGAGAAGGTAATAAAGTAGTATCTCAAATTCCACTTGCGAAACTAGATGAAGGGGCGAATAAGCCCGACGAGGGCTTGTGCAGTAGAAATACCAGCAAAGTAAACTTTCATCATATTCTGAGAGGTTTGGAAATACGTAGCTGTACTGGGAGATAACATGTATTTGGTAGAGAGCTGACCGATGACGATCTCAATACAAAGCGAAAGCAATGTGAGGTCGCATGGCTCTGACATATGTAGCCGCGCCCTTGGGGCCATCCATGGATATCCACCTTAGAAAGATTGTAGCATGTAAAGGGAGCCTGGTTTTTATCCCACATAACACCAGATCTCCTTCTCTAATCCACGGTCAATTGCCTCGTCAGTGGAGAGACTTAGCATCTCGTTAAGGAAAAACACCAGTCGTAGCTCTATGTTCAATAGGGCATGGCATGAGGGGGCCTGATGAGCACAGTAATATCTGGCGATAACCATGTGGACATAGCACATGATAAGAAACGCCTCATGTATTATCGCGCGCCGATGGTGTTTTCGCACTTCGCGGGGCTCTTGGGGCTGGGAGATCAGCTCAAGCTGTTCATTATCTGGCACTGGGATTGGATTGTCGGACACTGTTTGTTTTGTCAGCTTGGGTTGGGGGTGCTGTTCAATGAGAGTATATGTCTTACCCCCAACGTGATCTCAGGTATGATTGGAGGCGACTTTATGTGTCCGAGGGAAATGTGACCCTACAAAATAACAAGTGTTCGTTAGATCCATCCGCTGTCTCATATCCTGCTTTGTATCGAAGGGACCATACCTCGGGTGTGGGGTTGGTTGAAATAAGTTGTGTCAGGATGTGAGATACGGGAGAGGAAGAGAAGGAGAAAAAGTCACCTGGGACAACCTTGAATTGCAATTCCACATGGGAAAGCGAAGAAGCCAGGACTTTCACTCTGCAAAAGGATTAAGACTGCTGAAGCCTCTGGCACCAATTGCTGTTTAAGATTCTCCGCTTTACTTTTCTTTCTCTTCTCAACTTAATCTCACCCTCACTATCATTTCCTTCTCAACTTACCCTCACCCTCATTATCGTTTGATCAGATCAACAAACCCAGTGTCACAACCTCGAAAGGTATTCCTTAGCCCCAGACTAGCGATGAGGCAGCAGGCTAATGAAGGACATTTCGTAGGTTGAAGATTTCCGAACCTACTGTACACCCTTCTGCCATCTCCACCTTTGAAGCCGCGCAAAGTGAGGCACATGCCTCCCCTTGAACCTTTGTCTGTATCCGTATTACAAAGGCTGACAAGAAAAAGTGGCGGATACTAGGCATATCCCGACCTTTGACAATGAGCAGCTCGAGCTGCTCAGCCAGCTGCGGTTGGCCCACACCTGGCGCAACAATGCGCGCAGGGCAATTATCCGCGAGGCGCGGATAATTAAACGCCGTGCTATCAATATGCAAATCGAATACGCGACAAACGGGCAGCCTCCTCGGGCCCGGATTCTGCGGGGCCTCCGCCAACGACTTGACGCTCTGATCCGCAGCATGCAGATCCTACGGGTCGAAGAGGAGGCTGCTCGTGAGATGGAAGCAGAAATCTGGATTAACATACAATGAGCCATTCAAAAGGATACAACGGTTGGTCGTGCTCTTTCCCGCCATGTACTGCCCAGAAAGACTTACATTGCAGGAACAGGTACCCGGGTTGAAACATACAACATCTGTTGCAGGCATAAAACACAAGCCGGAAGGGACTGACTCGGATCAAACGAACGACCGAAAGATCAAATATTTGAGGATGGAGCTTGAGGGCCAAGACGCTCCCTTCATTAGACTGGCACTGGACTCTGACGAATAGGAGTAGGGGAACCGGACACCTGGAACATGGCTTCTGATCACATTTGTGTTTATTCTTTCTCTTTACCCACATGTTGTTTATTCCTATCATGGTGAAATTCTTGGTTTTATAACTAAGAATTGTGGATGGGGCCCGCCCAGTTTAGTTGCCATTTGGATTTTTATCCAAACCAATGAACATCCACTGGGAAGGATCCTCATCTCACCATCCAATCAGCTTCTTCCATGGATCTATACGATCAAATCTAAATCAATCGTCGATAACCAATACTTGTGTAGTAGACACAATGCGAAATCGGCATCCTCACCACATTTATCCATTAAATATTATGCACGATTGAAGAGTTGATATGCAGGTAAAAGGTAAGCAGTATTGCACAATCAAATGAAATTGCTACACTATCGTTATAGAATAATATCAACGAAACGCAAGAGCCGAAGTAGATTCGAGAATCTCTTTGCAGTAACCACCCTAACGAGAGTGATTCAGAAAGAAACAAGCAAAAATACAGCCCCATCCTATAAGTGGGTTCTAATGGTCAAAAGGTCGAAGTCAGTCGAGCGCCACTTATAGGATTCTACTATTTAAGGTCCAGGGTATAGGAAAGAAGAGCATGGTTTACGCCTAAGAGCGTCCGGGGTACCATATACACTGTGGATGACCTTCGGGGATACGCAAGGAAGAGCGTGTTCACGAGGAAGGTAACACTTTCACCTTGAAAAAAGATTAGTACTGCTGAAGCCTATGGCAGAAATTGTTGTTTGAGATCCTCTACGATACTTCTCTGTCCTTCCCTTGTCAACTCACTCTCACTCACTCTCAGCCTCACTCTCAACCTCACTCTCGACCTCACTCTTGATCTCACTTTCAATCTCACTCCAGCAGATGCCCTATCCTCCTCGCATATCGCATTCACAAAAGGCATCCCTTGGTCTCTAATCGATATTTCTGATCAAGCAATAAGCTAACAGAGGCCATTTCACAGGTCAAGAGCCTACAACCATACCATACCTTTTACCATCTCTTCCTGTGAATACCTGAAAAGTGAGACATATGCCTCCCCTTGATGGTCTCTCCATTCCCAACCGTATTACAGAGGCTGACAAGAAAAAAGTGGCGGATGCTCGGCCTATTCCGGCACCCGATAACGAGGGCCTCGAGCTGCTGACCCAGCTGCGCCTGGGTCGGGCCTGGCGCAATAATGCACGCATGGCGATTATCCGTGAGGCGCGGATCATCAGAAGACAAGCCCGGGATATCAGGATCCAACTCGAGAACAACGGGCAGCCCCCTAGTGCCCAGATCGTATGGGGACTCCGCCAGTGGTTGGAGGTCCTCATTCACAACATGAGGATCCTACGGGCCGAAGAGGAGGCTGCCCGTGAGTTGGAAGCCGACATCTGGAACAGCGTGCAATAAGCTATAGGAAACCAAACAACGCTGCGCACAAACAGTTGCACAGCAGGAATGACGAATAGCAGGATTGAGACCAATTGTCGGGGCGGGACCAAGACAGTGGACAGGACCAATTTATGTACATAACTTGCATTTCTGCTTGTATCTTTCCTTGGGAACCAGTGAACATCCAGCCCAAAGGGTTTACATCCCACCATCCAATCAGCTTTTCCCACTGATCTATACGATCTGATATGTAGACTGAGCCTGGAATGGACGGGCTACACATTTGATACGTAGCTTTATCATAGCCTGATAGAGGCAGTTTAGAAAATTCGAATCGAAACAACAGAGGCAGGTATGGAGGCTGAATACCATAATTGAATCGCGTCCTCTGGTGGAAGAGGAAAACCTGTCAGAAAGGAGAAGAATATTCTATAAGAGGACGGCGGACTTGATACCAATCATCACGATCTCACATTGCCCCGAATATGTTCCTGGCAGACTTGGGACTGTCTCAAGAATATTCCCAAGATCAATGTTCTCAAGAATTGGTTAGTTAACAGAACTAGAGAATAGCAAGCCTGTGCTCGGCTAACCACATTTTGTAGGGTGGTTCCAATCTTCTGATCCAGCCCGGGAGAACGGCCACACTAGCCCCAGACCAGTAGGGCTATGGTTATTGCAAACCAGGAATTCCAAGTATCTGATTATCTGGGATACGGCTAGTCTGCTTCCCGGCAACAAGATTGAAATGCTTCGGGCTACGAATGGGGACAGTAACTTCGTGTCATCGAGGAAAGGGCTGTGAGCAGTAGAATACAACCCGCAATTACCGCTTCTTTCTCCAAAGCGTGCCAACTAGTACACTGGTCTGTAGCAGTAGAAAAAGCAGGACGAAGGATTCTTCCTTGGATCTTGAAATGCTGCTATTGGAACTAAACTATTGGTACATCAAGCCTCAGGATCGTTGTACTGTTGTGGTTGTACTTGGCATGGGCCCCAATCTTGTCGCGGGCCAGTTGTTGGCTTAGCGCGAACGTTGACCGTTACACAAATTGCGAGGATTGTTGTTCCCTCCCACAAGATCTCTCGACAAATTTCATTACGCTGAATTTCCCGAACTCGGAGCGGCTACTAATCGATGGCACTGGCCGATTAGTTGATATTATCCCAAACCGCGCCGTCATCCAGTAATCAAGAACTTCCTGTTGCTGCATGCCCCACAATTCCGCGAGAAGGCCTACCATCCTGTGCTCCAGTCTGTGGAGCATGTATAGGATGTTCGCAGACAAGTTGAAGTCCTCCGCAAAGTGTAGATTTATTATACCCGCACCGATCGCGACGATCATTAGTGCCTCACAGAACATCTCGCGACGCGCTTCATCGCGCTGGGTTGCTCGGACTCGCAGCTGCGTCAGCAACTCAAGTTGCCCAGGTGCCCATCACTGATCCATGGATTGATAGCACAGGCCGATTGTGAGCCACTGTCCAATACTGTTGGACTGTGTGCACAACAGGGTTGGGAATCGGGGATTGAGGGGACAGGTATATTTCACTTAGTCGTGCGTCTTTAGAAATCTGTTGTGAGTTTGACGAGAGGGAGGTAAATCTCAATATGTAAAATAACCAGTCAATGTTAGCTCATTGCTTTGCTTCGTATTTCCTTCATAAGCTAAGGGATCGTACCTTTAGAAATGTTGTTTTGTGGGTTAGAGTAATGAGAAGGTTGAAGAAGGAAGACGGGATTACTGAGGATATGGCAATTCATAAGAGAGAAACCGCTTTTTCACGGGGAAGGAGCAATGGTCGCTTGCCACCAAAGGAGAGATCAACCTTGGAAAACTACAAGGCTGGTCCACGGGTGAGGCCTAAACAATACCCTGGGAGCAATAGTCAACACTCTCATGCCTTTAGGATTCGGTATAGTGATAGCATTTCAAGATTGAAGTAAGCCATAATTGATAACAAAGTTAAACAACCTGCATGAGTTTGTGCTTTTAGGAAACCAATTATTATAAGAGGGTGAGAGTACCTTGAGATTATTTTGAGATCCCACCACACAGTAGTGGTTACCTGGTTTATTTATTCGAATAGTCGTGTTCCAGATAGGGCATCGTTGATCTCCGTAGATTACTAGAACATATGTTGCATTTGTTGAGGCCTGCGAAACTACGCACTAGGAGGGAATCAAAGAGAGAAATATTCCGCATTCAATCTATCAGGAGAAGGCCATTTACACAAGGCCTGGAAAGCAAACAAGCAAGCAAACTAGCAAGCAAAAGGCTCAGTCAGCCTACCACTAAGGCATCTCATCTATAAAAATGGGATTATCCAACAGGACTCAGCAGACTCACCCCACATGGCCTGGAATGGTTTGAGTGCCAGAGCGCCACATTTCTGCCATGGCAGCACCGCATGTGGTGTGCTGAATTGCATTTGAGATGAGGTTCGAAATAACTTGCCGCACACGACGCTGGTCGCCGAGAACTGCGAGAACTGACTCAGGAATACCTGTGTGTATAGAAAGAGTGTATGAGATGTTCTTCCGCTTGGGGTCGCCAGACAACACATCAGACGCTTCTTTAAAGGTGGCTTCAAGGTCGAAACTTTCGTCTTTGATGAGGTCCTGGCCTTTTTCGGCATTCGTCGGGTCAAGCAGATCGTTGATCGCGTAAATTAGTGATTTGGAGGCCGAATGCGATAGTCAAGCTCTCTCTGGTCTCATCATCCAAGGCACTCTCAAGTGCAATCTCCAAATAGTCCACGATGGCATTCAGAGGGGGTCCGAACTTCATGTGCAGAGTTGGCCAGAAGTAATCGAGTGAGTTGCGAGTTCTGCATGCCGGCATCCTGCTGCCTCCAAACTTTGATAAATTTGCCGTAAACCACTGTCCAATGTATGTCAGCTTTCAAGCAAACAAGGAAAATTATTCCGAATGTCTCAAGAGAGAAATTACAGCACAAGCCGTCTCCGCATCCGTCTCTGTCCATTCCCTACTTTGCGATAGTACTGTCTCCGGCCATGCGGCGAAACTTTCGTGGGGTTCCAGTTATCCCGCGGTTTGCTTTCGCTTTTCAATTTCGTAAGGATCGCCAGCCCACTTGATCTCTGTGAGTTGTCCACGGCGAAAGAATGCAATGAAGTCACTACGACCAGTAGAGACCGGGACGTATAGTAGACCAGAGATCACCTTCAATCCCTGAGAGTAATGAAAATCATGGAAATCCTTGACGATGTCGCGCGAGGCAAGCACTGAGCCCAAATGCCGTATGCGAAAGAACTCCAGCAATGCAAGTACTTCCTGTGAGTTATTGTTATCGCCGAGAATGTTGTCTTTATGTCGAATTGACCAAACACCGTAATCTGCATCAAATAGTTGCAGCAAATCATCGGAAGATGCGATAATGTAGCCTGATGGGTTGGTCTCGGTTGGGGCAGTGTTGATTCGTTTTCTGGTCTGGGGGTCAGAGGCATATGAAAGCCGCTGTATGTTTCGAGATACAGTGTCACCGAGGAGCCGGCACATTTTGCGTATCGGGAATGACACGCGCATACCAGCATTTCCGTAGCTGTGGCAGGAGATCAACCCCCATAAATCGTTGAATGAGCTGACGGTTATTGACATTGGAGACCGGCCTTGATGTGTGCCAATATTTGAGGTGAATTGGTGACATCGCGCGAATGTAGGCGTGAGTCATGTCCAACGGGGATCCCAGATCCTCCAACGTCCGACAAACAAGTCGAGAAGTAACTTGGTCGCGATCATATAAGAGCCGGACCTTGTCGATTTTGTATAGTTCTCGGGCTTGCGCAGGGATATCAGATGCAGGGAAATGAAGACCCTTGTAAAGATCAATTGTCGTGTTAGGATCAACCAATTCGGCAACAACCATGCCGTTCCAGCTGCTATCGAACTGATAAATCAAGTCTCGGTGAAAGCCAGTCAACTCCTTCACCAATCACGCAGTTGTATTAAGCAGCTGATCCACATTACTTGGGCTTCCCAGCTGCTCTTGTATCTGAGTTAAGTTACTAAAAGCTTCCGTACAAGATGAGTCGCCCTGCCTACGGCGGGCATTCCTAAGAACGCGGAGAGGCTGGCTGTGGTTAATTATGCTATTAGCGGGCTGATTTGGTGTTAGAACAATGCTTAGGGCGTCTGCGGGAACCGCCGAAGTGGTAAGGCCCTCAACATTCAACGGGTTCACTTCGTCATCTTCGCGCTCGAACTCGCAGATAATCAAACCTTATGCGTCTGAGAGACATGGGTGGCGCATCAGGATTTGCAGCGTTCCCCATCAGCTCTGCGTATCGACATATTGAAAACCTCCGGTCCATGGGTCCGTATGCATCATCACGTACAAATTCGACGTGATCCAGTAGTGTGTCCGCGTGTTCCTCACTCAGAATGTCACAGGAGTTCTTCAACTGAAACAGTTGCTTGGGCGAATAACCCAAAAGTCTGCAGAGTTCCTGTTCATAATGCGAACTATAAGCTGATTTGGCGACTCTCCACGGAGCGCAAGCATTAAGCCAAAACTCTGGATCGCCCCGGGTATGCGAATGGGCTCGTCCTCGCAGTATTGAAATGCTTCTCCGTCTCGTCCTGTAATGACCGCATGGTCACTGTCCGTTATAATATGTTTGAAACGGGTAGTAACATGGGTATGGTCGTCAGCGTTCCTGCGCTGCGGATGGGAGGATGGCGGCGCGGGGGACCCGCTTCTGGACTGGCTTCTGGACTGGGTATCACACGGGGCAGGTTTGGCGTAAATTTCGGGGTATAGGACAACGTCTGATGCCAAAGAATGTGTCGCAAGTTCTATTCTATCTTCGTGACGTGGAATATAGGTGGGGATGGTAGGATCGAAGCGTTCGGGGTCGGGATGATGAAAGTGGTCGGAAGAAAGTTGCGAGTGCAATTGGGTCCAACTCCGTTCATCGATGAATTGGTACCCTCGCGCCCCTTCTCTCGTCGGCGGTACCACGTCCCTGAAGTGAACTGAACCTGAATACTGGGGGGTAGCGGCGGGATCGACCGCAACAACTGACCGGATAGCGGTGAGGTCAATACCAGCGCTCGGTGGCTGTTGTCCACTGCGATCGATCTCTGCTCTCTGGATGTCTTTGTCCTGTCTCTGGGGACTCTCCGTTTCAGAGACGCATCACTCTTCGACCTTTCGCACGGGGACCCCACGCCGATGTGCTTGGGATGTGGGGACGTCATCCCCACTGCTTAGACTGTCGGGACGAACGTAGCGCATCTGAAAAGCCGCTTGGCGGGCGGGCTACTGAAATCGAGTGCGAATAGCAGAGCGAAACGACCCCGCGAGAAGTTTGTTGGGGTCTAAAGGTTGTACGGTGTGCATCCAACTACGTAGTCTCTTTCAGTAGTCTTCGTAGAATCCTGAAGTTGTCATTTATGGCTTACTTTTGTTGAAGAATTTAATACCAAGATTTCCTATATCTTCCTTGTATATATGCTCTCTATCACTCTTAGGAGTAAAAATCCCCATAGTGGGCTACTACACCGGGAGCGGAACACGAGAAGTGGGCCTCGGCATGCCGTAGAAGTCTCTGGGACTTCGGCCCACGGTAAATTCGCTAGACTGCCAATATTGTAGTGACAATCTTCTACTCCTCAGGGAGTCGGTATCGGCCTCCCCCCCATTTTCCTCAAGTAGAGCCAACGCTTACTAAAATAATATTGACTCAACCACTCGTGGAAATTATTGGTCTCGGTGTCCTACCAGCTATTGTCGTATCTTATGTGTCGCCAAAATGTTCAGTTTGATTGCACTCCGATGAATATTAGACACAGTATTACAGTTGTTGCTACATCGGTATATATGTATATATTAGTCCGAATGCATGTGACGTACATACGCAAGGAACGCATTTACCATTGATCTTCGCAGGTAGTCTACCCTTGTTCATCGTTAGCCACGGGGCTACCTTGCAAAGTCACCCTAGTAATCGGTCTCCGACATCACCACACATAGAGGTCATGTTACATTGAAAGTTGTTATCCATGTCTCGCATTATGGTCATTCATGTCTTTCAATTCAATCTAGGCTCGTTCCCTCTGGGCTTAACAAATGCCCCCAGTAAAGTCTATATAAACATCAAATTTCGGGCGAAAAGTCATATTCACGCGCGCTTCAACTTCCTTATATCAAATTTCTCTTTTCTTTTTTGATAGTAGGGATCTTTTCCACCGACTCAGCTCCCAGATTTTCACTATGAAGTTCGCTGTCGCAATCTTCAGTGCCACACTACTGGCCACGTTCATCATTGCTTCTCCTCTCGCCTCTCAGCGTGAGGCGGACAGTGAAATACAGCGATCTGCCCAAGCTCCGCGCCGCACAACCCGACCTCACAACCCGGGTACCTCGGAAGTACTTTATCTGAATCAAACATCCCAGGAGACTTACAGCTCAAACTGGGCCGGGGCTGTGCTTATTGGTACCGGATTCACTTCGGTATCTGGAGAGATCACGGTTCCTATCCCCCACCTTCCAAATGGTGCTAATTCCTACACGAACTACTGCGCATCTGCATGGGTCGGCATCGACGGTGATACTTGCAGTACAGCCATTCTACAAACAGGAATCGATTTCTGTATTCAAGGAGGTTCCACGTCATATAACGCGTGGTACGAATGGTATCCAGACTACGCCCGTAACTTTAGCAACATCCAAATTTCGCCCGGAGATGTGACCAAAATGACAGTCGACGCAACTTCCAAGAGTTCCGGTTTCGCTACTATTGAGAACCTATCCACAGGTGTATCTGTGACGCATATATTCCCTTATAGCCTTGGGGGTGACCTCTGCGAATTCAACGCCGAATGGATTGTGGAGGACTTCTCTATAAACAACGCGTTGGCTCCTTTTGCCGACTTTGGCACCGTAGTGTTCTCCAATGCAGTTGCCTCGCGCGGTGGGAATACTTATGGGCCGTTGGGTGCTACCATCATGGACATCTATCAGGATCGGATTCTCACATCTTCTTCTGTTACCAGAAATACCGTCACTATCAGTTACATTTAGGTCTTTAAGAAAAAGCTAAAAAGAAATAATCAAATTTAAACCCTTCAACCCTTTCTCTAGTACATCCCAGTGAAACCGTGGAACAGCGGGATCTAGTGCCGCTGCATTGTTTCGGATGCTTTTCCTTTTTGGTTATATATCACGGTGAGCTTGAGGTTGATATAGCGTTTAACTCATTCTTCTGTTAGTAAGTACCATCAAGTAGAATTCACCGATACTAAAAACGTGCGTGTCCTTGCCTAGACAGGATTAGACATATTGGATCCTTCTACATGACTGTAGGATTTGTGATTTAACCCAAATATAAAGAGGGAACCTAGGGTTCTTCGACAATTATATCGCTTTAGCATCTCTAATGGTGTTTGCGGCGATCCAAAAAGGACCTAAGATATGTCTGTAATGACCAAAACGAGGAAAATTGTGAACATGCAAAACAAAGCCATCACATTATGTTGTTTTAGGGATGGTTAGATTATTCGTGTTCCCAGTTACTTGCTAATCCGGCTCTGTTTATAGTGATAGGTAGTATCAAAATGTGTCATTGGGCTAATGTTATATCCTGTTCGCGCAGGTCTATTCAGACTAAAGAGTCGATGTTCCAGGATCATCTGGCAATTCGATTCCATAAAAGCGCCGGAGAGCATCCTGCACCACGTCGTAACAAGCCCCGTATCGCACAACCTTTATTGTTCTGAAATCAATCATGGTTGAAGAGACTCGAGGATGGTGGAATTTTTGTCTCCCATAGTCAATAACTATATCCGCCACTTCGAGGATCTCTGGCTCGATATCCTCGACCACAGTCTTTGCCCCCTTGCCGGTGATATTGGCCGAAGACCCCATTAAAGGAAGTTGTTCTAGGGCAGCGAGTCGAGATAATTCTTCTAGCAAAGCACCTCCGTTGACCAACATTGCTAGAGTGTCCTCAACGACGCTCTGTGCTAATATTCTGCGTCGAAGCTTTTGTATAATTGGATGATCAGGGCGATATGGCGCGACGATCCCTAGAGGAAAGTCCAGGTCCACCGTCAAGAGTTTGACCATACCCGCTTCCTTTGGGGGAAGAATATGAATGTCTCGATGCAGGAAGTAGCTGCCAACCATTGCATGTCGCTTGTGTGGTTGCCGCTGTTTCGTGAGAAAGATCCTGTCCAGTGCGTCTGGATCGATCGCAGTGATTCCGTAGCCAACGTTCATAGGGAGAATCGCAATACCACCCCGCTTCAGAATTTCGAACACTGCTCTAGCATCTTCTTTTGGATTTGGTACTTTATAGAAAGACATGTTTATTGTACTAAGGAGTGGATGGACTATTGAGCATCATAGGTTTATTCTAGGCATGACAAGTGGACTTTAATACTAAACAGTGCATTGAATCTCGTTTAATAATGTTTGCAATACCGGGGAAACCGAGATGTGTAGCACAGAACTGCTATCTTCTAGGTACTCATGTGAATAACAGCAAATGACACATGCAATAAATCGTGAGCCGTAGGATATCGATAGCGATCGTATCGCACAGCATCAAGTTCCCTTAGATCCTCCCCTTTGTTTCTTGGGTCGGAAGCACCAAATACTTAGCTCACTCAAATTCTCACAGAGGATTCATTAGAAAGGAATTTCCCACGATTGGCACCTTCGTTATCCCTGAGTTGGGATGTAGTCACTTTGGATAATTCGGTTGGCCACACCGCATGCCAAGTTCCCTGTGCACGGACAGAATATTCATGTCCTTTTTCAAGGCCTGGAATCCGCAAATCGACGGTTACATCACGGGTGTGTCTTGCTTGTATCTCAACGAGATCATCCGCGGAGGCAGGTAGCTTGCGTGATACCATAATAGTAGGAACGGACAGTTTCCGTTGGTCCGTTGTGTCACAAATCTCGAAGACACCGAGAACACCAGCCTGAGGGTCCAATGGGGTGCCCCATCTTAAAATGGTGACTGGTGAATCTGCGGCGTTGTAAACAGAAACTTTGATCGGTAGAGCAAATGCTTCCTGTGCCTGCAGGATCGGTGTCTGGGGGGCCAAGGTGACCTGCAAACTCAAGTTTGACTCCATGTTTGCGACCAAAGAAGTGGGTGATCAATGTGACACACTATATCAATGGTGGGGAGTAGAGAATCAATGGTTAAAAGGAGAAAAGGAAAATAAATAAATAGAGTAACGGGGAGTTTAGGCAAGTTACGATTAGTATCGAGGTTTCGAGAGGGCCTTGGGGTGTTGAAGGATCAGAGAGGTGTGATTCGGGCAGAGATTCTTCTCACGCCTTATATCTAGAAACGCCGATCATGTTGACAATCTCTCCTTTGAACCAATCAATGTTGTTAATTGCATGCCAAGTCCACTAGCCTAAACGCTCTACCGCATTCCTCCGGCACTCCGTGAAACCGTGCTTTTTTCGCGCGCTTGGCGTCGCATTGCCTTCCCTAACATGGGTCATTTATCACAATAGCCAAGCCTCTACTAGTCCTAACGCTATTTCCGACGTGACCCTAATGGCTGACCCTAAGCATTGTTGCTGAAGTCAAGAATTCGGCGCCGTCTTGGGTAGTATCTTGGCACTAACTTGGCACCGGAGTCCGGTGACAAACGCACGGTCTGGTGCTTGGCGTGGTATGAATGGAGGGGGCTTTGCCCGTCGTTTAAGGTGAGACGAAGATATGAGTCTTTGCCGATCATATTATTACTGTCAAACTGGGATATGGCCCTCCCTAGGCCCTAAACAGAAACCTTGGTTTTTGTTATGGTCCAGTAGAATAAAGCCGTATTTTATTCCAACAATTACTATAGGCGAGGTATGCTCATTTCTCTACAGTACAATGTCTTTGTGTTCGACAACTTTGAACAGTAGCGATGTAGCCATATTTTTGCATTCTATTTCCGCCCAAACTCAATTTCTATACTTAATCCTATACCTCGGCCAGGATATAGGTACGTCAAACACAAAAAGGTCTGTCTGCCGAGGGGCTTGCAGGGTTTAGCGCCGAGTTCATTGTCAGAACCGATCATGAGGAGTTACATCGAATAACCCCCCGCCTCTTGAAGCATGCTGTGGATGCAGCTTCACAAGTCCTCGCATTCAGCCCGCTAAAGTCCGTCCTTCAGGGGCGCGGGTTTCCGTCGGGCCAAGACGCCATGCACAATGATCTTACTGAAGCTGCAGCCACTTCAATATATCTCCAACCAGTGACAATATTGCCCACGGCCTGCCCCTGGAATTGCAGCTATGTCAAGATATCTTCGACCAGTGACAAGTTTTCCCGCAGGTCTCCCGTGTCCGTTCTATGCAAGATTGGCTACTAGCGTGACCAAACTGTTTCATGCAGAAAGGATACCACCTTCGGGCGACGGGGAGAAGATGGAAGGTGTGCAGGAGAGAGCAAACCGCGCCATTCCACTTCAAAACTGCAATGAGTGTCCAGCGGGCTATATAAAACAGTCGGAGTCCTCTCGAGAATTGGAGCCTTTTTATTCCATCAGCATCCAAGACATCAGAATTACAGTCCGCTCTTCACAGAATCAACCTTCTTGAGACTCTTGAGCTCCAAGCATCATGCGTTTCGCTGCACTCTCCACAGTACTCCTGGCCATTGCACAGCATGTGCAGGCCTTGCCAGTTGAGACAGATGGGACTCCTGCGCTCGATATCACCTTGAGTCGTGTCACTGACACTCGCATCAAGGCTGTCGTAAAGAACTCTGGCAGCGAAGATGTCACATTCGTGCATCTCAACTTTTTCCGTGACGCCGCACCCGTAAAGAAGGTCAATGTCTTCAAAAACGGTACTTACATTTCCCCTGGACCATATCGGTGCAATCCTAACTTCATACCAGATGACGAGGTCACTTTCGAGGGAATCAAGCGCCGGTTCGCCCTCAAGGGTCTGACCAAGGAATCTCTCACTTCTCTTGCTGCAGGAGAGACTTTCGAGGATGAATTCGACATTGCCAGTACCAGTGACTTGTCTAGCGGAGGTCCATTGACTCTTCGTTCGACCGGCCTGGTGCCCCTAGTCACTGATGGTGCAGTTACTGGCTACTTGCCATACCGTTCCAATGATCTCGAGATTGAGGTCGATGGTGTCAAGGCATCCCGCGTGCTGAAGGCTATCAAGACGCTCGATCGTCGTGCTCTTCCAACCTGCAGGGATTCGAGTAAGAAGGCTGCACTTGACAAGGCTCTCAAGAACACCGTCACGCTCGCAAACGCTGCCGCAAAGGCTGCCCTTTCTGGCTCGTCCTCCAAGTATGTGTATACCGTTTTACTACGACTTGACCATTCTAATAGTATCCGATAGGTTCAGCGAGTATTTCAAGACCACCAGCAGCAGCACACGCAAGGTCGTGGCTGATCGCCTTAAGGCTGTGGCCCAGGAGGCCAGCTCGAACAGCGCCACTAAGTACTACTGCGAAGATACCTTGGGATAGTGAGTACCTCCTTTCGGTAACGATTTTATATGAATACCTGGCTTACAAATGCGATACGAATAGCTGCGAGCCCAATGTCTTGGCTTACACCCTGCCATCTCAAGATATCATCGCCAATTGTGATATCTACTACAGCGAGCTCCCGGCATTGACTAACACTTGCCACAACCAAGATCAAGCAACGACTACCCTCCACGAGTTCACCCATGCTCCAGGAGTTTACAGCCCGGGAACCGAAGACTACGGATATGGATACAGCGCTGCAACAGCTCTTTCTAGCGCAGAGGCCGTCTTGAACGCTGACTCTTACGCACTGTATGCTAATGGTGAGTGTCCTATTTTAAGCTCCCCTTAATGAACATCAGCTAACCAGGAAATAGCAATTTCTCTTGGCTGCTAAATGGTCAACTCACCATACAATTGCTCGGGGTGCCGAGTACGAATCGCCAGGGTCAGATTGACTTTGCCAGATATCAAGTTGGATGCATTTTCTGATGGGGCTTATCATTGAAAGACTAGTTATGTTGAGAATTAGTTGCGATAGATTGTGAATGAAAATCCAGTGATGAATATCTTTGCCTTGCGTAATGTAAATATACTCAATTCGGAAGGGCGAATGACATCTACATACGACATACATCGGGATTTCTGGATTCCTCAGTTCCTGACTTTCTTGGCCTTATTCCGATCATTAATAATTGCTTTCCAGATATGCTGGTTCTCGTCGGCAGGCTCACGCTATCAGTTGAACATCAAGATCTGAGATGCAAAGCATGGCCTGGGAACAGTGTGGTGATTTTCTGTCGCACCAGACCTAAAGAACTGAACTACGTACTTCTGCTACTGCGCTGAATTACAGAAATTCTACCCAGGGCGATTCGAGCCGGTGATTCTCCAAAATGGACTTTGGCTTTAACCCACTTGGTCTTTAATGATCACTATAGCAAATGACGATTCAAGATGAACTTTCCACTATGCAGTTCCTCAGCCTTCCAGCCTTCCAGAGTTGACTGGTTCGACGACATACACTTCCACAAAACTTTGTGGTTGCAAATTCAGAAATTATGGGACTCAGAGTAGCATCAGTCTTAACAAATTAAAATAACGCAAAAAGCTTGAAAGACTAGTCCTCGACAGGCAGTGCACCTTCGGTTTGCATCTCAAGAGCAACCTCATCAACCTTCTTCCATACCCTCAATAGATTTCCTCCCACTACCTTACTTGCATCTTTGTCACTGACTCCCCGTTTTAGCAATTCCTTGATCAGATTCGGGAACCTCGACACATCCTCCAATCCCCGAGGAACCGTCGGAATACCATCGAAATCACTACCTATTCCAACATGATCGAAGCCTATAAGCTTACCAATGTATAGGATATGATCAGCCACTCGTTCCAGGGTGGCATGAACAGGGTCTGCGTCTGGAATCCCATCGGCGCGGTCAGAAGCCGTGCAGGAAATGAAGTCTGGTGCAAAATTAACCATAACCAGGGAGTTCCTCTCACGGACCAGCTCCAAGATGTCGTCAGGTACGTTGCGCGGGTGCGGACAAAGTGCATAGGCAGAGCTGTGGCTGTAAATCACTGGAGCACGGCTCCCTATCCATTCGGACTTGCCCGCCCCCAGCACATCACGCATGGTCTCCGTGCTGACATGGGCTAAATCGACGATCATCCCAAGACGGTTCATCTCAAACACCAGCTTCTGACCGTCTTCGCTGACACCGTGCCAGAGAGGATCCGACTTTTTTATTCCTCCACCTGGAAGTTCGAGAATGGCGGCGTCTGCATATCGATTATGGCAATTGTGCGTCAGAGTCGCGTACGAAACCCCTAGCTCATAGAAGATCCGGAGGTGAGCCAGTGAGTTGCCGATCGAATGCAAGCCCTCGATACCAAGCGGTGAGATGATCTTTCCCTCACGGAAAGCGGACATGGCAGTGGTACCATTCGGGGGACTCGAGAAGACCTTGGGATAGGCTTGCTGAACCCTCGACATGATATCCACTTGCTCCATCGTCTCACGCACGCCTATAATTCCCACGTGAGCATACTGTGCAACAGCCATTGTACCGACATATTTCCCATACTTGCTGCGTAATTCTCGTCGGAGAAATCGGTGCCATTCTCGGGACATGGCACGAAAACACTCCAAAACGTACCACCAACCTTGCCTTGTATCAATCGGGGTATGTCAACTTGGCCCGGGAACTTCCCCTGGACAAAAGTCTCAGTGAAGTTGTGATCATATATGCGGTTGTGGAAGTGTTCCCGGACTAAGATGGGAAGGTCGTCATGACCGTCTGTTTTGGGCGATCAGTTATAATGTCCCACGAAGAATTATTCCCTCCAATCTCCATACCGATCAATGGAGTCTGCGACAGGATCTTCTGCACTCTTTCCTCGATGCTAAGGGAGAAAGGCGAGCACGACCGTGTGAACCAGGCAGTGGCTACAAGGACACAAAGAAGCAGCCAGAGTAAATTGAAGGGGTTCTTTGTCCGCCTCAAAGTCGGCGCACCTCCTTGACTCTCTAATACGGGGCTCTTGTCGTCGCTCATTGTTGACATCTACGAGCATGTAGGTCGAAAGAGATTCCAAGGTTCTTATCGATAAGGCTGGTTCACCCCTCGGGACCTCCCGAGGTCTCATTCTGGCCAATGACCCAGGACGAGATCGGTTATAGAAAATCCATACAGAGTAGATCATTGATAATTTCTAGCAAGACCAAATAATATATACATATACTATGTATACTTATGTATTTATCAGTATGTACATTAGTGTGGGTACTGCCAGACGGTGATGATGCTAAGTCAGCAATGAAGTGCACCTGGGCACGTGCACATGAAATTAGGCGGTGAGATCTCGTGTCCAATCACACTGCCTTCAATCCCCGTAGATGCCCCGGTAGATTATCAACTTGAACAAGTGGGCAGGCTCCGTTGTTAACATCCTTTGGGGTCCACGATTTTGTTTTCAAAAACAGAAACATACCATCAGTTCTTCATATTGAAAAGGCTTACATGATGCAGCCCGGCAGGACCACGGCCGGTCTGCTCCCAATTTCGGCAGCAGCTACGCAAAAGTCCGGCTCTGCAGCGCCCGCAAAGAAAACACCCAAGCCCCCTGCTCCACGTCTCAAACTTCTCATTCGACGTTTGCCCCCCCGGTCTAACACAGGCTGAGCTGGAGAGTGCCCTTGGGGATCAGTGGAAGCCTGGGGCAGGAAACGTCGACTGGCTTCAATACAAACCTGGGAAGGTGTCGAAAGAGTAGGATTCACACTCCTCCGACGATATGTTCGTACCGGCCTCGACTAATTAGACTTCTTCAAATAGCCCCAACAAACCATCTCGCCCATCAAGAGCATACATCCACGTTGTGTCCACCGAATGTGTATCCTCGCTCTCGGACGCCGTGCGCCGGGCTTCTTTCCAGGATGCTCGTAATACTCTACATGACCCGATTCTACTTGGCCCTCCCTCACTAGAGTTTGCACCTTATGCCAAGACCCCCGGAAGCCGCTCGCGCAAGGATGCTCGTCAAGGCACGATTGATCAGGATTCAGACTTCATCGCTTTCTTGGAAAGTCTGACTCAGCCCATTACCAAGCCCGCGGCTGTGGATTCTACGGCTGATGGCGAGGATAAGAAGAAGGAAACCGTAACGACAACCCCCCTGGTACAGTTCATCAAAGACAAGAAAGCCAGCAAGGTAAAGGACGGCAGTGGGTCCAAATCCAAGCACAGTCGGTCGGACAAGGAATCAAAGCAGGAGAAAGTGCAAGCTAAAAAGCTTTTGCAACGGGGCGATAAGGAAACTTCGGCAACCTCTTCCGACAAGAAACCCAAAGGAGAAAAGACAAGCAAGGACTCCGTCAAGGCGACCAAGCAGGGAGCCGCTGCCAGTGCCAAGGGAGGCAAGTCGAGTACCACATCCAACACTACAAAGGACACAAAGGACACGAAGGATACAACTGCAACTCCGGAGCGGAAGAGAGAGCGCGGAAATGTTGCAGTAGCCACCAAAATCCTTCAGCGTGACCTTGGACTCTCGACATCTGGTGGGCGACGACGCGGCAAAGGTGGTACGACGGATAATGCGTCACCCAAGAACGAGAGCTCTGGAGACTCCGCTGCTCCATCAACCGGTTTGTCCAAGAAAGAGACAACCAGACCTCCCAAAGCCGCATCATCCACAACCAGTTCATCAAAGCCCAAGGACGGCGAGTCATCCTCACGGCCCGATGCGGCTGCTGCGGCGCCTGCGACCCAACCAGCCAAATCTACTAAAGGCGGCAAAGCAAAACACCCATCGACTGCTAAACAAGCATTCCTCAAGCATGCCAACCCCTCCCAGGGTGTCACCGAGGCGCTCCTGCAGTCTGCGTTCTCCACATTCGGAGCAGTGACGAAGGTCGAGATTGACAAGAAGAAGGGATTCGGATACGTAGATTTTGCTGAACCGGAAGCACTTCGCAGAGCCATCGCTGCGAGTCCCGTGTCGGTGGCCCAGAGTCAAGTGGTGGTCTTGGAGCGCAAAGAGAACCCTGGAGCTGAAAAGTCTCGGAAAGGCCGCGAAGGTTTCGCTGCCAATAAGGCTAAGGCTCCCACCGAGGCGGCTGGAAGCGCTTCAGGAGCTGGCGGTAATGCTGGAGGTAACCCTGGCTCCTCCCGCGGATCTCGTGGAGGGCGTGGATCACGGAATAAGGGACCCAAGGGTGGAGCTTCAGAGAAGACTGGAGGCACCGAGGCGGAGTGACGGAGTGACGGCGGGCCTACATATTGAGTTTTGTAGCAGTTCACGAGACATGATACCCGAGGGCATGACAGGTTTTATCGATAACTATATGATGACCGCAGCAAAGGATTTTGCAATAACCAATTCATTGAACCAGGCAGGAACGTATTTCACAAGCGAGTTGCGCAGTCCAATACACATAGTAAATGCGATAAATTACAACTAGATATTGCAACAACAGTTGCCTATATGAACTTTTACTTGTAGCCTTATGCTTTTTATATGTATCAAGCCACTTTACAGAGTTCAAGTAAATCTACTACTCCGTGACTCAGATATATATTTCTGGAGTGCAGTGATGTATTTTTCAATATCATAACAATGCAAGTTTTCAATCTATTCGAAATTGATATGTACTACTAAAGATGCCTATGAATGGCTATCGGCAAATAAAAACATAATAAACAAGCGTTGGTTGAGATATAAGTGTAGCATATATCACATTGACTATGGTGTTTTGGCTGCGCAGCTCGTGAAATACGTTACTAAAATTTCAATATTCGAAGGACGTAGCGAGCTCGGACGGGACAGCGATCTATAGATGCCGGCATCTACAACTAGAAGCACAAGAATGTCAAACCTTAACGAGAGTTTCAAGAAGTTTCTGGACGGCCCAAAAGACAATCTACATATGTACATTTGGAACGCTACGAGGTCAGATTGAAATGAAACCCAATGAGATGAATATAAATTTGTTCACTATCTGCATAAACCCCTCACAACTCCCTATACCATCTACCGATATGGAAGAGGACCTTTCAGACCTCCTCGACACCCACCAGGACCGACCGACCGAAGTCAGACGTCGAGACCAGGTCAAGATCATCACCACTCCCTGGACCGAAACACAGACACTGCGAACAGCACGCGTGACAGTCGAGGCGGGAGTAAAAAGGTTTCACTTTAGGGCATCGAGGACATGTAGTCATCAGCAAGGGTGGAGATTCTGTGGCTCTTTTAAAGAGTTTAGAAAGGGGACGTCTACTCTAAAGTGATTCTTTGAACTGTGGAAATGGTCAGTGAAATGTTCAGGAACAGTGTGGGATGTGTTTTCCACTGTATGGGGAGGGAGAACATACGTAGAGTCGCTTGAAAAACAGTAGAAGGTCCGGGGCCATGGGCTTATTTATATTCCTGCCAGTCGCGCTAACGCTAAGCGAGAGAGTCTCTAGTTTGCCTGGTTTGCTTCGTTTGTCAAGTTTGGATTTACCGTGGTGGATCCGGTTCACCCAATCATTTGTCAATTCCGAGCTCGGTCTTTTGCTTGGGTGGGTCCTCTGTAGAAATTTTCAACAGCTTGTTCGGCTACGGAGTGTTCCATAGGTTGTACATAGTCTGGTCCTTTTTCATTACTTGAGATTATTTGTTCCCGAGGTCTGTCTATAATTCTATGTGTCAAGTAATCATCTGGAACTAGAGTAGAATGGGAGTCTCTTTCGGCAAGCCGAAAAGCTAACTTAACTAAGTCTATTCACCGGTTCGGTTCATTGGATTAATTTTGTTATACATATACGGGAATACTCCGTACATCGTTAGGACATACTATGATACGATGATAATGTGTACAATATAATGTAGGTGCCCTCAGTCTGCCTCACGTTGAGTATCATCAAGTACAACACTAATCTACCCTAAGTATATTTATATCATAGTGTGCGTAGCTATGTCCCCGTGGGTTGCACCGAAAGGCCCTTTTGTACAGTAGTACTTTTGCTATCGTATGTCAATTTCTCTCTCGAGTATTCCACATGTAAAATGATGCAATACTAGATTTTCAACCCCAATCATCCGTCAAAAGTGCGTCTTCCGAAATACCCGTCGACGTCGGCCCGCGCACCCTTATCGCTTATCGCCTCTCCACGGTATGCGGGGATCTCATCCCCAGACCCGTGGCTTTGTACACTCTTCAAGAATGCCACGCCCTAAGGTCCATCCAGCGAATCGGCTGCGAGCAAACACTGCATGCACTGCCTGTCGTGCCTCCAAGAAGCGCTGCAGTGGTTATTTCCCGTGCACCAACTGTATTCACAAAGGACGCGGCCGCTCATGCACCCCATTCAAGTCCTTACCAAATGCAGGCCTCCGAAGCCGCCTCGTACCTGATTCTGGACCCACAATTGAGGCACCTCAGACATCGAGGGGAATGACAGTCGATTTGCAAAACCCTTCGCATGATATTGGTACACCTCATCCTGAGTTTGAAACGCTGGAGGTGGGATCACACTCGCCTGAAGTTACACATCAGACGCATCCGCGCATGCTCCGTAACCTGCAAGGGGAACGAGGTATGAAAATTTGCGACTGTCATGCACATCGTTTGATTGACGCTGTCCGCAGTGTACGTCGGGAAAGCCGCCTCTCTGTCATTTCTACAACTGCTTCGGGATACGGTGACCCAACATATCGGGCCCTCACAGTTCTCTCATAATGGGGGCAGCGAGGATATGCTAGAGGCAGAGGCTCATCATGATTCGTTAAATTCCTCCGAAGAAAGTTGCACTATTGATGAGAAGGATCGATTTATCCAAAATTATCACGCGGCGGTAAGATGAATGTCAATAATAAAGACCGGATAAATTACTGACAAACTGCGAGACGAGCGGGTTTTTCAATTTGAGCCTTGGTGACGACATTTCGTGTTCGTTGGTTGGTCCAGCAGAGCCCAAAACCGACCGGGAAAAGACTAGGGCTGCCATCATAGACCTTATGGTCGCTATCGGAGCACAATCCCTCCCAAACGACCGAAAAACCCTTCAGGTTGAGCGATTCTACTTTGCTCGCGGCCAACGCAGGGCTTTTGCCAATATGCTGGAAGATCCTAGCGTGGATTTGGTCCGAGTGTTTCTACTCATGTCCTTTTATATGCTGGGAGCATGCCGCCGAAACACTGCATTTATGTACCTGGGAGTGGCATCACGAGCAGCAGTGGCGCTTGGTTTCCATGCAGACTTTCCAGCGCCAAGAAGCCCCGACGAAAGTGATGAGAGAAATGAACGGTAGGAGCTTCTGGCAAAATCTGTTTGGCCCAGCTAATCCATAATAGGTCACGATTATGGATGAGTTTATGTATTCTTGATCTGCTTGTCAGTTCGATCCTTGGGAGACCTTCTGCTATATCACCTCTCTTGCCCGAAAATCGACAAGAACCTAGTTGGATTGGGGCCGCACCGGCTGATCATGGCCTGGTGGCTTCATATCAGTTATCGTTGATCCTGGACGAAATAATAAACTGTCTTTACAGTGAAAAGGCCGCATCCGCACAGCAAGCAGACCTACTATTATGCAAATTAAACGCCTGGGGTGCATGTCTGCCGCAATCATTAAAGACATCGTCTTTAGAACATAAAGACCAGAGCACTTTCCGAGAGCACACAATTAGAAATATGCATGTTGCATGTTCGTATCATTTTGCCGTGATTTTAGTGACCAGACCTTTCCTTGTCTCGGTCTTGAGTGTCCGGCTGGCCCGGCTACACCAGAGCCTCTCGACCAGTGTGCCCAGTGATGTGCCTGAGGAGGACCCAGCCCATTCTCGACTCGCGGCAGCATGTATTGATTCTGCTGTATACATGCTGCAAACATGTCTGGAGGTTCATAAGTCCGGCCTTCTTCTTCGGAATATGTGTATCCTCAAGTCCGTCTGCATGGATACTCTTCTAGTGACTCCAATACTAACATTCGACAGAGCATTTATCTTCGCCGCAGCCCTTGTCCTCGGGTTCTCCATGTTCTCTCAGCGTGACGTTGATCCCGAGATTGATGATGTGTTCCGCGGTGCCCTGACTATCTTGCGCATGCTGGCGTCGCAGTCTGCCCAGGCAGCGCACTACTTAGAAATAATAACGAAGCTAGAGGCCGCTATAAACAAGCAGCGCCAGCAGCTCGCTGCCCAAGCCCGCCAGCGACGAAGCCAATACGTCAGTCGGATTTTTAGCTTGAACGATAACCCGGCAACACCGCGGACACAAAATGAGGGGGACGAAGAAGAAGCGAGAAATGCAACCCCACTTCTATCGCAGAGTGTCACACCATACGCGTGGTTACGTACAGACGATGGAACAGCAGCAGCTGTCTCACCCCCAATGGTCGATGGCGCTTTATTTGATTGGGAGGGTATGGATTTGCCGTTGTGGGATAGTTTTCCATTTCTCGCCGAATCTACTACAATATGATGAATACAATTACTATAAGGTTTAGTAGGACTACATGAGCTTGTGATCCCAAACGAAGATTTGCAAGATTTAATTTGCTTAAACCGATGGCTTCACGGTCGGAATCAAGAACCCGGGAGGAAAAAGGTTCGAGGTATCCCAGTAGAGCTGGTAAATGCCGTCGACATGCGTACCCTTCAGACGGAACGAATCGCATAGCAGGCCATTCTCATTTTGCCACATGAGATACCTGCCATAGGAAAGAAATTGATCTACCTTCGCATCGTCCGGTGTATCGACATCATTCCCAGTGAAACCTACAGGTAGCACCTTATTGGGTGTGGGACGGATGTATAAGGAGGTGTCAGGGTCAAAGGTGTAATCCTTGTCAGTGGCTGTAGCGATAATTCCGGAGTTTTTGAAAACAACTAATCGAGGATTAGCTGTTGATCTGCCTAAAAAGGACACAAATGGACATGATGTGAGAAAGAAATAGATCTTACATGTCACATCGGTTGTTACCGATCCAGCCATCCACTGAGAAGAGTTGCCGACATATGCGAATCCAAGGTGTTCGCGTTAGGTGGGCATTAGACTGAGGTGAGAAATGGTATAACCGTCTGAATAGAAGACATTAGCTCCCTCAGGAGCTACACCGTAGGCAAGAATAGAGAAGGATTCTGTTAGATAGCGTGTTTGCAGCTCCGACTGAGACAGTGCAGCCATAGCTTGCGAAGAAAAAGTGATACTGGTCGGTAGGTCATCCAATCTCATTTTTTGGAGAGTCTGGGAAGAAGATTATTTGGATATTAGGGCTAGGCGTGTAGTTGGGCATCTATGTTATATCCCATTGTCAGACGTAGGGTGATGCAGTCAGATTCTGCATTCGACGGCTGACACTTGGATCAACTATGTAACGTTGGAATAATAGCACAATATTTATAAATCCTGCATATATCTCAATTTTCCCTTCTATTTGAATCTGATTACATTCAAATTAATACGCAATTAGTGACAAGGAACACTTTTATATACGGTTGTAGAAAGTGATATTGTTGAGTCACAACACCTTAGAATTGCCAAAATAACTAGCTCTCATCCAAACTATTCGGTCGATTACTCATGGAGCCAGCTAGGCAGTGGCAGGTAAGCAAGGGTATGCTGCATTGTGACCCTCCGACTGGCTACTTCTTACTGGTGAGCAACCAGAGATTGTTTATCTTCTTGGTGTTGGATACTCGATCATTGAAGTCGAAAGAGAAAGAATGGTAATGGAGATGCGATACAGATGGAGAAAACACTGTGTGGATTGACTGTCTCGCACGAGGAGAGGAGGAAGAGAAGGAGAGAGGAGAGAGCTATCAACCTATGTAGGTTCTATCACATGGTGATGCCTCCGGCATCCAACAAATGGCCTACCTGGACAGAGGATATATAGTATAACCGGGTACATCCTTTGTGGTCCTGTCCCTGAAAATCTCGGAATTCTACGGGCGATAATACAGAAGTGCGCCCTATTTCAGCGCCACATTTGATGTCAATGAGCCTCTTTTTCGGCGAAATCATGCAGCCGAAGTCGCTTCGCTCACACTTGCTCTCCGCCGTCTAATCATGGTCTTTAAAGCACGCAAAGAGACTATAACTTGGGTTCCAATAGAATTGACTCAAAATGCCTATCAATACATTCTATTCTGAGCTAGTCTCGCGTTTCCTTTTCAGGGAAGGCCAAGTCTTTGCCTCCACCACTCTCTGTCCCATCTGCCATTGCTCGTAAGCCAATCCAACTGGCTAGCTAAACATTCCTCCTGCTGGGGCGAGAAAATGGCGGGCCCCTGTGATTCGAGATATTGAAAGAAATGCACGACCGCGTCAACATTTTCTCTCGGCTGCTGTCTTGCCCAATCCATGGAGCAACTCATAACCATGTAAACAAGCAAGTCTGCAGCGGTGGTATATGGTAGACCATGTGTTCCGGTTCCCGCGATGGTTGTTGTTCCTTGTGGAACGTAGGGGAACTTTGATAAGTGAGCACGTAAATAGAGCATAGTGGCATTTACAGTGTTCACTCACTATTTCCCCTGGTATAAAAAGAAGGGGCGTACCGTTGACTTCGAGGAAGCCGAGTCGTTGCTGAAAACTGTTTGGGTGCATGGACAGTAGTCTCTGCTTCAGCAGGTCCGAAGCCCCGGAGGGAAGCTCGTTTACCCGATCGTCGAACCCATTTCCAAGAAAGATGAGAAATTCAACTTTCCCTGCCTATCACGAGAATCAAATTAGTTTCTCCTTTGGGTTTATTATATTTCCTCATTCATGGAAATGAAAGACACACCTCCTTTACCTGATGATCAAGGAAATATCTCCATACGGCGAGTTCGCCGGTCACAAGCAATCGAACATGTTGGAACTCTGCAAACCCCCGAAGGTAGGCTAAGGTTTGTCTGGCATCGGCCTCTAGGGAAACAAATTCAGCAGCCATGACGGAATCTGAATAGAGAGATACCGGGCATCAGGCTCACGAATACTGGGTTTATATAAACATACTAGCCAGATACTATTTCCAATCGCCATATTGTAAGACTGTGTGAAGCTTCAATGCCCCGAGGTCTTACCTCCTACTTCTCAAAGAAACTGACCTATTTTTTACTGTAGTGTGAGAAAGCTAGGGGTTTATCTCACTTTCTAAATATCAATATGTTGATCCGAAGCGGGATTCTCTTTGTTTCCGGGACTGTTCTTTATCATCAAGCAGTTATACTCAGCAGTGTACAATTTATTTCAATATTTGAGACAATTGTTTCGTCCCAGAGAACCAGATTTTTTTTTTTCCTTTTTCCTTTTTTGTTTTCTATTTTCTTTTCCTTTCTGGGGTGTGGAAATTAAATGCCCTTTTGCAAGGGCGAGTCAGGACTGTAATGTTCCAAACAACCCTAACAAAGAAAATCAAGAACAGGTAGAAAAGCAGGTCAAAAACAAGTCAACACGAAGCAAAATAAGTCAACACGAAGCAAAATAAGTCAACACGAAGCAAAACAAGTCAACACAAAGCAAAACAAGTAAAAACAAGAATGAAAGCAAATTAAACCATTTCAGAATCAACAGCGAGCTCGTCCAGCCCCCAACAGCCATGTCGTTTAGCCCCCTCGACTGATCCAAACCAATTAATCCGAGGAGGAGGCGGCAGTTCATTGTTAGCCCTCATCTCCTTCATAAGATCGAGTGCTGGCTCCCATCTTCTTCGCCTAAGCTGTTCTTCGGGCAAAGTAAATTCTTCCCACATAGCCTGGAACTTAGGGCTGAGGGTTATTCCTTCGGGGTGCTTTCTTGCTGTGCCTAACATGTCGACCCACTGAGTATCCAAACCATTGACGTGGTCAATATCTCGATAACACAGCCACAAGACCGCCTCAGTGAACGCGCTTCGGTTGAGAATCTTAATTGGATAAAGCTCAGTCCACGGACCCGACATTCCCTCGGGCATATATGGTGGAAGTCGAGGATCATTGGAAAGCATCAAGTGGGGATCATCCGCAGTAGGGGGGGATGTCCCAAAGTCAAAAGCGTCTGGAAGCGACCAAAGCTGGCCAGATTTGGGGTACAGTCGTAGCACGTCGTGTTCAGGATATAGAGCCTGGATGTGAAAATGCACCGGAGGAATAAGGTAATCATTCAGCGTCGTTCTTACGACGTGGCATCCAGGGTCTGTGCAAGGTGTGAATCCCGCAGCGAACAAGGCATTAGAGGCCGTCTGAATCAAATGATCATGAACCAAGAATTGAATATCCTATAAAGTTAGACTTTGACCTAAGAACAAAACATAAGGGGACACGTACTTCGTTATAAGGTCTCCAGTCGCCAACTAAATAGCCGGCCATCGCGCCCCAAAGAATATTGGGAACTTGCGCTTCGTCCAGGATTCTAGCCACATCTGCAGCTGGCCTTACTTGATGGTTGAGTGCTTTCATTCTTGCTTCTTCGGACTCAAACTTTCGTGGCGGGTCACCACGATGAAACATGAATTTTGCATAATACATGATGGCTGGTCAGGGGAACCGTAAATGCCTTGGAGCAGTTGAGGGCTGATACTTTTATAAGTGCGGACTCGGGCCTTTTTAATATCCCCCTCTTCCTGCTCCTCCGAGTCCTTTGACTCGACTAGCCCTTCAAATCTTCCATTCTATTTGTGGATATAAAATTCTACGTGGGTCGTTAATGTAATGAAAGGATATTATCCTAAAAGAATAGACTTCGAGACTCGGCGGATGATCCATACAGTAATGAGGGAGAGTGGTGTCTAGCCAGCGGCAATTAAATAAGAACAAAGACATCGGGAGATAGTTCCAAAAATACATACCCAGGACTGCAAAGTGGATCGTTTCGTGTAAGTCTCGTTTCAACGTCTCTTTGACTAAAGAGTGTTCAAAAAAATGTCTCTCTGGCACCTAATCTAACACAACAAAGACGTATCCCTTCGGTTATTGGGTCCCCCCCTCAAAAAGAAGAAAAAGAAAAAGAAAAGAGAAGAAAGAAAATAGATGCTGCAGTACTTTCGGGCACGAAGATCATAATTCCACGGGCTTTGATCAATCCCTCATTCTACCACGGAGTATGCACCCTCCTTTTCCTGATCTTCTCGAAGCCATGCCAGGATTCTCAGACAAAGAAAAGAAAAGAAAAGAAAAATAACCGCATAGGATAAGCAAATCTATAGGTGGGCATCCACATCGTAAAATCTACTACGGTGATTTGGACAAACTGGCGGTCTATATTGTACCAGAAATTGGAAATGTCTGTGACATCAGGATGTGCACTTGTTCTATTGGTAGGAAGCAAGACTTCAGTCGCATTTTCAATATTGAGAACTCCAGAAGTGAAGAAACCCAAGGAGGGAGGGTAGACCCAAAGCATAAATAGAATCGAAATATTCAGTTGCGCAGCCATGCATTTTCCGTACAGCTAGTGGGACTGCATGAAAACCCAGCCTCACAACTGTGATACATTTGAACCTTACGTATAATATGCTCCCTGGTCAAGAGCAAGGGGTGTTTGCTCCGGCCATAGTTTCTGTATGGCGGATCTTGCTGCCGTGATTTGATCCATGTTCGTGGCAAATTGGACTTGATGTAAAAGATCGATTTGACCAAGGGTCCAGAATCTGCACCCCACTCCATTTGCATCGAATACATACTTGTGACGCCATTTCCGATGAGCAAATTGTAGATTCGCGAGACAGAAAGCCCGGGAATGATATCGATGATGAACTCCGCTTGGGCATCATCGGGCACCTTACACGTTAACTCTGAAACGATGAGGTGGGCCTTAGAACCCCCTTGGAGAATAGAGCTTGGGGCGCTGTAGCTTGGCTGACAATCAAATTGGACAGATCTCTCGGGAGATACCAATAGGTAGAGACACCAATGGTTTGTCCCTGCATTTTGACTGTGCGGCACAGCAAGGATCTGTGTCACAGGCAAAGCCAAAATTTCCTCCTGGCGATTTTTCGGCACGAAATGAACTGGCTGGAAAGTTGCCATGCTGCTGTTTAAAAGTCAACGTTTGTGGGTGTGAATAGTCCAGTGATAAAGAAAAAGGCCGGTAACTACCTCAGCGATTGCGATGCAGAAACGGCCAATACACCAGCCTAGGCCACTTATTTTACCAACCTGTCGAATTCAAGTCAATGAAATTGGCTCTGTGGATAAATGGAATTTGTTGATATTTGTTTGAGTGTTAAGGACGATGATGCGGGGAAGCAGAGTGAATAAATATGAGCATGTGACCGGAAAACAAACCCATCAAACCTTCCAAGGTTGGAATATGCCACTCCACTGCTCAAGGATTTGATACTGATATGTTTACCATAAACGAGACCAGTCGCTTACTTCCAAGGTTAGGGTCCCTAGAAAGCTACCTAGGTAACCCCTCGTAGCCACAGGTGGAAGCTTACTAGCAACCTGAAATTGATAGAAAAACCTAGAATATCTCAAATGCCAACGGTAATAGTACCCACAGTCTAGAGCCTTCCCATCTTATTGTGCAACGGTAATTAGTTGATCGCGGGGCTCATGTCTTATAGGGGTTCACTTCCCCTCACTGCGGAGATCGAAAATAAACCCAGATTCAGATTGGTCTTCCTCTGTAGCTTGCCTTGCCGCTTTTTGTAGATCCGGAAACCAGTAAGAGTTACATGTGTAGTGCATAAAATTGGAGTTTGGTCAGTGTCGTTGTGAATTCGTGTTGAAATATATATCTCGTACATTGTACATATATTATGTCCCAATGCTTGATACAAAGGGAAAAGAAGCAGCAACGATTTTGTATCATGCCCGCGGAGCGTTTTTGCCTCCTTCCACTTTTCCCCCTCCTCTTAAGAGAAGCACTTCATCCTTGACGTAGTAATGAATAATGCTCATGGTCGCTGATTTGGCCGGATATTGGCCGGATAGCGCAGCTTTGGACGAATTGATTCCGATAGGAAGGGGAAGTATAAAAGCCGAAGATAAGCGCAAGTGCGCGGCCCGCCGCGACCCGAGTGCACTATCCGCCACCCGATGTAGACGGCCGTGAAGCATGGTTGCGAATATTTAGAGATAAGGGATCAATAGAAGACAACTTGCTATATATTGATGTTGATACTCACAATTTTCTGCTTCGATCCAACCTCCCAAGACCGCAAGATTTATTGATTTATCTACGTACACCATGTCGGGTTGGAAGAGTCTTAATGTCGGCGTTATTGGCGGGGGCATCGGGGGCATGTCCGTTGCAGTTGCCTTGCGTCGTGCAGGACACACCGTGACCATCTACGAAAAGTCGGACTTTGCAGGTGAGGTCGGCGCTTCGGTTTCCTGTGCTGCCAACGGAACCCGCTGGCTACACGAGTGGAACGTTGATATCGCCAAGGGTGACCCTGTGGTCCTGAAGAAGCTTATCAACCGTGACTGGTACACGGGTGAACCCGTCAGTGTGTACGACCTCGACGATTACGAGGAGCGCTGGGGATATGTCTACAACATGTTCCATCGCCAGTACATGCATGCCATGCTGAAGGATTCGGCGCTGGGCGAGGGTGAAGGAGCGCCAGCAACTCTCAAAGTCAACCACCGGGTATGTTCATCACCGGGAGCCGCTTGAAATCGAGCGTGTGCTAACGTTGTCTGGGATCTAGTGTCGCGATATCGATCTGAAGACGAGTACGGTCGTCTTTGAGAACGGCGAGGTTGTAAGCCACGATCTGATCGTCGGTGCAGATGGAATCGGATCGGCTGTTCGAGGGATTATTGGAATCACACCTGAAAAGCGACCCTCCGACCAGAGCTGCTTGCACACCAACGTCAAAACCGAGGATGCGGTCAGGCTCGGCTTGGTGAACTACTCCGAGGATAGCGCACTGGAGTACTGGGGTGGACAGGAAGGCAAATGGGATAAGATTGTTCTGTCACCCTGTAACGGCGGACAGCTTCTGTCGTACTACTGCTTCTTCTCGCGTGAGCAAGGAGACTATTCGACACAGGCGTGGGGGGGCCGAAGACCGCCCTGTTGAGGAACTCCTCGCGCCATACCCGCAACTGGACCGACAAGTGTTTAACCATCTGAAAATTGGGACGGAGATCAAACCATGGCGTCTCTGGGTCCATGACCCATACCCGTATATCCAACGCGGTAACACCTGTCTGTTGGGGGATGCTGCACACCCGATGATGCCTCATCAAAGCCAAGGGGCCTGCATGGCCATCGAAGACGCGGCAGCACTTGGACTATTATTTGGTAAACGTTATTTCTCGGGGGATATCGCTCAGGCCCTCGCTGTTTACCAGGAGGTACGTCTGCCTCGTGTCACAAGGGTGCAGGCAGCAGCAGCAAAGGCGGCTTACAATATCAACGAGCGGATTGGTGAGTGAATTTTGCATTCAATGGTAATGCGTGCATTGTTTTCTGACCAGCATATAGGTTTCTCCGTCAACAAAGATGTTCCCACATATAAAGTCGAAGACACGAAGAAGGTCCTTACCATCGAGGAAATGAATGCGTGAGTTCGATAGACTTTAGCTTCTGGACAATGACAGTACTGACAACGACTAGCTATGACATGCACAAAGACATTGAAGAGAAACTCGCCGCAAAGCGCGGGGCAACCTATACCGATAAGTTCCTGTGCGGCCTCCCCATCGGACTCGAGCTGCCAAACGGGATCACGATCGGCGCAGTCGGCGCATAATGTAAAGTCATTTTTGGGACAAGGAACCAGTCATTGGTCATGTTTTATCATTTAGCTTGGCTTGTATTGATCGAGAAGTTTGTACAATTGCACTAGCCTACATAGTCATGAAATTATGAATACACAGTACATACCAAAGTCACCAGATGTGCATATCCCACTCAATACACCCTTCTAGAACAACAACGAATACTATACATGGTAGATTCCTGCTGAGCTTAGCCCGGAGTCGATTGTTGCAGTCACCGAGCTTCTCGGGAATAGATGTACCGAGCGGGATGCAATCACCCGCGATAGCTGTGTGGTAAGACGGGGGTGCAATTTTACCGGGAAAATGACGAAGCAATGTATTTCCTATAGTGACCCACTGTAGATATCTAGCTTGAAATTAGTAGATGTCTACATGCGTACTGTTCTGTTCTAGACCGTCGCATGTATAGAAACACTGGAATACCCGTTAACCTCCCACTACCTACAAGTGCAGGTAGTTCATGTATACCAAGTGCTACAATTTATCCGAATGGCTGTTGATAGGAACCAAAGTCCTTCAATTTGGATTATATACAAAACGAAAAGTTTCAATCGTGCATCATCATTTCATTGGATTGAATCACCCAACTGATTTTTCTTCTCTTAATTAATTTAGAATAGAGCATCTCCCAGGCGGTAGTGCACAGTCTTAACCTGGGTGTAGTTCTCAAGGGCATAGGAACCAAGCTCACGGCCAATGCCGGACTCCTTGAAGCCACCGAAGGGGGCCTGGTAAGAAATCATGTTGTAGTTGTTGATCCAAACGGTACTGAGATAGAGTTAGCCTGGTTACAGCAGGAATTGAATGTGAAAAGAAACATACCCAGCCTTGAGAGCGTTAGAAACGCGGATGGCGGTGTTGATGTTCTTGGTGTGAACGGCGGCAGCGAGACCTGGATACAGTTAGAATGGTTATTCACGGTTTCACGATGAATGTAAACAAAAACATACCGTAGCTGGTGCTGTTGCCAATGCGGATGGCATCAGCCTCATCCTTGAACTTGGTCACGGCAATGACGGGGCCGAAGATCTCCTCCTGGGCGATCTTCATGTCGGGAGTGACGTCGGTGAAAACGGTAGGCTGGATGAAGTAGCCCTCGGTACCGTGACGCTCACCACCTAGGGCGACAGTAGCACCCTCGGTCTTACCGTGGTTGATGTACTCCATGATGCGGTCGAACTGGAGCTGCGAAACCTGGGGGCCCTGGAAGGTGTCGCCCTCGAAGGGGTTGCCGAGCTTGTTCTGGGCGGCACGCTCCTTGAAGCGAGCGACGAACTTGTCGTGAATGCTCTCCTGGACCAGCAGGCGAGAACCGGCGCAGCAGCACTGGCCGTGGTTGAAGAAGATACCAAAGTTAGCCCATGAGATGGCGTTGTCAATATCGGCATCCTCGAAGACGATGTTGGGGGACTTGCCACCCAGCTCGAGAGTGACCTTCTTCAGGTTTGACTTAGCGGCGGCCTGCAGGATCATACGGCCGACAAGGGTGGAACCAGTGAAGGCGACCTTATCAATGTCCATGTGGCTAGAGATGGCGGCACCAGCAACACGACCGAAGCCGGAGATGACGTTAATGACACCGGGTGGGAAGCCAGCCTCAACAATAAGCTTAGAGGCGTACAGACCCGACAGAGGGGTCTGCTCAGCGGTCTTAATGATCACAGTGTTACCGGCAGCGATAGCTGGACCAATCTTCCAGGCCCACATGAGAATGGGGAAGTTCCAGGGGATGATCTGACCACAGACACCAACGGGCTCGTGGCGGGTGTAGGAGAGGGTCTCGGAGTTGGTGTCAATAGTCTGGCCAGTGATCTTATCGGCCCAGCCACCGTAGTAGCGGAGACAGCCAGCGGCATTGGCAATATCGACCTTGGCCATAGTGACGGCCTTACCATTGTCGAGGGCCTCAATAGAAGCCAGGGTCTCCATATCACGCTCGAAGAGGTCGGCCAGCTTGGTAAGCATACGGCCACGGTCCGAGGGGGTCACCTTTTTCCAGGGACCCTCGAAGGCCTCGCGGGCGGCCTTGACAGCAATGTCGACATCCTTCTCGGAAGCCTCGTAGACGGAGGTGATGGGCTTTTCGGTGGTGGGGTTCAGGGTCTCGAAGGTCTTGCCATCAACACCCTTGACGAACTCGTTGTTGATGAACCTAGAAGCAGGAACCAATTAGCGATGGGATCGGGATATGAGAGAGGGGTAAAGCATACAAGCCGAGGGGCTGTTCATAAGTGACATTGGGAGTCTGAATGGTAGTGGAGAGCGACATGGTTGCACAGGAGTATCACGAGTAGATGCAGGAAAGAGAAAGCGGAGGGGATCTCCAAAGGTTTTATATATAACTTACCTATACTTGACAAAAATTGGTCTTTGCATTTCGTTGACTTTCTTGATGCGGGGTCAACGCCACGTGAGCCACTTTTTGTCATAGGTAATGGTATGTATCAGCATGTATCTTTGCATTACTTTGTTATTATACAGGGAGCTTCAATGTTCATGTACTACATTCAATGTTGTACTTCAGTCCTGTATATTAACCTAGCAAATATGTCATATCGTGTTAAATTATCTGAATATGGGATATCAATGTTTGCCCGTTTCTTCCCTTTCTCCTATTTCTTTTTCCTGATTATTCATACAACGTCTTTTACAATACGAGCTCCATCTGAAAGGGGCTTGGCATAGAGCATGGACGTGTACTTAAAACGTGTGGTAAGACCCTCTCGGGTTAAGGCCGAGGTAAGATGACCTTTGTTGATCCCGGCAGAAGTTCCGAGCTGGTATAAGTGCCCCCTTACATATGTATAGTTTATGAGTCTATCCCAAACGCCTACGGAGAACATGTTTTACTTTTTTATACAAAAGTCCCAACGCCTTTTATTTCGGGCCAAAGGGCAAAAAGGGGGCAAGAGTGGGGAATGTGATCATCATGATGTCTCCGTACGCGGGCTAACATCTTCCCGGTAAGCTGTGGTTTATTGTACTGGCCGAGCTTCGAAGCTTCAATTTCTTTTTCCACCCCCTCCTTTTTCGGCCGAGGATAAGCGGACTTTATTTTTGAAGCTGAATGAGGAGTTATGGATCACATGACTTCCCGATCAGGAAATATTCAATGTTCAATTGTGATTCTCTCAAGAGAAAAATGGGGCTGTGCTTTTTTACGCAAGCTGCAGATAACGTCAGCCTTGGAATTTTTGAAATTCCACGCTTTAGCTCATGCATCACCAATTACTTTCAGCACCCATGCATCACTTTTGTCGGCGCGTTGGTCGAGTCCTCCTTGAAACAGTAGGCGAAAAGGCCAAAAAAAAAAAGGAAAAAAAAAAAAAAAAGAAACGGTGTCCCCTATCCTCCTCCCCTACCTACCCCACCGGTTTCATACGGCCCGGGAAGTATCCACCATTGGAACCCATCGAGACTTCCAAGGTTACTCCGTACATCGCTCGGCTTGACCATGTTGCACGGAGGGAATGTCGGTCAGGTGTCATCAGCCACCCGAGGGCTTCAGAAGCTTAAGTGGGATTGGTACTCCCACCCAGATGTTGAAGATCGTGCTGTCACGAATATTAGCGATTTGGACCAATCGCCTTGGATCTATCACACGCTCCAGAGACTTTGACAGACCAACTATTTCAGCAGGATCAGGTGTCTCAGAAGCGGACCGCTACCCGCCGGGAGCTCTAATTTAGCGGGGTCGTTCAAAACATTTAGCGGCCTCCATATGCTGAAAAGACTGGAAGTTCCGATTCCATTTCTGCTGGTGAGAGGGTGGGAATCACCCTGATCGCGCCATCATCACTCTACCTCAGTTGAACTATGGTCTTAATGCAGATTAACTGTCCTGCAAAGATGTCGCACACAAATTCCACGCAAGAATTTCCTTTTGTATGTATGGCCAGTCATACAACTCGATGCGCTCGATGCGTAAACCACCAGCGGTGCCTAGTAAACAGTGGTTAACTAGTTGACTGAAATTACCACACTTCTATTCACTTATATTAATGGGACTCGCGTGCATAAGCGACATGATCTACCTCTACCTACGTATACCTTCCTTCTACAAAGAACATCTCGTATGGACCATAGTAATACGATGGGTGCTATGAGGCCTCCCCCCCCCCCCAAAAATAAAAAAGAGAAAGCCAGTAGGGATGAGAAGTCCCTCACAAGCAGCGAGTGTTCAAGAGGGTGTCAGGATATAGGTAGTGGAAGGAACATGGCCCATGGAGGCCTGTACTTGTGGACATGCACCAGTATTTGAAATAATATTTACACTGATTCCTTCGGACTGGTGAAGAGAAGATTGAAAGGTCCTCCATTTTTCCTGCCCTCCTCAGGACGGTGGTGGCTGGCCATTGGCAACCTGGGTGGAGACGTTATAATCGCCAAAGCAAGCCTGCTGGTACATCGCCTGCTTGCTCAGTTCAGGAACATAATCCAGGAACTCTTTCATGCCACAGAAGCCATTGACCGAGCCCTTGCAAGGGGACAACCCTTCCACCGGCACGGGAGCATTGTTCAGCATAAAGCGGATGTAGTCCGTGGTATCAGAGCTGGACGACAGATCCGGGTTCTTATACATCTGATCCTGGAGCTTGTCCAATTTGGAATCGGCAGGGCAAGTCCAGACCTCGGTAAACAAACGCGCACCGAACGGAGCAACCTTATGCATTATAAAGTTGCGCGGAACAGCATGCTGGACGTTGTTAGGCATACCGTGCGGTCCGTACTTGAAGTAGTCTAAGCCTAGGGCAGCCAATACAGCGACGATCACGGTTTCGTGGGACATGTCCATATACATAGGCTGCTGCAACGGAAATTGCTTGATATTGTTGTCGTAGGTATAGTTGATGCTGCTGTGACTTTTCATAATGAGACGTGACTGTAGGCGCGCGGCCACCTCTTCCACGTATCCAATACCCTGTGCTCGGCCGCTAGGTGAGCCGAACATGTTGTTGCCGTAAAACATCATGTCAATGGCGTACTCAAAATCTTCCCATTCCTGTTCCGTGAACAGTGAGCAGAAGGAGGACTGGCCTAGAGTGGCGTATTCATATGGGCACATGCTAAACATTGCGTAGACATCCATCGTGGTAAGGTTGAAGTCATGCGGCAAAAAAGCAGAGAAGCGCTTGAGCGCGGTCTTTGTCAATGTGGGGTAGAATCCGGCCACGTCGGGGTCTCTGTCTTGGTGTTAAGTTGAGGCAACATTTTCTGTTTGGGAAACTTCTAGACGTACCCATTGCTGCTACCATTGGTGCAAGTAGAGGTCGAAGACAGTGTGGTGTTGAAGCCGTCATCTTCTGACATTACAGTAAGATCGTATAACGCGTAAGAGCTGTTAGCTCCGACGTTATTGAAGAAGCCGCCTTATCGATGGTCAATGCGAATTTTTCCGGATAGATAAAAGGTAGTACTTACTCAACCACCAGCGGGCACTCTCGAGGATGCGAGGATAATCTGTCGTGCGGAATGTCGGCTTAGGGCGCGCCGTGCCATTCGGCCACACATTCATCGAGGGGTCGTAGGTGGCATCGCCATGACCAGCGCGATACAGTAGTCGACCGTACTGACTCCAGAACAGAGCACCGGCAGTGGCTTCAGCGGCTGCGCCAGATGGCAACAGCAAGTTGTTCCCAAGCACGTACTCCCAATCGTTCAGGAAGGACAGCGGACCGGAGCCAACCTTCTTGTCGGGGTTCTGCTTGGAGTAGTTGGTGACTTTGTCGGCAAAGCTCTGCATGGCACCCCCGTCGGTAGGCCACGATGATGGATAACGCTGTGCGTGACGATGAAGTACATGCACCTGCGACAGTTCGCACTCGGCGGGGAATCCTTTGTCAATGCCGAACCCAGTCGAGTCAGAATATGGACTTAGGTTTCCCCACCTGGACTTCATGTCAAATCCAGACGGATATGACAAGCCAGTTGGGCCTGCAGCTCTTGAGCTCGAGCATGGGCTCATACTCGGTATAGTCATGGCAGCGCTGCCGCCACCAAGGGCCAAAAAAGCAATTGCAAGAGAATTCATGACCTCTGAAAGGAAGGATTCTTAGATAAACGCAGCTCTGGCACAAACCCAATGGAATCTACATCGAGAATCGCGAGCACTTATAGCAGGTCATCTTGAGCAGCTTGCTCAAGCAGGGATCGGCTAGGACTATTCTTTTTCGGGAGTCCTGTAGCCTCAAGTTTCTCTTCTCCGCATTTACTGATGTTCAGTCGAAGATCGTTGCAAGCAGATGGGCACAGGGCCGGTGACCTCCAAGACTTTCCACAATGGGGATCGCGGCTTTTCCTGTGATGAAGTCATGTCGGGTCTGCGGGGGCGTACTAGTGTAGAGTACCTAGGTAAGTCTAGCAAAGCTTGGCTACCGGGACGGCGACCACTCCACATAACGCGTGGGAAGCTGGGGAAGCCCTGCAAGGCACTCAATTGGTGGGGGCGGGAAATTTCTTTCTTTCCTTGTCGTTTCCTTCCCTTTCTTTTCTTTCTTTTCTTTTTCTTTTTCTTTTCTTTTTTTTTTTTTTTAACTGTTAGGGCTTCATGACACATGTAGGTCAGAGCATCGGAAGTTGGAGGAAACTGTTTGTAAGATCGACAGGGCGAATGAATGATTGTCGCTCGTTTGGGAAAACACAGGCTAGTGATTCCTAATACGGAATGTGTACTCGAGAAGGAATATGAATAATACGAATGGAATAATTATTATTTAGAATATTTGCAAAATTCATAAATATATATGATACCCTTTGCTGTTCCTATTGGGAAAACACAGGCTAGAGATTCCTAATGAAGTAGGATTCTGCTTGGCCAGAAACCATTACTTCATGTTGGTTTGGAGATCCAATATCGAAGCTCCAAAGCGGAAATGGGAGGCTGATTTTGAGGCTATTCAGGAAATAATCGAGAGCTTATTGAATGATATCCGCGGATGTTTTGGGGTTCATTGCCGCGGATAGTGAAGCCCCGAATAGCATAGCCTAAGCCATTTAACCAAGTCTTTTATTTGCCTCGTTTGGTCAAGTGTATTCGGAGCGGTCAATCCGCCGTAGAGACGTCGTGGAGAAAGCTGAGTTCAGTGTACCATTTGACCAAGATCCGGCCGATTTGGAATGCTTACTCCGTACATTCCCATTGCCGGCCCCGCTGCTCAGATACAAGCTGCACCGAGATAATAATAAAGCTTATTACTAGTACGGAGTATATATATATTTTATAGCCCTTTTAACCCGTCTGCTCATAACCAATCATACTCGTTCATTAAGCATGATCTCCCTTCTCTTTTCTCTGGCCATCTGAGGGCGTCAAGGATTTCATGATGTAAGGCCATATGGAGCGTGCTATGTAGCATGTTCCAAGGTTAAGTCGAGTTCATTGGTCAGCTGCGGCTCTTGAGCCTTGGTGACGCTCCAGAGACTCTCAAATTGACTCATCAAAGCTGATCACTGCTATAAAGAAGCTATCTACCTAGGTAGGTCGCAGCAACACTCGGAACCTGCCCAATCACAGCCTTCAACAGCAACGGACAATAAACACGCCAAGATTGCCAAGATGACCAAGACAAACACCCAAAATCCACCGATCTGCGTCGACGCAGATGAAGGTTGCTGTGGGTACCTCAACACCTTTTCTATGACCATCCACTTGCGGAACAGAATGTGAGCTCCAGTAACTTTTTTTTTCTCTGGCATCATTTTAATCCATTCCCACTTGCTCTCTACCTAGGTAGGGCGTAAAATGTCGATATGTAGTACAGCAATACGCACTAAGCCAAAAACGGGAATTCATCAACATTTGCAAATGATCTCCATACGGACTGAACGACTCCGTACCCGCATCAAGAATGTGTACTCCGGGAGTCCGGAGTACGAACAGGGTTAGCACAGAGCATGCATCTATAAATCCCCAGCCTAGGAATAATATTTTCCGATATCCACACAGAATATTGCTGATGTAACATGAAATATACTTAGGTAGACCTCGGAAAATACAGACTGCAAGGGATATCATTCTCTTTATGCATGTTCCTGTAGATTAAAATTATGTTTCGACGCCCAAGAGACGAGAAAATGGTAGATCGGTCTCGGAAATATGGTAGCACTACACAGTAGCCAAGGAACCATGGTCTAGGCTGATTATCGTGGTCTTGAACCTCACAATGTCATTTAGCGGTCACTAGTTTAGAAATAAATTGGTCGGGCCTACAGAAGTGCTCTATAGTCATCTGCAGGAATGAGGATGTTCATTGGAGTATGTCTGTGGGGCCATGCAAGACCCCATGCAGGACGAAATCAGACCTGTAAAGGGGCTTCGGGCTGTGCCGTCCCTCAGCTCCACTATGTCCTGAACTATGTGTATGTGTAGGGTCTTCCTATAAATACGATGGAAGAATTCATCTTCGACCAGTGACTCCGTTAGCCAGCCATCATGCATCTGCTCTCGATACTCGGGATTGTCACTCTTTCCCTGTCGGGGTTCTCGACGGCACTGGCAATTGAGGGAGAACCAAATGTCAATGGCACTCTGGTACAACAGCATCTCAGAGACCGCGAGAAGCTGATCGCGTTGGAAAAGACACATCGGCAGGGTGTGTCTCATACAATCTTTTGTCTCTCAAGTCCAAGCAAACAGAACTGACCAGTCGCGCAGATCACATCTTCCGGCAGAGTCTCTCTCCAACTGCCAAACGGGCTGATGAGATTGTTCAAGCAATTCGACAGCATGAGATTGACAATTACTGGCGAGTGGCCGCCACGGACGGTCAGGAGGAACGGTTCGCAGGAGAGGTGTTCCCCTTGCCCGACCGTATATCTCCAACACAACCCTTTGGAAAGTGGTCAAGCGAATGCCCAAGGGTGCACTTCTGCATGCGCATCTATCTGCTATGCTGCCGTACGATAAGATTGTGAAAATCATCGTCCAGACTGAAGGAATGGTAATTTCCGCGTCACAGCCTCTTGACACCAAAGAGGCCAAGCAGAATGCCACGTTCACTTTCGCTCATAATAACGGCACTCTTTCGACCACTCATTCCAGGATTGACGCTTCTGATTATATTCCTAACACGGAGGTTCCGGTCAAAACTGCCGTGGCCAACTTCGAAGGTGGCGAAGCGGCTTTCATTGAATTTATCAAAAGCAAGATAACTATTCCACCGGGTGAGTCAATCCGCCACGAGTTAGGTGTAGACGAGATCTGGAGACGGTTCCAGGCCTGTTTTGGTCCGACCGGAAGCATGATCCAGTACGAACCCGTTGTCAGAAAGTTCTACCAGACACTGTTCCAAGATCTGGCCAGCGATGGTATTAGCTGGGTGGAGATCCGAAGTGGTGGATCGCATGGGAAGCTAGTCCACAATGGAGACGAAGACATTGACCCTGATCTCGACGCCTGGTGGCATGTCTTGGTTGAGGAGATTGACAGGTTCAAGACCACCGAGCTAGGCAAAAGCAAGAACTTCTTGGGTGCAAGAGTTATTTGGTCGGATACGCGCATCAAGAACCGCGCTTCGATCACCAAGAGTACGGCAAACCAGACCCATTACCATAAAGGCTAGCTTGCTCACCGTGCGTAATATAGGTATGAAAATCGCTCTCCAAAGGAAGCAAAACTTCCCACAACTCTTTAGTGGCTACGACCTTGTTGCCCAAGAAGATCTCGGTCGTCCTCTTTCTGATCTGGCGCCGGAACTGGTATGGTTCCGTCAACAGAGCGAGGCCTTGAATCTCACCATTCCGTATTTCTTCCATGCCGGAGAAACGCTGGGAGATGGGAACTCTACCGATCTTAATCTGTTTGATGCAATCCTGTTCAACACGCGACGAATCGGTCACGGCTTCTCCTTGTATAAACACCCAAACTTAATCCGTCAGGTGATTGAGCAAAATGTTATGGTGGAAGTATGTCCGATTTCGAACGAAGTCCTTCGTCTGAACGAAGATATTCTTCACCATCCATTGCCGGCGATGATTGCCCACGGCATTCCGACTGCAATCAGCAACGATGATCCAGCCATCCTAGGGCAGGACGTGGCAGGTTTGAGTTATGACTTCTATGAAGCCATCCAAGCCTTTGACAATATTGGTCTAGCGGGATTGGTGAGTTATGTTTCTTTTGATGATTCGCGCTGCTTGCTTACACTAGAAAACAGGGTGCGCTAGCACAGAACAGTCTGCGGTGGGCAAACTTCGAAGACCAGTCTGGCGAAGATTGGATCCAAGATATTGACCGTGGTGAGCACGGAACTGGTACTAAGGCCAGGCACATTCAAAGTTGGAACAGGGAATGGGAGAAATTTTGCAAGTGGATTGTTGATGAATACGGCTCAAAATACCCAGCAATATAGGTTGACTGAAGCCTATGCATTGCAGGATTCCAGATACATGTGGTGAGCCCATCTTTGACTTCGATCAAATGCGCAACTATATAGTCCAATCAAAATGTATGGAACTCACTTGTATTACCCTTATTACAGGTAGAATTATATGTGATCGTGGCGTCGTTCTGTCGAAGGCGTCCGCTCAGTAGTAGGTCACCGCTCCCATCGTAGTTTAAGCTCAGGAAGTGAAGAGGGATATGCGTGACGGCAGTCTGGCATGCATGTATAATCGATCAAGCCCTCAATTTGCTTAATAACAATCATCTATCCATGGATACCTAGGTAGTCTAGAACTTCCCGGGGTCCTTGCTGGTCTTATGGAGTATGTAATCAAACGCACCCTACAGGCCTTTCTTCGATAGAAGAGTGTTAAAGCCCCTATAGAGCCACTCCATCACCACGACATCAATATTGCTCTCGGCGAACATGTCGGCTAGATCCGTGAAATCCAGTTGCCCACCTCGTTCCGCAACAGCCCATATTTCCTGCACCATTTTACGCAGAATTGCACTTCGGCACCGAGGATCATCTACCGCAATAGCTAAATTTTCTGTAATGAGAGACATTCGGCAGAGGTTGGCTTCAGATCCTCTTCTTCTCTCCATTCGATGCCTTGCCATTATATCATCATAGATACCGCGGTAGCAGGCGAGAGATTCGGGCGAATCTTCCCATACACCTTCTGGTTCCACCCATGTTCCATAGACTCCTTATATCCGTACATAGCTGGGTTCCAGTCGCGCATGAGCCACCCGGGATATCTTTCGTTGCCAAGAGTACGAGGCACAGCAGCGATCCCATCCCAATCGATAACACCTCGGAGCTCGCCCTCTTCGGATACGATGAAGTTCTGGATGTCAAAGTCTGGATGTGTAAGGACAAAGGGATCCATACTACTAGGCTCAAAGATCCAGCTTACCCAGGTATTCAGGAAGGGAACCTAGTCGCGGTTAGTGAGTAAAAGACTGATTATCCCTAAGCAAGATAGATATTAGGAATTATCCGGTATATATATACTTTAGGGTATTAGATATTACCTACACTAGGGACCGTAGTATACGACTAGAGGAATACGTGGCTGACTCCCGCGTCGACTTTATGAAGTATATATAGGAGTATACGGCGACTCTAGCAGTGACTCTAGGGAGTCAGGCTAGGAGTAGGAAACGAAGAATATATAAGGACACTTAATCATATACTTAGTTTAGTTCTTCGTCCAACCCAATACATACAGTGCTTCCTGTATTGATCTCCATCTGTATCGTATCTCCATGACTTCTTTTTAGACAAACAACCATAAACCGTAATGATTAAGCCAGTATATACTCAATAAGCCAAATGGTGACCCAGAATGCCGTTGTTTCTTCGTGTGTAGTCCCCGAATCGAAGCTCCTAGTGAAGCGAACATGAGTGAGACGAACTTGAGGAATCCCTTCTATGAGACTAGCTTTACAGAAGGTGTACATACCTCTGGAGAATATCCGCTATATGGATGAATAGTGCAAATGCTTTGATAGCAATTGGTTACCCTTGTAACGGGATCTTTCTCACAGTACCTATATAGGGAACTACGTCAGAAACAATTCTTTTGCCACGTTATCGGACTATCCTACCTACCCCAACGCGGGTCCGAACGTTGTCGGCGGCTTTGCAGCGTCAAAGTGGTGATTCTGGTTCTTCGTAGGAGTTGAGTGGATGGAACTTCCCAATGGAGACGACGACGAACCGGAGACTTGGCCGTTCTGGCTCGATGTACCATTTCCTCCGAACTGAGAACCGTTCCTGTGGGAATCATTTATTGTTTGCGGTGGACCGAACAATGGGGTGCCTATGCCATGATCGCTCGGTCAGCAAATTCAAAACATTAACATGGTGCTATGTGAGTGCCACATACCAGTCGTAGGTTGCCCAAATAAGCCAATGCTTGGCCTTTGCTGGAATTTCTCCGCCGAGCCACTATGAGAAAAGGAAGCAGCCTGTTTGTTCGACTTTACACCACTGGCCGAAGATGCCACTTTCATTATTTTAGTAAGTTGCCATTGACGATAAATCTCTCGTGTGTGCGCTGAGCCCCTTATAACTTACCTGCAGGTCGAACATCCTTGGGTTTAGGTGCTGATGTATGGGTCAGGGCTCGATGGGTCGTCTGTGCTGTTGAACAGATATTTCAATTAGCGTGAAATTCCATAGACCCTGCGTGGGCTGGAACGCTACCAACCTAAGGTAGGAGGACTTCGTAGCGATTGTTCGTCCACACTGAAGGCATTCAAAGTACGCTTTGCTTTGCGTAGTTTATTGAGTTCTTCATTCAGCCGTTTGCGCTCGACTTGAATGCCCAGAGGTTCAGCTGCAATTTCTTCAATTTGGTGATCATCCATGCCAACTACAGTTCTGCTGGTGAAAATATGCTCCAGCGTGCAGAGAAGGCGATTTTCAATGGCCAATATGGTAACATTGTCGACAAAGGTGATAATTGCAGTCTAAAAGAATATTCCGTGAGAATTGCAGTGTGGTTTCCAGATGAGGAAAGCCAACTCACCTCGTAGTAGGCCAGCATTTGGTCGATGATCTCAGCTGTTCCAAACTGATCATTAGATGACTGGAGCTGAGAGGCTGCTCTTTCTAAATCTGAAGCACTGAAAGTCTTTTGGTTATTGTCTCCGAAAAACAATCCAGTTAAGCCGAGATTCCGCTTCAACATAGCCACTTGCCGGTTCGTCCTAGATTTCAGGACCTTGGAGAGAAAAGTCTCTCCGAACAGGTAGTGGATGGCCACTTTTAGAATAAGAAACCAGTTCGCTAAGCTTTTCGAAGAGAGAATCTTTCATCTTCTCTAACTCCGGCCCGATAAGATGGCGAATTAGTAAAGGGCGGGTATGGTCGTCCGTAAGGTATTTCAGCACCAGTTGGACAAAGTATTGCACCGAGTCCCACGCTTTCAACACATGAGATTCAGCAATCGTTTCCCAAGGTTCACACTGATCCCGGAATAAACTACCTACAAGCAGCGGGTTTGCGCTACCGGGTAGTTCGATTCCTCGACTTTTCAGCGCCTGCTCTTTGATTTCTTCCTCCAGGGTGGATTGAAGCACATATTGAGGCGTCCAATCATGCATGTAAGGCTTGGACCTCTCAAGCTCAATATCCACACCTGGTACTGGCAGTCCATCGAATACAATCATTCGCCGACATCCGCCGATACTCATTGCTTCCGCAAAATGTTCATTAAGCTCACGAATGACTGCACGTAGTCGGCGAAAATAGAACTCATCTGTGTTGGCAATTCCCTCCTTGAATCCACCGAAAAAGTCATCGGTGTAGGATCCATTCAAGGCCTGATTTATGATACGTGCAAATCTGCTGCTAATCCCAACGAGAAACTGACGTTGGTCCTGAACCGTTGCTCGCGGGTCGCCCATTTTTCGGAGTGCTTTCTCGTTGCGTAATATTCTTTCTTGAATGTCCATGATGAGGCCAGGAAGATTCCGGCTGATATGGCGGAGCAAAATCTTGCTAAGGCGAGTCCTTAGAGCCTCGATGCCAACTTGATTTCTTGAAAGGGATGCCCATTTTCCGTTCTCAAAGAAACTTTTCTCCTGAGCATCTCGTGCATCATCGGAAATATTTCGCTTTTCGAAGGACCGGTTGCGCAACACATGCCATCCGAGCTGTAGCTTGACTTTCTTGTTTTGAATAAACTGCAAATATGTTTCCTCCTGCTCCGAACCGGCTTCAGCGGTATCAGGTTGCGTGACAATTCCCAGAACTCTCTCATAATTGGGATCAAACCGCTGCGCTATATTCAAGATATTCTGATTGTGGTAGTCGTTCTTGGCACTGATGACAGCAAGAATAATGCTTCGGGAGCGTTTCATGTACCTTTCGGTCAGCCTCTCAACCAGGGCTTTCCCTTCAGCACTTTGCTCACTACTGGTGGAGTAGTACAGACCCGGAAGGTCCACCAGAGTCAGCTCCGGCTGTTCCGGTCCCGAGATTTCGATTTTAAGCACATCGTCACTAAACTCAGAGTTCACACTGGAGAGTCCCATGCATTCTCTCGCGCGATCTATCAACGTTTTGAACTTGGCGCTGGAGGAAAAGGTCTCCGGACTCATATCCCTTTCCTCTGAGCTGAACGCCTGGAGTTTTTGTTGCTCCTCCACGTCGCTCCTGGAGTCACCGGGATCAATGGATACTTTGATGCGGATTTCAGAGGCCCGACGAAGAACAAACTCGGTCGCGAACCGAGTGCAAAGATTGCTCTTAGTTGGAAATCGCACTCTGGAGATGGCCTCCAGTACGGAGCTTTTGCCGCTGGACTGACTGCCACAGACAACGATTTGAGGCAACTCTACGAGCCCTCCAACCCCCATAGCGCGCAACTCATCAATTTTGTCAAGCAACTCTGACTGTTGAGACTGTAGCTGATCCATGGCTTTCTCATCAAGTAGCGACGACATGGTAGTGGTGTTCTTTCTGGTAAATGAAATGGTGCAGGTTTCAGAGAATATAGAGACAGGAATGTATTTTGTGTGAGAGAGAGGCAAGAGAGAAAATATATCTGACCTTGAGACGTGGCGCTCGAAAAAGTACCAGTCTCATTTTAGCCCCCTTATTGGGATCCCTGTACAGCGCGAGTCGACTGCATTAGCGCGATGTCGCAGTAAAATTACCTAGTGCTAGCTCCATGCAGTATTTGAATGAGAAAACAAAGAGTTTGAGGCCCATGAATGAACCTTTGGGATTCCGTAACCGATCAAACTGAAGATGTGCACATGGCGATGAGATAAGTCGATGGAATCGTCTGATAGATCAGCCAAACTGCTCGGTCGACAGGCCATCGGAGTTGCGGAACCTCCAGGTACTACCTGTACATGACTGAAGGAGTTTAATCCGGGCTTTTTTTTTCGGTATTGCGACTTTTTGCTCTTAGCCGAGTAGGGGCAATCAATGTACTAGCAAGACACCATTTCCGCCGCAGTCGACCGCAGCCCAAACGAATAATTAGATCAAGTTTCCATCGGTTACTGCCACATCTGACAGTCTTGAAAGATTCATCCCGGGGTTCTTTACCAATATGTAGATTGAAGTATTTCAAGTCATCAAGTCATTTGCGCCAGCCTGGAGCGGCGTTTTGTTGACCAGATAATGCCATGCATGTGCCAAGGCACCGGGTGTTTCATGTCGTGGGGAGTGCGTGAACTAACCAGTTCATCTTTTCTCGCCCCTAGAGCTTAGCGGGCGGGCATCTAGAACATGTGATTGGCCGAAAATTCCCAGACATTAAACCATACAGATCAAGAATGATTTAAGATATGTTGAATCAAACCAGTTGAAGGTATTGGGTAATTCTCACAAACAATATGACTTGCAATACCCATTAAGAAAATGATGCGACCGAAAGCCACGGTCCACCGGACTGTCGGCGGTTAATTCCGGTTTATTAGTGGCTCCTGGGGATCCTAATCCTGGGATAAACCGAATATACTATACTACTTAGTTAGCCTCGCCTGTGCGCACCTACCTCACCTATCATGTCTGCGAATCTGGGTCCACAAATCATCCCGCTCCTAGACTAGGAAGGCGTGTTGCAATAGTCGCCTCGACGAAAGTACAAAGGTTCCTGGGAGCTGAAAAAGGGGCCTTTTTAGAAAATATTGTGTCTTTCTAACCCATAATCTCCGTCGCCCTTGCAAGAAAACTGGGGACGAGCAGCGCTTGAGGGGAATACTATGAAGTCCCCACCACAACCAGCGACTGTCCACGAACTGGACCGATACGGCGATCCGATGCTTCACAGAATGGCTTCTGCGACTAGAGACCGCGTAACCAAGAGGAATTCGACACCATATTCCTTGAATGGAGCTCGGTACAAGTCTGAGAAAACTCCGGACTGTATTCGGGGCGAGTCTACGCGCAGCGGCTCGCTGAATGAGATGGTCATGGCCTGCGGACAGGACCCGAAAGTTCCCATGATTATCTTCAGTACTAGCCAGGACACAGATTCGGAGCGTAACGAAGTCCCCGGCTGTCGGTTCAGAAAGGTTTCTTTCTCTGGTACATATAGTCACATCCTACTCACACATTTCATCGTAAGCTAATTAGGATACAGATGATACGGAAGTAATTGGTTCCCGCGCAATGAGTGCTGGTCAACGGCGTATTCGACTGACAGCGTTTATTACAAAACAAGATGAAGACCATATGGATCCCAAAATCTACGTGGAGCAACGGGTTTATGAGGGCGTAACCGATAAGACAATTGTCCACGAACTTGCTTTTGGCGGCAGAATCGAACTTGACAAGGAGTATGAATTCCTAGCCTGCGGCGACGAAGATAGAACTTTGGGAAAGCGGGATCTGATGCTTCGCATCGTATCGGTAAGTCACATTCTCAACTATCTACTGTTCAGGATAAATCGCTCAGTCCTATTCAGCTTGATCAGGAAAGCTTCGGGAACTACCTGCGGGGTCACACGACATACTACGGTTACGATATCAAAGACAACATCTACATAGACGAAGAGAGCATTTCCAAGGAGTCACCGCATACGGTATGGCGAAACATGAGCCATGCACCTTACAAGATATCATTGAATGCGAGAGATTTGCAAATCCTTCGCAAGGCCAAGCAGGAGAACCGGGAAACGATGGACGACTTATCGAGTGAGGATATTGAGCTCCTTCGGCTGCGTTTTGTTGGGCACGGACATCCCGCGGAAGACAACTTGGGTGCAGGTGATCTTGTTATCTTTGTTATCTATAAGCCTTGATGTCAATATGGTGTTGATATACGTAATTCTTAGGCTCTCCTTTCTTTGTTTTCTTTAGAAGTCCAGTAAAACGTAGAATAGATATATAGAATCTGATACCCTACGGCGCTCTAATGGTGTAGGTTGAATACGGATCGGACACTACCGAAGGAGGGAAGGGGAGAGCGAAGCTGCAATCTAATTGGTTATATTATGTTCAGTGTGGCCTGATTAGACGAGCTTTGAGTTAAATAATATCAAATGAACCCCGTGGCCATTGGGACAGTATATTGTGGAGCGGCCTCAATCGTTCTCAATGGTATCGAGTTGGCATACTACCTCCGTTTGGGCTAATTCGAGCTAAAAGAGGCATTGGCCGTAGTATAGTATAGTATAGACCTCATTGCTAGAGCTCTCTTTTTGCTTCTTCTCTTTTTGGGCAAGGGGGGGGTTAGTTAGAGAGAAGGCATGAGTTATATACATTTGAAGGCACAGCGACTGGTGGCTCTAGTCCTACTTAATAAAACTAAATCGGAAGATTCCGTGACAGTACCAGTCCGATACCCATTGGTGTATGACAAGGTGATAACGGAAACACACGATTGTCGGTGGCTTTGCGGATCAGAATCGTGTTGTTTTCGTGCAGTGTAATCCTATGTACCTGTCCATGTGGCGTAAGTATACAAGAATGCTCTCGGGTATTCGACAGAAAGCCCTAACCAAAGTTGGACAGAGTAAACTAAATGGCGTAATTCATTGTACCAGTCCAGTATAGTATAAGTTGAGGTGATGACGGAAAGGCCACACTTGTGCGTGGTTTTGATGGGAGAATTCGTGGTGTTTCCGTATAGACTGCAATATGTTAGAATACGTGCCCGATCAAATATTAATCAGCTGACCATCTCATCTTCAACTCTATTAAGCACATATGCGAGAGAAATAAAATGAAATAACCATGTTTCGTATAGGTTTGTTTGAGATGATGCTCACCGGGGAAATACGTTACGAATTTTGCGTATTAATTTGTCCGCAGAAATTGTCAGTTCCGGACCATGGTTATTTTTGCTAAGTTAGAGATTTTACTGCCATTGAGATTTACCCACATGCTCGTCATACCTGTATTTCTGTCATGTCCTTATGAGACTAAGACTAGTTGGGCAACGGTCCCAAGCCCTATACTTCAGACTATCCGTAACTATTGAATCATACTGGTGCCCTTGATAATTAAAACTCCCGGCCTCTCTTATATGTCTATTCAACCTCCTCGTTATCTTCTATTTGCTCAACTACACAATTTTGCCTCCATGTCTTGGCTCCAACTGCGAAACTCTGTTTCGCTCTGCCCAATTCTGTATATTAGTGTGTTTGCACTCGTCATTGCTCCTCTATGCCAGCGAGTTAAAATATGCTCTTTATGACCTAGTTTCAGAATGAAGCTAAATATCTAGACTTACTAGAACTCTATATATCTAATACTCCCATTGATGATTGAAAACCATTGAACCCATCACAGCGAGATCTAGGTTAGATTGCTGCTAGACAGACCTAGCGGTGACCCTCCGGATAGTCCGTGGTCTTGGACCCTCCACCCGCCCCTCCGAGGGTCAGGGTCGCTCATGAGGGACCCTGACCCTGACCCTCCGATGTATAAACCTATAGCGCTAGGCCTGATTACGACGTATAAATCCGCTTATATAAAAATTATTTTTATCACAAAATTTGCTTGTTTGTATTGTTTGACGACCCTCAGGGTCGGAAGATTGGACCCTCGGACCACCCTAGTGGCGGAGCGGTCCGAGGGTCGTGAGGGTCACCTGCGGGTCACTGCCAGGTCTAATTGCTGCTAAAGTGTGGCAAAAAGCATGGGGAATTCTCTTATATAAACCCCAGCATTGTGACCATTCCTACCTCCCTCTGCCTTTATGGGTAATGGCTGTGGCTCCAAATTGTGAGGGCGGGGATTCGCTCCGAAATTCAATGGCAGCTTAAGTATCCATCGTACGAAGATTAATCGCAAATGATAGAACTAAACCATGTGGTTCTTGCTCACCTTTCATCTCATGGTATTAAGTATCTTGCTAGATCATTGGGAGTCTCCCTTCGATTGGTACAGTATCAATGTGAGGCATACGATACGCATAAACACTCTTACCTCGCTCTCCCTTCATGCCCATCGCACACTTCGTTCTGGCTTTCAGCCTTCTGGAACACTCTTAGTTCGAGATTTGCTAGGGCCATATAATCTTATGGACAAAATGGGACCATATCTATCCACTTCCAAAGCTACACGTTGTTCATGATATGTTACAATACATAGCCAGTCGCTTATCACATCTCAAATGACTGGAAAGAAGCCAAAAAGGGCCTGATGTTTTATAATATTATTATGTGAGGGCCTTTCCCCAGATGCCCGTCATCGCTCAAGCATGCAGCATTTACCATAAGGGTAGATTGCCGTTCAGGACGTCGCCAGGCAATGGTAAGTAGAGCCCGTAATCCACATAACATTACCATCGCTGCATCTCAGCCATAATTTGGGTCGGAAAATACTGGCAAGTGTAATAGGCCGCCCATCCTGACTCGGTAGTTATTGAAGGTCCGAGCAGAATTCCTCCCATCTCGATCGCCATCATTCCAAACAACACGCTCTGTCCCATACGAAGTATGCACATGGCCAAACACATGCAGCAATGGTCGGACTTTCCACAACTCTTGAAGTAACCAGGGGCATCCTTCTGGAGACTCGTAATACCAGTCCCGGTGAAACTTAGGCGGCGTATGTGTGACCAGGATATCAGTGGACTCAGGAATCTTGCCAGCCCACGGATTATGGCTCACTGGATACTGGTAGGCATTCTCAGTATTAGGGCCACACTCAGGAACAAATGGTGCGCCATAGATGTTAATGTATCTCGGGATAGTAGAAGAGATGCCGGAACAATCAACAGTCACAGAAGTTCCCTGGAGGTAATGTATCTCGCCCCAATCGAATGGTATGTCGAGTTGCTTCGGCAGGCTCTTTTTCACTTCGCTGCCGGAAGAGAGACCAACTGTCGACATATCATCTGGCAATCGAGAGCGAGCATCAAAGAAAGATCGCTATTTCCAGCCACAACCACTTTATGTTTATGCGGAAGTGACTTGAGCCAGTCGATGGTTTCTTGAATTTCCGTTGCACTTCCGTCCAGGCTCAGATCACCTGCATGTATCAGCAGTTTGCCATATGGAATATCACACCGCTGCGAATGGGTATCAGCGAGGCAAATAACGTGGGTTTGGCGTCCTTTGGGGACACCCAAAGAGATAAGGCTCCAGCTCAGGTGCCTCAACAAGGCATGGCCATTGTAGGTGATGATCTTGAGCCATGAATATGTGAATGAGTCTGAGTCCGTGCGGTTTGGCCTAATGAGTAGACGCCTCGATCTAGAACGGGAAGAAGTGTTTCAGGTCAACAAAAACCCTTAAGAAAACTGTACGCTAGGCAACATTCGATGACGCGGCCTATGGTTTCTTTCCCTTGTATTGCCGGCGGAAGTTGGCGGTGGATGACTACTGCAGTATTATGGAGAACTTACAGTACTCGAAAGGAAATCACGTTTGTCTTGTTCCCATAGCGCGAGCGTAGATGAAGCCAGATCATCAGGTCGCCCCCTCCCCTCGCCCCTCCGAGAACCTACCGACAACGTTCAACGGATATTAATAAGTATAAGCCGCGATACGGCAGGGGTTTGTTGTAGAGTAACCCAATATAGTTTAGGGTGGCTCCGGATACGGGCCGAGAAACAATCCGCCTGTGTCCACAGGGGAATCTGTTTTCAAAATCTTCTGTATGTTTGCACAGCGGATTGTATCAATTTTGACGAGAAATACGGTACTATTATGATGACTTATTGTAGTTATCAGTGTATTCAAGAGTACAATACCCCCCTACAATCTTGAATACATATGTACCTAGTATGGATGATATTTACCTGGGAAGTGCTAAAACGAGGTTCGCGTGTCTCCAATTAGGGTCCAAGGATTAGATCGCAAGAGTTTAGAATTAAAACTGATTTCGAATTCCACTATACACACCGGCCATGCGGCCATCGGTCGCCGTGTTCATGTGGACGTCAGTCCCTTTATCCTGATCTGGCCCGTCATGAGAACCGTTGAATGAAAAGAAACTAATCTTTCTCATCCCCATCATCCACGCCTGAAGTAGTTGGACGGATTGCCTGCCACTGGTCAAGGAGACTGGTTTTGACTCTGAACTTGGTCACAATTATTGATATCGGGCGCTTCAGACTCTCGTGGTGATGCCCCTGACTCAATACATACTATACCACATTTCACGGTGTTTTTCCGCGTACTGGGAACTGAAAATATATTCCCTAATCGTATTGTTAAGACCGGAAAACCTCTCTAACTATCCTGTCCCTTTCTTCTTATTAGTAATGAGTGATATACCTAGGTACCTACTCCGAAAGCGCTTTTCCTTTACATTAGCATCGTTTATTGCCGGGGAAACGAGATGACCTTATTAATTAATGACTTACCAGAATTCACCAACGATTTAAGGAAGACCGTCTAAACAAGAATGGCGAAAGGAAATAGCAGTCAAATATTATATCTCAAGGTCCTGGCTTCTGACTCTGAGGAAAACAAGAAGAATGAATATATAAGGCGTAGGTCCGTTCTATAAAAGAAACCCGACTTAGACCTCTAGAAATCAAGGCCTGGTCCAGTAACTTGCTTATAACTAGTTAGCCCGCAATGCCGGAATTATAGAGTGCCTATTTCTAATCCGCTTATCTTATTAGCACCAATCAATCGTAAAAGGCAACGCAGCTTCGGTCGCAAAGTGCCACTAGCAACAGCGGTTGGTTAGTTATAGATATCTCGACTAAGAAGGGTCACACAGCAGGCAGTGTGGGCCGAAGAGGACCGTAACGCAAATGGTACGTAAACAGTGATATCGCATTATAGCCTTTCGAGACCCGGAAGCTACCTATATCTTTCGAAATGCGTATCGTCAAGTCGGGCGATTATTAGGGCGAGATAGCACGAGACGACAGTGGCAGGGTTCGGCGATACGGATCAATAGCAGAAATGCCTCATAGAGGGGACAGCGCATTGAAAGACGGGAGGCGGGAAAGTGGAGAGGGCGGGATAAAACCGAATTCGAGAAATTCGAGGTGGCGGAGGGGGGACAAGGGGACTTTATAGAACCACGCACGGCGGCGTGGAGGGACAGTAGACAAGGTAAACCCGGAAAGGCCAGCGCTAGGCCTAATAACGTAATTTGCAGTAAGAATTATAGCCATCCGATATGGTGTAGTGGCTAACATCGCCGTCTCTCACACGGCAGCCGGGGGTTCGATTCCCCCTATCGGAGTTCTTTTTGCTTATATATTTAAGCCCTTGTGAAATTACCCGAGAATATCATTGATAGTTCCTGGTGGAATCCATGACCCTGCTATGTCCTATTTACGACTTCACAAATGCGTTGTATCTTCAATAGCAGAATCCGATATGCACGACAGTCGGGATCAATTGTCAATTCCCCTGTCGGAGTTTTCTTTTTACATATGTCGTTTTTTATGAATATTTATTATATTATCTCCTTGACCCTTTCGAGTCATGAGACTATCGTGGGGATATATATGACTTACGGAGACGAGTTGGGTTTGGGTTAAAATACGGGTTGGGGTACGAGTTAGGACCTTGGCCCGGATAGTATAGGTAAGGTAAGATATGAGTTGGGGTAGGAGTTTCCAGGAACTACTAACTAGCATATCCTACTTGTACCTACCTAGGTAGGTAATTCTGGAATTCATGAGTCACCCCGCAGTTTCAATGGATGCTTCTACCTAGCAGTATGCCAAGCTACGAGCGCATTCTGACTCATTGGCCTGCTTTAGCGTATCACTACCTACCTAGGTAGGTAGAACGTAATGTATGACTGAGCGTGAATCATCCCAAGGACTCTAGCGCGAGGCTGAGGCTCGTGAAAGAGCAATCGAGATGGAAAAAGGGTGTGCTGCCTATGTCAATAAGGTGATATATAAAGTCACTCCAGTTTGCAGGTTATGTAGGCAATAAAAAGCAACCCGAAGATCCTGAAATATTACCTATAATCATAAAAGACCATGGCTTCAATTAATCTGAGCGAAACAGGGGCCAATAAAGTCACTGAAAAAGAGACATCGCCATTCCCGCCAGAGTCAAGCAGCTTGCCTCAAAAGCGGGATCAACGAAGTGCTTCGCCTGGATATGACCCAAAGTCTGGTGAAAACAGACTACGCCCAGCTGGTGGTGGGTAGTTCGGTTGATATATAAATGACAATCTAACAACTTGCAGACATTATCAATCGCATTACTTGGGATTCGGCCTTCGAGCGCAGCAACTATGTTATTGGATTCGTGGACAGATTTGAAGGACAATTAGAAATCACCATGGGCAGTTGGAAGAAGGAGACCACCGACGAGGAATTTATTCCACAGCATCGGGTGTTGTATATCAGACACACCAATGGGGAGATTGTTTGGGATCGAAGGAGACGTATTGACAAAATCTTCTTAAGTGGAAACTCGGCGTTTAGCGAATTGGCCTTTCTTGCCTGAAGTTGCTTTTTGTATCGCACTTTCCATTTGTTTTGTTTACTCTGTTCCCCAGGAAGGTTCCTTGTCTCATTAGAACATTTCAACTTTCATCACCTCATCTTCAAACTCTACATGTGCAAAAATGGACCCCAAGAAGAAACCGTCTTTGCCTCGCCTGACAACAAACATTCCCTTACTCCAGAAACCCGCCAATGCATCATGCAATGCTTTGCCAAAGACACTCCCAGATGCCAACGCACCCCCGGTCATCATGCCCGAGAGGCCGGCGAGAACTTCATCAATGTTCAAGGAGGACAAACACGACCAGGAAAACATCGCCCCTGGCACATGTTATGCGTCAGAAAGCATGCCTGTCTACGTTTCCCAGAAAAGTGTGGACGATTCACCGTTGACAAAAGTGAAGAAGTTGTACTACGAAGACGCATTCACGACCCGTGGATCGCACAACTCCCCAAAGGACCGTGTCACTCATGAATCTGTTGTTGTCGTTGAACTCAAGACCAACACAAAGGTTTGTTATGCTCTGGTGTCTACTCGGTGGTCACTCTCTGCTAACCCGTCTGTCATCTAGGCGAAGGATGATACGCCCAAGTTACTGTCGGATTTCGCGCAATTTCTTGCCCAGGTCTACCAGCGCCCCGAGACATCAATGCTGGTCACCATCGACCAGAACGCTGACTTGCTTTTTGGAAATACCTCAGGTTCGGCGTACCTGTTGAAGATCACTGCTCTCTCGAGTTTGATAGGACCCCTCACCAACCTCCGCAACACGAGCTTAATCCAATCAACCATCCAAGAAATGTTTGGCATTGCCCCTGACAAAGGAGTGGTGATCTATAACCCAGCGAGCGAAGACAATCTTGCAACCAATGGGACGACCGCCAGGGGTGAGATCGACCGCCTCGAGCGAGTAGATTCCGGCAACAGCCCCTCGATCTTCAAGTCTATCTCACGGTCCATGAGTCGTCGCATGAAATCGAGCAGCGGCAACAGTGCTCCTATTTCCCTCACTTCAATCATGAGTCCTGACGCCGTAACCCCTACTTCAACTCCTCCAGTCGCTTTTGCTTCAGGTCAGACCTCCCACCCGAGGCCAAATCAAGCGGGCGAACAAAAGCCGATAGAGTCACCCAAGGGGGAATCAGTCCAGAAGGTCCCATCCAAGGACGAGAAATTTGAACGAACCTTGAAGAAGAGAGAGAGCTTGAAGAGTTTTGTTAACCGTCGCTTGGGTGAACTGGGAGAGCTGACCACAATGAAGCCATTCACAGCTACAAAGGGAAAAAAGGACTAACTTCTGTTTGAGAATCACAAAGTGCAATGGCTAATGTACCTGATTGCATCGGCGTATCTTGTTAATGGGCTTCGAAATGTGGCTTCACTGTATCAAACCATTCATTCTTTATGATTTACCCTGCGTTCTTGGCCATAGCGCATCGAGCCTTTGTCTCTAGACTAAAATCGAGTTAAACGGCCTTTTCAAGGTAGCATTCATTTTATTTCCCAGGGGTTGTATATATCTTTTCCTTTTTCAAGTTGTCAAAGATGCGTCACCTTGCACGCTTCACGTGAGATCGTGATAGTTCAGACGATATGACACCTAACTCTTCTTCCACCATGTTCTCATAGAACCTTCCCACTTATCCATCCACACTTGTCTTAACTGTTCGTAGGGAGCATGAGAAAATCCTAGTTTCTTCGTTTGCTTTCTCCGTCCACAACAACAATATAATGTCTGACACCGATGATGATCAGGTTGCAGCATTTGGCCGCACCGACAGCGATGAGTCCTTAGTTTTGATGACCTCTGCTTTGGCATCTAACGTCAACTCTGTCCAAGAGACCCCTGGGGACCTGTTCGACGCCCCCAATGGCGCTGCTCTGATCCGTGGGAGCCCCTCATTTAGCGACCCTATATTTTACTGGTCTTCTTACTAACCTAGTCAAATTAGATGCGTGCAACTGCCAGGGCACCTGGGGCTCAGGCATTGCCCGTGCATTTCGTGACCGGGTTAGTCAATCAGCAAATCACTCACTCACTTGATGTGATAAGTTAAAGCTAATGATACGATGTTATATAGTATCCCGCCGCCTACGAGATCTACCGCAGCCACTGCCTCACTTACCTAGATCACCCTGTCACCAACATCATCACCAACCTACGCGATGAGGACCCGCACCCCTCTCTCGCTGTCCACCGTCCCCTTGGCACCGCACTCATTATCCCACCCCAGCAGAGTGACTTTATCCTACACCGCAGACGCCACTGGATAGTCTGTCTCTTTACCTCGGACAAGTACGGCAGTCGTGCGGATTCGGAGGATATGATTGTCAATAGCACTTTTGCTGCCCTCCAGGACCTAAGTGGACAGCTGCGAGGCCTCTCCCAGCAGTCCTCCGAGACCCATAATGAGAGACCCCAGGGCCTCTACTCCAACCGCTTCTGTACTGGTTTGTTCAACGTTCCCTGGGAACGCATTCGTAAATTGATCAACACAGTCGGTTTGCATATCAACGTGTACCACCCCTTTGAAGCCAGCCGCCGCCGCGCTCGCCCCATTCGCATAGAGCGCCCCAGTGAGGATCACCAGGACTGAGAGGATCAAATGATATAGTTCCTCCCCATCAACAATGGTCTTGCCTTTTCGACCTGGTGTATTGAGAAGCGAGGGTTTAACGCCTTGCTCTCACTTTATGATGATAATTGAGCAGTAACCATGGGAAACATCCATGGGTGTACGTAACTTTGATACACGAAAAATAACAAAAAGAAGGACCAAAGAAAAGAAGAAGAAGAAGAAGAAATCAAGTCTGTCGTCACTCGGGAAATAGGGCCTCTCCTCATCACCTGACAGCGCGTACTGTAGATCGCGCCCGCGTCGGGGCCCCGATTTCCACGATCTCTCCGATCACCAATATTCCCACTTGCGATTCCTACCATATTACCCATACAAAACCTTCTACAGCTATCTAGAATATCAAGATGCCCGGCGAACCTCAACCAGCTCAAAAGCGCCCACGCCTCCCCTTCAAACCTCCAAGTCGCACGACCAGCGCGGGACCATCCAGCTCCGCGCCGAAGACCAAAGGAAAAGCAAAACAAACCAGCACAGAAGCCTCCACGTCCACAACCGTGCCCAAAACAACAAAAAGTAAACCTACGACTCAGAGCAAATCCGCAGGCAGAAGCAAGTCCACAAGTCTGGGGAAACGCCCCCGACCTGATTCTCCGGCAGCCAACGCCAATGCCGCCTCCGAATCCGAATCAGAGTCCGACTCCGATGAATCGAGCCGCAGTCGGTCGCGCTCGCTCTCTCAGGAGCCGGACTATATCCTTGCTGAGATTACGACTACAAACCAAGCAGAGGACGTGACGTCCAGCGACCCAAAAATACCTTCAAAGCTGCTTACACGCTTACTCCACCAGCATTTCCAGAATGAGAAGACCAAGGTCGCGAAAGATGCCAATAACGTCGTTGCCAAGTATGTTGATGTCTTTGTGAGGGAAGCCATTGCCCGAGCCGCTTATGAGAGGGCCGAGTCCGAAGGGAATGCTGGGGGCAGAGGTGTCGGGGACGGGTTCCTCGAGGTAAGCCTTCTTCTATGATCCAATCAGCCATAATTGGTATTCTAATTGATAATATAGGTTGAGGATCTTGAGAAAATGGCGCCACAGCTTACGATGGATTTCTAGCCTCTACGTCTCTCCTACCAAGGGTCGTGGCGTTGGGTCAAATCCATATCATATACTAGGGCTTATTATTTATTGTTCAAGATACCACAGCACCAGCAGAACGCACGCAACACTTCTGATTCATATCTTCAAACGCAAGAGGCCCGCAAGAGTGAAATATCCCTCGGATTCATATACTCAGGTGGCTTTCCAACGGTGTGATCCTCGACAAAAGGCGGCACTGCCCCGAAGCCATTGGCATTGTGAAACAGTGCAATGTCTCTGTTGACCCTCTTCGACAACCACGCATTCGCCACATAGGCTGTGTTCCTTTTGCTGAGATGGACAACAGCAACGGGGAGCTTGTTCTGCTCGGGCAGATGGCCGAGTTTGGCGTCGTAGGTTGTGTGGCAGATGTCGAAGACGAAGAATACCCTCGTTCGCCACTTCTGAGCTGCCACCAGCTTCGTTGCTGGGTGTATATCTTGTGGAGTGTAGAGATGGCTTGCTTTGAGGAGGCGGATGGCTTTTGGCACGAGGACTTCTGGGTTGTTTTGGGCTTTGGATATCTGAGAACTCCGGTGCGAGACGATGACTAGGACTCGGAGGGGGTTTCCCTGAGACATCGTGGGCTGGATATGTGAGGACTAATCCCTTTGGGGGTTTTCCTGAATGGGCTCTTACCAATAGACAAGACGGAATGTGCGGATTGTCTCTACGCCTTTTCAGTAATTTCCGAAGGGCACACTGCGATATACGAAGATTTCTCAGGGTCATCGAGCAGTGCTTAAATACTATTTCCTTTCCCTTACAACTAGGAGACACATGGGAACAAAGTCGGTGTCTTACTCGGACTAGATGATAACCTTCCAATGGCCCGACAGTCTGGTCGTTTGAATCAGAACATTTGCCAGGGGATGATCATCTGCCACATCGTACAAAACATGCTGACGGGCTAAGTACAAGGGTCTTGCTTCTGGATATCAACGCTGCCGGGTACCTGGTGACTGGGATGAGAGGTCGGGATGGGATCCGTGTGTCAGTCTGACATCAAATTATGTACAACGTAGCAACCGCAGTAAGCATCGGAGACGATAAAATAAAAGTCAGAAAGAAAACAAAGAATAACTTTGGAAACGAAAGCTGGATGTCACCAAGAATGTTGTAGTTGATAGTCGGAAGGCGGTGGCCAGTGGATTTTCCCCCGCGCGTTTTGTTTCTCCAACGCGTCAAGCCCAGCCCAGAAGACCAATCTTTTCGCGATGGATGATGCGACGACCTCATTGCTCACTGAGCACTTCAGTTACACACCCTTGGTAAGACGATCGAGACCGATACGCATTGACTCGTTGCTGCACACGCAACCTACAACCTGCGACCTGCGACTCAGGACCCACCCCTTGCAACTAGGAATATCGCTGACGACTCCCTAGTCTCTCATAGATGACATTATCAACTCGATAAACAATCTGATCTACCAAGCGATCTCTAGCTTGGAGTCCGGACTGCTCAATACGCCGCCTGAACGGCTCGGTTTCTCCCATGACAGCAGTGGTCCAAGCATCGCGGAAACAGACGAGGATGGCAATGTGGTCTATCCCGAAGCGAAACTAGAGATTGAGAATGGACTGCATCAGCTAGAGACGCTGCTGGAAGCCAATGTTGATAAGGCCTTCGACAAATTCGAGATCTATGTGCTGCGCAACATTCTCACGGTGCCCGGGGACTTGCTCTCTTGGGTGCAGTTGAAGCATTATGAGGTATGTGGAGTCATTCACAGATTTCTCAATCTGAACTTTCTTGATATTTGTAATAGGGGATATACTAATGCGCATTATGCTAGGGTCTCTCTTTCGGATCCTCACCAGACACCCCGACGCCAGAAACCGTACACGCGCAACGTAAGAAGTTGTTCGAGACGAAGAAACTAAACCGGTCGCTAAAAGAAGAATGCGCTCGAAATGACGCGGTCATCTCACAACTACAATCTATCCTGTCGACAGTTGAAACGGCGAAGGCAGATGGTGTGTCCAAGACGGCCGAAAACAAACCAGTGGATCTGTCATTCTTGACCTCTAGCCCAGCTGCGCGGCAGCTTCGTGTTGGCGTTGATGCCGGGCCGAATGCTAAACTCACGCCTCTTACAACCAACACTACTTTCATTCTCTCGCAGCTGCCCGCGTTGCAGACGACACTTGAGCAGCTCCGGCCGAAATTGGCATCCCTGCCCAATGCAACGGTGCCACTGGAGACCAAGTCCAAGAGAGATGAGAGAAAGGAATACATCGAGAGCCGGATTCGACTCCATCTCGAGCGAGCTGGTCAGCTTGCTATGGGTGACGACGGCAATCCAGTCGTCGCGGGTCGCAGAATCGACATCAGAGAGGCCCACGCCCTCGAAAGCGTGGCAAACATGCTTACGCAAGACAAGTCCGTGTAAGAGGATGTGCATGTGAAAAAACGTTTTGTTCTACGACTTTATTATTGAACATGTACTGGTCGCCTTACTAAGACCAAGTGATGCTCCATGTTTCCTGGGTCTTTCTGAACGGGACCACGTCAATCTTGTCTGACTGGAGGATCTCTGAGATTTTCTCGCCCTTCTTCTCGATGGTGATGAATTCCTTCTGCTCCTCCGGGAGGCCATAGAAGGCCCGTCCGAACTTGCTCATGAAACCCTCAACAATTTCCGGCGTGATCTCATCCTCCTTGAGGACACCGTTATCGCAAGCCTGCTCAAAGGCATCGACCACAACCTGAGTGGTGTATGGTTGGGTGAAGACGCCGGCAGCGATCTTCTCGCCACCACGCTTGGATGCCGCCGGGTGCGGGGCGCTGTCGGAGCCGAAGAAGAACTTGGGGTTTCCTGAGGCAGCAGCACGGAGAAGGGCATCCCGGTCGGCTGGGGTCTTAGCGACGGGTTTGCAGAAGCAGAATGGGTCACCGGCCCATGAGTCGATGATAATGGATAGGTGATGAGCCGTGATGGTACCAGAAACTGTGGGACCGCACTTCTTCACGGCCTCCACGGCCGCAGCAGTGGTACAGTGCTCTAAGATGATGCGCAGCTTGGGGAACTTGGAGTGTAGCTCAAAGAGCTTGGGAAGGAAGCGCTCTTCTGCGGACAACACCGTCACATCGCCTCCCGAGGGACTTTCCCCGTGAAGGTTCAGAATCATGTTTTGTCGCTCCATCTCCTCGAAAACAGGGTAGAACTGTGTGTAGTCGACCACGCCCGAAGAAGAGTTGGTTGTCACACCGGCCGGGTAACTCTTGACACCAACAATGCCGCGCTTCTTAGCTTCAATGATGGTCTCCGGGGTCACGGTCTCGTGGAGGTAGAGCGACATAAGGAAGTTAACATTCGGCTCGAGGGCTTGGAGGCGCTTCTGGTAGTCCAGAGCACGGTCAACGGTCGTGATAGGTGGCACAAGGTTGGGCTATCGAGTGTATTAGATATAGCTCAAAAGACAGGATTTGCTCCCATCCCAATAAAGATACCCCTTACCATAACGAAAACGGTGTTCACACCTCCTTGTCGGATAGTGGGAGTCACCAATTCCATCATTGGACCATCGCGAAGATGGACTATCTTTCGTCAGCTTGCATCTATTAATCCCGCGGAATTGCTTAGTACCATGGAAGTCGGCCGAGGCGGGGAGCTTGACTCCCTGCAGCTTAGAGAGAGGCATGATGAATTCAAATCAAAAACCAAGCTCAATTGCAAAGGGTATATATCTGAAATGTTCAAAGAGAAAGTCGATCTTCACTTTTGCCCCGCCATTTCTGGAAAAGTTCTGCCGATGGCGGTGGCGACCCCACAGGACTTCTCCATTCTCCTTTCCGTCCATATGGATTCTTCTTGGATTAATACATTGAAGAGTCAGAGGTAAGATGCATGATGATAAGATAGTTCATCTGAAAATAGCAGTCTTCCAATCTTACATGCGCAATTCTCTCCTCACGGACTACTCACTATGCCCAGTGGTACATCTGGGGTAGTGCTCGGGGAGAAACATTGATATCCAAAGACCAAGGCCTAGAACCATTCACCGGATACGAGAATGCCTCGAACAAAATAAGACAAGGACGTGTGTTCCTGAATCATCCTTGCCGCTGGTGGCCCCCAGGCACAGTTTCTCGGCGCTTCGCGGTCGCCTATCACAGGTCACGATGGCCACCCTCAAGAAAATTAGATTTCTCAAAAGACGAATGAAATCCGCTCTTCAACACAAACTCCATGAAAACTACGCTCAGACTCTGATTTTGGGTCTATTCGGCGCTTTGTTGGTGCTTTTCCGAGGCGCCTGCCAAGTCTGCATGCTGGCGCCCAGGCAATTATGTTGTATGCTCCGGCGATGCACAAGTTCCAGTAGCAAGGCCTCTGTTTACAATTATAGACAGTCCTGCAAATTTAACCTAGAGTCTGAGGCGAATCAGCGCAGTCAGTTTCCCATCAAGGCGCTCTGCGTGACTTCATGCTGTAATACGGGCTGATTATCGTCTCCGGGATACGCGCTCATTCGGTACTTACTTCTGTGATAGCAATAGCGCTCGCTAAGATAGTCCCTGGATCAATACCCAGGACTGTGCTTCCGGAAATATACATATCCCAGCTGGTATCCGTTGATTATTATTTGAGACAAAGTCGATTGAACATAGTACCTCCATTTGCTTTTTCTTTCCTTTTATCATTGCCCCTGAGCGGGACTTCGTTCTTTCGTATCAATTACTAGGAGTATCCTTGCAGGCAAGGTGCTCATTGTCAGTTACACACATACTCCTCTGACCCCTCTCTATCATCTCACGAAACCCAACTCCTTCATCATGACCTCAGACTCATCGCTCGCCGGATCAGGCGGTGCTTATTCTTCAGACATGGAGGAATCGACGTTTCTGAAACGCAATCGTGTCATTCACTTTACAAGACTTGGTCTATCTTTCTTGATATTCGGCATTGCTATTGCCGTCGTCGCATGCGAAGCCCCACCCCTACGACATTATAACAACACCTCCCAGTGGGCGAGTGCCGGTCTCGCGCTGTGGCCTTTGAATTTTGACCTCCGTCCAACAACCGCCGCCATTTCGTGCGGCTGTATAATCACCGTCTTGAACTTGGTATACATCGCCGTTGCTCTCCTCCCATCTGTGAGTTACACCCTTTCCATTGCCCTGCGCGACTGCTTTTGATACCATCTACATATGTACTAACTCCCATCCAGCCGCATTCCCGCATCAAATCACTTAACAATTACGCCTCAGCTTCAGCCATCGCAGGTTTTTTAACCGCCCTGGTCGGCATCCTATTCATAATCTACCTACCGTCCTCGGATTACCCGGCAGGGTTCAGCAAGAACGAAACCCTCCACAGCTGGACATGCAAGTGGAAAACTGGGACAAGTGGCACTAAGACACCCCATCACTTTGACCGTGACTGCGTCAATACTCGTGCTGGATTTGTGTTGCTGTGTGTACTTGTTGGACTGGAGGGGTTGATGGGAGTTGTTGCTGCTGTTGGTATGTGGTTCCAGCGAGATGTTGCTCGTCGTCGGGCAGAGCAGTTCCAACTCGAGAAGTTGGAGATTGCAACCAAGCAGGTGTATCGTAATTGATGAGTGAATGGCGCCGGGGGGGGGGTGGGATTCAGGCGCTGTTTTTGGAATGGTTTTTGGTTTTGATCTATATGTATGGATGTATGGTTACTATGTGGAATGGAAGGGATTCGTGGTTATCTATGCTGGCCTTGGTTTGTTGAGAGACTAGGGTTCGTTATTCTTGCACTTTAGTTCTTTTCTTTTCTTTTCATTGGCACTACTCGTGCAACACAGTATAGGACAAATATCTAATCTGCGTTTCACTATCATTGATTCCAAAATCAATATCATTCTTTGAATCTATTAAAGTAGCTTCAATCAATATGCAGTCTCGCTTGATAGGACCAATAGTCTCAAAACGCAGCCCCTAGTCCCAAAACCACAAGAGCCAACCAGCTACCAGCCTCATTCATAACCGCAGCTCCCTCTGATGGACTCGCTGACTTCTCATTCCCACCAACGGCTTTGGTCGGTCCGGCAGTAGTAGCCGGGCCGTCACTAGCGGCTAGAACGGCATCTAAGTCGGTTGGCTGTGCAGCATTCGACCCGGGCAGAGTCCATGAGGGTGCGACAGTGGACTCTCCATTGGAAAATGCATTTGCGGTAGCGCACATATCCACGCTTTGTTGTCTGGCTGCGGACGAATTCGGGTCATCTTCGGAGCAGTTTACGTAGCAGCTGTTCAAGTATATTAGTACTGGGGCATTGGAGGTACAGATATCCTATTGCAGAATTGGAAGGTAAAATTGGAAGAGTCAGGCGGATGGTCTACTCACTTGGCGATATTTGCAGCGCCTGAGCACTTGCAGTCCCAATCAGCAGAGGTACATTTTGTGAGTCCACGCTTCATGATAGAAACGCATGAGTCTACAACTCTGTTGATTGTTAGAGAGGAATATTAAATGGCAAATTATAGGTTAGGGGCGTACTTTTGGGAAACGCAGTTCGAATCGCCGCTTGTGTCTGGGGATGTGGGTGTTCCATCTTGAGCGGCGATGAGGGTAGCTGATGTAGCAAGTAGGAGGAGATGAGTAGTAATGAGATGCATTTGGACCTTAAGAATGGTTATATTGAAGAACACGCGGGGACTTGGATTGTGAAGAAATGCACCTTGATAGGTATAGATCAGATCTTGAGATTGCAAGTTCAAGTAGGTTCGCTCAAGACCTTCCAAAGTCCCAGGTTATATTGGATTTTTGGACGTTACATTTATCTCAAAGACAATGGAACCATTATGCCCTCTTTCATGGCCATGTCTATTCCCGGCACATTGAGGGGAGTGAAGAAACCACCCACGTGGAAAGCGTATCCACATTCTTAGCCAGGCACCATGCATTTTTCACGTTTATGCTCCAGAAACCTATGTAGATAGAAGAAGAGAGGCTCAATAAGCTAACTAGTCAGAAAATAAGGTTTCTTGTGTGTGTCGGGTTAGTATAATCCCTGGACAGCCGGGGCGGTTGAAGATAAAGATTGAACTAGTAGCACACAATTTCACCCAAAGCGGTACTCTGGTCCCAAGAGGCTTGCAAGTTACCATGGGAGTTGATAATGAGGCGGTTCTTCGACATCATGACTCCCTCTGATGTTGCATTCCAGAGAACGGGGTCACATTCTTCGGTCGATACATACACCTTGCTGGCCAATGGTGGAGGACCAGAGCCGCATCGGGAATCTTTAAATCTCCACAATCATTTTCTCATTTTACATGGGATTGACTACACTAGAGCTATTAGTCTTGGTCTTGGAATAAAAAGCAGATGCCCACATCCCTTATATCCTCTCCGTTTCCAGATTTCGAAATCGATTATTGCCTTCATAAAAATAGTCTACCAGTGGAAAGATAGTAGAAACCCAACTACTTAGCACTTACCCCGTACGTTCCTATATCACAGCCTCGGGAGGTCAATGCACATCGTCTTTCAGTGTGATATCGCTCCTAGTGTGCGCGTATGTACTATTCCTGACATGGCTTGTAGTAACATCAACGTGCTGGAGACATGGCTGGCCCTTTGACTCCTAGATATCCCTTCTACATATAGCCAGATAGGAATTCCTTCCCCGTCGGCAGACATCTAGGCACATACGTCCATGGGTGTAATTCGTCTTAGAAAGGAAAGAACAAACGGAATGACCACAACCTAGCTCCTTCCTCGTAAACCACATACACATACACATATCCATCGTAAGACTTTTTCCGCCCGGATTTTCTTTCTTCCTTTCTTCCGATCCTGCGAATCTGCGAATCTGCAAAAATGTCAGACTACACCGCCCACGTGAACGCCAACACCGGCGCCACTGCCAGCACTCCAGCCGAAGCTTGGCGTTCCATACCTAATGTAAGTCTATGGAAGGGCTTGGTTAGATTGTTTACGGAGCTGATAAAAACTCGCAGCGAGCTACTCTGAATCACCTCCCATGATCCTTTCAGCCAGATAATCGTGCAGGTGATTAATCAGCAGGTTGATGTATGCTATTGACTCCAAACTCCTTCCTTTTCATTCAGACCTTCTGGGGTTCTATACTAATGTCACTTATAGCACGAAGGCATCCCACCCTCTGCTGCCAGAGACGCCCGTGTTGCAGAGCTCATTGCCCGAGCAGTACAGGCGCAAATCTCTGTAAGTTTTACCCAATCCCCCATTTCCACGGGTCCCAACCTTTTTTTAAGGATGGCAGCAGTGGCCATGATAACTGACCTTCGTGGCCTATACAGCAAGACCTCAATGCCCGTGGTGACTCGGCCAGTGGTAGTCGCGCCCGTGGTAGTCGCGCCCGTGGCCAAGGCCGTGGTAATGGGCGGGGTGGACGTCCTGGTCGTACTCGCCGTCGTGGCGGCAGTGGTTATTATCCGGCTCGTGAAGCCGAGCGTACTTACCGTCGGGGTGGCAGTGGTTATTACCCGGCTCGTGAAGCCGAGCGTATTGCCCGTGATCGTCGAGGTGGCCACGATGCTATCAATGGCCGCGGTGCTGTCAATGGTGTTCCCAGCCACCAAGCCCCCCAGTGCGCCCGCCGCCAATCATGGACCGCAGTGGTGGGCACAACCTCAGACTGGTCCGGACGAAATGTCTGGTAAGTTGCTCTTCTCACTCCTCCCATTCCTTCGCCCTCCAATGCATTATCGGTCCCCTTGATCCGAGTTCCTGGTGATGCCTTGATCAATCATGATACTGGAATTATACTAACCGTCATATGTACTATAGATGTTGACGCCCCGTAAAGGCATGCGATTTCTGCGATGCGCCCATTTGGGACTGAACTTTGATGACTCGGTGAAGATGCTTCCGGCTTTGGCTCGAGAGGAACAGCCCGTCATGCGGTCTGTTCCTTGGACTGTTGCCATCCGTTTTGAGAGGGCTTTGTTTCTTCTCCATGCTTCCACAAGACAGGAAATAGTTAGCTCGTTTGCTCATGTGGAGCATTCGATAATTTACCATTCTTCTCTCGACTCTCCTTCCAGTATGACAAGGGTGCCATCAATCGCCTCCCAATTGATGTTAGGAAATGCTATCGTTGCTGCTCGCGTTGTCAATCCCATCCTTGTTTTCATGCTGTCCGTGGTCCGTTCCCATATGTCTGGCCTCATCTCATGGGAGTAGTCACCCTGGGATTTTGATCGTCTCAACAAGAATCATGACCCGAACGACGTCCAGGACTGTATGCATTCAAGGTTTCGACATTCAGACTGCCAATACTGTGGAAGGGTTTATGATCTTTCTGACCACTGTAGGTTTTGATTGTAGAGACAAATGAGCTCACAACATCGACGCGTGTGTTAAAGCTAGTGGTTACCCAGGTGTGAATGGAGATGACGTGAATCCCGACACCGCCTTTGGCAGAAATTCATCATCTGGCGCCTCGCCCTTCTGGACCTCCTCTTGATAAACCCTGAGCAGGAAAGAAAAACATTGACAATGACGGACCCTACTCTGGCAGAGAATCTGGACCTTGATGAGGAGGCCTATATCTCCGCCGAGGATGAAGATTTCCAGCTAGACGCGGCACCGGACGAGTCCGACTTATCTTCCGACGCCGATGAAGCCGCAGAACCCGCAAAGAAGAAGCGAAAGACAGACACCCAATCCCATATTCCCAAAGACGCAGAACTTGACTCTGGAGATGAAGCTACAATTAGAAAAGCGAAGGAGAAGAAACAGAAGAAGACCGGGAAGAAGCCCAAGGGACAACGCGCGCGCGACAGCGACGAGGACGATGTCGACATTGACATGGACGACGATGAAGGAGGCACCGGAGGATTCGTGCGAACACGCGCAATGAAACAGCAAATGTGAGTTATTCATTATAATCAATGCTACTTGACTTATTATCGGGTTCTAATACGCATTCCCCGAGCAGACAAGAAGAACAGCGCAAACCGCTGGCCAGGATCGACGGCGCGACCGTGGACGTGGACGCCCTATGGGAGCAGATGAATGCCCCTCAAGCCTACACCAGCTTGCAGACAACCCAGACCCAGCAGATACCCGAATCCGCCCCCCGAAGCTGAACCAACGGGCGAAACGAAAGCACAGGACCTGGGTACCAAAGATGCAGAACATAAAGTAGGCCACGCCGTGCATGCCGACCAGATGATTAAGATCAAGCGCACCTACAAGTTTGCTGGAGAATGGATCACCGAGGAGAAGGTTGTGCCGAAACACTCGGCGGAGGCTAAAGCGTTTCTGTCAAGTGGAGACAATGTCGAATACACCGATGAGGATGCAGCCGCAAAAGCCACTCGCAACCTTCGGCGACCGCTTCGCAAGATCTCGCGATTCGACCCCAACCCGACCGGCACGATCAAGAAAAGCTGGGAGAAACAACTCGTTACTGATAACAAGGACCCGCGCGGACCCAAAATCAACACCGTGGAGAAGTCAAGACTCGACTGGGCCTCGTACGTCGACTCGGCGGGTATCAAAGACGAGCTGCGCACGCATAGCAAAGCTAAAGAGGGTTATATCGGTCGCATGGATTTCTTGGGTCGTATGGAGGAAAAGAGGGAAGAGGAACGGCGAGCTGCGCGGCTCAAGGGCATATGAAGACAGACCTTGTGCGCTCTCTGTTCAGACTCATTAGAGTGTCAGACACTCTTCCTCCTACCGCATGCTGCAACAAGCATATGGCTTCACATAGAGTCGTGTCATCGCGGGACTTTTACAGGCCTTAGGCCAACGGCGGGTAGCTCTACTTTGAGCAACTGCTCACTCGACTCCGTGTAAAGGATGAGCTCTCGGCCTCCAAGCTCCATCCGTCTCGCCGATTCCGATCACTACGATGCGCTTTATGCCCACTGCGGGGCAGGATACTTTTACGAGAATGGCTGACATCCTTGCCTCAAAGTTTCGAGCTTAAACACGACAATGTGGGGCAATATTGTCAACGGCGTATAACTACCGGTATGCCTTTATACGCAGTGAAACGTTCTCGTCAATCAAAACGATCATCATATCAGATTAACGAGAATTCAAATCTGTTCTATCAAAATGTACTATAGCAATAACCCAGAGATACCAGTTCAGCGACACTTTCAGTGTGCAAATCGGCAGAACAATCATTACCAAGATCCATACATATCAAGCCCTGTTCCCAGTTTACTTGGGCAGATACTTGATGCCAGTCTTGGGGCACCCAGAATCAGTAACTAGAAAGCCCGAGATGTCAGTAAAGCAACCGAAAAGCGAATGTAAAACTTACGGGTCTCAACAGCCTTGTATTTTCCATCAATAACATTGCCCTTAACGTTATAGAAATACCAGGCCTGGTTCAACTCGCCACTAGAGCAGCCAAGGTAAACCGACGCACCATGCATGTCGGTAAGAGCCTCCTGGATCTCGCTGAGAGAGTAAGTCTTGGAAGTACTCGGGGTAATGCCAGCAGCATCAAGAGCCTGGGGCAGTCAGAAACAGCACATATCATGAAGCACAGAGGGATCCATACCTTGTAGGTATCCAGACTCTTGAACAACTCAACCGTCTTCTGGAAGTAATCACCCACTTCCTCCTGCGCCTTGTAGTCGGAATAGCAGCTTGGCTCGATCGTGTTGATGCAAGTACCGTGCTTGCTCCACTCGTGCGACCAGAAGTCCTCGTTGTCTCCTTTGATGTCAACCCAGTACTCGTCCATGTAGTCGACCAGGTCACCGAGGTTCTGGTCCTGCAGGATCGCTGTGATGTTGGAGTAAGCGCGCTTGGAGTCGCAGCTCGCCTCGTAAGTGCCGTCGCAATTGTCGGGCCTGGAAAGGAGGGAGAGTGTGTTAGTTTATGATTTTGGGTATCTATAAGGGGTTAGATCAGGTTGGGATGGTACGTACCACAGTCCGTGGATGGTCCATGAGTCCTTGGGACCGGTTGATGGGTCGGTATCCCAGAATTGAGTCAGGAGGAGGGCACCGCCTGGAGAGTTGAAGCAGCAGGTTGGCTCTGCGGAGGAGCTGGAGCAGCTGAAGGGGGTGCTGCTTTCGCAAGTTTCGAGGCCGGCGGTTGAGCCAGTGACTAGGCTCATGGCTGCTGCTAGGGCAAGCATGCCCTTTGAGGCTTGGGATTGGAACATCTTTTTTTTGAAGATTCAATTGAGATTGAAACTGTCGAGCTGAGTGAAGAGACGTAGGAGGGTCATCGCACGGTTTTATGCTGTAGTCCTGGGACCATACTCGGCATAAACATCAGGAACATAACAAATGCAGCACATGCACCGATAACAAGACGCTGATTTGTTCTCGGATGTCGCCGCTAGACTTATTGTCTCAAAGAAGGAATAATATAAAGCACAAGAAGAGCTCGTCCAACCAAGTAGGCGACGATCATTGAGCGGGGCATGCCGAGAGGTGGATTTCTCTCCGTTTTCTCCAATGACGAGACCGAAATGCACAACGCACTCTAGCGCCAAATCAGAGTCCGACGGTTTTCGTCTGAGGAAGACTGACGAAACGCCTTCTGAGGTTGCATCGACCGGGCTACCCCTTCGGATCTCCGACTGTTGGTGCAAGTTGATTCAAGTCGATTCAACCCCGTGAGATTAAACCCGCTGATCGCCCGACACTGACGAACCAGAGCGCCTAGCCCTGGATCTGGGCTGTTTTATCTGAAAGCCGGTGTTGCCTCGCTTAAGAGATGGCTGCTGTGCGTATCTCTATGGATGGGATTACTGCTTGGTGGAATCATACGAGGTTTCCCGTCTGCGCCATGTCTGCAGGCCGACAGTGCGTTCCCCACACGAAGGAACCCGTGTCGGATCGCTTGGATGTAATGGAATTCACCGAAGGAAATATTAGAAAACTACAATAACAAAGGCTCCTGTTCCTCATCATTGGCTCGCGGAGATGGTCCAAGTCGAATATGCCAAACGGCGGTGACGGCAACAACGAAAAAGAGAGAGGCTTGGAAGAACGGCAGTCCCATCCAGGCAGTTCCAAGATGCATGCCTAATCGGAAGAGGTTGGCAAATAATGGACCGGAAAGGAGCGTCCCTACGCCTTGTGCAATGGCAATTGCCGAATATAAGGTGCCAGCATGGTCGGGTTGTACAAGTGAAGTCGCCATACTGCGTGTGGTGATCATAAATGCTGAGCCGATTGACGAGATGACCTGGCCACCGATCAATATAGCGGGCGTTGGTGCTATAGAGATAATGGCAAACCCAATGACTGAAAGCACGCCGCTACCTTTGCTTAGGAAATGGTCGCTATGTTTTCCATGGATGTTCAGATGCTTCGCGGCTAAAAAGGCCAGGATTGGCATGATGACCAAGTATGTCACGAGACCAAAAATCCCGCGCAACGAGATCAAGAGACTAGCCTATAGAATGGTTAGTTTTTGATTCGATTGAGACCACAGGCACATACGCGACTAATACTCCAGTCAAACTTCTTTGACACATATTGCAGAAGCAGGTTTGTGCATTGTCGACTCATCACTGTGACAAACATGACAAAGACCATTAGACAGATATTCGAATCAGCCCAAATGAAGCGTGTCGACTGTGCGAACTCGCGAACTTGACGGGTGAGCTCCTGCAACACTGCCTGCTTCCTCGGAGGATGGGAATGGGACTGCTCGGTTCCGCTCTCCTGTTCTGGGGTTTCTCGACTGACTTGCTTTCCTTTTGTATTTCTGAGAGTCTCGGGTAGGAAGAAGGATGGAATACCTCCCACAATGATGATGCATATTGATAGGATAAAGGGGAACATTGGACCGAAGGTCATGAGATAAGCACTAAGTGGAGTGGCCAGAATCTCTGCGATCTGGACGCAAGATTGTAAACGGAACAGTGCGGTTGCTCTGTATATATGTTAGACTTTATCACGAAATATCGAGTCATAACAGTCAGTACCTTTCATCTTCGGAGAAGACATCCGCCACTATGACCATGGCAATGGCCGTGAGGACTTGGTCGCCGCCGCCGATGATTTTGAACACAGCTGATAACCAGACCATCCGGAGGGGAATGACACTTGACCACAGGCCTGAGAATAAGGGTTCAGTAAACCATCGACAAAGACTTCAACCAACTTACAGACTATCCTAACCCAAATCTCCCCGAGGAGAATGCCCAACACGCTAAGATACAAGAGAGGCTTCCGCCCCCAGCGATCCGAGAGGATGCCATATGGCAACGAGAGTATAAGGCCTGCACTTCCAAAGCATCAGCATCCAAACTTCAGTGTATCTTCAGTGTATCATAGAAGACACATACCAGGCACCACATCGAATGTATTTTGATACCCAATCACGAGCGCTAATTCTCCCTGTACTGCCTCTGATTTACATAGATTTGACTCTGGCGGAACCAGAGTGCCATTTCCCGCCCCATGAAGAGTAGCCTGGTAGTTTCGACAGATGATATCCTCATACACGGCCATTTGCGGCGCGGTGGACATGAAGAATCCGAAATCAGCCGATAGCAAGAATATAGCACACACGATGGAGACCAGTAGTTTCTTTGGATGCTGGGGTGGTTTTGTTGCTGAGCCCAGTAGTGGCTCTGTCTCGCCTGTCATTGTGCCGGTGATTGAATAGTATTAAAAAGGTGCAGAGAAAAGGTGTAGGCTTTTATAAGGTCAAAAAAGGGCGTAGGCATCAAGAATGTCAAGTAGGGAGATTATGTTGACGCCATTCCCCTTTAAATTACCCCGGGGCTCTGCTTATGCGTTGTCGGAGTCCAATGAAAGACGACCGTTAGATAACTCGTTGGCGTTGGCCCCTTTGACGGGGGACTCAGAACCCTCCTTTTCTTTTCTTTTCTTTTTTTTTTCCTTTCTTTGTCTTGGACATTTGGGTTCTTGACATTCATCTTCATATTAACTTCGCATTGTTCTGGATGCAAGCCAAAGTCCATTCATTCATGGAATTCGACATTTCCCCCCCAAGGACGCGTTATCTTCAAAGTCGGAACTCGGAGTTCGGGCCTCGATCTGACATGTCTCAAAAGTCCGGAAGATAAGCTCCCCGTCGTGATGACGTCGCTTAAATCAAAAAAGCCGGCGATTTGGCGTTAAAGCAGACAGCATGTCACAGTGCCCCTGAATTCATATAAGCGACAACGTTCTAGGAATTCAAGGCTCCGTGAAACCACCATACCAGCATGAACGCTTCCGGGATGACCAAGAGAAACGTGGTCTTGGGTAGTGCAGTCATGCAGTTGTGAGATCTGTCTCTTGCCCTCGATCTTGACGCAGCCCAACAAGCATCTTCCCAGCAGGAACGCACCTAACCCCTTCATGCTGGTCCTTCCCGTCGGTTTGGCCTTGATGCATGGGTTAGTCCGCCCTTCAACCTCAGGACACACCGATAGTCATGATTTGCGACAAACATCCCCGGATCCATCTACAAGGCAGGAAGGTGTCTGACCGTACCCAAGGACTCGGTGATATGCGATGATATCTCCTGAAAAAGTTGACCTCGATTTCCTGACTTAACCATGCAAATCTGCAAGTTCCCACTGATTTCGCCTTTGCTTTCTGCATGCGCCCGAAGCTGCACCTTCAGATTTCGAATCTGACCGCCAACACTGCACGGTGAAAGTCCCGAGACCGGGCGGTTTTCTCGGAGGATTAAAGGTCTTCTTTTTCCCTTCTTTGCTTTTTCCTTGGTCTGCGACTTTCCGTTGCACGACACGAGTGGGAGTCGGGTGGCGACCACGTCGTAAAGTGCGACACGTTCGGTTTTGGGCTTGCATTTGTCGGAGATGAGATTCTTATCCGTCCCGGTGATTCGTCCAGATTATTGGCTCATAAGTTCCTCGTGCTTCGCTGTCTGTTTGAGGATTTGTAATACCTGTTCGTCCTGGTTATTTTTTGGCCATGTACTCCGTACTTATTCAAATGATTTCGGTTTGGACCAAGCGGGCAGCTACTTGCTTGTATGTGGATAGCATCGCATTTAGCCATTTCATATTCTCGCGTCTTTGGTTGCCGAGTCTTTTGGCATCGGGAATGCTGTTCTGTAAGTCGCGATATTGATGGGAATGGGAATGTTGGTCTTGCAGCTCACAGTATCTAGGAGATACGTAACTGTCCCATGTAAGAAGTGAAGTCATATCTACAATGAGAAGATCGCACCTTCCCTACACTGAAAGTAAACAAAAGGAATTCCCCCTTTGTCCTCTGCAATTCACGTCTGCTTGACAACGAGGGCTTTACTGGTTAGCACATAGAATATGAATGTCGAGGACGATTCAAAAAGAGCAAACTGATTTTGTACATTTTCCTATATTGTCGTCTGATAACATCGCCATGTGCTTATTCTGTGAAGAACAGCCCAGTTCGCGGAGCATACTCAGCGTCATGCTATATTGAAGTGAATAGGCAGCGAGATCGTTTCGTCTTCTGTCGGGCAAGGTTCCTGATCGGCGGGCTCATCTTCTGTAGGAAGAAACAATTGTGGTATTTACCACAGCTTTTCAGTCGGACGAAGTCCGCGACTACTCTTGCCTCATCAACAGTTTCCCTGTTGTTGGCGTAGCAGGCCACTTTCGTGTTTAGGGAGTGAAACATGTCCTCTAGCATATCCATGAAATCTGCCATGGTCATGGAGTGCGTGGAAGATTGTACATCAAACCTTCTCAGGTGTCCGATCGAATCCTCCAGCACTAGACGGTGGAGGGAGTGGCCGCGTACTTTTTCCGCCTGTGGATGAGTATCTAAGCTCTCGGCCATGTTGTCGAATTTCTTTCGTCGCCCTAGCAGCCGGGTTTCACTCTGTCCATCAGGAGGAAGCCATTCGAAAACAATCTGGGGAAAGTGGAGTGTGTTGTCTTCTGCATTCAAAGGCTGATGTTCTACCAATATTGTAGGTCCACATACGGTGTGGGTTATTTCTCGTGCTTCGACTTGATCTTCGAGCCTGAAAGCTTTTGTCATGTTTTTGAAGAGCCGAGAAATTGGACTGTTTCAATGTTCTGTCTGGCCCTGTTTTGAGTAGAGCTGTCAGTTTGGCGACACGGTCACTTTTAGTCCACTTACAGATTCCAGGCATATTGCCAGTGACGATGTTGCGAAGCTTCAATGAACCTAGCCGGTATTCCGTGGCTTCATCCGGCCCATTTCTCGTAAACGATCTGACCTTGAGGTGTCACTGAGCCTGAAGCGAATGGAAACATGACCCGAGCGAGGAATCGTCCTTTCTCTTTGACGAAATGTCGTTCTTCCGTTCTTCCGTTCTTCCTTAATTTAGTCAAAAATACTGACGCGACAAAAGGTTGGACTAGCCAGGATAGTTGTAGACGTGTGATGATGTGTGGAGGAAAAGAAAGGGGGAGGAAAGTGCCGCGGTGGACATCTCGCTCATTTATCGCTCGTCCATCGCTCGGTATTCCACCATTCCCTCCATATATTAGTAGGATAATAAGTTTTAGTCTGCCCTTTATTCAGAAATTTTACTATAGTTCGACGATGAAAAAGAAGAAAATTGCTTCTATACTCAAGGTAGTCTGGAAGGCGTCGTCGGCGTTTTTTATGCCTTCTGGTCAACATATATATATTCACGTACAACCACTTAGACTACACATTTAAACGGTATATCAAACCGAATCAAACATTACACGTTATGAAATCATATAGCTACCAATACAGATTAAGAATTCCTATTCAATTATGATCATTTTTCGTCAAGCTACTTAGCTAGTAGGATCCCAACTCGATAAATGCCACGGAAACCGCATACAGTGTGCACCACCATTATAAGGTAACAAAGTCCCTCAAGGCTGGACTCCCCAAAGAAGATGGAAAAGGTGTAGAAAACGATATCTACAAGGACACCAGAAAGGACCAGAAGAGACACCCGGAAAGAGATTTAGAGATACCGAAGGTTGGTTGCTACACTTGGTTTCGCCTACATAACACCCCCAGAACCCATGAATATCCCCTTTGGAGGTCAGATTGTTACGAACGTTATTGTGATGGTCCCAAAAGAGCCTCGTACTCAATAAGCCCAACACTATTCCCCTTGACCAATTCAATAGAGACCAAAATGATGACCATAGAGTTCAGCGCTATCTGCTTCCCAGCCTGGCTTAGCATTTCTGCCCAGAAACCTACACAAAGAGCTTACGACCACCAAGCCCTCTCATCTGACTACAGATTGGCCGTGCCCCATCCAAGACCGCACAGAGCATGTCAAAGCCCACCGAAGCCCAGAATGACATACAACCCTGTCTGGATAATCCGCGCCACAGGAGCCCGTCCCAAGCACCCGCCGCGGTCCTAGCACAACCAACACGACTGCGTGAAAGATACAGTAAGAAAAAGTACTCAAACCCCCATAGTCGGGTCTCAGTCGCGGCCCTGGAGCCAATATGTAGGAGAAATGAAACCAGCATCTAATAACACCATGTACCTCTCCCGAGTAGGCCATACAAGCGCAAGGGCCCCAATAATATGATATCACCCGGATTCCCATCAGCGATCATCTGCAATCACACCAATCAGGGGGCGCCGTCACCGACCGCGTAGGCTAGACATGGTTCGTGCTCTGCAGGGTTCCTGCAGAGCACCCATGTCTGACATTCTCCAGAGACTTCGATGTGCAGGGCCGATCCGGTTCTTATTGGGGACTCGAACCTGTCTTTTCTTGCCTTTTTTTGGGCGCATGCTCATCCTACCTTGGTTACATCGGTGGCTACGGAGTACTTTGGTCGCAGTATAGGCTGGGTTACATAAGATTGTGGCAGCGGGCATGCATGTACGAGCGGTTGGAGGGAATAGAGCAGGTCAGTGTGCTTGCACTGGTATGTGATATCGGCGGGATTATTGCAATGCTGCACCTCTGCGACACTGTAAGGTTCTCTAATTATTTCTGATTCACAATTCAATAGGAGCCGAAGATATTGGTTTTAGTTTCAGATGCGAGTCGCGAATCATGGTATTAAATATCGTGATGGTATGTTTGCTCCTTCATCGCGACTCACATCGCGTTCCTGGGAGTAGAGAGGTATACAGGATGTCCACAGGCACACGAGGATCCAACCTGGGGAATCCCTGAAGGGAAACTAAGGTGAATCGGGGAGAACACTATTAACCAACCATAAGCAAGAATAGCTCAACACGGCAGAGCCCTTCTAGGGTGTTGGCATATAGACTTTTCGCCACAATGAAGTTGGTTCCTGGAAACCGGGAATAAATTCATGCAAGGCAATGCAATGCAAGTCAACGTGGAGAATTCATTTACTGGAGGGAAAATTGAAATAAAAAAGCAAATCAATTTTTGTTGAATGCCTTTGTGAGCGAACAAAAAGCCGTTATGTGAAGAGGAAAAAGAAAGTCAACAAGTAAGGGGGTGGGGTAAACGGGAACTCATTGCCAGAGACAAGCGAAAGCCAACAACCGGATACCATTTTGGGGATTATGCATAATCTCGTCCGTACTTATGCTATTTTGTGTACTATTGATCAACTTTTGTGGTCTCGATCTCTGACGCTTGCTTCCTATAGGCCGCTCAATTTCGTCCCTGCATCATCCCGCCCAAATGCCGAAATGTTCGACTCCATATGAGACAAATCATTGTCTGCAGGTTATCAATTCTATGAGGCTCGTCTCACTCCTGAGCCCCATAATTACTAGGAAATCTATACCCAATTAAGTACCATTGTCTCGGGTGACACCGATAAAATGATCAGCTCTCGGGCGATCGCTGGAGTGCTTTATCGAGAACAAAAAATCTCCATTTAGACACCCGAATTCAGTCCTAGCACGGTCCCCGCTCATACGAATAGTCAAGCGCTTTGGCTTCAAGATGTGATAACCTTTATTGGAAAATGCATATCGAACCTAAGTGGAAGTATTGGTGTGAGATCATAAACCAACACCATGACTCGCGATGAAAGCTGAATCGCCAACACCGAGTAATGGACATTTGTGCTTGCGTCAGTGGCACTCAGCGGACCTGCAGCACTTGCATCCCCCCAGGCGCACGCCAATTTACAGGCCGGGCGGAACACTCTGCATACCGGAGAATGTCAGTGTCAATCTTGAGTGGCTAGACACAATAATAGGTAGTACGATACACACAAATATCCCGGGCCATGATCTAGTGGTAGATTGCATGGACTGCCACGTATTTACGAATGTGATAAAACTTTGCTACAATATACGATAGGAATAGACAAAATTGCCGTGGCGTTGAAGAGAGAGGCTTGCATGTCTTGTTGATCACCTGGACTATCTGGGCTGCATTCTAAGCACTTCGTTCTTCGTTCTTCGAAGAGCGGGGAGAATCCGGGCAGACTACTGAGTACGAAGTTGATAGCTCCATTCGTGTATTCCGAGTACCTGGTAGCGCTGGGCGAGAAATCGTGCTAATGCTGCCATATTCTAGAGCTCAGATAAGGTTTGCTAATTCGGGACTTGCGCTATGTATGAGTTGACTGGTCTATCTTTTTTAATATAACATAGTTTCGATTGTCTAGCCTTGTGGCCAACGCAGCCATCTACAGTGGTACGTAATCGCGTATGTGAACCGGAAGAGGGCAGCTACTGGGCAAAGAAATCGAGTGTCTCACTCGCCACAGCTGGCACCTATCTGAAACCAAGCAATGCGATCAACAGGAGATTATACATCGTGGAGAGATGGAGAACCCCAATGAGTCTCAGCCATCCAGGTATCCACGAGGCCCATCAAAAAACCACAGAAGGCGAATATCCCGTACTTAATAGTGGTGGCGAGATGTTCGCTGTAGATCCCTGTAAAATCCGTAGGCGAAAACAGGAAAGGCATGTACGCAATCTCAGACGCCTGACGATCACCCCAGGTAAGCCACACTCCATCCCTACAGCATGAGCCACCGACGATCAGAGTGGCGCGGTCGGGTAGGCCAAAGCGGTTGTGCAGACTGAGGTATGACTCGATGCGACCAAAGCAAAGCCGCTATCGAAACCTTCATCACGGCATTTGAGGTGCATTAGGGTGGATTGATACTTCGGTGGTGGTCTGGGGGCTCTAAGTACGGGTCCAACTGCAATAGGATGTATATTTGGTGATAGTGGTCTCTAGTGTCGAAAATCATAGCATTAAGGCGGATTTGGTTCGTGGTGAAGGGAAGCCATTTACGTAGGTGAAAGCTGTGCCTTCAGACGCAGGGGCCGAAAGATCTGGGGGAACAGGTTATTATTTTTTGGGGGGGACTCGGTCGCCCTTGCTGCACTCAGGTCTGGCCAGGAAATTGATCATCAAAGCTCTGACTGCGAATTGCTAGATTGTGTTCTCTCTACAGATATCAGACCCAAAGTCTATATTGTATAATGTGACTACCTAGGTACATAGGTACCTAGATGTTCCAAGGTTATGACTCGGGAAGGTTACATCTAAACTGTAAATGTATCCATGGATATAACCTGGAGGGGAAACTTAAACGAAAAGCTAGACATCAGAGAATCCATGGAATAAGCCCCATTAGCTTCTTGGCGGGGTTCGTTTACTTCCGGGGTATCGGGATTTGAACAAAGTACAATAGTCTTGAACAGTTGCAGGAATAAATGAATTTTATTAATAAAGCTTGAAGAAGCGTGTCAAAGCGGTCTTTTGAGCTCATGGAGATAATTATGCAGGTATATCAATAAAGCATGGCGACGGAGTTAGAAGAAATAGTTCAGATGCAAGAAATAGAAGGAAATGAAGTGGGGGCTTGTCGGGGCTAGATCTGACAGTACAGAGTAGACACAAAGCAATACACATAGCCATAGCCCTGGGCACAGATCGACGCGAACAAAACGATCGACAAAAAAGAGGGGCCGAGAGCACTAAGAACTGCCAGGACGGACCGAAGAGCAATTCCACTACTCGGTCCAGTTCAAACCTAATCGGACTGCCAAAAGGAGTCTAGCATCCATAACTTTTCTCAAGAAAACGTAATCATTTAGCCTTATGGCTCAATCAAACGCTTGATTATATTAACGCCAGTACTGGATAAGCCCCGTTTCATCTCGATCCACTGGGCTATGCAAGTGCAATGTGATACACAGGCAAACAGCGAAATAGCAGAATTATCATTAATATGGAGAACGGGTCACGATTTCGGCTGCAGCGGAGACAAACATTCGAGGCCGATCGCTATCTGGACGGGGCATGTTTGAAACAAGTGACCACGGCGTGGAACGAGCATTCAAAGAAGAATGCGAAACTTTTGCCTCTGACTGTTAGCCACGCAGAGAGCAAAACAGGTGTAAATCGAACTGGATAATCCTATCATTCAGGTCTCACCTGACGCGTGATGGGTCAGACGCAAGTGCCAACTTAGGCCGACACCGTCCGAACCGTTGGGGCGGATTGGTGGCTTTTTCTCAAACCCAGCGGGATGGCTGTTAGTTGTTCCCCGAGGCTTGCGGTTACTTTTTTTGTTTTTCACATTCCAATGAGGACCGAATGATGAAGTTCATTTGTTGGGCCCATATGGAGTCGTCCTAGAGGTATGTACGGCTTACATGGTAGAGCCGATGGGTCGGTGGTGGGGGGTGGGGGGGGAACAGAGACTAGACCCAAGATAATAGAGTGTAGGAATAAAATCGATTTATGATTTTATGATTTTTTTTTTTTAAAAAAAAAAAAACATTGCCAGGACGATCCACCAGTGACGATGATATCCTAGAAGAAATAAGGCGGAGAAATAGGGGAATGCTGCAATAAGTGGAAACCTGGAAACTCTGGAATCTCAGATTGCTACTCTCCGGGAGAGATGCAGCATCAACCAGGTTCGCACAGACAATTCAACGTCTGACCTATCGCAAAAGTACGGATGAGATCGATCCAAGCCTCCACTATACGTCCGAGCGAGGTCATATTTTATTGTATATGAATTTTCGATGTCTGTGAGTTTCCCAATGTCTTTCTTCATTTTCCCTTTTTTTTTAGTATTCTACATTGAAAAGCCAGTGATTACCTAGGTACAATAGTATTACTCCTTTTGCCTTCAAGGTTTTCCATCTGAGACCTTAAGTGGAGAGGTAGATCAGGGTCTTAGATGGTTTGTGCATCATGATCGACACGGCTAGAAAGTCCGGGGACGCGATCGACCTGCATGTCCAAATAGACTCTGCTCACATTTTACGGAAGCTAAGAGGGTACAGCCTGAGCATTCCAATGGAGTACGAAGTACAGAGAGCATACTCTAGTTCAGGATTGGTGGAGAAGAAGAATAATGCATGAACTAAACAAATATAGGATAAAGTCGATCAAACTAAATAATACCGGAATACTGGGTCCATATCCAAAAAGGGATTTTTAAAAATATAAACTGATCTCATTTAATATTATATTATTTACATTATAAAACATTATAAAAAGATAATAAAAAAGAAATAAAAAAAAAAAGAAAAGGTGAGGGATGACAATCCGCCGATCTCCAAGTCACCTTCAGGCCAGAAAAGGTACCAGGAACAAGCTTCCCCCGTGGATCATTGCGTTCTCATACTTGATTCTTCTTTTAAGACCTTTTTTTTTTAAAAAAAAAAACTCCTTGCTGTACTTATAATCTCCCCTCCCCTCGAAACCAGGTACTCATATAACCACAACCCCCCTACCTATCTTAAATCTGAGACCAGCCTCCCCTTCAGCCTTTCTTAACCCGCGTCAAAGGGCAACTGACACCAATATTACGCCTATCTTGTTCCTGGTGTTCCATACCAGCCCATCCTTATTGTCCGAGTTTGGCAATTCTAATCCATTTTGACGCGAAACAACACGAAACATCGATCAAACCTGCAGCCCTCGAGGAACTTTCAGTCGATCCCCAGCCAATATTCAGCCGTTAGATCCTTTGCCGCGGTAACGGAGGATCCCATAGTCTACATTCCTAGCCTTGCTTTGGACCTCCAGGCACGCGACGCGCCTCTAATTTTGGCCCAAAGTGCTAATCTGAGCTTAGACCATGGCGTATAGCTGTAAGTCCGATCTCCACCCCTCGGGATTCTATGCTGGACCAATTTGTTTATTTCTGCTCGTTTGTCCTCCATTCCCTTTCCTTTTGCAACATTCTTTCCTTTCCCTATACTCTGGGACCTAATACACATTCTCTTGTCTTCTATCTCCTGTCCATCCCTTTTATAGTTACCTTCTTTTGATTTCTTTACACTGTCGACCTTCGTTCTACTCGTTCTACTCTTACTACTTGTCAATCATTCGACTTCGTCTTTCGTTCTTACACACAAAAACAATACAATTTACTAAAGTCCACTGGGCAGGTGATACCATCAACCCACCTGCATCTCGACCTTTCAAAACTGAAGACTTGGACGACATGAGATCTCACGGACAGCAAATCTCTGATCGTTTGACTGTTGAAGTTGACTGCCACTCTTTGGGCCCAAGTGAATGCCCCTCGATGACCTCGAGCTTTTCTCCTTTGGATTCTCCTACTCCCACGCCTACCAGTCTCTACAGCCAAGGCTCAATGGCCTCACCCGGGTGGCCCGAGCCTTCCCACTATCACCACGGTCTCCCAATGGAGCGCCGAACATCGGCTACCCCATTGCGTAGCGCATTCCGAATGGCCGATCTCACGTCAGGTGAGGGCATGATGAATATGCCCTGCGGTAACATGGACCGACAGGAGCAGATGCCCCTCCCCGACTATCTTCCTGGATACGATGACAACGTCGACCAACTCTGGATCCCTCAGGATATGCCAAAGACATACCAGGAGCCCCAGTTCCCTTACCAGGCCTCGATGCCTCAGTACAACCAGATGGCTCGCAACTACTACCATCGTCCTCAGCAGGCTGGATATCTGCCTGAATCGGCCTCTAACCCTTGCTTGTCTCGTCCAATCTTTACCCAACCCACTGAGCGGATGTCTAATTCCGCCTCAATGTCTAATATGCTCGGCTGGATGCCCTCCCACGAGTCCTTGGTACCTCAGACCATCACACCGGCCCAGGTCCAGCCCTTCCCTTCAGGACCCGTGACCCCTCCTTCTTCGTCTTACTCCGACTTCCCCGCCAACATCCCAACTTTCAAGACCCACACTCCTTCCACTCCCCACCGATCGGTCTCTATGGGTACTCCTCAGGGTCAGACACTCCCGTCAGTCGGATGTCCGGACACAACGATTACCAGGAAGACTTCCAGCTCTCTCCTGTCTACCGCGAAGGCATGATGCAACGTCACCGCCAACCATCGCGAAAATCCAGCAAGAAACAACTCCTTCGCTCTAACCTGAGCCTCGAGAACTTGCCATCAATCATTAAGCAAGTGCAATTCAAGTGCAAGGAGCCTGGCTGCAAGGGGCGGTTCAAGCGCCAGGAGCATCTCAAGCGACACATGAAGAGCCACTCCAAGGAAAAGCCTCATGTTTGCTGGGTTCCAGGTTGCCACCGTGCCTTCTCCCGAAGCGACAACCTCAACGCCCACTACACCAAGACCCACAGCAAGCGGGGCGGTCGGAACCGCTACGTCGCGACCCTCGATGAGACCAGTCAAGATTTCGACCCCGACTTCCGTGGCCAGCTTACTCCTGACGGTCGCCCTATCTACGGCAGCAAGCTTGAAGATACCATGCCTGACTGTGGCGAGCTGAGCGTCGATGGCTGGGATGATTAGCCGACACCAAACAGCAAAATCAAAAACTCGAAAACCCAAAAAAAGAAAAAAAAACCTGAATTCCGCGCGAGTCTTTCGAAAGAAAATATGGAATTATAGAAACACAAAACTGAAACGTGGCCTTCATTGGCCCTCATTGATACCCCGTCTACAACATATGGCGGATCGACTGCTATGCAATAGCAGCGGCATTATAGGCCAGATCACCCTCTGGCCTGGCGTTGTACATGTCTCCTGGAGGATAGGAGACTTTTTGATTTATTTTTGATTTATTTTCCTTTTTTTTTTCTTTCTCTTGCATAATTTGTTTGGTGCCAAAGGCTGGGAGGTATTTCTGAACATGGAATTTATGCGGCGTTGCATATGTCTTCTTTTCTTTTCCCCTTTCTGGTGGATCGCCTTGGGATAATCTGAGCCCTCAGGGGCCGATGTACAATCTGCTACGTGTTTTACGTGTTTTATTCTTTTTATTATTTATCGCTTGTACTACCACTACTACCATATTGTCGCACACGGGCATAATATACACAAAAATCGAGATCTACATTGTTGCACTGCATTTTGCCTCTGTATATCCTCCTTTTGAAAATATCTTGAGACTGGTATTACAATGTAACTTGGCCTCTCGCGTGGCTCCTGATCTTGGGTCGAGACATGCGCCTAAAATATTACACATCACAACACTCGGGGCTCTAGATCCTTAGTTCCTGGATCTCTCCAACCCGATCTGTCTGCTCGATTGAAGTGGATCAAATGTCGAACAAATCGGGCCTTCTGCAGAAATAGAGCATGGTCCAACTGTGCTTTCTACTCGTCTTCTCTCAGAACTCCCCACATCTTCCAACCCCTAAACGGGGGTCTTCCCATCACCCAGTTCCAGAAACGCCATGTCATCATCTCTTCACCGCGGCTATGGGCGCCATTTACCCATCATAATAATACTGTATACTCTTTATGTGGAACACAGTGCCCCGAATACATACTGCGATACTACTGCAAACCACAATGGGGCGAAGAGTCGATACTCCACCCCATGACCCGCACCACTTTCGACAGCGCAACCAACATTGCTAGTAGCATGTATCAGACAGCCATGTGGAGCCCCATTTACCCGTTCTCTGTGACGACCCAAACCCTTGGAAAAGCCCTCCAACGTACTCCGTAGTTCTAAGTATAGCACTTGGCGCAAAAAAAAAGTAAGTACGAGAACGAGACGGGAATGAGAAAAAGCAAAAAACAGAATTCAACATGCTACATTGTACACACGTACACACTGCATGGCCAAGGATCCCACACAGTCAAGAGCCGCGTTCCTACGTGCCTGGACTCTCGCCACCGTGGATGTTTATGCGTCACCCCCCATTCCTCATTCCCAATTCCACGGGCAATAAGGCTTTCCGAGCAAAAGGACAGAGACAAACGTCCTATGACAAAGGTCCCGTCGTTTTCCGGACGAAACCCATATTTGCTTTTTTCAATGATCGACGTGCATGGAATCTCTTACCGTTCTTCAAACTCCAAGGGTTTTGGTAGGACCTCTTTGCCCTGCACATCGACTACCGGCATATACATTCTTTACTCTCTCTATCCTAAAAAGGGTCACATACAGAATTCTGGCCTCATTTATTTTCCGATGTCAGAGATATTCCACTAATTCCAAACTGTGTTCCCCAACCCAATCCCAATCCCAATCCCAGATTCCAAATCCCGATTCCAAATACCCAGAGTCCACCGCTACACCGGCCTTTGGCACATTGTGCGGTGTGGTGATTATTAGGCACGACGTTAAATTAGCCCGACGCCCATGCTCTGCATGTACATAGTACGTTACACCGCGCTATTTATATGCCACGCCGTACAAATTGGGAATGGGAGTCCCAATGGCATGACCCAATGGCATGATATGCGGGAATGATATCCAACCTTCCCACTTTATTGGTTTCCATTCCTTGATTTCGTCCTTTTACCAATGCACCATAGTACCCATGAGGATTAACGTCTGGAGATGCATCCGCCCTTCCGCTAATAGGCTATTGATCCTGTACAATAACTTGTTTTTTCTTTCTTTCTTTCTTTCTTTTTTTTTTGGTTCCGTAAATCATTAGTCCCATTTGAAGATTGCGCCAACGATCGGTGAACTATTCCCGCTGCTTCGTGTTCGATCTGCTGTTCATCTCACTGCAGCTATTCCGAACTCTGTTGACTTTCCCTATTTAGTGCCAGATAGAACGAGCACACAATGCGTACCTATTACCACATTCCACGGAAAGCTTCTCCCGGCCACTTGGATAACTACCATTAGCACACCGATCGGTATGTTAGTACGCGTGGACTTCGATGCTAAGGTACAATGTAGTAGGTTGAGACATTGTACAGAGTTTGGAACAGCATAACTACGGACCTTCCAACATCCGAGTCAAAGTCGCAATGCCCATCTAACTTGCTGTTGATATGCGAGCGACCTTTTCGAATGGCCCTGCATACACTATACCGATCTACACCAATTGTGCGGAGAGTACAGAGTACGATGTACGTGCATTGGAATGTGATATTAGAGTGTCAATCAAGTGGGTTCTAGACTCTGAGATTGGGTTATTTTAGTATGAGTTATTTTCTGGGGCGATTGTTTCTTTTGTATGCGATGCAACCTCAATTTTATTATTCTCTATATTGTATATTCTGGGTTCATCCGTGGTAGTGAAGATCTCCGACGCTTATTCGTTCGGCTTACTTGTACTCGGATGAGCGGCGATCCCCATCCCTAGCTTGGGGTCTCGAATTGGTCCTCATAGTCCATATATTTTCGATGGTGCCTGATTTCCCACCTTGCTTTAATCTCGTTGGGTGAAATTGTTCAATTTCCCCTACTTCTACCATATTATTGGATCTCATTGCCATTTTTGAACGCACTCTAGGTGAGTCCTCAAGCCAACCAGAGTCTAACAATCTTATAGTCTAGACCCCCGCCATTATATCCACTCGATCCTTTTTATCAGGTGTTTGCAGTTGCAAAAGCCATAAGACACCAGAAGCCCACATCAGTCCATAGCTGAACCGTATACTCGGCTGTTGATACCCTTCCCGATCGGGAAACCAGCTTAGTCACCCATAGACCCGCCAGCGCTGACACATCATTTATGTAATCACACGATATAAAAACTCAGCACACCAATTTTCTGTAGCTCTTTCACATAAAATCCGACATCATTTGTCGACCTCGATCATACGACAACATGCTTTGCAAAGCCATTGCTCAAGGGATTAATGTTTTCCCCTGGTCATTGACTTTAGCCTTGCCTTTATATACCCCCTCCATCTCGCGAGGCAACTCTGGTCTATCCTTACTATGATGATCACCAATTCTATTGACATGAACTTCTCCATGAATGTTTCAAAAATATCAAGCTCAACAGTCTGAGTACCGATTGACCAGAGAACAGTCTCAGTGATAGTCACTATCACTGGCTGTCTGTTTTTGCATGATACATACTGACGATGTCGTTCGATATCCCCCTTTTCATAGCTCTGTTTGATACCTTATGTGTCTAATTGAATACTTACTATCCTTACCATGTGCCTTTCCCTCTCTCCCGCAGCTTTGCAGCTTATAGCACGGATGTCAAATTGCGATCCGGCCCTTTCATGGCCGCGGTCGCGCCGAAGAAGTGCTTATATCGACATGGAGATTCGTCTCCCTAGCCAGTGAGTACTAGATTTTTGTCCTACGGTTCGCCCGAGGTGGCAAACATCCATTGAAGATCTGGGACATCCTGTATTTCGTAGACTTGTTTATATGGAATGAATTTATCACTTCGATTGTGCTTTTGATCCTTTTCCCGCTTGAGAATGTAAACTCGGTGCGTGTAAAGTTCAATGCGACATCATCTCGATATGTTAAGTGTTCGAGATGTGCTTAGACAGATGATGCAGTCCGTCAAGGTGTCTGGCAGCAGACATGTAGGGCCGAGTGCACTGAAGCTCCAGGGCTCCAGGGTTATAATCAAAACTTACTAACGAGGTCCTACGAACGTTTAGAAGAGTATAAACAGAATCCAGTTCTTGCATTTTGTCTTATCAAATTCGAGGTATTTCCACAATGCAATTTGCAATCCAACCCCCCATAGTCGCGTCGTTGATATCAAAATAACTCCTGTACAGAATGGTATCGAGTCTGATAAATCCCAGGGTTCCCACCGAAAGCCGCGCCCAAATTGTACAGTTGAACGAAAAAAAAAAAAGAAAAACAGAATAAGGGAAAAAAAAAGAACAAAAAGAAACAAAAAGAAACAAAAAACACTAACGCCGTCCTCTCCAATCTCCGCGATGCCTGGTCCCTATACAAAACCCCGGGATTTCAGAAAGAAAAAAAAAAAGAACGAAAAGAAAGGCCAAAAGAAGAAACGGTGAGCGGTTGCTAACCAATGGCCCACTGCCGTTGGGTAAATTCTCATCATAAATTGGCCTCGAGCCAGATCTTACAATGGTGAAATTGTAAATGTAGAAAAAAAACTTCTGTCCTCACAGGTTATCATCAATCTCGTATGTCGCCACCTTATATCAGCCAGCAAACAGACTAGCCTCAGTTGTTCATGCCACCCATACTGTGCATCGACCCCTGCGCCTGCATTTGCTGCGCTTGCAACGCAGCCCGCTGTTGCTGTCCGCCATCCCGCTCACGTCGCATGACCTCGGAGACCCACGCTTTGGCAGTCTTTTCCAGCCCAGGACCATACTGTTGGGCAATATTGGAAGGATACTGGTTTGGCGGGCCATACTGAGCCATGTACCGTGTCGACATATCATGTCGCATGCGAAGCAAGCGCTGTTGGTAAAGCTGGGTGTATCTCTGGGCTTGGTTCATGGGCTGTCCATTTTGACCCATTTGGCCACCGTTCGCCTGCGCAGCTGCCATCAGCATTTGTTGCTGCTGTTGGTTTGTTAACTGCTGGTTGCCTTGGTGTGGCTGGGCTTGTTGGCCCTGCATTTGTGGGTGCTGGCCTTGCTGCTGCTGTTTGACTATTTGCATCTGCGCATATTGAGCACGCATGAGCTGAGCCTGGTATGCTTGCTGGCCTTGTTGGGGAACTTTAGGAACACCCTGGTGAGCTTGCTGCTGCTGCTGCTGTTGCTGTTGTTGTTGCTGTTGCTGTTGCTGCTGTTGTTGCTGCTGTAGCATTTGCTGCTGATGAGATTGGATATTTTGCTGCGCATGGGCATTGGCTTGCAGTTGGGCTAGCTGCTGTGGCGTGAACTGATTGTGCGGGATATGTCCTTGTTGTTGCGCCTGAAGAAGCGCTTGCTGTCGATGTTGCAGCATCATCTGCTGTTGTGGCGTGAAAGACATGCCTCCGTTCATCTGCGGCGTGGCTCCCATGCCCTGATTCATCACCGGAGTCTGACCCATCGAGTGAGTTGGACTGCCATGACCCATCCTCTGAGTAGGCGTAACGTTGCGCATGATTGGCGTGGCATGCGACATAGCCGGCGTACCCTGGGTCATCTGCGGAGTACCATGTCGGCTTGGTCCTTGCTGACTTCTTGAAGGTGCCATCGGGTGGCTCATAACATTCGGATGCGCATGCTGTAAAGCAGATGGAGGCCGTGGTGGACTGCCAGACCCAGACGCGGTCATGGTCATCGGAACCGCCTGCGGCATAATGTTACCAACTAGTGGTGATGAGGTGACATGCGGGGTCTGGTTACGTACAACAGGCGAAGACTGTTGGCCTTGGCTGACGCCATTGGGCTGAGCCATAATGTGACGATTTTGCTGTTGCGCAGCGAGTTGAGCCTGCGCCTGCTGGGCGGCAAGTTGTTGTCTCCGCGATTCCTCTTTCGCGTGTTCCTCGGCTTGCCGCTGCTCAATCGCACGGCGCCGTTCTCTTTCCTGCTCCTGCTGCTGCCTCTTGGCCAACTCCTGCTTTAGCTTCATTTCGTGTTCACGTTTAGCCTTCTCCTCGTGTTGCATGCGAATCGTTTCAAGTGTCTTGAAACGAGAGAATCGGGGTCGAATGGTGCCACACCACCCGCGTCATCCACGGCAGCAGCCTTTGCAGCACCGCCAGGACCAGAAGCCGTGGGCTCCAGTCGTTCGTCCATGATAAGCATGAATCTCTCCTCTTCGGCTGCCAAGGCTTCGTCCGCGGCAAGTTCGGCAACGGTTCTCTTTCGGCGCTTGGGCAAGGGCAGCGGGTCGCGATGCAGTGGGCTTTCCAGATGCTTAAACAGCTCTTGAGCAGCTTCAATACTATGCACAGGATCCAGGAAGAGAGGAGGCGCCAAGGCCTGTGTCATCTTAGACTCGCATTCCAAAAGGTCCTCGGGCTCAACCAGCATTTTCTGTCTCTTTGCGACATGACCGCGGTCTGGTTGGCTGCCTCCAGGGGTAGCTGAAGGACCAGAGGAGTTTTGTTGCGCTGGCGCTTTGTTGGCTCTCGGGTCAGGAGTGGTGACCAGCAGTGTCAATTCTGCCTGCAAAGTGCGGGCAGTGGGATGGAGCACTGTGGTGAATACTCGAGGCTTCATGGGGGCAGTTTTCTGACTTGTGTTATTGCTTTTGTCATCCGTCTGCTCGCCAGCCGCCATGCCATCTGTCTGTTGATTGGCAGTGGATGTCCCATCGGCCTTGGTGCCTTGTGTGGCCGACGTGAGCTGATTTTGCTTTGGGTATGGAACAAAGGCCGATGGGGTAATATGTTCGTTGTAGTTGTGTAGAGAGAAAGGCGTGTTGTTCTCGTTGGATGAGGTAGTGGATGCTTTTCTTGCTTGCGCCGAAGCAGACTTGTGATCAATGACTCGGACGATGAGGCAACCTAATCAAGTTAGCGGAGGGTAATCCGACTGCATGTCAAAGCCAATAACTACCTTCATAGAACTGAACACCGCCTCGCAGTAGCTCCTCGATCAGATCATGCGGAACTGTCCCGGCACGAAGGTGCTCGATGATGACCTTCATTTCGGAGTTGTAGGGGAAACTACCATCTTGCTGTTCAAATCGGAAATGTGTAGGATGTAAATGCACAATAAGAGATGGGGGGCATTTCGAATATTTCTTGAGGATATAGGATGTAGTTTTCACTATGAGGAGAAAGTCAGTGATCGCGCATTGCCATTGCGAATGCCACAGAACTTCTTACCATATGGTTCTGGCGCTTTTTTCCCAACTCGATATGCCTGATCTGTCGCAGCAGTCCTCGTCACTGGCCGGCCAGAGCGCGAGGACTGATCCATGGGTCTTTGCGACTGATTCCTGGTCCGATTAAGGGGGGCCTTTGGTCGTGGAAGTCGCCCCATGGGCCACGCCATTTGTGAAATTGGAAGTTGCGTTGACGGAGGCTCCCGTCGGAGGACGTTTGGCGGCAGATGTAGGTGAAGACGATAGGTGCTGGCCCTTGACTCCGTTGACCGCGGCCTGGCCGAAAGGCGGGGGCGGCCGCTTCATCTTCTGGGTATGGGAGGCCGGCTTGGAAATTGCGGTCGCCATCATGTCTGCGCCAGTTGCGCAACCTCGGCGAGACCAGTAAGTTAAGAATGCGACTTATCGGAGTTCGGGTTTGATGATGTTGAATAAAAGCCGTGCTCGGGAAATGAGTGAGATGGCCGATGCGCGAGACATGTGGGGATAGGTAGGGCGACACCGGTCCCCAGCACAGCTGGACTCAATGCGGAAAATCGGCGGAGATTGACCGAATAGGATTAAAGAATAAAAGAATGAAAGCACCCGTCCAATAAGGCTGCTGGGAAGGGGTGAATCGGAGAAGCCGCTGGACGAGGTCTTGCAGAGGTAGGTCAACTGATGATGCCAAGCCGTGGGTCAATGTGAAGTCAGTCACATGACCACTTCCGAATTAAGACTAGTGTCAATAGACGCAACAATGAGATACAACAACAATGAGACCAATTGAATGCATATGTTGTAGGTAGATGAATCAACGCCTGAATAGTTCGATATACAGTTGCCTAGATCTACTATCTTATGTCTAACACTCTATAGATGTCAGAGCTAAGTGAGCTAATTGTGAGAGTTATCAATGTGGTAAATAGACGCAACTTGCGATAAAAGAAGCATACATTATTCTGTCAATGGTGAATTGTATCAAATAACAGCAAGCCATTCGGAAAAACAGGGGAATAGGGTCAATCAGTCATAAGGGGGGTTTAACAAGAAAAGAGAAACAGGTATAGACATGGAAGCAGACAAATATCAACATCAAAATCATGGGGAGAATACTTGATCTGACTGGCCTAGTCCAGGCCACGCACTCGTCGTCGCCAGTCATCTCCAACTCGGACAACGTCAACCACGTCAATACGCTTGCCGAGTCCTGTGACGCCCTCCTTTTTCCACCACTTCTCTTCCTTTTCGCCAAGTGCTGACTCGTCATCACTGTCGATGAGCCCGCCACGACCACCCTCGTCTCCGACCACGACGATAAGCTGGCGGACCCAATTAGAGATATGGACAGCGGGTTCGCCCTGGTCGCCAGTCAAAGACTCTTGGACATAAACAAGTTCTGGGAATAGGTGGCGGGCGAGGTGCACATAGCCACTTGGGGTACTGAAAGGCATGATCATGCTGTCTTTTTCAACAAGCGCTTGTGCCTGCGTATATAACGTCTTGAAGAGACGAGATGTGCCCTCCAATTCGTCCTCCTGGCGGGGCTCGACCGCAGTCAAGTCCCCAGAGGCCAGTTCCGCGACAGAGGCTCCTTCTTCGGTGCCAATGTTCGAATAAGACGAAGCCATAGAAGGGGTAGTGGGAGATTTGATGGCGTGTTTCAATTCCGGGGCATAGATCAACACGAAGATTCTGGAGGTTTCCAGGTCAACATGTTCAGGGAGGTGGGATAGAATGGACTGCGATTGTCAGAAAAGCCTAAAATGGGTGTCAAGGGAGAGGACTTCTTACCGCATGTTCAGAAGAGAATTCGTCGGAATCAGCCGATGAAACCGAGGAGACAACAATTGCGACTACCTTCTTGTCCTTTCTGCCGGTATTTGCTGGGCGGCTCGGCAATCCACCACTCATAGTCGGAGTAATGGCGCTTTGTTGGCTTCTCTCGTGAGCTCTGGTTTGAGCCTCCTCCGACCATCTGGAGTGGTCCTCGAAGTCGCCTTCACCTTTGTTATCCTCACGAATTGACGTAAGAGCGCCACCGACAAAGGCTCCTGCGGCAGTGACACCCGCCACAACTCTTTTGCTAGCGCCGTCGAAGATCTGTTGAGGGCTAGGCGTGCGGCGCAAAGCACCTTGCATGCGAGCCATCATACTATGATCATAGGAAGCATCTCCAGGCAGAGCTTCTGCTCCTGCGCTTCGGGCATAATCTCCGGTAGCATAGGAAGGTGGGGGGTAGTCACTACCAGGTCCAACAGGAGGCGGGTAAGGGCGGCCATCTCCGTGGGGCCGGTCGTCTTCGTCTTCGTCGTCATTTCGTTCACTCCAAATCCAAGCTGCAATGCTAATAGTTGCAATTCCAGCAGTCAAGGCCAGGGGGAGCCAGTATCCCATGGCAGTTCGTCCGCCAGTTGAGCTGAACCCTGTGCCGGCTCCGCCCCGGCGGCGCCGAGGGTCTTGAGGGAAGGACATTGCGATCGGTGTTCAATTAAAGGTGGCACATTTAACAGTTATTAATCGCGGTCGCAATGACTCGCAGCTCGCATTCCACACGTCGATTGGCAAAAGAAGAGGGCGGGGAAAGGGGAATAGGGAAAGGAGGCAGATGTCCTCGGGTCCTAGAAACATGTGGCTGGAGATTACCGCGGATGTTTACTTATGTTTGTCCTGTTTGCGTCTTCCTAAATCCGGAGGCGGGTCATAATCACGTGTTATCATCCGCGGAGATTATATAAGCGGTTTTTCTGACTCCTCAGGGCTTATCGGTTTTAAGAGAAATATATGACAAGGCGTGAGAACTCGCAAGTGCGTTGTCAGTTCAAAACATGCCTCACTCAGTATCTGTGCCGCCAACGGGCCTGCAAGCCCTAATTCTTGTGAGCGACTAACTTACATGTATATGTCTTGAGACAAAAGCTAACAAACGACCAAGTGTGGCCCTGGTGTATCACTCAACACATTCACTTCGAACCCCGAGGAATACCCAAAATGCCTTATCCCTGTGGCCAACCGTCCGATGCTATGGTACGCTCTAGACTGGTCAAAGAGGATGGGCATTACTGGTAAGCGCATTCCCACCATCGAAATAGCATGCGGGGCATCCCATGACGCTATGTGCTCTATCGCAAAATATCGGATGGAGGACTGACTATAGTAGATGTCACTTTGGTCACCCCTCCCTCTTCGCTCGCTCCCGTACAGGCCGCTCTACGACAGAACCCACATCTTACCTCCCTTCCTTCGCCATCGGTCATCGCACCGGCAGACCTCGAGATGACGACAGGCACAGCGGAGCTCCTCCGTTTGCCCGAGGTGCAGACTTGTATCAAATCAGACTTCCTTCTACTGCCTTGCGACTTAGTTTGCGAAATCCCCGGAGAGTCTCTGCTTGAAGCATGGATGGTGTCTGGCGGCGAGAAAAATCGTCGGAATGGACTCAGTATGTTCTACCAGACACAGGGCCGGGAAGAGAGTGTCAAGGGCGAAGCTACAGACTTTGTGGCAGTTGCACCACTTGAGCAGAACGAGGCTCCAACCGTGTCTCATGCCGCGCCTCGTTCTTCGCTCTCTAAGCTAGTCCTCTCTATGCCCATGGCCACATTGAAGGAAAAATTGGAAAATGACAAGGGCTTCCTTGTGCGCCACTCTCTAGTGGATACGCATGCGCAGGTGAAGTTGCTGACGACATACCGTGATGCGCATATCTACGTCCTACCATACTGGGTCAAGGACATGGCTCGTCTGAATGAGCAATTCCAGTCAGTTGGTGAAGATTTGGTTGGATGGTGGGCCAAATCGGAGTGGCAGCAAGGCCTCAGCGAGAAGCTGAAGATCAACGAGATCTTCCAGCAGAAGAGCCGTCGCCAGAGCCACGGACTCACTCTAGGTGAGAGTGAAAGTCACGACGGTGAATCCCTCGATGGCGAAGCGCTAGAGGAGGAAATTGATTTACAAAGCATGAGCACCACCAAAGCCACCCCAGCCAAGTCCAGCGCAGCCGCATCAGACCCCAAATTTGCCTCTCGTGTCAAGGCTCCCACCTCGCAAACTGTTAAGAGTTCTAAGTCCAATCTACCGCCGATGCTCGCTTACGTCCAAAAGGGCACAACGCCTTTTGTTCGACGGGTTGATTCGTCCGCCATGCTTCTCTCTACCTCTCTCCGTCTGGCTAAGCTGGAGTCCATCGAAGAGGTTGGCCGAGTTGCTTCGTCGGCATTTGCACACCCCTCCAAAGTGGCACACACAGCTAGCATCGCGCAGCGTTGCACCGTCACGAGGAACGACTGTCTGGTGGACAATAACTCGACGGTTGAGGAGAAGTGTGTGATCAAGGAGACCATCATCGGTGCTAACTGCCATATCGCCAGCGGTGCTCGCTTGACTCGTTGTCTGATCATGGACGGTGCCGTTGTTGGCGAGCGCTGCCAATTAACGGGTACGATTGTTGGACGCCGCAGCAAGATTGGCCGGGAAACAGTGATGAAGGATTGCGAGGTTCAAGACGGAAACGTTGTTCCGGATGAAACAGATGCCAAAAACGAGAAGTTCATGATCTTCGAGGGTATTGATGATGAAGATGATATGGATGCTTCGGATGACCAAGATTATTGAGTTGACCTATATTTATCCTGGCTAGAGGTTTATGAGATAAGATCCATGAGATCCATGAGATCAGAAAAATAGAATTTTATACCCCTGCATCCACCAAGTCATGAAAGTTTACAACCCGACATGTGAAGCAGTGATGAACTCTAACAGGCACTGTAACTGAGACAACAATATCGTGGTCCGAACAAGATAGGCTAAGAGGCTCACAGATACCACAGTACGACATCATGTGTAATGCCAATGGCCAATCCGCTCCACCTAATGTTTCCCCGGATGCATACTAAAACTTAGTACTTACACCAACGCAATGCTGGTGCAAGCACGGGACCTTTTGGGGACGTTATCTTGGCAGTGGAGATATTAGTACTATTGGCACACTGCATGAACTATCCTCCGCACGAATGAGCAGTTTCGAATACCTTCTCTGGGACTCTTTGCATCCACCCGTCAAACATCAGACCATAAGCATGTGGATTCGGGATTTGGACGCGACCAAAGCACCGTGCGGGTAATGTGCGAGAAAAGAAAGAACCGGAGTACGAAGTAATCATCAGAGCCATAATGAGATCCACGGATTGAAATTCTTGTCTTTCTCCGCATTTGTTTCGTGACGGTGGCCCTTGGCCTGTGCCCGAATTGCTACCCCTGATCAGCCACATAGCACCGTGCATATTATCGACGGTTGCTCCTTCCCGAGGTTGAATAGGAGATTAAATTCCCACGCACAGAGCCCGGGTGTTAAAGAACGGAGGCGTTAGGATGCTTAATCGGTGATTTGCGGTAGCAGACGCGCAGCCCCCTTCCCCTCAGTATGCGATATTGTCTCTAATCTAAAATGTACGCTAATTCCAAGCTCAGGAAAGGTGCCAACCCCTATGGAGAAGGAGAGATGTATTAGGATTCTCCACAAGTGTATGGAGTATGTTAAACGGAGTTGATAAATGGTCTGAACGATTTGAGTGAGAAAAAAAAGTGTATGCCGATCAGGCGGGAAGTTGTCTTGTAGGTGGATCGACGGATTGAGTGGTTTGCAGCAAGTGGGGAGGGGAAGCGGGACAAATTTGACGAGATTCCGAATTGTCTGAAGTACAGTATAGATAAGATTTGCGCAAATCTTATAGAGGTGAGTATGCTGTAAGCACACAGCCTACCTTGGTATCATGAATATCTCCAATTTGAGAGGGGACTTGGATCCTTTGAGATTCAGCCCTGGAGTGGCGCCGTGCCAATAAGCTGAACTGTATGACACGAACTCCCGTGTCAAAATAGTTGGCCTCGGAAGGTCATTAGAATGCTTCGGCATTGTACTCCGTACGCTTACCGATAAAAGTTGGGTTAAAGCTTATTTGGAGTCAGCGGCGAGGTGCCTACCTAGGTAGGTAGGATATATATTCCGCAAAGTAGCAGCACGAAAATATATTTAAGTTCCATGTCCTAATTTCTCGGAGCCATAGATATGATCACGCCATGATATACGGCAGAACTAGGAGCTCGGCCTTACTAGTGACATTGAACAGTGTCTCGGATGTTACCTCCATGTCCGTACTCCGTAGGCATGTGGTGATATAAAATCTAAACGAGGTGGATTAGAGTGGACCACCACAACCATGGAAATAGCTCGGACTCTCCCAAAGTTCGGATTAAGCGGGGAGCTCTTTTTATGAAATTGTCAAATTAGGGCTTTAATATTTACCTAGGTAGACAAATTGGAAGAAAACGGAGTATAGGATAAGTACGTAGTACATTTTTTTTTTCTCCAAGATGTTTCGAACGCATGTGGATTCAAAATAGCGTCACACTTTGGTGCAGGCGCAAATCGCGGGACACGGCCGATCGGATCCCCAGTTATCTATGGAGTACGGAGTAGGTAATTCCTCCCACGTTCTCTATAAAAGGTTGCCTTGCGTCAGTTTTCAGTTTGACACATTATTGTAAGGTACAAAGTATGTACGTACAGAGTATCGAGGACCTTGGAATAAATGGAATAGTTTTTTTTTACTACAGTTTTGGAATATTTTAGTATTTTGGCTTAGAATAGAATGACTATGGAGATGTCTAAGAATATCAAAATGGAGCATTAAGGGGAGAACTATGATTGGCACATAAATTTGGAGGTCCCCCTTTTTATCCTTTTATGAATGGCTTCAGGAGGTGAATCAATTTTGAGTATATTCTACAATATAGTAGAAGAAAAAGTAGAAGTACATAATATATAGTATAGTATACGTTAAACAGTAAATAGTCAGTAAATAATAGATATACTATGTAGTATGTTGACACCATACGGAGTAGTGGATTGTAAGTCATTAATACATGGAGAATGTTGTACTCCTCCAGGGCTGTATCATGCAAAGAGACGCATAAGCATAACTTAAGAAATGACAGGTTTTCTCTCTTTTTTTTTTCTCTGCCTATTTTATTTAGTATTCTACAACAGTCTACAACATACTATATTGACTCTCCATTTCACTTTTTGATTCAATTCAATTCTCCATTTTGGACTACCCGGACCTAATCTACCCCGTACCGTCCACGCCTACGATCTCTCCGGAACATCCCCCCCCCCTCCTATTTTCCCCTTCTCTCATCTTCTCTTTCTCTCCTCCCACTCCTGAAGTGAACACATAGTGTTGTCATTTGAAGGGTTCCGGGGTTATTTCTGTTTACTCTCTCTCTTTCTTTTTTCTTGTACATGGCTCTCCTATTCTAGAGACGTCTCATCATCCTGGGGATCTCTCCCTCTTTTTTTTTTTTGCCCATCTTACCTCCTTTCGTTTCTTCGAACTCGCCTGGTTTCGAGTTTCATTCTTCTGGCATCGAGCGTCCTTTTTTCTTGTTTTTTAATCGTTGTATCACTATAGCCTATGTCCACGTTACTTTAGAACAGGTATCGTTACCCCCTGGCTGACGCGGTCCCTTATCCTCCCAACGTGCACGGCAAAAGAAAGAAGAAAAAAAGCAAAGCACGACCCCCTTTCCTTACCAACTCCACCTTCCATACTGCATTGAACGTGAGAGTTCTTATTTTACTTTGTGATGGATAACTGACAGCTCCTTGATCACAGCATCCCATTTCGTTCCTCGGATCCCTATTTGACGCGAACACACCTCGGGCTCATATCTATCTCCTTTTTTATTTTATTTACGAGTTGCCTTTGATTACGATCCTGGACAGCTCGTGATTCCTACCCTTTTGACAATTTGCCGGAAAAAAACAATATGGCAGCGTTGGTTCAAACAATCCCGCAACAGAGTGGCACGGTACCGGTGCTTCAGACGCGTCCTTCATCCTCATCAGGCACCTTCTCTTCTCCAACCCAGAATCAAGGCTCTCGTATCCAGACGATGTCCTGGACATCATTCAATGCTGGTAATTCCGGGAGTTATCGAGCAGGCCACCAGGTTGTGGCTCCTTATGCCTACAACCCGAATATGGGCCAATCCACCGTCCAAAATCGGCAGTCTTGGACACCACACCTCCGGTCAGAACATCGCACCTTTTCCGCACCTACTACCCCTCAAGTGCCGGTGAATCCGACATACACCGGTGCCAGCCCCCAATCCCCCCATCTTGCAGCTGGTTCTGTATCAAATTCCTCCAACTCTTCCTCCCGTTCCTATGTTTCCAAGGACGATAGCGCACTTCCCTCACGACAGCCGAGGAGCGACCAGCCGCTCCGTCCCCTGTCTACAGCCAACCTTCCCTCCCCTTCCATCATGAACATCTCCTCCCCGAAACCCTCACCGAATCGGTATCGTCGTACCCCTCAACGAGCGGAAGGCGCCGCGCCATCATCCCCTGCTCACTCTCCTATTCCGACCGTGATTGTCGATGATTTTGGTGGGCCCCGACCAGCTCGACAAAACGCCCACAACCGGGTATCAAGTGTGGATGATTCATCTCATGTCGATAGGGCCCAGCCTGAACGATATAGACGACGAAGCCTGGGCAATATGGATGCCACAGCGTACCCAAACCTGTCGCTTGATTTCCCAACTCCGTCTTCCTCGCCATCTCAATCGGGCTCCTACGACTTCATCTCATTCGATACCAATCAACGGCCTGCTTCCGCTCACTCTCAGCGGGACAGTGTGGGTAGCGTTCATTCGACACACTCGTCGGCCTCCTCGGTAGGACCATTTACAAGGACCCAGGAAAATAATGCAGGAGCTAACGGTATCTATTTTACAGGCACGAGAAGCGCCGCCATCGGAGTCTAACTCTGTCACTAGCAAGACCGGCAAGGCAGAAGAAAAACGCACGAGCAAGCCATCGCCATTATCGCAACCCGTATCGACCGAACCAGAAGCCCCTAAAACCAACCCTCCAGCCGAGACTCAAAAGAAGCAAGCACCGCCTGCACTGGATTCCCCCGCCGCGAAGCGTCTCACCGATTTGAAAAATGACACGAAGCGCCCTGGGAAATCACGCTTGAGACGGGCTTTCTCGTTCGGCAGTGCTTCCGAGCTCCTAAAGACATCTGCACAAAGCAATGCTGCCAAGCGGGAAGCCTTTGCTGCTGATCAGGCGCGCCGTGAAGCTCTAAGGGAGCAACTGGGCCCAGAACAGGCCGCCATTGCCGAGCAGCAGGAATTGAGCGGACTAGGTGAAAGCATCTACTCCCATCAAGGCCACTTCTTCACCGGGTCCACCGATAACCTGTCAGTATCATCGACCGCTTCGTCGGCGTCGATGATGCTTCGCAAGATGGGCAAGGGCATGAAGCGCTCCACTCGCTCATTGGTTGGCATGTTCCGTCCCAAATCAGTGGCCAGCATCAATTCTATGGAAAATGCGGGCCCCGAAGTTCCACCTCCGCAAATCACCGTGGTGAACGTCGAAGCAGAACGGGAGAGTGTGGCTGTCAACCCCGACCCCGCAGATTTACCCCGTGGGGCTACTGTATTCCCCAAGGTTGAGGGCAATGCGTCGGAGGTCAGACGATCCGCTTCCATTCGGGAAAGAGCCGCATCGGAGAACTCCCAGTCGCGTAAGAGCATCGTGGGAGGAGACCGAGAGCGGGCGGAGATCCTGGCGGCGGTCCGGAAGGGTATCTTGAAGAGTGCGTATCTCCACACAAATATATTTGACGTTTTGGCATATTGACTAACTTTGTTAGAAACTCACTCGGACTTTGGCGTCTCTTCGCCTGCGAATGCATTGGCCGGTGGTGACTCACCGCACTCCAGTGCTCCTCCCACACCCGATGAGTCGGCACGATCCCCAGCTCAGCAAAGTGAGTCGGTGAAGATTGCCGGCGAGGACTACTTCCTCTCGAACGCAGGGCGGTTCTCGTCCTCTGAAGCGAAGAGTGCACCCATCACCCCGTCAGCTGTTGGCGGTAGAAATATCGTCTTCAGTCCTCGCATCCAGTTCCACGAAACCTGGCCTAGCGGCGAGTACGATCGACGTGGAGAAATTGCGACTTGCAATCGTCTCACTCCCTTGCTTGCTCAGCAGATTCGGGAGGAGATTAATAACTTTAAGATGGTGAGTTGCTTGCATCTTTTTTTATACCTCAATTGTGTCATTACTAACAACAGTACAGGAGATGGAAGTTCACGAGAATTCCAAGATCTACACACACTTCATTTAAGTTTTGGGCGGGAGTTTCTTGCATCGCTCAGTGACCTGAAATCCATCTCTGGCCTTCTATCCACTGAGCCTGCATTCTTGTCTAGACATGCATCAATTCCGGCGAAATAAGGTGTTTGATGATTCTTTTTCATCGCATGAACAGAAGCTGTGCTGTCCGGCGGATCTTAATTGATTCTATGGATTGGTGTATGCTCTATTCAGAGCGACTTGACCAATACATGCTTTCGGTGGATATTCCGCCAACCCAAAATCGGTGCGGCTCCTTTTTCTTTTTTTCGAAAAATCTCGGTCTCTAGACAGGCGCTGCTAGCCCCTGTCCATCCAAAACCTAAGATATTCCTTCAATTGGGGGATTTGGTCTTAGACCTTGATCTAATGAATGTTCCTCCTACCATCTAATCGGTATGGCGGTGCATATTCCTCACTTCTCTGCCGTGATTTTTCTTTCCAACTCTGTTCTTTTTTGTTTTTTCTGCATCTGTGCATCTGAGTCATTGTCATTGAGTATTATGGGAGCGTGGGTTACTGGATTGTTTTGTTCTTTCATTTTATTTTCTCTCTTTATTCTCCTGTCCTTCTAGCACATCGTTCCTCATGGTCATCTCTAGGCCCATTTCATATCTATCACTAAGCTCTGAATCCAATGTCTAAGCCTTGTTGCATTCTGTCTTGACATCTCATTTTTGGTATCTCTTCGGCTGCTGTGTTGGTAGCTATGTTTAATGGGCGGTTCTTGTGTGCACAAAGTCAATTCATGTCGTCCTTGTGGTTATACTTCCACTGTTGCTGTAGCTTGTAGGCTGTTCTTGATGATCTGGGAGTAGGAGTAGATATGCGCTTCGTATTTGTTAAAAGGTAATTGAGAGGGTTGCTGGGTAGAAAGACTCACATTATTGAAGAGTCCCACTCGAGAAGTTCTGAACGTCTGCTCTTAGTTGGGACAGGATGTTCCCTAAGGGCATGACCTCGCAAGTATTTCTACATTCTCCAGGCCGGAATGCCTTCTCGGTCCGAAATGAAGAACAGACCCGAGAGGAATGAAGGGATCGGGAAACCGAGAATATCGGGATCGGAAGGGTAATTAGTGGAATCTTGCCTTTCCATACCATTGATATCATGGTAGGAACAGCATACTTTATTAGAATGCGTGGTAGAATCCAGTGGAACATGGTTGATATTGGATTCTCCACCTTTGAATCTAATATACCTCAATATCTGAATACATTGCTGGAAATCGTTCAATTACTATAGCCGTTAGACCTTAGGACCAACCCTTTCCCTAGCAACTCCATCATGCAGCACCCTGACGGTCCTTCGAAGCAGAATTCGAGGCTATAATTTCTCGTATATTGCCTTTATTAATCCAGGTTAATCAACAGGGCCCTCGCAGCTAGGAGTTGCACTCTCCTCGACAATGCTATCAATGCCGAGATAGTGCTCTCTCCATGGCCATCTCCTGATACTTATTCGCTGTCTTCTCTCGAAGCTTCTTCCCCCATATAATCAGCGGCACATGCAGAAACCCCATTGCTGTCGCCCACACACCCATGACGATACACATGTTCTGCACGCCTTGAGAGTCCATCCATGGAACGATAGCGAAAGAAATGGCGATGCTGAAGCAGTTTCGGATAAAGGCCACTCCAATAAAGGCCTCCCCAGTAAGCTGATCAAATTAGATAGGAAGAATGAAGGGTCCTGCACGACTCACCGCTTGATAGCTGTCGATCAGTACGCAGAGTGCTACGTCACTGACGCCTCCAAGGCCGAACCCGAAGATAGCGCCGCCCACTGACGGGTAGATCCAGTGCATTCCCTACCATCGTCAACATACCATCAAGCCAAACCTGAAAAACCAACATACCTTTGAAGCGGTTACTCCGAACATGATAATCCCGCCGCCCATCGACACAGCAGGGAAGTGGTTAAGCTGAAGCCGCATCTCGGGTTCATAGTAACCATAGTTCCTTCGAGCGAACCAGAAGACAGTTCGGTCGGAAAGCGCACCCCAGAAAGATCCAAGAATACATCCGATAAAGACACCAAGACTCATGTTTCCCACGCCAACTGTTCCAAAGTTATACGGAGGCTGTGTGAACACGATAGAGACGAGAGAAGCCTGTGCAGAGATCCAGCAGAGGCAGAATGCGTACGTGAGGGCCGTGTACATGACAGCCGGGAAGCGGAAGAGAATGAGGATGGAGTTCCAGGCAATTTGTAAGAGACTCTCGTCAGACTTTGTGACGAGCCGCATGCGCTGTCGCCAGGTGAGAAGCGGGATCTCTGGGTTGATAGCATGGGTTGCGTTGGTGATCTGAGGCGTGATCGGCTCTACATCCTCAGATGCTGAGCTAGAGTCCATCTTTTTGGCGGAGCCTTGGCGTTCTGAAGAGGCCTGGGGAACACGAGCTTCGATGCGTGGGATGTACTTGCTCTCTTCAAAGAAGAGACAGAAGTAGAGTAGCAGCACGGCTTCGACGGCGAAGGCTACCCAGTAGCATAATCTCCAGTTGCCATCTGCTGCCATGTATCCGGCAATTATGGGGCTGAGAAAGCTCTGGCTCTACTCAGATAATGCCTCATGTTTCTAGAGATGGATTTGGACTTACTCCGATCATCACCATAACCATGTAAGCTCCGTTCGCTGTTCCACGCTGGTGGACAAAGTACATATCCGCAATCTATCGAGCTAAAGTCAGCAGAGATGACCCAGCAGAGAAGCGTTGCCTACCGTCATCTCAACAATAGTTTCGTTTGTCGCACTGGCCAGACCGAGGATCAACTGTGAGATGTACAGTTCAGGAAGACTATGTATACGAGCTGACCACACGGCTGTAGCGAGGATGAAGGCAGATGATAGAATGTACATCGATCTTCGTCCGTATTTTACCGCGGGAGGGATGAAGAGGAGACAGCCGAGTGCTGTACCGACAAAGTTGATAGCTTGAGAGATGTTGAGTTGCCTGTAGCTCCAGCCGAATTCGGGGATCCAGAGGACCCAGAATATGATGGGCATGGATGTCCTAGAATAATTCTTGGCTAAGGGGCCTGGGTGGAGTCTGAAAGGATCGCTTACTGCGTGAAGATGATGGCTGTAAGAGCCAGGGTGGGAATGAAATTCATCAACTTCCGAGATCGACTCCAATTCTTCAATAGTCAGCTGCTGTTATGGAAAGGCCCTGAAGGTAAATTACCAATGGGTCGTTCGGATCATCAGAGGGCATGGGCTGTGGCAGGAGCTGCGGTGCCTCGACTTCGCCATCTTCTGATTGTGCGTCAATACATGCCCAAGGGCTGGAAATGGGATCACGGACCTCGAATGAGACGGACGGTGCCAGGGGCTATCGCGAACTCCGGGGGAGGGGGTTGAATGTGTCGAGTCATTGTGCCTGGGGTAAGAGCAATGAGAGATTCTTCTCAATAAGCAGAAAACGACTTCTCTGTTGTTCCATGGCTTCTCAGTGCCAGCTCTTTTGTAGTTGATTATCGCAAGGTTGATATCTCCAAGGCTGATAAGCGTCGAATGGGCGACGGCACGGCCTACTGAATGAAGTTAGCGTTATAATCTGCGTAAGGTTTTTGCCATAGCCAGTTAGGATAGTATACTTCCAAGGTTACGACGTCCTGGCTTATTACGCCTCCTCTCTAACCAGCTAACCTTGGAATATAGACTTGACTATGCGGGGAAAGCGGGGGAATCGTGGCAGATCTAGACCTTTGAGACATTCTCCATAGGAGGTGATATCCTACGCAATTGGTATTGGAATGATATTCAAATTGACACACGGCAGAGATCATCCCAGACTAAGCCTTCGCAGCTAGCGGATACGAACTTGATTCAAAACACTAAATCTTCCGTAATACCAGAACCAGATAGTTCTATCTACCCACGTGCACATCCTCGACCTTCTGTCCAGGAAAGTTTGTCAACCGCCAGCAGTCAATAATGGCTGCGCCTCCGTACGATTGCAAGGCCCCAATAGCCACGATCCCGTTCATCCAGTTATACGGTCCGTCGCCCGCCGCCTCAAACGTGATATGTGTAAAGTACTCCACTTGGTCCTGTGAGTAACTGGCATCCATAGACTCCTCAAAATCAAACGTCACCCCTGGGCCGGGTCTGAAGAGACCGCGGGCCTGGACAAAGATGTGGTATCCGTCTGAGGTCTTGATGCTGTACCTCGCGTCAAGTGTGTAGTAAATCTGTACATGTTTGGTACCGAGTCGTAGAGCTAAAGTGAAGAAAGACTGCTTACCTTTTTAGAGTGGATTTGCTGGGCCCAGTCGGCACCGCTATTCTCCACGACGATGCCTTCTATGCCGGGGCCTTTAACGGTGCCGGACTGAATGTGGCCGATAGATCGACTAACTCCGGTACCCATGACATTGGAGATATCGTACCCATCTGTTGGGTGCATTTTGGCAACAAGACGGTACACAAACTCCAGTGACGGTGCTTTCATGGAAGGCACCTCGGGATACAAGGCATTGCCAGGGCTCTCGTGGACCTTGCAGTCTTCTTTCGTCATGGTGTCGACGGGTATCAGTGTGTGAGGCTTCTTGCTGTTGGGAGATAGAGGTAAGTCAATACCTGCCAGAGCCTTCCGATAATTTGTCATTTATGTAAATTGTCAACAAGGAACCCGGATTCCTCCTGTACCTGCTCACTACGATAAGACACAACGTTCATCATTTGAGCTAACGCACTCACCAAACGATACGCGCGGCACCACCTTGCAAATCGGGCTTAGTACCGTCCGTCGGAACTAACTTGCCGCTTCTGGAAGGTCGTCGCGCGCGGGTCCAGATGCCTGAATCAGTGACCTAGACAGAGATCTCAGTCAGGAGTGAGGGCTTCATGGTTTGTTTGGAGCCGATTTTATAACACTGAGCGGCAATGGCCGGCAATGGTATCTCGACTTGAAACTCTTCTTTCCTCCTTCGCTCTCTCAACCAAGGCGTCAACTTCATTGCCTCACGAATTATGGCTAAGTCTGCACAGTCGGCACAAATGCGACCTTTGAAGCTCGGTATGATCACTCACCCTGATAGAAACAGTACAGTCACTGACTATTCGACAAGACTCCCAGTCAGTATCAGCTGCTGCAAAGACTCTCAGCCTTTCCTTTGCCTCAGATCCTCTCATCTGCTGGCTCAACCGAAACCCAAACGGCCCAGGCTGGGAAAGCCTCCAACCTGCCCTGCAGCAATGGCAAGAAGCGCGGGTTCGCGAGTATGCTGTACGCGGGATTGGGATGGAAGCTGTCACTGGGGATGAAAATCCTATTAGTCTCGGCGTTTGTTTCTTGTTCCCGCCTAAATCGCAGTATCGGTGGTTAAACCCTCTGTGGTGGCCCGCCTACTTGAGAGTGCTCTGGGACCAGTACTGGGTGAAACCGAGGGAGCCATTTGCAGATCAAAAGGTAAGACGAGATGATAAGTCACGGACATGCCGATTAACTCATTGATAGCGAGTTGAAACCATGATGGACACGCATTATGCATCTGCCAAACAGATCAAAAGCAGATATCCTCCCAACTCGCTCTACTATCTGGAGATTGCAGCAGTCCGACCTGACACGCAGGGAATGGGAGTCGGCGGGTCGATCATGAGATGGGTGGTCGACCAGCTTGGTGATTCACCTTGTTTCTTGGAATGCACGAACCAGAAGAATATCGGATTTTATGAGAAATATGGGTTCAAGTTGGTGGATGAGAAAAGGCTCATGGGTCCGAGTTCCTCAACAAGTACCACATTTTATTACATGGTGAGGTAAAAGACAAGTTGATGCCGCTGCAATGATGGGTAGGATTTAAATCATATATTGGAAGGGGGGTTGTAAATGTTTACTACTGTTGAGATCATCCCATCTTACATGGATGCCTTGTTATGGCAGACTGAGCGCTTGTTTGCCAGTGCAGGCATCTACCAAAGGCCCTGCTTTCCTAGTTTGAATACCAAGAGTTTCTTCATCCATCTCCTTGGTAGCATGTAACCTCAAGAGAACTACGTACATGCCATATCATGGTGATATTGAACGAGGTCAACTTGTTCTGTGTCCCAAGCTCACGTTGTCCCGCAGACGTCAAGGACAACTCTTACCTGACTATTCTGTTCCCGGTAGGTAAAAGCGCGTCATGCATTTCCCCCTTCGGCAGATCGACTTGGTATATTCTCGGAAGATGCTGGCTTGATCGTCCCCGCGGTTTTGCGCGCTCCTCTGCTTACTGCATTGGGACTAGCGCTATTCGCCGTAGATTGATTTGACGATTTGACGATACTGCTACGAGACGAGAAAGAGGGGGGTAAATAATGTATTTAGGTAGGTAGCTATAGATAAGGTGTCATTCACTGCACCATCTTGGCCATTGTATCTTGACCAGACACTCCTGTCCACTGCAGCCATTCAGATTTTTAGCCATGCCAGCCAGCAAAACTCCCACCGGCAAGACAAAGCTCTCGATCAACGGCCTGGGAATTGTCGAAGGTCTCAGCTTCCCGAACAACGTTCATCAATTCTGCGGCATTCCCTACGCAACATTATCCAAGAGATGGACACGCTCTCAATTGAACACCTCATGGCCAGGCAACTTCCACGATGGGACAAAGCTAGGGTAATACTACTACCAGAAAGGCCCAAATGACCAATTATCACTGACCATTTGCAGACCCAGCGCACCCAATCCACCCGAATACAACATCGCTGAAGACCCTCTCGTCCCAGTTGCTATTGCGCCCCATTTTGAAGAACCAGTCGAAGATGAGCTCAGCTGTCTTGTCATGAATATCACGACGCCGACGACACATGCAAACACAAAACTCCCAGTTATGGCCTATATCCACGGGGGCTCGTTCCTCTTCGGCGGTGCAAACAAGGGCGTTTTCGATTGCGTCAACTTTGTCACCCACGCCGCAAATCGTAACACCCCCATTGTGGCCGTCAACTTCAACTACCGTGTTGGCCTGGGAGGCTTTTTGGCTTCTCCTACGATCAAGGCTGACCTGGAACGCGACGGCTTTGAAGGTGTGGGCAACTTTGGCCTCTACGATCAACAGGTTGCCCTCCATTGGGTCAATCGTTACATCGCCTCCTTTGGCGGCGACCCAGACAACGTCACCATCTACGGAGAGTCCGCCGGAGGTATGAGCGTGTCTCATCAGATAGCTGCACAGAACCCGGCACCTTTCCATCGGGCCATCGCAATGTCTGGTCATCTGAACACCATCCCCACATGGACGTTAGGCCATCACGAGAAGCACTACCGGGCACTCCTCAAATATCTCCACATTGATCCGGATTCGCCGTCGGCACTTGATCAACTCCGAAACGTCCCTCAAGATGTCGTTTCCCATGCAACGATCCATGTAGAAGGTATCTTCAACGCAACTGGAAATCCATGCGACGATGGCGTATTCCACGCTGTGAGACCATCTTTTAACGCCATCTCCTCACCTGCTTCGTGGCTCAAAGGGTACATGGTCGGAGACACACTCGATGAAGGCATGATCTTCTACGAAAGCTTCTGCGAAGACAACTTCTCTACTATCCGAGCTGGCATAGCTTCACGGGTTGGCGTAGATGCCGCGGACACCATACTCGAGCTTTACGGAGTCACACCAGATTTGCCCAAGGACGAATTCGTTAAGCGCATGGAAGACATGGCCGGTGATGCGACATTCAAGGCCCACAACTGGGTTGCATCTCATCGATCAAACATACCCCAGACATTTGGGTACCACTTCGATCAAGTCTGCGCGCATGAGAGCCCTTTCAAAGGGCTCGCATATCACGCCATCGATCTGCTATATCTGTTTCTTAACTTCGACGAGTATATGACTGAGGGTCAGCGGGAGCTTGCGAGAACGATGGCCAACCACTTTATCGACTTTTCCCACGGTAAAGATCCCTGGCCCCGTGTCAGCAACGGTGCCTCGTGGATGCGGTATGGCCAAAATGACGTTCATAAAGTCGTGACTGAGGCCGAGGATGAAAAGGTCCGCAAGTACTCCCGAATGCAGAAGATCATGGATATGGGCATCTACGAAGAGTTTACGTTGGCGATAGATGACATTTCAGGCAAGAGACATCGAATGGGCACGTTCGAGTGGAAGCCTGATCAAGCAGGTTATGTAGCAAGGGACATGGAGGTTTTGGATGGCGTGCATGTCCAGTCGGTTCTGGCTGATGAGGTTAGAGCTGGAGAGACAGTTGCAGCTTAGCAGTGTATCCTTGATCAATGTTAAGAAAGAGCCAACCCGGCATTACCGGCTCCTACACTTATCAACAACCTATTACCAATAAAACTGTGAGTACAATATGCTATTAAACTAGTATAAATGGAGTTCAATGTTCAACTCAGCTGCAAACTTTGTAGCCAGCGCAAGCTTCGCCGTCAGGCCTTGTCCCTTTCCTGTTTCCCACACATTGGTGACAATATCTAAAGCAACTTTCTCCGTACTACCATCTGTCCGCTCCTGGCTATCTTCCATCAGATGCTGAAAGGCCAAGCGCGTTAGTCTTCGCTGCTGATAATTCTCGGCAAACAAGCCGGCAATGAACAACGGGTAGAAAATAGCCCGAGCGAGGGGTTGCCGAAAGGTGAATGCCCCAGAATCGACTATTGCTTGGACGGATGCAAAGATTTTTATGCGAACAACTTCAGATCGGGGCATTGGACTCGCAACTGGAGCACTTGTGTCCTGGTCATTGCCCAGAAGTGCCCGATTGTGAAGAACGCCTGCAAATCGAAATGCTTCCCACAGATGGATCTGGATGAACTCTTCACCCAGCTCACCTGTCCATCTCAGGAGACCCTCCTCCGCTTCAGGTGATCCTAGACCTGCAAGTAGGTTGATCAATGAATACGGCAGGCCCGAAGTCTGCTCGATTCCAACCTGTCCTTTTGAGGAAACATGTAACTTCCATATCTCCATCGATCGAGTGATCCTGTTGAGTGTGAAGGACGGAATGTCTAGGAGAGCAATCACTTCAAGTAGATGGTCTTCTAGGGGAGATCGCTGAGCTGTGGTCAGGATGCCCCGGTGTTGGAGAACTCCATGAAGCCCCTTCAGGAGAGGCGTCCAGATGTATAAGGAGTTGATCTATGGGTATTAGCATCAGGGTTCGATCTCTGGTCTAATAGACTACTTACACTAAGACTGCAGAGAAGAACTCCAGTTGCAAGCGTCGCATCCAGTTCCAGCTTCTCCGGCGTGTTCAAGTCGTCGAAGTAGTGTGATAGAGCGGACTGCATATATATCGGTGTCAAGTGTACCATCTCAGTATCCAGACTTGCTTGATAGGCGAGGCAGACTTGTCTCAAAGAGACACAGCTATTACACAAAGGCAGGATATCTGATTTGAAAAGACCATCCTGCCCATCTCTTCCTGTGAGGGTCTGGTAGCCTGTGGTGGAAACTGTCCACTCCGTTAGCTTCATTGTGGCAGAGTAAAAGTAAACTGACAATTCTGCATTAATCGGTTCGATATGTCATCGCTTAGCAGGTTCTCAGTGCTAGCTTGACCATTTGATCCATATTGAAGACATAAAAGATCAAGCTGGTCAGGCGACGGAACCTGATACAAGTCTGATAGTTCCGCACCAAGGTCAAGCGAGTCACCGGGGTGAACATCGGCTACCCTACTACGCCTTAACCTCCGTTGAGGCCGCGACTGCCGAACTGGGTTTAAGACCATGCCAGTATTTGGAGTTGTTGTGTCAGAAGGGCCCCATATCAAGCGGGTGTCGTATCCTTCGCAGGCCATGCCAGCTTGAGTGCATCTCTCACATACAGGACGGGTCTCGTCACATTTTTTATGACGTCTTTTGCAGGTCCAGCACCTGAACCAGTTGAGTATAGGTCCTGAACGAGGCACATCAGGGGGGTTGAGGATTCGCTTACCCACGGCGCGACCGCTGGATCATGGAGGTTTAGCGACAGAGAGTCAATTGAGTCACTCGGTGCTTATCGTGGCCTGTATATTAGTCAATGGATGTTGTGAGCTCCTGACCTCAGGAAAGAAGAAGTAGTCAGCATTGTCCCAAGCACCCTGGAGGATATCGAGGTCTCGGTGTTATCAAAAGCGGGGGAGTGCGTCGGCACATGGTGTACGGCAGTAGCCGCGCCAAATTGTATTTTCAATATTCAGTTTCGAGCGTCTTCTGCACCGCTAATTTACCATTACTCCCTTTCTACATATTCTAGTAATTAATGGCTATGCGTCTGCAGTAGTGTGGTGGATGGGATCACGGAGATGGCGGTCATAGAGATGGCGGGAACGGTGACGGTGATCCCCCAGCAGAGACCTCTTCCCCGTCTGTTGAATCTGAGACAATGTGTGCGTGAAACTGACCTACGTCTATGAGCACCCGAGCAACCTGGTTCATATTTTTCTACTAAGCCAGCCAAGAAAGAACAAGATGGCGGATCATACTTCACGCTGTATCCCGCTGTGGTTGTTTCCATATTCACCACGTCCAGCCGTCGACATCTTCGATCCAATCCGCTGTTTCGGGTGGTGTCCCTTCCCAGTCGAATCTGCTATCGGAGGGTTGGATGAGTCCGTATTGGAAGTAGTTGACATCATCCCACTGTTGAGGTTCGTCAAACGGACATGCGTGTTTGAATCCGCAGATGTGCCTAGAGATAGTTAGATTATCATAGTCCATATGGATAATCTCGCATAGACACACATTTGACCACTAGACTTGTCATAAATGATCTTCGATGGACCAGCCATAGATGGCATGTACCCACACAGTGAAAACCTTCTGGTCTCTGTTAGCCCAATGTTTCGCGGTGGTCACCGCCGTGGTCACCAGATAACCATACGTATAGACTTGGCGAAACTTATCGCGGATGGCCTGGCGATCGTCAAAGGGGAGTCTCCAGAATTCGGTCAAATTAAGAGACTCGCCGGCGACTTTTTCCCATAGAACGTACGTGATGTATCCCCCAGGAACACCCTCGTCCTGATCTTGCTGGTGCTGTTGATAGGCTAGTAGTCGAGGAACAACGTCACAGTCTAGCTTCATGAATGTCTGGAAAGCGATCAGTTCTAGGTGGTCAGGAGGGGTGTCGACGGCCTGGCTAGCCCGTATGGCGGCCTTCTTCGTTTCAGTTCCAGCTATAGGAACCTGTTTGTAAATGCGTAAAAATGCGCGCCTGTTGTCGTCTTCCTCACTGGCAGGTCGACATAGGAACTTGCCAGCGGTATCTGAGGGCCCGATCTCCGCGGCGATGTCTTCCTTTGTTAGGCGATTCCACTCTTCGCCGAGCTTCTCAAGTATTATCCATTTCTGGGCAGGAAAGTTAAACGGTGGTTCCCGCAACGGCATCAAACGAGACCTGTGTTCCCTCGAGATCGGTGAGATATTCCATTGATGAATCCATGGCAGGTAGCTTAGAGATGGGGGCAAAGGGTCAAAAAAGTAAAAAGAATGTGAGGGTAGAAGAGTAACTTCACAGTGATCGCATGTTGACCAAGAAAGTTTGATTCCTAATTTCTCTCCCACATACTCAAGCATATTTCACCCTCTCCTCAGTCCATCCAGGCCTCAAATCCTTAGTATCCCACGAAGCAACATCCAACGAACTATCAGCCACATAATTCACCCGCCAGTCAATCCCAATACTAGCCCCCTCCTCACTTTGCGCCCAAACCGCCACACCAATCGTATTCTCCCCCTTGTAATCCAAAATCCCCACAGGAACAGGATAAACAACCTGATTCCCAATATAAGGATTATACCTTCCATACTGGTACCCATTAACAAACAACTGAGCCCGATACTTCGTCGTCGCCCCAGCGGGCGTAGAAAGAACAAACGAGATAGACACATCAGTGTGCGCAGGCATATCAAGGGGAATGGTAGTACGGAAGAATCGAACCGTTGCGCCCTTGAAGCTAAGCACAGACGTTGTCGAATCCTTAGTGGATCCCTCTTCTCCCCAGGTTGAGTCGTCAAAGCCGGGTAGATGCCATCCAACACGCTCGGCGAATAGTCCGTCCTCGTTGTACACGCCGCGCACGGGGTCCAGATCTGACTCCCCGCCCGCGGTCCCGGCTAGACGCCAGTGCGTGAAGCCGGAATCCGAGCCGAGGAGGTTTGCGTCCATGATGCCGCGCGGGTTGAGGGCGCCGGTTGTTTGGTCGTGGCCCGTGTCGTCGTGGACAATTAGGAGGACGTTTGGTGTGTCGGTGTGAAGGGTTGCGTCTGTGAATGACAGGGTTAGGTTTGCTTGGGACGTGGTTGCGTTGCCGAGGTGGGAGGCGAGGAATTCGCCGTTTAGCCAGGCGGACCAGCCGCTGTAAGTAGTTGGTCAGTATTATATTGGATTGATGTGGTTGGTTGTGGAACTTACAATGCAGATCCTCCTTGGACGTTGATGAAGGCTCCTGTCGCCGTTCCGTTGAAGTATCCGCGCCACAGACGGACGCCGTTGTGGAAGCCGTATTGGTCGGCGTAGAGGACGGGTAGACTTGTCGGGGTTCTTGGGTTTAGAGTCGTCATATGGTTGGCATCTGCGAAGATCAGCTACTTTTTCTCGTGTGGTGCTTGTATATCAGTAACTTACCAACCCACGCCACACCAGAATCATCATAATCTGTGAACCGCTCTGGCAGACTGTCCTTAGATTTCCATGAAGCCAAAGCCGGCAGTTTGATGGATTTCGGAGCACGGAGTGAGCCCTTGAGACTGCCGTACTCGGTCGAATGGGTGTCAACCTTCTTTCCATTCCAGGTCACAGACTTGACACCCTTCGGCGCAAAGATGTCCAGTGTTGTTGCGTTGACGACATCGCCGGTTATTGCTAGCTTGGAGCCTGACAGCTTAGCATCGCGGACGAGATACGGACCCTGGATGAGAACTGCAACGATAATTAGTCTTTTGAGCATGAGGGCATGATAAGAGAACGTACCACTCTCTGTCTCCGGTACGAATGGATCATTTGTGAGTGCAGGAGCCCAGAAGTCATATGCCGACGTTCTATCAAGCACGATAACTCTGACACCATCGTCAAATTCCAGAACAGTCATGCCGGCGGATTGCGTGAACGATGTCGTCAGACCGCCATGTTCTTTGATGAACTTGACCCGCGAACATCCCTGGCATTTCTTGATAGAACCCTTCTTGGCTCCCTTGATTGAGAACTCGCCAGACTCGCCAGTCGGAACCCAGAGAACCAGTGTAGGCTTCTTATCGAAGACAGCATATGTCAGAACCTCGGCTGTGGAGTACAGCAGAGTCTTCGAGCCGAAGGTGAAGTCCGTAACGATGATCTTCGATTGATGCCCATTCAAGCGAATAGTGCTGGCATATTTAGGGACCGTCAGAGCACCCACCGAAGTATTAACCTTCAAATGGAACGGCTCGTTCGTCGAGATGGAAGTGTTCGAGTGGAAAGTAGCATAGAACGCAGCATTCGTCTCCGGGTTCCGGAGCTCATAAGCCCTCACAGCGGGGTTATCAGTGTACTGCGTTCCATTACCCACCAACTCGGTCATGGTCAGATCCTTCGCAGAGCGAGTGAACAGTGCCAGCAATTTGGTCTCATGGTATTTCGACCAGATAGACCGGTCCTCTGAGATCGGCGCCGAGTAATCGTAACTGGAAGCCGTGACCGGCGCAGCCATAGCACCGGGGTTTTGACCACCAAACATCATGTACAAGGACATGGCTGTCACGCGCTGGCCAATGTTCCAGCGGTAGAACAGGTTGGCAAAGTCGTCGCCGATATCACCGGGGCAGCCGCCTTCTGGTCCTCCCCAGGGGTTGTACGAGCCGCCCTGGAACTCAGGCATGAAAGCGGGCATGCTGGGCTGGGATTCTTGGAAGTAATCATGGTATTCGAGAACCTGGAAGGGCACATATGCGCCATTGGTGGAGGTGCACTGGCTGATATCGCAAGTCCAACACTGATACACAAGAAAATTAGTATTTGTCTCTCTTCTCTTGTTTCACCGTCTTCTCTTCACCGGATAGACGTAAAGGCACCTACCGAAGGATAGGAGTCCAAACCAGCAACATCAACATTCCCACCCGCATCAGACCAATCCTTTCCCCATGAGTGCGTTCTCATATTAGGGTCATTTACGGTCAACGGCAGGGTAATACCATTCTCACGAGCATTGGCCTTGAGCAGCTCCATGTAAGCAATGGCCGTCTCATTCGGTACACGCAGGGTAGCATCACCCAGCCACTGATTCCCGTACTCATTCTCTATCTGATAAACGATGGAGTAATGACCATCAGTCACCTGATAGCGACTGGTGATCTCCGTGACTTCGGCAAAGTACGGCGTCCAAGCATTCGTATAGCGGGTATCATCATTGCGGAGGGTGCCGTAGTCACCCGTAGTCACCCACAACGGGAAGCCGCCAGCATTGGCTTCAGCGTTGACGTACGGGCCGGGGCGGACGATGATGTACATGCCCAATTCCTTGGCGAGTTCGAAGATCGGGGTGATATCGCGGGCGCCGGTTGTGAAGTCCACCGTTGTGTTATTCGGTGCGTGGTATGCCCAGCTGGAGTAGAAGGCGAAGGCTGTGAAGCCGGCTGCTTTGATTTTCTCGAGGATGTCGCGCCATAGTGCTGGGACGGGGATGCGCCAATAGTGGAATTCGCCGGAGAAGATGAATATGCGTTGGCCGTTTATTTGGAAGCTGTAGTGATCCCATTGCACGACCGTGTTTAGGCCATTATCTTGCAGTGGCCATTGCGTGACGGCTTGATCGTCTGCTTTGGATGAGACTCCGAAGACAAGCTAGGAGGACTAGCAGGCAATTGAGGATGCGCGTCATTTTGGGTCGTGGGCCGCGCTTTGACTACGCGAATGCTTTGCAGCATTGACGGGGTGGCCATGATTAATTTATGTTTCTCAATGACTGAATTTAGAGTAAATGGGGCGTTTGACAGGGTCCAAGCAACCGGCTGTTAATTTTCCCTTTTCGTGTGGATTTGTGGTATCTCCGGTGCTTGGCCGGGGGTTTTTCCTCCATTCATGTTGGGGGAATTATTCGAGATGTGGACAAGGATACAGAACATGTGATCAACCCTGGACTATTGGAGCACCATCTTCTCATTAGACAATAAACGGGTCCCAACGGTGATAAAATATACAAAGTAATATATGTTCACACAGCAAAAAAGGCCGAGAATACAAAGACGCTATAAAATCAAATCCAGTGCCTCAAGTCCACCCCCTGGTGTATGTATAAAACTCGGATAGCCGACGCCAAGACCCCCGAGAGGAAATAATCCGGAGGGCATTTCCCCGGATATCCCCCCATAGCCCGAATACGGGCCGACAATGAGTGACATATTTGCCAGGAAGTCCTGAACGAATGAAACACAAGCTATCGAATATCATAGCCGAGCATCTAATCATTTTTTTTTTAAAACCCCAAAACTCCAAATTCATGCGGTGTAGGAATATTCCACTTCCAAGGTTACTTTTAGGCATTGTTATCCAATACCCCAAATGGGTTCTCGCCCTTCGTGTTCGGGCTGGAGGAAGACTCCTTCTCGGCCTTTTGCTTCTTAGCCCCCTTCTTGGTGGGGACCTTCGCGAACCCCTCTTCAGACTCTGACCGACTGACCGAGGCCGAGGCAGTCTTGGCCTTGGAAGCAGCAGCGGAGCGGGTGCGGACCGGCGAGGCAGGGGTGGCGGCCTTCTCGGCGATCTTCTGGGCCTGAGCCTTGATGACCTCATCATCGGTAGTAACCTCGCTGTTTTCGCCCTCAATGGCAGCCTTGCGGATCTCACGACTCAGACTCTTCAGAGCATCCATGCCGGCCTTCTCAGCGGCCTCCATGTGCGTGGGCTGCTTCACTCCTGGGTCCTTGCGGTTTAGGTACGAGCGGACGAAGAAGCGCGCGAAGAGGTAGGTGAGGGGAAGGAGGTAGGAGACGTTCAGCCAGATGGCGAATGCCTGTCCGGTGGTGTCCGCACAGGTCACCATCTGCTGGGAGTAGCCGGATTGCTGGACAGGGGCGGCGGTGAAAGAAGTGCCTACGTTCTCGGCAAGTCCTTCTGCGCCCGCAGCGCGGAATGCCAGCTTCTTCAACCAGGAGATCGAACCAGCCTCGGCGGTGGCAGAGGCGGCGGCGGAAGCGGCATTGGTCAGCTGCTCCAGCGCGGCGCTACCGGACGGGTAAGGGATAGTGTAGTGGACGAATAGGTAGGCGGCGGCCATGTTCGTTCCGAAGACGAATTGGGTGATCTGCATGGTGGTCAAGCTGCGCTTGATAGCGTTGGGGACGCGAATGCGGAGAGCAGTGAGGGTGTAGTAGGTGTACTAAAGCAAGGAAAAAGGTTAGTAACTTCGCAAATATAAAAGCAATGCAATTCTCCGACTTACCATCATAGCGTGAATGGCAGAGTTAACCAGGCAGAAGATCCAAATCGGAGCTGCCATGTAGCGGATACCAGCCCACATGCACATCATAGCCCCTGCGTGGTGGTAGGTCTGTAGGGTGGAGCTCTTCTTTCCCTTGGCCAGAATGATCACGGTGTCCACAACCTCGTAGAACTTGGACAGATAGAAGAACCAGCCGAAGTAAGCCAATCCCTGGTTCCACAGACGGCCGACATCCGTGGGGTCTGGCATGCCGTTGGTGAGGTGGAAGGCAGGGTTGGGAATTGACCACTCGTCAGTAATGGGGCTGTATGTAGCGGCATTGCCATAACCGCGGGGTCCATTGATCTTGCACAGAGAGTCCACAACTCCAACTAGTCCGTTGCGATCGTCGGTATCCGGGAAAGAGCTCCGGAATGCCAGGAACATGCCCACGAAGGTCCATGCGGAGTACACGGCTAGGAAGACATTGTGGAGAACGACGAACAGCTTGAACAGACGGGTGTTGCTGAACGCATATGGCTTATACCCGCGGCTCTTGTTGATGCGGTTGATCAGAACGACAGTGATCGCATAGACACAGGCGATTGTGATTGGTAGCCGGACGTCCAAAACCTGGTTATAGAGATCGTTCGGGATGTTGAAGGGCTGCTTCCATGTCGGGGTGTCAACGTGAGGCGCGGGGATGGTCACTGGAAGTTCGCGAGGAGGGAAGGCGAGGAGAGAGGCGGGAGGGAAGGCAATGCGAACAGTCGCCTCGCCGAACTCGGTAGGCACGTTGATATCGTGCATGGTTATCGCCACGCAGAAGCGTTCAATTCAGCGCGTCAACTGGGCAAAAGTGATATAGAGAAGGATATACAAAAGATATGTGATTTCCAAAGAAGAAAAAGGAAAAGCAAAAAAAGAAAGGAAAAAAAAACGGTTGAAGTGTTGAAGTCCAGTGGATCCACCAGATAAACTGCCCTTTAAATTTCTCAACAAGGGCAATGACCGACGATCTCGATCCGCCCGCGTTTAGTTTGTTGGGAATTCCAAGGCTTGGCCATCAAACGTGCCGAGGTTAGCTAGTATCGCCACTTGCCTATAGGAGCTACATCTTGGAATGTTGTACGGAGGACTTCATATGTTGTACAATATATGTACATGTACGGAATAGACATCAATTCTGTCTCTCAATCCCCATGCAGGAATTGATCTTCAAATATTCCAGGTGATGGGGCGATACTGTAAGCGAATTATCATAATTAGGATAATTCTCCAGTGCTCTTTTTTTTTTTAAAAAGGTTAACCGAGAGCTCCGGACTGGTTGTAACATCTGGAGGGCACCTCCAGTGTATGCCGTAATTTGCCCTGCAAAGCCCTGCAAAGCCCTGCACAGCCTTCCAAGGTTGTTTCCGGAGAGCTGGGGAAAAAACCTGCTGAGTCAGCTGGGCAAAGTTCGTCGTTCCCCGGAACATTGTCAACCAAGGTTTGACCGTGGAAAGTTAAACCGACCGAAAGCTTGGAAGCTCGGAACCTTCCAAGGTTGGAAGGGATGTGGTGACCTCAGACACTTACCTAGGTACCTAGGTAGGTATCACTGATCAGCTTCTTGTTGGGGTATTTGAACCACTATAATTGTCCCAACAACTTGGGGATATGAAGTCAGATATAAAACGGCCTGGTAGGATCACATGCAGCCTCGGTCTCAATGTATATTCAACGTTGAATATGCGTAACCCAAGCATGAGCACAAGACTCACCGGCATTAGTAGGGACTATGATGTACAACTATTGTACACCAGTACAGAGTAGATAGATCTGCACATATCGTCATCATGACCAAATTGTTCGATTTACATCCTGTTTATGTTGTAAAAGGAAAAAAACGCATCAACGCCAGGAATGCACAACCTACACATATACACGGCTAAAAGTACAGTCCTTAGCGGGGCTTGGTGTTATGGGGAACTGGAGGAGGCCCCAGAGGTGATGGTGACGAAGCGTCAACAGGGGACGCCCGAAATTCAGCCCGCTTGGGTGGAGGTGGGGGTGGGGCCTTCTTGCGTTGGGCTTGAGCCTGGATATCGGGCTCTGTGGGTGACCCCGCTGCAGAGTTCGACTGGGCCATAGAGACGGGACGAGAAGGTGGGCGTGGAACCCGCTTGTTGGCTTCGGCGGAGAACTTGCGGTCCTCCACAAATGTGTTGAAGCGTGATGTAACTCCACCCCACTTCTCTTTGCCCATATCGATCTTGTCGGCATGGCGTTCACGGAAATCTTGCACAGACGATGTGCCCCGCGCAGGCTCCGCCGGTTCCAAGTTCATACTAGTAGAAGTATTCGACGCGGGCCGGGCCGGTGGGCTAGGCGCTGCTGGAGAAGAGCCAGTGAACCGCGATGCGTAACCGCTCAACTTCTGTTTCCCTGAATCGATTGAGTCGGCGTGACGTTCACGGAAATCACCGTATTTCTGTTTCCCCGAGTCAATGGTATCTGCGTGGCGCTCGCGGAAGTCGCCATATTTCTGTTTTCCCGAATCGATGGTATCTGCATGACGCTCACGGAAATCACCGTACTTCTGTTTCCCCGAGTCGATGGTACCTGCATGGCGCTCGCGCAAATTCTGGACAGAAGATGTGCTGCTCGCGGAGTGCGGCCCAATGTTTGCCGAGGCCTGAGTAGGCGGGTTGGGTACTGATGGAGATCCCGAGGTGTTCATCTGGGAGAAGCGCGACTGCAGCTCATTGACAGGCGTATGTGCAGGTGACGACGATTTCTCCTGGCCAATCCCAAAGCCAGGAACGGAGACACCCGCGTTTGCTAGGCGGGACGTAGCATCTTGGTTGATATAATCGTGGGAGAGTACCGGGGCAGGGGAATAAGCGGGGGGCGCGTCGGACATGGGGGATCCATTGCGGGCAGGAAGTCGTGGCGGGGGCTTTGGTGGCTTTGACTTTGAGATTGAGCTTGTTGAGGCGGAACTCGCAGAGTCCAGTCGTCGCACTGGTGGAGGAGGGAGATTGTCTGTAGAAAGCCCGCTTGTGTTGACGCGATACGGGACCGGAGGCGGGGCGGGCTTTTGGAACTGTTCCTCCTCTGCTTCGGCTACTTCCTGTCGATGGGGGTCCTGGACGTTGGTCTGATTTGGCGTAGCGGCTGCTCCATAGTACTTGATATTTTTGGGAGGAGGCCCAAAGGTAGACGGGTCTTTCAAGGCTGACAATGGTTGCGAGACATGATCTGAGCGGTCGGAGTTGGACTCATTGCCCTTTCCCATCCAGCCTGCCTAAAAGTGAGAAAAGGTTAATATCAATGGCGTAGTCGTGGATACACCAAGAGTTAGCTTACCACTTGGCCCCTAAGACCCCCCCTGAGATGAGGAGGAGCCCTGTCCAGAGCTGGAGGAGGAACCTTCTTTGCCCTTTCCCATCCAGCCAGCCTGATAGCAAGTCAGAATCAATGGCCGCCCGAGTCGTCCGCAGGAGCGAGAGATGAGTGAGCTTACCACTTGGTTAATGCCTTTGAAATCACCACGCCAGCTCTCCTTCCCGCCTTCCTTGCCTTCAGGGTGCCAGCCACCTTTGATAGTATTGCGTAACCCACTCATGTTGTTGTAGACCTTGGGAGTGCGGGGATGTAGATGCTAAGTGGTTGGGGGAGCTGTGACGACAATAGTCCCCACTTTGTCACGTGTAAATTGTACCTACATATGTAGTAATTGACCTACATGCATGGCCCAAGGCCCCGGCGTAGTCTACAGGTACATACGGAAGTGGGGTACTGTAAGCGCGCTCTGTGTACTGTACGGCATTAATGAATATACTTGATCATTAAACAGGAACAAATCAGTTAAATTCGCTCTCAGTTTTTTCACGTGCTTCAAGTCATCCATGGATTGATTGATCAATCAAGTAGGCGGTCTAAACATATTCTGCCATGCTCTGACCAAAAGGGAAGACGGTATAATTCTGCCCAAAACAGGGGTTATAATGAACCCTAAGGGTAGTCCTTTCGCCCTTCGGGGCATATGGTCAACTGAAAATATACAGAGAAGATTAGCATGGCCCCTGCACTAAGGATGACACGCATAATCAAAGAGAAGCTACCTATATTTTTTTTTCTTTTACAGGTCCAAAATTGAGATTATAAGGCGTGGGTCAAAATACTTCAAGATCTACAACATATAATTGGGTTACGGTCTGGAAGTCACGTGACGTGCATGTTCATTGTTTTGGAAGGCGGTCTAATGGCAGAATATACAATGGAGATTTCTGTGACATCACCGGTGTTGTCTCTGCTCGTTACCTCGATTATTTGTACACCTACGGAGTACAACAATGTTAGTTCATCGACCAAGCCAAATATGATGCGAAAGAAATTGGCACCCAAAATGCCTTGGAAAAGCTGCAAAGTGAATGGTGGCTTATTCCCCTAATGGGCAATTGGAGGTTTGCATGTTTTGAAAAAAGACTGCTAGGAAGTGGCTAAGTGACCTTCAGGGCCGGGGAATTGACTGGGTAGGAAAAGGGAATCTAAGAATCTATTAAGTAAATGTATCTACATAGTTGGAAAATGACAAGCGCGATCGGAATCGATGAAACAATATTAGTCAAGACTTTCTTGGAGAAATCGTCGACTAAGATCGTTCTCAATCCATTGCTCAATTAGCCCAACGCTATCCCCGACAAGGTGGTCGTAGTTTGCACCCTGTGGGATAAACATAGACTGATGCGCCACGACTTCGTCCATGTCCTCCATTAATATTGGCTCCCAATGTGAGTTATCGTTGTACTTCCAATGATGTGACGGTAAGAGGATGAATTTGCGAAGGTGTTGTTTATTAGGGTCTGAGGACTCCGTGGTCGTGATGGAGCTGTTCTCGGTTGAGAGGGAAATGCTTCCTGAGAGAGACTGGTTCTCTATTTGGTCGGTTGAGGTTGAGGGAAACGGTGCTGGACTTGTATGATCCGTCGGCGGACTATCCTTGTCATCGTTGGCCGTTTGGTTTGACAGGGAAGAATGAGAAGTGGTGGACTTCAAGGGATTTTCCTCTATTGTCATGTTGATCATGGAGGTGGCTACCTCAGCTTCTTCAGACACACTTGGCGTATTTGAGTATTCGTGCGAATGTACTTTCGCTGCATACTCATTCAGATCAATTTCGACCTCCCTTGTGGCCTCTCTGTCTTCCTTTGCAGACTTCTTGGCTTCCTTCTTGGCTTTCTTTTCAGCTTCCTTTATAGACTTCTCGGCTTTCTTCTCGGCTTTCGTCTTGGACTTTCGGGGCTTGCGACCAGTGCTCGTGGTATAGTAATTGACAAAACGTACTCTCCAGGGACTGGACTCAGCAGCTTCCAGCTCCATCAAGTGCCGGTACCGCCGACGAAGCTCAGAGTAATCATTGACACAACCAGCAAATTTGAAAGGCGATACAACGCGATTGAAGATAGATCGTGAGAGATTGTCGGTATTTTTGTTGACGAAATGCATCATTCCCTTGAGAAAGCCACGATCAACCAGACGCACATCATTCATGAATGGTGGGTCAAAGTTGGGATTGAAAGGGGCGGGTTTGAAGGCTGATTCCAAGTCCAGAGATTCTTGTTCTGTCGCAAGCTTCTCTTCATCCTCCGGGCCTTTGTTGGGTATTAAGCCCATGGTCCCTGTTGCGATTACGCGGGGATGGATTCCAAGAAAAGGGACATCGAATCCCGCCACACCCAAAATTCGATGCTTTGGTTTCCCGTCTTGTTGTAAGCGCGCAACGTCTGCAGCTAGGATTCCGCCGAGACTATGTCCCAACAAGATAACATCGAGGTCATCTGCCTCATGTGGTGATAGCCTGCAAGTATCTCCATTAGTATATGTGACTGGTTAACAATATAACGGAAAACAGCCTTCCTATAGCGTGATCACATACCAGGCACTGAATTGATCCACAGCTATTTGCATCTCGCCTTGAGACTTGTATCTGGGATACATGCGGGTGTAAACAAAATGAGACTCGGCCAACGAGACCGTTAACAGATCATGAACATGTAGTGGAAGGTCAAGGAAGCTAGCTTCCGATCCCATGAAGCCATGTATATAAATCAGTAATAGCCTGCGCTTTTCTGTGGTCTGATATCCTCCGGGCCGAGGCAGAGACAGGGTGGAATGAGAGCCATCGGTGCAAGTACGAATATTCCCCTCCATCTCTATCTCCGTCGCCAAATGAGGTAGGCAAGAGAGAGGCTGAGATAGGAAAATGAAAAATAGAATTCCCTTCTTGGGTATTCCCAGCCTTACCTAGGTAGAACCTTCTAAGGTTGAAATGCGGGGGGCTTCCAAGGTTCAAATTGCCACCGAAGCTTACTAAGTCAAGCGGTTGGCCTGGGGAGATCATGTCCACACGGATTAGCGCTGGAGAGAGGGAAAATGTCGAAGAGTACATTTGAAGTTCTTTTTCAGGTCTTTCACGTCTTTCTCATTTTCTAAGGTGATAAAACATCTGCTGCCTACCGACGTGGGTCAGCCTCGTACTCGTATTTGTTAACCGTCTAAGCCACAGCAACGCATCCATGGATTGTACAAACAAGCTTAATCTTTACTTCCTCACCTCATCCCACATCAAACAACGGTTTACTCTCACGTTTTTCAGGGTATTCGGCTTATCATTCACAGATATCAAAATGCATACTGTTCCCCATAGCACGTCTACATTCTATGTACAGCCATGTCATTCGACCTGACGGGTAATCTTTTATGCCTCTTCCCCCATAGCATGTCCATATTCTATGTACAGCCATATCCTTCCACCTGACATGTGCTCTTCGCGCAAAACGTCTAGACCTCTCCCTGTCCATTAACACCATGACACGAGACAGCCAGAGGAGTATCCTGCACTCCCCAATCCCCTCCTTTCAGCTCGTGCGCGTAGAATCGAACCAGAAGACCGACGGTAACTGGCCCAATGATGGTGTTCAAAAGGATCGCCCAGACCCCAGTGTAGAAACCTGCGTCGCTAACGTACGGAGTTTCGTTGTGTCCGATTTCGATGATCAGAAGCCCAATCTCACCGCGTGCTACCATGGCAGATCCTAAAAGTGTTGCGGCCAGCCAGGCCCGTTTCCACGTCTTCCCCTTGTTCTGTTCGCTTTGCTGTTCATCGCTTGGATTGTTGCCCTCGACTTTGGGTTCTCCCTGTGTTTTCTGCTCTTCGCGTGGCTCTTTGCGAGATTTACCCCCCAAAGCGAGTTGCCATACGGGGACCCAGATTCCGACGATACACTAGATAGTCACGTTAGTTCGATTGCTGAGATACGGCTTTTGAGGGTATATGTATACCTTTGCAAATGTCATCAGGAGGGTGTAAACAATCCCTTTCCAAATGCGTTCCCCGGTCCACAGCTCCAAGAACGGAATCGCGAACCCGATACTTGAGAAGAACAACGGTTCCATCAAATACTGCTGGGGTCCCAACAGGTATTTCTCAAAGGTATGAATGAAAGTGGGGCTTTTATCCGCCTCGCGCTCGCCTTCCTCGCGGTTCAGGACAACAAACGGTCCCTCGGGGTGCTTACTCGGTATGTATGTAAGGAATACGCCAGCCAAGAAGGCACCGAATAAGACAGATGTACCAGTAAAGCCAGCGATGGCAATGAAAGCCGAAAGAACGAGGGTCATGAGGATGATGTTGGAGATATGGTCGTAGCGCGCAAAGCGGTGTTCAACGAACTTTCGGAAGAAAGGCGCAAAGACCCATTTGGTGACGATGGGCGTCACGACGGCCATGCCTATCGATGCCACTATGGGTCGCCCAATGAGCCAGCCCAGGTTGACACTCTCGCCGCCTCCTGAAAGTTTGCCCAAATCGCCAATCACACTGTGTAGATAGTTAGCTTGACGAATTATCCACACACCGTATCGTAGTTCAGATAAGTAACACACCTCAGCATAACAAGCCCTACAACATCGTCGATAACAGCCGCGCTCACCAGAACTGACCCTACTCGGGTCTCGGCGAGGTTGACGGATCCAGACGTGGAGCTGATCACGGCAAATGTAGTCCCTAATACTTATCAGCAATAGTCAACCCAGACCTTCCGAGGGATAATTTACCGAGCGAAGTAGCAGAAAGGGATGCGCCAATGATGAAGGTCTCAACCGCACCTAGTCTAGGTTAGCTATGCACTATAGAAATTGGGCAAATAAAACCCACCATATCCAAAACCAAGATAGAGCAAAAGGTATGAAAGACCAATAGGGAATACAACACCAGTTGTGGCGCCGATCATACTCAAAGTGAAGTTCTGCTTCAGCAAATCCACACGGGCGCCAAGACCGCCTAGAATGAATGACATCAGTGTCCAAGAAGCCAAGAAGCCAAGCAATCAAGCAGGCAAGATGAAAATTTTCACGTACCTTCGAAGATGATCAGAATCAGACCAACATATCCAAGAGTGACAAAAGTCTCTTGCCAGTAATGTTTAAGGATATTGGCCAAGGGTACTCCGTAGATGATGCCGACGGCGATTTGACCGATAATTCCGGCCTGAATTACCGCCGCGGACACCCATCTTGCGAGGGAAAGGAAGAAGAAGAAAGAAACGACGATGAGGATGTCGACAGCTGCAAGAGTTGATCAGTGAGGAAATGAGCAGAGATCAATTGGCATATGCTTGGGTACCTACTTCCAGGTTCGTGGTATGGGAGGAAACCACCGGCCATGCCCAAGTTTTGGTTAACCTTGTAGCAAGATTGAAGACGATTGAAGATTGAAGAGTGAAGATTGAACAAGGATAAACAAGATTAAACAAGAGAAGATTTGAGGAAGGGGAATTGCCACTAAACCGCCTAGGTAAGAGTTAAGAGTGATCCTCACCACTAGTGTAGGCATGGGTGGATTCAAAGAAGCTATTGGATTGAAACGAGAATTCCTCCACTCAGCCCTACCGAGGTACTCACCTACCTATAATATCGGTATTACATCGCAGTTACCTCATCTCCGTATAAGTGGATATAATTTGTCAGGTACCTTTTATATGTGAATCACTAACAAAAGGTACTTTCTGCATTTGGCAGGTGCAAACGTTTGCATTTGGGCCCACAGGTCAACACCCGAAAGGGGATTAGTTCGCTTGGCGTCCCCAAACACATGGTAAATACAACATACTATAAATGACTTGATATCTCATTTATACGGAGCATTTGATACCTACATAAACAATCAGGGACCCACTCTCCACCATGACAACTGCCCAACCCATCCAAACACCTCAGCCAGCCGTAACTTGGGTACTTCTGAGTGCCAACTATGAACTCGGCTCCTCAAACACCTGCGTCCACGGCGCCGCCTCCCCAAAGTTCGGGGTCCCATCACTATTACTCCCCACCGGCTGCACCATCGTATACCGACGATCATCACACGCCCCCCTCACTATTCGTCGTCGCATGGAAGGCAGTCCACACCTCCGTTCCATCCGGACTCTGGAAGAAGCTATTATGTCCCGTGCCGTAGTTCCCGTTGCTCGAGGCCAGTAGACATCCATCTGATTTCGTCCACGCACTCGCCTGGGTGGGGTTCGTCGTGCCATCCCAGGTCAGACTGGCTAGGCAGTAGTATTGTGTCCAGCAGTAGGAGGCGGAGTATACGATCCGCGTCTGTCCGTTTGTGTACAACGCCGCGGGACCTTCCTGCACGGGGGTGCCGTGGATTTCGAAGTCTTCGGTTGGTTCCGAGATGACGGTGATGTCGCCCGTAACGGAGATGAAGTCGTCGCCGAGCTTTTGCATGCAGAGCGACTGGTAGGTGACGCCATGGAAGCAGGAGAAGACGAGGAAGTTGCCGTATTCGTTGAAGCGGACGACGGTCGCGTCGATGCCCCATTCTGTTGTTAGCTGGGCGCCGTAGGACCAGGAGTCCCAGGGGGTGCTACCTCCTACACCTCATAGTTAGTTATTCGGTTCTCCTCTCGTTATATAAAGGAATAGAATTGATTGTGGGGTCACAGGGAAGGGGCTAGGTGGTATCCATACCAGCTAGAACATGCGACCTCTGCCCATCCAGATTATCCGCATTCCCAGCAGTGTAGTAGATATACCATTTATCGCCGAGATAGTGCAGCTCCGGGGCCCAATTATTGCAGCATCGCGAGGCGTCGTCGGTCGAATAGACGACCTTCTTCTCGCCGTCCTTCAGACCCTCGATGCTGGTCGCCCGGGTGATTTGCACGTCTGTCCATGTCGTCGTCAGGAGGTAGTAGTATCCGCCCGAGTAGACGAGACTGGGATCGCTGCCTCCGGGATTTTTGATGGGGTTGGTGAATGCGGAGGCGAGGGCCCCGAAGGAGACGATCGTCTTGATTAGTGAGGAGATGATGCGCACCATTGTCGTGGTCCGGTCCAGTTCGGTTCTCGATGCTGGCTGGATCTATTGATGCAACGATCAATCCCCTCCCCTCTTATATACCTTTCTCCGTGTCTTTCCAAGACTGCCCAGCCATTACAACGACGAGCCTTTGGACAGACGGCTATGAACCCCGCCGGAAAGTAACCATTCGCATCCATCCCTCTTCATCGTAGCCTCCGGACTATATATTCCCCGCAGACAATCGTCCTCTACTGTATTAAGCCACCACTCAGTACGGTTTCCTTTGGCTGGGGACGTTCTTTCAGCCCCGCTTGGTTTAAGGCCCGTCCATACAGAGTTGCTCATTTGATACAGGTTGTTTCTCCGGGGAGACACTCATTTTGGTTTCTTCGTAGGTACGGAGGTGGGGCTCAGGCCAAGTCCGGTGGCACGCTCTCGGTTTGTGGACCATGCAGGCTGGGCTGCGGGTATGAAGGGAGACTCTTGTCCACATCGGAGGAACTTCGGTCAATTTATTTTTTAAGAAGTGTTAGCCATATCATATATTCCGGGCTCATAACTAACAGAAATCAGATGTATGGCGACCGTACTAGTAAAAGTCACAATAAAAATCTCTAACTAAAAACAACAATGGTCTGGTTTTGACAATCTGCCCAGGTGGTCAGACACAATTAGTAAGTAAATGCATAATACCTAGGTACGAAAGTCATAGGTACCTAGGTATGTGTTTCAAATGGTAAAAGGACCGTATCATCCCGTTTCTCGACATTATGAAATTGTGCTTTTCCGAGTGGGCCCGTCAACGTATGAAATGGCACCTGTCATGTCCCAAAAGATAATCCAGAGCACAAAGCAACTGAAGGTATTATATTACAAGGTTCGCAGTCTCAAACTTCTATAGAAACATCGGAACCAACCTTGACGGCGTTGTTTCCCCAGATTTTGCAATAATTATTGCCAAGTTACAATGGAGCTTCGTTCCCGTCAACTCAGTTTTTGCACGCAATTAGTGCATCTCCGTCAATCAACACGCTGGGACTATTTTTGTGAAATAGCCGATTTTATTTTCCGACGCCACCTGGATGCACGCTGAGCCCCCTTCGTAAACTCAGGCTCGATTCTCTGGGGATTTTTGATATCCATCGGCTCCGTGGGTCCATTGAGAACTAGTGGAAGTTCAGGTAGAGCTGGAGGGGGTAGTAGACTTGGTCCGGTCTTTGGACGGCTCGAGGTTGAGTAGGTTACCGAATTGTCGACTTGGTCTTCTAGAAACGAAGATGTAGAAGATCCATTGCGACTTTCGATCTGAATACGTGGGCTTGTAATAGAATTATCAACCATCCATTCTTGGTCGGTATAGATTGTGAACTCTGCTGGATCCAAGCTGTATGGTGCGGACGTTAACGAGGAGTCTCTCCGTCGCTTGAAGTTTGGGCTTCTTTTGAGTCTGACCTGCAAAAGCGGTAAGAAAGTGATTTGATTGAAGACAAGGGATGCGATGAAAGGTACATTTGACAGAGCATGCGGATTCTTCTGTCGTCTCCGAAAAGTTAGACTTCGAGCAGCTGAAATCAAACGAACAAATAGATCCAGAGCCATTGGGTAGGAAAGTGGAAATCTCGTCCGTTGTGCACGGAATGACAACGGTGACAATTCATCATGGAAAGGTTCTGGCAAGCTTCTACATTATATATTGGATTCTAAAACCTTATGTATAGATCTGCATGACAAGAGGATAAGATGAATTCCATCATAGGTCTAACGTTATTTATGTTCTCATCGCCCCCTCTTTACTCTTGCCATACCGTAAAGATGTCGTCCCTGGTTTTGGGTGGATTGGCTAGAGCAAAATTGAGCGATGTTGGAGCTATTGCGGGAGGAATGCAACTATATTATATTCGTCCCCACTCGTAGGGTGTCATATATGAGCCTGTTATCCAAAAGACAGCGGTCAATCCGATTGGCTGTGTTTCAGATTTATGAATTCAAAACTGGATACCACAGGGGCTTTTGGCAGGTAACATTTGTCCAATAGAATGTTGTTAAGGGGTGGAAAATTCAGCCGCCAATCAGGGAGCTTGGCTCTTGTCCCTCGCAGGCGATGTGACACATCTGCATACTTCGCACTGCTTGCATATGTTTGGCCCATACTAAAGTATACGAGTTTGTCTTGAATGGCGAGGCCAATATGATTTATCCTAGGAACAGATAGGGTTAACAAGCACGGAGTAGGACAACCCGCCTTGGCCAACGTTGACTTGAATGCTGATCAAACAATTTATTCACACAATCTTGGTCTCTTCCCTTAGTTTGTTTATTTTTATTTTTATTTTCCTGTTTCATCCCCCATTTCATTACTTACCTCGTCCGCATTCTTTAGCGTGGAATTCATATGGCTTACGCCTTTCTTACGGAATGGCCCTGCTTTTGCCTAGATCTCACCGGCTTCCACCAGTTTCATGATGATGCACATGTCCTGACGATGGATGACTATCTCAGCTTCCACTTTAGTGCCGAAACTGGTATCTCAGCGCAAGCGGGTGATACCTATAGTAGAGTGATTTTCTGGTCTTGGAAAAAAGTATTATATATAGCACTTGTGAAAGTATTGTTCCCTTCAAACTTTGCTCTACATTGCATTTGAATCAAGTATAGTCAGCATCTTATTACCTCTTCCAAGACATGGTATATTACTGTTTGAACTTGATGCCTGTCTTTGTCTGTTTGACAAGCTTTGTTTGCCAGTTTCTCAGGGTGTGAATATCCCGCTTTTTCCATACATTTAGGAATAAAACGAGGATAGAAATTTATGGTAGGGCGATATAATGCAAGACAAAATCAGTTGTATCCACCATCTGCTTTCACACAATTTCTGACAAAGGCTTTAGGGAGAAGAAAAGTGTATGTTTCCCTCTCTTCCTGCATATGCAACATTATGGTACACGCGTGTTAGGTGGCTCAGGAGGCACGCTTTATATGAGAAAAGCAGTGAAAACAGACAGTATTATCCAAAATGTCACCCAAATAACAACCACCACATGTTTCTGGAATATCAAATATGTAACGAAATTGCCCAAGAGACAGATCGGGGTGTTGATCAGCAGAAGAAGAAGAGTCAATTCATGTCTTCCAGGGACGGAAATGTGTGCTTCATCTATCGTGTCATCCATCCTAGAGGACCGCGTCTATTACACTTGATTCGTTAGCTTGGAGGAGCTGGGTGATAGTAAAAATTAGTAAGGATTTTACCGAGACAACACGTGAAGCTCAAAGGGTAATTGATTGTATAACAACCGTCGACTCCAACAGTTCTTGCTATCTGAGGCCTTTTAGGTGAAATTTGTTCTCAATTAAACAGCATACCCAAGTCGCAAGCGGTCCTTTTTCTTCTCACTCTGGGGATTTTAAGCTGTATTTATACTTCGATTCAGAATTCGACCTAATTATACCCATACCGAGAACTTTGCTTTGGTCGATATTCTTTTTAAATACAGCAATTTCCATCATGATAGAGAACTAAGAGTTATTCAGAGATTTCAAAAGTCTATGATGGTTGACCAGAAAAGTTTGTTCTTACAATAGTGCTGCTGATATCGTTTCATGTGCTTCTAGGGCTCTCTAGCCTTGATATAATAATTTCTGTCCTTCCTTCATATCTAATCCAAGGTTGCCAAGGTTAATAAGGTCCCAATACTACACAAAATACGCGGCTAAAACCTTATATTTGACAGGTGCATCGAGTAAAAAAATTCTCGAAATTAGCTAGTTTTCCCACTTCTTTGCTAGCATTTTAGCGAATTGGTTGCCTTCTCTTTTCCAAGCCCTTTCCTGCGAAAGATCTAGACGTTCCGCTTTAAATTCCAAAGATGCTTTCAGCTCAAATATGGCATGCGATATCAAGCTCGGTAATGGTTGGCAATGATCCGATCCCTTCAATATGCCGCAAATGTCTGCTGAAACCACGGACATGCTGTGGTGCAATTAAACTTTTCTTTTTCCGGTTGCTTTTTCCCCCTTCGAAGAAAAGGTGTAAGTCAACTGGCTATATGATTTACTTCCCAATCTACCAAATTTCAATAAATACCCCTTGATCTCCTAACTAGGTAACTAGGGAAGAATGAAGCAAACGAAAGTACCGGCCGAGTAGAACATTCCTTCGGATCGAAGGCGTTAATGAGAAACAAGTTAAACTAAAAACACGTTCGTAATCTTATAGTCGATCTTCCGCACCGTTTTCCCCTTGCGTATAGGACCCTGACCCACTCTCCTAAACCGTCTGGGCCCCATAATATATTTCGTACCCTCGTTCGTATGAATTAAGCTGTCACCTGGTGCTTAGGCATAACCTAAGTCTACCACATATTCAAGCATGGCATTATAAACCTACTCAAAAAGTGCCAAACATGACACGAGTCGCCTTCGATGATGCTATGATCACGCACGAAGCCACCCAGAACGTGGATTATTTATCTCTCGAATGGAAAGACGAGGATATATGGGAGACCAGAAAATACATCCGTCGACAAAGGGCACAGCTTAAAAATTACCGACGGCTTGAAAATGCCCTCTGGAGAGTGTGGGCAAAACAGGGCAAAGGGTTGCCATATTTTCCATCGCGACTGATTCAATGGTACAAAGCTGTCCTTCAAGGCTTCGCAAATAAGGTCACTCTCAAGCTCACATTTTTTTCCATCTCATTAGGGATAAAGACACCGATATAACTTGGCTTTTCGGGCCTTGGAAAAGACACGCCGGCTTACCACCTTTTCTATCTCATTCTCAATTGCAGCCAGGGGAGCCTGCAAGTGTGTCTTTCCCCAGAACGGACCAAGGTCTTGGTCAGTGGAAGTTTGCCTCCAATCCGCCGAGGAGTATTCTACTTCCTCCAAGGCCGTTGTCTATATGCAACCCACCCAAAAAGAAGGTATGTCTTGAATGACAAGTCTCCGGATAGTACACTGGTTAATATCGAAGGCGCAGGTTTGCATATCGCACATGCTTTTAAGACCAAAACGTCGGCGAGTTCGATTTAGTCGTGAAGTACAACAAGTTCTCTGTCTTCCACGAGCCTTTCCCTGGGATTTCATATCGGGACACAACTTGTCTGATGAGCAGGTATACCCATATTCGTTGTTCGAAATCTATAGAAGTTGGCGGACCCTGTTACCACTGCCACCCGCGTGGCTGAAGCCTCCCGAGGGACCTTTCCAGCGGTCTTTGTCCTTAAACTCGTCTTCATTTTACGAAGGTCAAGAGTAAGTCCAAAACATATTCTGTTAAGACTTCCGTGACAAATACCAAACTTGACAAAGAGTTGACCTCGGCGGCATGCAGGTGCATTTTCATATCTTGATTTTCTGTTATGTTTCCCTAGGCAGTAATTTCCTATTATCTAAAAAAGACCTTCCTCGCCCAATATCGATCATTCCCATAAAGAAAAGCGACGTTTCTTGGTACATCTTTCCGGCGGTCACAGATTATCCAGGTCGCAAAAGTCACAACCTTATACATAAACACCTGTCCACAACTATAATATCATGCTCGCTTCCGTTTTTTAGGACCCCCTGCGCCCTCCTTGTTCCGGGCAGCTTTGCCAAAAAGCGCGTCAATACTTTGCTGCCCCTTCTCACGCTGATCAGACTTGACTTTCTCACTCGCTACCACAGGAGGCAGCCCCTGAACACGCCGCTCCGCATCCTGCAGTAATTCTATTTCCCTCTGTCGCTGTCCTTTCACCGTAGGAATCGACCAAGATCCCGAGGTCACTGACTTGTGCGCCAGTTTATACTTGGAGCCCGTCAGGTGGGTCTCGTAGGTATTAGCGTCGATTTTACGTACGTGCTGTAGGATGTTCATTAGAAACTGGCGTTTCATCCATGTCTGGTCAGAATACTCGTACCTGGTGCCCAACAATCAACCAGTGGTACTCCGTCCCGACAGGTGCACCGCTACCCTTGGGCGCGTTACGTGCTCGTCGCTTGTTGGTTTGATAATCGATCCGCCATAGATCGGGCTCTTCCTTGGTCTCTTTCCATACACCTGGGTCGTAATTCCATGTATGCGAGCCGCCGATCGCCATGCCGGAATATCGCTGTCCCATATGCATCTTCAAGTCGTTATATCTCCCACCGAAGGCGTATGTTTGTTTCGGCGGTGATACCACGTTGTCAGCTTGCCCGTCCGCTGTCGGGGCATCCTCCTCATCTAGCAAGACAGGATCCGTGGAGTCGTATCCGGTGTTTTGGGAGTCGCTGCCGTCGCCAGGATCTAGGAGGTTGTCATTCGAATCTTCTGTGAGGTCGACATCTTCAATGCTGTTTTCGGACATGTTGGATTTTCTGACTCGTTTCTAGGTATGAAAGTGACAATATGGAATGCATATTTTGATACATAAAAAGACCGATGGTATTGCTGAGCCTTTGATGTTATATTGATGTCACAGGAGAAACAATGCTGAATAAGACAACCACCTGCAACAACCTTCCAAGGTTCCAAGGTTGGAAACCTTTGGTTTGTTGACTAAGATCTCGCTACTACAGCCCTGGAGAGGATTGCTTAGTCTGCAACGTCAAAGGTCAAGGTCTAAACGTCTCCAGTGGATATAGTATCTCGGTAATACGAAATCCGCGGATAGGAAATTATTAATGCGCATGATACGCGAATATGAATAATGAGTTTATTCGCATGAATACGATTCATTTACAGGGAATCGGAATTTAGCGTTCACTATTTAATATAAACCCTGAGGAAAATATATGTCGATATAAGAATTAATATTAATATGATTTGCAAAACAAAAACAATCACACAGCCGAAAATACAGCGTTGAACGACATATTGATCAAAATACAGGATTGCAATGTAACATGGTCAAATTTCGTAGCTCATTGTATTCCATAAGACCTCAGTGAAAGATCTCTGGAAAAAAGACATGGTAAGAAGTTGCGAGCGATCACTCAATGGTAATCTTCTTAGTGACCGAGGTAGAGGCCTTGGGCACAAGAATAGACAGAATGCCATTCTTCAAGCTGGCCTTGACATTTTCCTGGTCAACACTAACCGGGAAGGAGAAGGTACGCTGGAATTCTCCGACCGAGCGCTCGCTGGCCCAGAAGCGGTGGGTTGGCTCCGACTTGTTGTCGGCCTTCTCAACCTCATTGCCTTGCGCCATGTCGGGGCCATAGTGATACTCGCGCTTAGAGTGACCCTTCACCATTAGAGTCTGGGGGTCGGCGAACTCGATTTCGATATCCTTTCGCTCGAGGCCAGGTAGCTCGCCGTCGAGGTGGTAAGAGTCATCGCTTTCGCGGACGTCAAAGCTTGGGGAGAATGAACGAGCTGTAGGCTGTTTACGGCCGGAGCGGTGGACATCATAGTCGTCGAGAAGACGGAAGAGAGGGGCGAAGTCGCCCGCGTTCGCGAAGCTAGAGTGCAAGAGAGACATTGTTGATTGGAATAGTATGTTATGAGAACTATAAGCTGTGATTCTTTGCGTTGGTGAATTCAGATTCTGTCAAGGAAGCGCAGCGGTTTTATGATGCTTGTGGCAAATATCATGCATCGTATCGAAATCTTCCTCAGCTCTCGAGTTTATTCTAGATAATTCTCCTAGTGTCAAGTCCTTTCTATAACATGATTTCTTCCCCATTTATGACTTTGAGATGACGGACGAGTTCCAATGGTTACCCGTCCACGATACCACAGAGAGTGACGTCATCCGAGCGGAAATAGTAAACTGGCCGGCACTTCGAGAAGGCTCGAGAATAACTGGGAAAAAGTAGCTGAAGTTGGTGTCAAAGGAATGTATTTTCATTATTCTTTGAATACATGCTGTTGGACCCTACCCATATGTTGCTCGCGCATACAAAGCTAAATGATGGCAACCCCAAGTATCAAATTTCCAAGGTTTGGAATTGAGATATTCTTAGTCATCGCAGAAATAAACATGCTAGGAAAATATTTCCATATGTCAACTGCAAGTATTGTCTTGATGGGAGATGAAAGAAAGTCACCCTCAAGTCGGTATCAACCGGTATCATCTGTTTCACAGATGTCAAAGGATGAAGAATATGTCCGAACCTGAGACGCGGAATTGTCGGAAGTTGACAATGTCGACAGTAGACAGCTGATTTAGAAGCTTGGCCTTTTGAAAATGCCGGATCTAAAGAACAGGTTTGCTAACCTGCTGAAATCATGGCATAGTCAGGACGTAACCTTGGAATACACTACGCCACACTGACTGTTACGGTAGATGGATGACTTATCCAAGGTGCACGCAAAACTCATTCCATTCTGCTGAAGCTAGGAAGATACGCGAATCTTTTAATCATCCGGGTCCGATCAAATGCGCACTCATATTCCTTCAGCATTCCACAGGCTTCTCCAGATAGTTCAGTTGCGGGCGCTAACTTTCGACATATTGCGCCAAGTCCCGTGGAATTTGAACAGGCTGCGTCGAGTTTTGAATCCTCCAGAAAGGACATCGTAGGAGGGGTGGGTGGGCTATCGCCATTTAACTCGTTGGCGGGTGGAGATTGATATAGAGTGAATAATTGGCATAAAGAGAATGAAGTGCTCGTTGCGTTGCTATAAGGTAGAATGAATTCAGCAATCAGTATATCATTCAAAAGATCGCTGGTTTATAGCTCACTCTTCTTTCTGGTTATAAGTCATGATGCTATTGTTGAAGCAATTAATTCGAGATCAGCCGTGTTCTCTACAATGCTCCAGGCCAGACCACCTCGAGTAGTTATACATTTCGAGTTAGGAAGACTTTCATCGACACTTCGTTACTCTCGGATCTCAACCTTGGGAAATATTTTCCTCGTAACTCAAACCAACCGGAATCAAGATAAATCAAGATTTTTAACCGATCAAGTGATCACGAGTGAATATTTTACGAACTAACTGGCCAATGAGCAAGTCCGCTGTTATCGAGCGCTTATTATCTTGACATAGACCAATTATTTTGGATCATCCCCTGCAGCTTTGGTACTTACTGATGAGATCATGGCATGTTCTAGAATCAGCCATTTAGACGTTTCTCAGGTAGGGCAGAAGAAGATACGATATTACCAAGAACCAGCAATATTTGTTTATGTAGGGAAGATCATGAAGAAAGACGGTGTATTCCTAGAATACCCACGGAGACAAAGAAGGGGACCCTGAGCGCCCTTATAAAGCGGTGGCATCCCGATCGGGAAATTCACATCAGATTGGGGGAATTTCTACAACTGGGTCACTGAGATATATATATTTCTGACTCACAGCGAAGTCTTAATTACCCTAGTATTGTAGCTTTAAGAGTTATTTGAAACTAATGTCTATTTTCACGACGTTTGTAGATCTGCAGTATAAAATATATAGTTCATACCACCTTGAGCTTCAGTCTTGGGACTTGTGATTCTATGCGATCTACAACTATACCACATCTGGTGTTAGTAGGATTTGCAAATCTCAAATCACCACGTTGTTGTCCGAAGTACGTCGCGTCTGCTTGGTGACTAGTCTAATTTTAGTAGTATGGTGCCAACCCTGACACCTACTAGTTCTATAGTCAGTTCAGTCAGTTCACATCAACATATTCGGCTTAATGTAAGCAAATACTGTGTAGCATGGTAGCTGGTAGTTAAGCCATGGCCGAATCGTTGCATAATTTTATGTAGGTTATACAGCACCGAAAATAGAATGGAAGCTGTACTCTCGATTCCAAAAGAATCCTTGTCGTACATACTATTGGCTCCATCATTGGAATGCATATGTCACTGTCAGCGTCGTGTCAAAGCAATGATCCAATAATAAAATTCCCCGTAAAATAATGTAGGCCAACCTCCAAACTCCCCCGCCTAGAAACTAAGTAGAAAGCAGTTAGGGCTCGTGTTGATCCTTCGTGGCCCCATATTAGCGTGAACGTCGTAAAAATAGAATCTGTGAGCCTCATGGAAAACGAAATTTCAATGGTTTGTATACATCGTAATAATTATTTGTGTGATTGATTTGATATTTTCTTTGAAATCCAAATGTCCCAGTTCAAAAAGATCAGAATCAGAGTAGTATGGACTTCCATTGACGCCGAGTCTACTGCATGTTGAAGCGCTTCTTTGTTAGAGCGTCTCATCTTGAGGGCAGTGCTTCAACCCCCCCACTTTGGGGCTGTTGTCTGTGGTCTGTACACCGTATATTGTCTGTGTGTCTGTGAAAGTTCGCTATTCTTCCAAAGATTGGGATTTTGCATTTCCTGCTGCCTCCAACTTCCCTGCTCTCGAACCTGGCCATATTTAATTATTCTATAGACATCGGAAAGTTACCAAAGCGGTTATTCAATGAGAGTATCCTAGCGCCAGCGTCTTTTGTACTATCTTTCGTGGCGGTTCTTTGTCTTCGCTTTGGAGCCTTCACATAAGGCAGTGCCCCGAGTATCCAACTTCAACCCACCATATCTGCCATGAGATTCTTGCCATTTGCAATGTTGGGCACTGCACTGGATGAAGCAGATACCTGGGACCCCATTAGATCGGAATATCCGACCTCGCAAGTGGCATCAGTGGACCAGGATCTGGTGCTCACGACAACACCAGGCGGAAACCAGAGGAATGTTGCGGAACCGTCAAGCTGGGTTGATCCAGCGGTGCCAGTGACAGGTATCTTTCCTGAAACGGTATCATGGCCCTCAGTCAGCGAGTTGACCACATACCCAGCACCAAGTGAGACATCGGCTGTCGATAGTATCAGCTCAGAAGCTAGTCCAACAAGCATACCGGACGCAACCGTATATACTACTCCATCACCCTCACCAACGTCTTCGGCTACGTCGTCAATTTCAAACCTATCGTCTCTCACATCCACCCAAACAACCACAATCTCAGCCTCAGCCTCAGCCTCAGCCTCAGCCTCGGAAACAACAGCAGCTAGCGATCCAACCACTTTCTCCGGCGGCCCATCAAAAACAACAAAAATCGCCATAGCAGTCCCAGTCTCAGTAATCGGCCTAGCTCTAATCCTAGCACTGCTATTCTTCCTCTTCCGCCGACGACGCCGCGAAAAGGAACGCAACGCCCTACCACCACCATACGACATAGCAACAGCCCATCGAAGCGGAGTATCAACACAAGAACTAATGATGTCGCCCAAATCTCCAACACCAGAACCAAGACGTTCACTCTCAACACCGGCCATGTCCTCGACGGCCACGGCCACGTCCATGCCCGTGCCCATGCCCATGCCCCGGATCCCGATTATCAGCATCTCGCCCTCGACGGAAAGTCGGGGCCGAACGCCTACTCCCGATCCCAGCCCTGGATTGGGCTCTGTGCACCGCATGTCTATGGCGCGTGGAGCTGGTGACTCTGAGGCGGAGATTGGGGTTGCCGTTGCTGTGCCGATGGATCAGAGGCGGAGTGCTACGGAGCAGGACTTGAGGGGTCGGGTTGCGTCTGCTACGTCGTCGAGGGGGCCGTCGCGGTTGGCTAGGATGCCGTTTGAGGATTTTTCGGATGATGAGGTTGGTATTGGTATTGCTGTTGGTGGTTCGGATGAGGATGATGACGATGACGATGATGATGATGATGCTGTTTCTGATGTGTCGGATTTGGAGGGGCGGAGGAGGGAGAGGGATTTTGATCAGGTTTCTGTGGTGTTGTCTTTCGATGAGGTGTCGCCGATAGGTGAGCAGGAGAGGAGGCGGTTCCAGGGGGTTTGAGGGTATCCGCAAGGTGATATGATATAATCAGGCTAAGCTTGGTCTACGGCCTCTTTTACGTAGTTTCATTTAGTTCTCCGGCGTTTTGGGTGGGTTCCATGAGGGTTTCATTGTAATAGGCTACAAGTTGTGTATCTCAGACTATGTACTTGAATATGACCGGAATGATATCCTGATCACAGTACTAGTCATAGTATTGGGCACTTTGAGGCCATGTGCTGTGTGAAAATGAACTGTTGGTGCTGGTTCCTGTTCCGATTATCGTCCACCACCGAAGTCAGCCTTGTGGGCTGTGGCCTTACCGTGGGTCAATTCCCGAAGAGCCATGGTGGCGTACTGGCTTGATCCCAACTGGAATTTCAGGATAACAGCCAGCTTATCAGCTGGGGTCTCATCGGCCATGGTGGTATCGGCATCCTTGTCCTCACCCTTCAGCTTTTGCAAATCCGTCTTAACGAACTGCTCATCGTCCTTGGAATAAAGCTTCACGTCGAAAGAGTAGTTGTTTGTCACCATGCGGCTGAAAATCTTGCGGTAACTGCCGCTAAGGCTGATATCCTTCCACTGGCGGCGCATGTTGGACGGGTCAAGGCCACCACCCTGCTCGCTTTCCATGAAGCGACGGTAGAATTCCTTCATTTCGTTTTCGGGGTAGATAATGTCATATCCAGGCTGGGGAAGAACCAGATCAAAGATGGTGTATTTGCCACTGGCTGCCTCTTCGGCCGTCAGGGCACGTGCCCGCATGAACATGTCCTCAGCCGCAACGGCACTGTCCTCGCCCTGAGGAACAACAATAATTTCACCGTCAGCGTCGACAGTCTCGGCAGCCTCGGTAACAGAGACAGTTTCTTTGTCGCGGTGCTCTTGGATAATGACGAGATCGCCTGCCACCACCCGGTCGCCGTAAAGGCGCCAGCGCTCGCTCGCAGCAAAGTTCCAGACGAGCGACTGGTATGCATGCACGTACATCAATCGCAGGTTACGGGGAATACTCTGCAGCGCACCCAAATAATCCTTCTTGTTCCGGCCGAGGTGGCGGAGTAGATTGTTTTCGGCAGAGAACTTGCGCGGCATCTTTTGCAGAGCGTCGCTGACGTTACCGCCGGTCTGGAAGATATTAATGGCCATGGCGCGATCCTTGTCATCAGCGCCGATGTTAGCAGTGGACATTTTCCCCTCCATTGCCGCCTGAAGAGACTTAGGAGAATACTGCAGAATAGCATCGCATGCGCCCTTGAAATCTCCCTGCAGCATCTTGACGCCGACCACGTCCGTACGGGTTGCGAAGGTTCCAAATCGCTGGAGACCGTAGTAGTTGAAGTATCCCCGCTGGTAGAGGTTCTTCAAAGACGTACCGACAACTTCGGACGCCTTGGCAATCGCAGCCTGAGGATCACTCAGGCTCACGCCGGGAATTTCAACGTCGCGCAGAGTAATCACGAACTCGTTGCCCTGCAAATCACCAAGCTCCAGTCCGTGTTTGCGGTACTCGAAGTCTCCGATATAAGCATTGCGAAGTTCCGAGTTCATTCCTGCAAGCCGATCGAGGTGAACGCGCACAGCACAGGCACGTTGCACGGTCACACCCCGCCTATCCTTGGTTCCAGCGAATTGGAAAGACTTGGGATTCATCTTCAATGAGCGGGCGATATAGCCAATGACTTCCATTGTGTCCTTGTTCTCCTTGTAGATGGTGAAATGCAGGTATGGCCCACCGAGTTCTTCCCAGTTGATTCGGTGGCCCTGGGCCGGCCATTGGATCGTCCAGCGGTCGCACCGCGCTTGAAACGGTTGTTCGCCGCGCTGATTGACATGTTTCCCTCTGCGTCGGTAGAAGATTCTAGCTGAGACTTGAAAATGCGACGAATAGACTGGTGGATCTTGGTACGAAGATCACGATCAGACACGGGAAAGGTGACATTTCCAAATTCACTTGGTCGGCCCTTTGGCTTAGACATAGCAATCTTGTGGAGCGCAATGATTTCCGCGGCACACTGAGCGCCAAAGTATTCCTCCAGAAGAGTGTGGTCCTCTTCCGAAACCTTGAACTCAGCTGGTGTTTCCGCCTCCTTGGCCGGGGCGTCCTCAGTTTTCTCCGCAGCAGGGGCTTCCGCCTCAGGGGCTTTTGGTGCAGGTGTAGCAGGCGTGGACTCGGTGGTCTTATCGTTGAATCGGAGGTGGACAACTTCGCCGGTGGTCATGATCTCATTGACCATAAAATCCGTGTATCTGCCCATGATTATTAGCGGAATCCTGAAATAGAGAAATATAATAGCTCACCTCTTTTTCAAAATACCTGAGAATCCCTCAGTGTCGTTGCTTACAAACTCCGTGATACCGACCTCAACTTCCTTCAAAGCCTGCGCATCTGCGACTGCGGTGCTCGGGGTCTCGGTCGCGCCGTTGACAGCGACAGCGACCTCAGTTGAGCCTGCATCTTCAGTCTTCTGTCGCTTGCGCGGAGACTCCACGATATCTGGTTTCTCCATATTGCGTAAATCGTTCCTAATGGGTGGGGTTGGATGGAGAAGGTTGAGCTTCAGGAACTTTTCTTTACCGATTGGGTTTAGCGCGACAGGGCCCAGTGTGGGTCAGCCCTACTTACCGCATTGGGACGGAAGACCATTGATACTTCACTTTCACATTCATCTCATTGACTGATTGACACTTTCAATAATCAATAGATCCATCCAGAGCTGCCTAGCTTGCTAGCTCGAATTATTAATACTACTCCCAAACAAACTAAGATATTCCTGATACCTTCAATGCCCCAAATGGAATCAATGTATTACAGCAGCGGTGTGACAATTGGTCGTCAGTACACCATAGAAAGAATCCCAATGAATAAACTGAAGAATTTCTTTACGGTGGAGAAATTAGTTGCGAGTTATTGTAAATAATCACACGTGGACACTTCCGATGCTACTACTACCATGTTGACTGAGTCTCGTGTTGATATCATCATCAACTAGACCATTGTCACCATGCACATCTCTGTTGCTCCAATTTATGTCTCAGACCATTGGAATAAGATTCATAGTTGACGAGGAATTTGGCAAGTTGTCCACGATGGTCTTTTCCTCGAGTCCATGAAAACTAGTTATATCGGAGACCAATTGTTTCACAGGCTCCTGTATCCCATCTTAGTTACCTAGGTATAGTATGTGAGAATAATTAATTGATATTTCATAGACCCTTCTTCAAAAGGATGGCCACGCCTAAGCCGGACATGCTACATAAGCTTACCTCAGATGGGATCGGGGCTTTTACAAAGTAGCCAGATGAATTTTAAAGCAAGTATAATTTCTTCTAGACCTCTAGGCAGACTGTATTTAGTAACCTTGTGCTAGCTCCGTGCTTGCTAAACAAAGCCAAACACGAACCAGAGAGCAAAACGAGAGGAAACATGACCCAGTCTGAAGAGCCGTAGCATATATTGTATTCGAAGACATGCAGCATCTCCCGAAACTATACAACACGTCACTCAAATATACAGGGAAAGCTCCATTTCCAGGATGTTCCTGAAAGCACTACACGCCAGGACCAAGACAGGCACGGATTCTAAATCAGACGCTCCGAACAGCGCAAGCGACTGGACGCTGCGTATGCAATAAACCGAAGAAACGCACTCAATCTCCGATCTCAGCTGAGAAGTTTTACTCATCAGACTTGTGCTCTGGAAGATGAACTCGAACATCGAGATATAAATTGGTGGTATTCACCCGCTGTTCTGGATATCAGTTCTACAAGAATCAAGCTTCCATTTTCAGCAAGTTTACCCCTAAAGCCATTCGGTGAGACTCACAACTATCTCGCATTCATAGTGTGTGATAACTGAGCTAACCATTTAACTGAGCTAACCATTGACTCTTTTGTCCAATAGCTCGATCTAAACCATGAAGTCCAACTTCCTCGTCGCATTCTTCAGCTTGGCTCTGGCCGCTGTTGCTGCTCCTACCGGTATGTCATATGTCACCAGCCATTCCGGCAATTTATTTAGAACACTTCTAATTGAGCGATCATAATAGGTCCTGGTGGACTTGGTCTTGGCGGCGCTGGTAGTGGTTCCTTGGGCGGCGGTGGCGGCGGCGGCGGTTCAATCGGGTCAGGCCTCGGTGGAGGCTTTGGCGGTGGTTTCGGTGCTGGTTCTGGTCTTGGAGCTGGTCTTGGTGCCGGTGCTGGCGATGGGTTCTAAAAGAATCTTGTGAGGCTGGACTAATGCATTCGGCATTGTGTATCCCGTTGAGGTAGTCTCCTAAGAGGATGATACGATGGTAGGATTATAGGATTGGCAATGACAGTTTCAGCCCTACTTATTTCCATGGATGAATTTGTAGAGCTCAGTAAAGGTCTTTATTGTAAAAGAAAACAGGGGAGCAAAGATAATAAAACTGCTAACGCTCAGCCCAAACTCCATTGTGATTCTTTTTCTATCTTCCAGGATGCGTGTGTGCATGATACATGGGTTGCGTTAGAATGAAGTGCTCTGTACGAGTCAAAAGTGAAAAAAAGGAAACAAATGTAAAATGCATAGAGAAAAGGAATAAGGGGATGTTTATTTTACAGCTCATCTTTAGGAAGATCCTCCTTCTCCTTGGGCTGATCTTTGCCCTTGCCCTTGCTCTTCTCGGCCTCGGGCTTCTTCTTGTCCTTAGTTGCCTTCTTACCGTTGCTGTTGTTCTTCTTCTGCTGGCCAGCGTTTGCAGTCATCCTCTCGTACATGCGGTTAAGGATGCGCTCGAACTCGCGCAGCCGCGAGTCGACCTCCACAACGGTCAAAGCCGGGTCATCAGACTCGGAAAGCGTCTCTTGCAGGCTGAGCTGGGTTTCGAGCCAGGGGTTGGTGGACTCGTAGGCCTGAGTGATGGCCGCGAGATCGGCGGGGGTGAAGAGGGAGTATTTGGGGCCTGTGGGCTTGGCCGGAGCAGCACTCGTAGTAGATGTGGTAGACGATGAAGAAGCGGAGTATGCGTCTTCATCGAGGTCATCGAGACCCTCGTCAGAAGGGGCCGGGGCTGGGGTCGATGTGCTGGCTTCGGTGGAGGTTTCGGTGGCGGAAGCGCTTGAGGCTGAGAGGGAAGAGGAGTAGATCTGCTCGTCATTTTCGATCTGGTTCTTGATCAATTCCTTCATGGACTCGGCGTTCTTGAGCATGTCCTTGAGCAACTGCACGCGTGCTGGGCGAGAAGAGCTCTCCTTCATCCGCTTCAGCGCAGGGTTGACGATCGCCTTCAGGTCATTGAGCTTCGACTGGAAATCGGCAGTCTTGGCGTTGTCGCCCTCTTCGTAGAGCCAATCGCTGGCCTTAGAGACTCTCTCGGAGAGAACAGTCAGCTGATCCGGCTTGACTGCCTTGACGAACTCTTCGTTATCGGCAAGGTCTCGGCTACGGTAGATGAAAGATTCCAATTCATTAAGAGCTTCTTCGCGCAGGATACGATCGTGGTCCGAATCATCGAAAGCAAGGAGGCGGCCGTTGATGCGGCTGAGCTCAGCGACTGATGGCGCCGGAGTCCCGAGCGCGACGGACTTCAAGCTGATCGGGATGACTTCAAGCTTAACCTGAGGGGTGGCCTTTGCGTCCTTCTTTGCGTCCTTGGTGGATGTGGTGGTGGTCTTGGAACTTGCGGAGGATGCAGTGGAGGACTCCGACTCGGACTCAAGGGTGATCGATTCACGAGGTTCGCCATCTTCGCCGAGGGGCTCCTGCTCATCCTTCTTGCCGAGGCCGAAGAAACCCTTGACGTCTTCAACAATTCCCTTCTTCTCAGATTCCACCTCGCAGCTAACGGTACCAGCCATAACTTCGGGAAGACCATCCACAGGGCTGAGGCGGATCGTGAACTTGGTGGTAATGTTTGCAGTAGTACAGCCAAAGTTATCCTTCAGCTTAGCAACAGACGCAGTAAGGTTCTGGGTGTGGACACCGAGGATGGGCTGTTCCTCATCCTGGGCAAGATGCTGGGCGAAGCTGAATTCGAAATCCTCCAGGTTCTTCACGGTAACTTGCTTCTCAGGACCGACCTGGGAAGTGGCGGTGAACAGCTTCTGGTTTCTCTGCTTGCCATCTGACTCCCACTTCAATGAGATGGGGTATGTAGCGGCGTCACCGGTGCGAATATCCTTAACACGGAAACTAGGGCTGAGAGCAGCTCCCTTAAAGGCAGCACCAAAGACAGCCGCCTCATCAGCGTTTACATTGGTTCTGATCTTCTTAGAAGAGCCGGCGAAGTTCTCCAATTGCTTCTGGACGAACGGGGTCCGAATGGCTCCACCGTGAAGCACGACAGATTCAATATCGCTCAATTGAAGCCCGGCCGCCGTCAAGGCCTGCTCCACTGGGTTTCCAATACGGGCGACATGCTCAGCAGCCATCTTCTCAAAGTTGGCACGGGTCAGCTTGTACTTGAAGTTGACATTCTCGTCGTACAGTCCCTCGAAGCTTGTCGAAGTCTCGGTGTTGGCGCTCAGAACCTGTCGGAGCTTCTCCGAATCCTTCCAGAGTCTGGACATAGTCTTTCCATGCGCCTTGATTTCAGCTGGAGTAACCTTATCCTTGAGCTTCTTGTCCTCAACCAAGTGGGCGACCATGTCGTTCACAATGAGGTCGTTTAGGGCGTCACCTCCAAGTGATTTGTCCCAACCAGATCCAACAACATGAACTTCCTGGATAGTCTTGTTAAATTTGCCAATATCCTTAACCTTGCGGCTCTGGAACCGCAAAACACTCGCGGTCGTAGATCCAGCACCCATGTCATACACGATGTGGTATTCGGGCTTCTCGCCGTCAGAAACGCTGGGGAAGGTACGGCTGGTGGCGTAGTTCAAACCGACAGCCAATCCATCACTGACAAGAGCCTGGATCCTCAGACCTGCCAGCTCAGCCGCCAACTCGAGGCTGCGCTTCTCCTCCGCGGTGTAGAACACAGGGTAGGTAATGACGACATCGCGGACATCGGATCCCTTTCCAGCCAATGTATCAGCGTTAGCCTTAATCTGCTTCAACTGCATTGCCAGAATCTCCTCAACCAAGAAGGCCTCCTTCTTCTGCGCCTCTCCAAGTCGGTTGCTGCGGAGAGCAACAGAGCCGCGACCATCAGGGGCGGTCTCCAATTTCAACGCGGGGAACCTGTTCCAATATGTCTTGACTGCCTCCTCATCGCCATCATTGAACGGAACACCCAACAGAGTCTTCAAGTTGATGTAAACGTCATCCGGGTACCGAGCCGCGAGGGCGAGCGCATTACCACCATAGAACCGTTCGGGGAAAGGCGCATCGCTCTCTCTTGTAGGCTTGAAAGCGACAGCAGCGGACTCCTTGCGCTTCGAATCTTTAGTGAGGACGATCTCGAGGGGAATGCCGGGTTTCACGAGAGCAGCCTTGAAATATTCCGTGCCGATGTCGATACCCAGGACGGCCGATCCGGCGGCAGAGGCTGGCCCAGCGAAGCTGAGGAGGAATATGAGGAATGGGAGGACCACGAGGGACAGCATTGGCGAGCTGGATAATTGTCGGCGATTTAAGAACGCCATGATCTATGTGTAGGCTCCGGGCTGCGGGAGTCAGCCAAATTGCCGATTCAGGGAGTTGCTTGTAATTTCAACAGGGAATGTTTACCCCAGTGCGAACATATATAGACAAATTGACAGATATTCAACGACTCCACCGGCTTGCCGAATAGTGCGTCGGGTTCGGGCTAGCTTTGCGCCAGATGGATGATCGGATGGAGCTATGGGATAGCTCAAGACTGGTGTTGGGTTGGGGTTGGGTAGTGGGGACGATGAACATGAAAAGAAAACCAGGAAAATGACTCAAAATTAAGCCATTTGAAAGCAAAGGGATACTGTGGCCACTTGGCGGTAACGTAACTTGAAGCCTAAAAGAGCTGTTGGATGAGGACACGGGTCATCATGCAAACACGATGTTTGATGTTTGCACTGCTTATCGTTATCGCATTATGTCACAGCCCTAATTTCCAAGGTTCGAACAGGGCTGTTGTATACCAAACGAGTTGTGAACGTCCTAAATTTATAATCATGAAGGGAGACGTGGGCTTAATAGAAGTAAGTATAGATTCACAACTAATGTATATATGACTGTAATTAGAGTTCCATAGTCATGGATAAGGAGCGTCAAGTCGTGAATAAATCCGTTAATAACCGTCATCCTGGTGTCCTTCAAGACTGGATATGCCCAAAACAATAATTTTTTTTTTTTTGGAATATTTGAGTAATACTCTCTTGTTTCATACGGAAAATCCATCGCTCGGTTTCTCACCAGCCACTGCTTAGAGCATTGACATTATATCTGGTCTGACAGATCAACTTCGGTGTAGATCCATTAAAGCAGAGCAAACAGGAGAGCAAGACCAGGGATGAAGGCCACAGCAGATTTCTGGAGAACTGGAGCACTGTTGAAAGCAGGTGAGGAGGAAGCAGGGGGAGCGGAGGTGGAAGAAGTGACGGGTCTTGACTGTGCGGGGGCAGTAGGCTCAGTAGCTGGAATAGTGGGCTTGGTATCCGGAGGAGGCACCACCACAGAAGTTGTAGAAACAACAGGGGGGATAGTGGCCTTAGTGGGAGTGGCTGTGGGCGGCTGAATGCAACCCTCAGTGCAGGTGGAAACCGACGTCACGGTGATCGTGCTGGTCTGGGTCACAGGGCGGGTGTAGGTTGATGTGCCGCTTGTGATAGTACTCCAAGTCACTGGTATTATTAGCAATTATAATTGACAGAACGGTCAGGGTTTTACTTACCCGGGCAGGTGGTAGTGGTATATGTGGTGGTCACGGTAACTGGAGGAGGAGTGCCAGTGGGGGTCTCAGTCTCGCAAGGAGTGGTAGAAGTGGGAGGGGACGCGGTGGGAGTTTTGGTCTCGCTAGGCGTAGTGCTAGTAGGAGGGGGCGTAGTAGGCGTGTAGGTCTCGCACGGGGTGGAGCTCGGGGGAGGAGGAGAAGTGGGAGTGTCGGTGGGGAGTATCGGTCTCACAAGGAGTCGAGCTCGCAGGGGGAGAAGAAGTGGGAGTGTCGGTCTCGCAGGGAGTTGAGCTCGGGGGAGGAGAAGTTGGAGTATCGGTCTCGCAGGGAGTTGAGCTCGGGGGAGGAGGAGAAGTTGGAGTATCGGTGGGAGTATCGGTCTCACAAGGAGTCGAGCTCGCAGGGGAGGAGAAGTGGGAGTGTCGGTCTCGCAGGGAGTTGAGCTCGGGGGAGGAGGAGAAGTGGGAGTATCGGTGGGAGTATCGGTCTCACAAGGAGTCGAGCTCGCGGGAGGGGGAGAAGTGGGAGTGTCAGTCTCGCATGGAGTGGAGGTAGGCGTCACAACCGGGGGCGTAGTAGGCGTGTCGGTTTCACACGGGGTGGAGCTCTCGACAGGCGGAGTAGTAGGTGTCACAACCGGAGGAGTACTAGGCGTCACGACTGGGGGAACAGTAGGCGTGTCCGTCTCGACAGGTGGAGTCGTGGTATCGGTTTCACATGGGGTCGAGGTAGGTGTCACAACCGGGGGCGTAGTAGGTGTTACAACCGGGGGAATAGTAGGTGTGTCGGTCTCGCCCGGGGTGGAACTCTCAACAGGCGGAGTAGTCGGCGTCACGATTGGGGGAACAGTGTGGGTGGAAGTCTCAACAGGCGGGGGAGAGGTCTCTGCTGGGGGGACTACCGCCACCGTGCCCACCATCTCCATGACCGCCATTTCCGTGATCCCCATGGCCACCACCCCACCATGGACCGCCGCCGTGGTCGTCACCGTCGCGGATAGCGATGCGAGCTTCACCAGCATGTCTCGGAGCCATGACCATGCCGGACACCAAGGTCGCGGCGTAGAGCAGAATGATTGGAGCGCCGCGCATCTTGGCTAGCAAACGAATGGTTGTTATGTACTGGAATATATAGGGCTGATATGTTCCTTGAAACGAAGGACGATAGGAACCGTAGCGAGAGAGTTCCTAAACAGGCAATATCGACAATTGAAATATTTGCAGGATCGAGGCTGGGAGCAGACGGGGAAGTAGAGCAAGTTTATATGTGCCTCTGGGATTAGGTCTGCTCAGAGCTCCAATTCCTGTTTGGCTGGCTCAGTCGATAGCTCCATTCTGTTGGCGATTAGGTCAGTGTGGACCAACCGGTACCATATTGGGCAATCAAGATAGACGAAAGTCAGAAAAAGTGGCGCTCATATTCCGATACCAACCAGAACCAGCATGGACGAGCAGTATTCAGCAGTCGGCCCGGATATTTCCAGCGATGTGGCTGGCCATGAATCTGGATGCAGAGGTCATGACCGGCGCATGTACACGGGCTCGGTTGACTAGACGACCAGGTGCTAGGGTTGAGCCAATGATAACTTGACGAGGTCTCAGATATTGGCGTTTAGTTTTCTGACCTCGAAAGAGTTAAACCATGCTTTCGGAGCACGGTGTACGATCAGCCAATTGACTCTGACGATGCAGGTCGGTGCTTGGCAATACGGGAGATAGCTGTGATTTTCCGTCATGGTGCTGAGTGCACTCCATGTTCGGTTAGTCTTCTGCTGGTTTCTGTTTTTCCCCTTGCCTCTTTTCTTTGTTTCGCACTCTATATGGATAGCGATATAGAGTCTGGTATGAAAATGTCTCTTGCACACATCATGAGACCAAGCTATAAATAACTCTTAAGTTCAGCCACAACCCCATGTGTCCAGAGAAAAGTGTGGGGTAACCTCACGAAGACGTGGAAATTAGAACGACGTAGGGAATATGCCTAGATCAAAGTAAGTGATAACTTGGAAACTTCGGAACTCTAGCAAGGCATGAAAGCGATGATCATAAAATGGTTGATCGGTGGATGTTGTGGATCTGTGTTAGTGAATGTGAGTAGACCGTTAGGTGCGGAGATACGGGGCAGGCCCAACATAGGGATGTGCCCCTCTCTAATGCAGCCCTGGAGGTGACGTTATAGAGTACATCAGTTGAAAGTCAATGGGCCAACGCAAGACAGTGAATCTGGGACAGTCCCTGGCCCCTTTCTCTAAGAATATGCAGGGAAGTTGCCGATGCCCCACGATTGGCTCGTTATGTACGTATACCCTACAACATAGTACTTGTGGTGATGTCAAATGTGTTGTCCTTGTTTTCGCTCTCTTCCTCTGTTTTATTTGTCCCTCTTTTGATATTGATCATTTGCCTAATATATTCCTGTTTCTGTTTTTTTTTTAATGATCGTTCCCTACGTTCGACGTACACAATACCCGTGGAGATAGCCCGAATTTGTAGACTGCCTGTTCTTCCACGGCCTCCCCATTAATAAGAATTCTTTTATTTCAATATTTGCCCAGTCCAGATCAGACTATTAGAATTTTTAGTTGGACTGATGACGCCCTAGATCTTGCTTTGACCAAAAAGGAGAATAATGGCGGGGTAAACGAGCTGTTGGACTTTGAGAACGACCCTATGTACATATCTGCCCCTGGTACCGTACGATATGCACTGCATAGATGTTGTACATGCATTTGTATTATTTCACGGTAGTCGCACAACTAGAATCCTTCATAGACCTTGGAAATATTGCCAGCCTTCTTCCAATGTTTTCAAGGTTTAGAGGAACGAGGGATCCATGGTTCGGAAAATGCGGGGACATTCCAAGGTTGTTACCAAGGAAGTATCTGATATGACTTCAAAGTACTATCCAGAATTAGGAGATATGTCTTAAACTCTCCAAACCTCAGGGTCTTGGAAAACCATGAGGAAGTCGCTAGCCTTCTTAATTGTGGATAGTGAGCTTAGGAGACTACTCCGGTGTCTATTGCCGTATTCCATTCCAACCATGCCTCGGTGGCGCACATATCCCAGTCATCACGCCCCAATAGACAACAATGAAAGCTACTACTCCGTACAGATGGTGTGATACTCTATACAATGTGACCTTAAGCCACTGAATCATTCTATGTCTTTTCCTCGGAATCATTATACACTGGTGGTATTGTATACTCCGTATATTGGGCCTGCGTAATGGGAGGCAATTATCACCCCAAACCGGCTATATACCCTGCCATTTTTAATTGCGATGATATCAACATGAGTACATACAAGAAGTGTGTTTAGTCGTCATCATCGTCCGAGCCGCTACTCCACCCTGTCTCGTAGTACTCTCGAATCTCCCCCGAGTCCGTTTACCAAGGCCTCGCGCTCATCGACCGACATCAGGCGAGCGGCAGTCGCCGAGATAGCCTTGATCCTCTGAGCCGTTCGTGTCGAGGCGGTCAATGCGGTAAACACGTTTACTCCAGTACCTACCTCGGGGGTGGGGAACATATCATGCGGGAAACTGTCAAGGATGGGCATGCTGAGTGGCGTGTGGAAACTATAATAATGGTATAGGATGTGAGTATCCTGGCTGAGACAGTGAGAGTAAATGTGCAAAATGGGAAACCTACCTTTGCAGCATTGATTCTGCGTTGTATCTTCTGAGTTTGCGAAGGTGCCCAATGTCCGTGTCCTCGGTGGACTCACTGTCCCTTTCTGGTTCGTCTCCACGAGTTACCTGCACTTGGTTGAAGATATGAGCGCCCTTGTTATACTCGCCGTCATAGGCGAAGTCAATGTCAAATTCAACTTCGGCTTTCGTCGGCCCATCTTCATTGGAGGCTTCCTTGGTTTGACCGCCATTGATTTTGATTTTATTGATCGAAGACTGTAATTCGAAGATAGTGTGCGTGCCATCTTCTCCAGCGAGAGAAGCCTCGAAATGCTGATATGGCCGCAATCGGGAGGGCAGTGTGACCGTCTCAATAGCTGAGGCTAGCAAGGCAGCTTTTTGCCATTCTGATTGGCGATCAACGTTGAGATAACCGGGCAGCTTGTGCGGCACATCGATAATTGGAGAATACAGTGATGCCAGTGGGGCAATCGCGTAAAGCGACCTGGCCTTGTTCGTATCCTTCTTGAACTGGTGATGCTATACAAAGTTCGAAACTTAGCCAACAGAGCTCGCGAGTCTTCAAAATGGCATCGCTGTCTCACTTACCCGCTGTGTTTTGGTGCCGTCCTCAATAGCCCACACCCAAATACTTTTCTTTCCGAATTCATCTCTTAGTCTTTCCATATACTGGGCAGCAAATCCGCCCCAGGCATCATCTGACCCGGAGAACAATTGCAGCGCCCGGAAGTGATCACATTCTTCAAGGAGAGGTCTCAGGTCACGGTCTAGAAGGTCATGCTCCTTGTCGAGGTCTTTGAATAACTCTTCCCGACATTCCAGTCCTCAAAGGGCATGGTCTGGGAGTTTAAGTCGTACTCATTTAGCTGGACAATGGACCTTGGATGATAATACACTCTGTTGTAGTCTGACCAGTAGCGTACGGACTCTGATGTCAGGCGAGGTGCTGGAGTGCCCAAATCCAAGCTTTTCTGATATTCGCTTTGTTGAATTGGAGTTTGTTTCTGGACTATCTCTGCTCCATCCCTGCCATATGTTAATTTGGAAGAACCTGTCTACCAATTTTAGTGACATACCATAATCCTTGACCAGCCGTGGAGTCTTCACTCAGCTCGTAAAGTGCATTGTATCTGCGCAATGTTCCAAATCCACCCTTCAGATCATAGATTACTGTGCGTGGAGTGTAAGTCTCAGAGCCATCCGCTCCAACACCTGGTCGAAAGTGAACATCATGATCAACTTCAGACTGTTCTCCTTCGTTATATGTAAAGTATGATTCCTGGTTATATATCAGAACGAAGTTCATATCTGACCGTAGATGACAGTACCTGCAGATTCCAAAAATGTGTTGCTAGATAGTTAGCCCGCTGGCCAAGCTGAAGTGTAACAATTTCATGCATATCGACGGATGTAAATGACCCTCACAGTGTGGGCCCCTCAGTAAATTTTGATATCGACAATGTCCAAGGACGCACAGACGTAGACAAAACATGACGCTAGGCCTGATGTGGGGGACTATCGCACGTGAGTGCCTAACCATATTGGGGAAGGTGCAGAGAGTCACCAGGGCAACGGTCACATGATCCTTCCAAAGAGGGCAATAAACATGTTTCTGTGGGTGCGTCACCACACCAACTCCACAACGGTGATTTTCCCTCGTGAGTCTCCTTATTCCTGTGATGATTCTTTAACCTTGTGATCTTTATCGGCTGGATTCATCACTTGTTACGAAGCATCTGCGATGGAGTCTCCAACACGTCCCATCCTGAGCCCCTCAAAAGCCCTGCATCCGGTCTCGCCGGAACGCATGAATCAACAAAACATACCCGCCTCTCCTTCACTACCTTCCGACCTCCTCACACTACACAGCAAGAGCACCCGAGGCGTCTCGGAAGTCCAAGCCAAAGTGGCATTTCTAAACGGCCTCTCTCGAGGAGGCAGCCCTGCCAACTCTGCAGGAAACAATGCCGCTCTACAACGCGCTATCCTGGGCCGCGAGGAAGCCGAGTCTGCCCTAGCCACCGCACAAGAAGATTTATCTGAAGCAGAGACGCGAGAGCGCCGGATCAGCGAACGCCTCGAGTCCTTGCTGGAAGAGTTACACGGAACGAAAGAACGCCAGGCCCACGAACGATCAATTTTCGAAAAGGAAATCCGAAAAGCCCGCAAAGAAGCGTTTCGGGCTGGGTCGACCTTGGTAAAACTTCAAGAAGAATTGAAACACTCGAAATCAGAGATCAGAACACTGAAAGAGGAACTGGGAGCAGAACGAGAGGCGAAGGACAAGGCCAAACAGGAGGCATTCGAACGCGCCTACGCTCTGGCTGGTCTTACGGAAGAACTTGAAGTCTTGAAAGAGAAATTCCGCGCGCTTGAAGCGGATAACCACTCGAGCACCCTCGAAGTCCGCGCTCATGAGATTCGGAAAGAAGACTTCGGGAGACTGTCAATAGCAGAAGGTGACCTCGCATTTTTGGCCACCCCACGCAGACCGAAACGAGCCGCTGCGGGATCTGCCCGATCCCCAGCTCCGGCACGCGAAGAAGATCACGCAGAAGCCACTCCTCCCAAGCGCCCACGTTTGTCGGACTGTGCACCAACGACGGAGAGTGAACAACCCGCATCCGAAACCGCTGTTGAGCAGGACGAGGATCTGTTGGAGGAGATTAAGGACGAGCTAGTCTTTGAGCGTCGTCGCAGAGTGGCAGCCGAAGAAATGGTGCATTTCCTAAACATTGAGTGCCAATTCGAACGCTGCTCTTGCAGGCTTGCTGAGAGCCAAGGTCGTCGCTACATCTACGACGCTGATTACTATAACAAATTCCAACTGCCTCACATTGAGGCGGAAGAGAAAGCTCGTGCTGAGCAAGCCAGCATTCAGAAAGCTAGTGTGCACCAAGCCCATCCTCACCCTACCAGCACCCCCGAGGCCAGCCCTCCCCCTCCTCCACCTCCCGTCCACCGATCTCCTGTTCACCAGGCTACCGGTCCCCAGGTGAGATCTCCTCAACACCGCCAGGAAGAACCCGAGCCAAGTCGTACCCCTCTAGCCGCGCCACCTGTTCCTGTCCACCAACACATTGCGCCTGCTATGAAGGCTGAGCCTGCGGACCCCCACAAAATGGAGATGCCAGCCGAGCCCCTGGTTACATTTTCTCCAGAGACTGGCACATTCACGACATTCCCATCTCCTCTCCGGGACAACGTCAGGCCTCCGCGATTGGATTTCTTCGAGACACCCGATCTCGCTGAACCCCAGCCAGATGTCCACGCTCGTCATATGGATGCCTCTGCATCAACCGATCAACAGGTCGACTCGTCCACCCCCTCAGGGGAACCGGCCCTGACCAGGATGGCTCGTCCCACTCCATCAGATGGTGCTGCTGAACACTCGCGTGCACCGCTGTCCGTGGAAGCAAGACCGTCGAGACGTTTCGAGAGAGAACCCCATGAACACCGCCAGCCCATCAATCCCCCAAAGAGAGCTCCTTCCCGACAAGAGCCACAGTCTCAGCGCACTTCGCACCCTGGCGTTCCCGATACACCCATCGACCGCGAACAAGCGCTCGCACAGATCAGAGCGCGACGAGGCCGTACCCATAGCAAGCAGCGATCAGTCAGTGCCAGCGAACCTGGCCGCGCAGCTCGGGCCTCGGCAGGATCCAACCCAAACCCTGCTCGGGGACCTCGACGCCTTCCCAACCCCAATCTTCGGGCTGATTCGAGGACCGAGAATGAACTTGGTGAGCGTCGGGATATGAGCGCCCCTGTTCGGATGCTCCGACGTTAATGAATGCCCTGGGATGTACGTCTCATGATGCATATTTATGTCTTTCTTTTGCATGGTCTGCTGTCGTTTCCTCTAATACCCCCCGGCGCTGCATAATTTTGTCTTTATTTCATTGCATGGCGATTGGAAGCAATATGTTTTGTCTGTTTCGTGTTTGGATTTCTTAGCTCCGATATTATGAGCCTCAGTATACTATGGATTTAATTTCCCAACTGCCTGTCCTTCCCTTGATGCAATCTCGGCTTCAGTGTCTGTCCCTCTTCATACATTTCCTATGTCTTTTCTTCTTCTGTACATAGATTTCGATTGCTGAGAGTCAATTCTATTTGATCATGGTCACAATCTTTATCCAATCCATATAAAAAGATGGTATATTGACCTACAATGTATAATATATGCCTAACAAGAAACAAGATCTCACGAAGATCTTCACCAACGAGATCTCAAAGATAAATCAGCCCTAGAGAGAACCAGCCCCTACAAGACTGAGATCCCGCAGCATCTAATCCTCGCACTATCAACCTTCGCCGCACGACCCCACCACAGAGAAACCAACTCCTCAACAAACACCCGGTCCGTCGCACTCCACACATCAAGCCCCATCTCCGCCATATCAGCCACGGTGATCGTGACAGTGTCGTGGGCACCGCCATCCCGCTGACCAGCTCTCGACCCATGATTCGCAGACCCGCTCGCACTTGACCGCTGCCGAAGCAAAGGCGAACTCCCCTCATCGCCGTGGATAGACTGACGAGACATGGACAGCGAAGCATCGGTATCATCGTCTTCATCGATATACGGCGCATCATTATAGGCGTCGTCATCGAGGTCGCTATCATAGCGCGCGATGGCGCCAGCCAAAGTAACGAAGATCTGCGACGTCAGGCGGCGGAAGTACGCGACCAGCGCGACTTCGGGCGGTTGCTGATCTTCGTGGAGGGGATGACGGGGCTGGTCGGAGTGGGAGGTTGAGTTGTAGGGTTGACGGGCGAGACTCTCGACGCTTGCCAGAAGGCGGGAGTCTTGTTCTATCTGTTGTTCTTCTTCTTCCTCTGACAGGCCGTCGCGGTTCTCGCCGGCGGAGGCCCACCAGATGAAGGATGTGTAGGCGAGACGGGTCCAGGAGATAGGCTCGACGACGGGGCTGGAGGAGTAGGTTGAGTCTGTGTCTGAGGGGTCTTGTTCTGGGGATGTGGGGCGGTCGTTGGAGAGTTGGTGGAGTCCGCGGCGGAGCATTGAATAGCGGCGGGCGTCGCGCTGGGTTGCTTTTAGCTGGATCTCTTGGGTTTGATTGGGTTTGCCGCCTGTCTTGTGGACTAGGGAGATTTTGGGGAAGGCTCGCTGGGCTGTCTGTTGTGAATATGGTGCGGGGAGGGTGACGAGGAGGTCGAAGAGGTCGGGTTTCATGGTTAAGACGGTGTCGGTGGAGCAGGCGATCCAGCTTGGGTCTGTTTCGGGGTCTATGATGCTGCGCGATGGATCGAAGGAGGAGAGGTAGGGAATATCATGAATGCCGACGTTGAAGAGGGGGGCGGGGGCGTAGTGGTGGTATGCGATCGGCGGGGAGTAGCTGCAGGAGGGAGTTTGGCAACGAGGCTAAGAGAGATAGATCATATACTGGAGCTGAATTAGCAGTAGGTCAATTAAAATGCCCATAGAAGCGTACCGAAGTTGCAAGATGTGTGTACAGGAGCCTCGCCCATGAACAGAATCCGCTTGCGCAGCAAAGCTGCCCTGTAAAGGGGGAAGATCAAAGGTCCGAAGCATTCCGTGAAAGCTGGAAGTGATGAAGCGGGGTGGAAGGGCGTTAAGGCCGGCTTGAACGTTTCCAGCACCATTGCGTCGCTGAAGGCGCGGTTGCGGCTCGAGTGACCTGGCCGCTCGCCGGGCCGGAATCGAAGACTAAGAGGCGAGTCGAGGGGGGATTCAGGCGCTGAATAATCGGTTCCTCCTATTTTATATGTGTCCCAATAATCACACAGCGGCTGCATATCCGACATGTTCTCGGCGTATTTCCTATCGAGCACCGGTGTCAGTCGGGATCTCGGTCATCGCGCGTGCTTGGCGGTACGAACAGCGTCAGTTCCTTGAGCCTTGGAGCGTGTCGCCAGCTCTTCCCAAGCCTTCCGGTGCTGAGAGGCACCAGAACTCCGATCGCAAACATCTTCGCATTGCGTTCGGCCTCCGTGGCTGGATGGTTGAGGAACGCGCTGATACCGGCATACTGTTCATGGACGAAGTACCTAAAGGAGCGCGTCAGCAAGATCGGACCCAAGGCCGTTGAAGACAAACATACACCAGATCTTCAGTCACATTGTGTAACCCGGAGGGCAGTGACTTGTATTCCACAACCCCTTCAACCTCAACTATTCACTTCGGAGTCAGTATTGCACGTCGGAGTGATTGTAGCCTCGGCTAGATAATGGATTGCTCACCTCCCGGCGCAGTTCGCTTCCACGAGACTACATATCTATTGTCGCAGAAGGTCAGCGACAGGTTCCTAAGCTTAAGAGCTATGATGCCCAGGAGAAGGAGAAGGGATTACCCGGTCCTGATATCGAAGCTGATGACGAACAAGGCGGCAATGGCTGGCGGCGACTCCATGGTGGAATGTGAGACGTCAATGCCTAGAGGCCTAGTAGATTCGGATACCATTATGGAGGGGAATCATGGGGTGCGATGCCATACAAGCAGTGTCGGGGAATCACGGTAAGTTGAGGGGGCGAGCCTTACAAAGGGGACCTTGGCTATGCGGAGTTGTGCCTGAGGCACCGCATCGGGATCTATCACGACTTCGGACAATTCAACCATTCACTGTCACCCACCTCATGGTTTTTCCCTTATAGAAATATATCTCGGTGGTCTCAATGTCGCCCAGGGACCGGTCTTTGAATTCGTTGTGGAATTCTAAATTTTAAGTCGATTTATTCTCTAACTCAACTTCGATCGCCCCGCATCTACGATCTCTATAGGACCAATGCCGCCATCCATCTTAAAGCTCTTCCCCACTGACAGCTTCTTTGCAGATAAGTCGTAATACGCTGGGACACACAGGTAGACTGGGCTCTACTGGAATTGGTGAACTTCTGATGATGCTCAGGCTCCGCATAAACCGTCCATCTAGCCAAAGCGTAGGAACCTTTTCTTGGGACAGAGCTGCTACAATCTTATCACGAAGCCTCTAAAGGTATCGTCCTGGTAGCTGAATGGCAGCTTGTGCGGTGAGATATTTGACGGTAGGAAGAAAGCGGCAAGCACTCATCGTCATCTCATGAGCTCATTTGAGAATGGTCCTCGATATATTTTCAGCTTTCATATCTTCCATTAAGATAAAGGACTTGTATGTCAGTTGGAGCCGATAGAGTACTTGAACGTAAAGATTAGAGAAAATAGCATTTACACATCTTCAACAACATAATACTTCATTGGATTTGGTAGCTTCGTTTCGTTTTGGCTTCGTTGAACAGTCATATTGGATTGTCAGAACTTCTTAGTGCTTTATAAAGCAATGTCAGCCACCACACCAAGAAAGGAGACTTTACATCGTACAACAAGTATGCCTTTTACTTTCTCCGGTAGTTTATAAGATTTCCAGTTTGACTCTATCAAGAATTCAAAAACTCTGTAGAACTTATTCGTCCTCCTCCTCACGGAGACGGGCCAATTCCTCCTGGTCAAAGATGCCAGGACCCGTGAGCTCGTTCTTCAATGTTGAGATAGAAGGCACGAAGAAGTAGTCGCCTCCCCTTTGAATAACCCAGCTTTCCAGATGCAAGCGAGCTTTGGTGACAGCATTGCCATCAGGAAGACCGATAGAGCGCTCTGGGTGATGGTCCAGTCTCTGGCCCACAAACGCGTCAATACCCGGACCTTCACCCCCAACGAAACTAGTCTTGCGGTCGGGGAAGTGGTGGTTGCTTGCCCAGCCTGGGAGAATCAGATGTTAGCGAGGGGTACTTCGTTACACGTCATTCATGAGTTCAAGTTGCGAGTGCTTACGGGTAGTCAAGAAATTGAATCCATCTCGGATGTCGCTCTGGTAGCAGACGAACAGAAGCCCACGTTCATTTTCTTTGGACGACTTTCCATCTGTCATCTCTTCGGCCGTGACTTCCTCGCCATACGGAATACCACGACGGATAATAACAGCATGGTCGTGCTCCAAGTCAGCTCGAGGTCTCATTTTGCGGGTGTGTGCCGCAAAGGGGCACCTTTTGTGCTCAGTGACGGGCGAGTAATCGAAATTGTTTGATGAAAAGAGGTTTTCGTCAGAGTCATTGTGAGGAGACTCATCCACAGGAGTTCCTTGATATCGATTTAATCAGCAAGTTGTGCAATCCATCAGAATTTTGAATTTGCAACGAACCGTTCTTCCATCTTCCCATCAAGTATGCAGCAAGCTTTTCGGCTGGCTTGGGATGGTCTTGAGTGAAGGGGAAATCGTTGGCCTTCTTCTGCATGTACCTATAGACTTGGTTGATATCAAGTGGGAAACAATGAAACGGAGGGCACTCACTCTTCAAATTCAGGAACGAGTTGCTGGAGGTCCCGGAAAACAAGGAAACTGCCATCTTTGGCCCATGATGGTTGGTTCATTCTGTCGCCCTCGTGCCCGCAAACAATCATTCTGCATTGTATCAGTCTGAGGTTCCATCAGGTAACGACGGGAAGCACATTTACCCTGGCTTTACGGCTTTAGGTTCCTTCCCTACGGGTTGTCTTTCATCCCAGCCCTCAATTATAGGCTGACTGATTCCATCTTTGAATCCAAAGCTGAATATAAAGGTAAGCTTGGCCCGTAGAGAGTCACAGGCGTTTGGTAAGTACTTACTGCTCTTTTCCTTTCTTATCACCTGGGCGAACCTTTCCGAGTCTTACCAGGTTGAACTCAAGAGAAGGGTCCTTGCTGAGGGCATATGTCTCTGCGTTAGGAGGTGTTCCCTCCTCTGCCAGGAAATGTTGCTTCACCTCGCTGATCTTGGTATCCAAATCACGTTTCACGCTTGCAGTCACCATAATCACCCCATCAATAAGTCTCTGATTATGCTCGTCGGGCTTGTACTCCTTTCGAAGCTCCTGGGGGTTGTCCCACCCCTCGCCCACAAGGTCCGCATACATGCCCTTTTCGAACAGTCCACCCCGGATTTGTTGGTCCTGAAAGACTGTAGATAGCTTTCTGTCTTTTTGGACGAAAAACTGATCGTTGACGTTCACAAATGCTCCAAGCTATGAGTAGTCGCTCATCAGTAAGTGTTCAATGGTAATGAGAACTGTGGAGATGACAACTTACTGCTTCAAGTCCGGTCGAGGTAAAGGCAATGTTGATTCCAGGTAGACCTTGGAGCTTAGCTGATCTCCTTGCCAGTTCGGCTTCCTTCTTTGCCTTCTTGATGGTCTCGCCCATCTCACAGGCATCTTGACCGGTGGTGATCTTGGGAATAAATGTCTTCAGTCGGTTCTTGAAATGAACCTGGTTTTTTACACGAAAGAAGAGAAAGGTTTGAAATCTTTTGGGCAGACCGGGCCTGAAAAAGATAAGTACTTGTAAGACCATACCGATATATACGCACCGGGCAGCATGGAAGACTTACCAAACATCTCCCTGAATATTTGCCTTGATGGCTGAAGTAAGACTCATGATGGAAAGTTGGACTCTTCAAGAGTGTACGATCCAATGTCAATGAAGGCTACTATCGAAACACAATGGTTGACCTGAGGGGATGGGGTAATTATATGAAAAAGAGCCATTCCATCTTCCCACCCAGCAACAATTCCATTTTGAACAAAACAACCAAGGGAGAAGGGGGCAGGGCAGGTCTGTGATTGAACCGAGCATAGCATTCAGCTACAGGATAAGATCGCCCATTACGGAGCAGATATGGGGCACACTCGAGACCGACATTAGTATCGAGTGAGCTCCAATAGCAATAATCGATCACAGCCACATTCAGCTACACGGGCATATCTCGAGCAAAAGGCGAAGGCCGTACTCCATATTACGCATTGATTGTCTTGAGTTTGTAAACTTATTGCCCCACCTGATACGAAAAGAGGAAATTCCTAATACAGAGATGATCATAGGTCGTGTTTGTTCCCATACCAGAGATCGACATAGCGCACTTGCAAGCCACATTTGACGGGTGGGCCACTTTCAAGCAAATGAGATGACCCATTTTAGAATAACACGAAGGCCACGGTTCCCTACGGAGTACTGAGTACTCCGTAGTACATCCACACTGGCTACAGTAGTGGGGACCTCCAGATATCCATATTATTTGGCAACGTAAGATGCAGATCGACGTTACTCCGTACATCGCACATTTCTCCAGGCTTTGGCTGCGACCTACCCAGATGCGTCTGAATGATGGGGTGTCAAACTCAACATTCTAGCCAATACGAGGGGATGTAATAAGTCATGACGATCAATTGTTCAGGTATGAATGTAACATCATACATATGCAGGGCTTGCTGAGCCAGCAGGCTGAAATATTCCCAGGAAAATTACCAAGTTTAGGGATGTGGGGCAGACAGCTTTCAGCTTGCCACTTTCCACTTGACAAATTATGGGTCCATATTGCAGAGTATCTACATGATCTATGCGAGGGACATATGTAATTCACATCCGCAGAAGGTTAGTGTATAGGGCAAAACTGCACTGATTATACAATAAATAAAAACTCAGGTGAACGTGGAAGTCGACTTCCACCTACGTGATAATACAATTAAGAGAGTACGGAGTAAGTTGTAGATTGGCTCAAGATTAGCGCCTTATGGACCCATGGATAAAGCGGAATCGGGCCGGGCTCCACCCAATTTCTGCTAGCACGAACTATCTATCCGGGAACATGCGCCATCGCATTGACGAGGGTTTCTGTTTCACCCATGATCGGCATGCAGTCATTTTGCAGCAACAAATCAGCAACTGCCAATTTATGCAAGCTAGGAGTAACCCCACACAGCTGGACTACCTATCCAGCTCGGAGTGGGCTTGCATGTCATGTCTTCTACAGGAGCCGCCGATCTTTGACCTGTCACCGAGCATCGCCGATCGGGTCTGATTTTTGGGGACTTTTCTTCACCGACCAAAAAAAAAGAAGTGTCCACTCATTCGTACTACGCAAGGTGGGCCCAGGCAATCACTGACGCCGATCTCTCATGTTTATCTTCAACAATGCCGAGCCACACACTTGACTGGTGCAAAGCAGCTCCACTTGCCCATCAAGGGATCTGGCTAAACTGTCATACGTCATATTGGCATGAGCTATTGCCGATTTACTCCGTGCTGGACATAACTTGGATCCTGAATGGCAGTGGCGATCCGCCCGAGGCGGAGTATGCCGAGTGCTGCACTTATATGTACCCTTAATCACGTCCAGAGTTTCCTTTCGTACAGGTGAAGTGAGTTTCTCTTTCTTATCCTCCTTCACATTCCATTCGCGCTCCGATAAACTTCGCCCAATATGAAGCTTCAATGGGCCGGGTTTCTCTTGGGGGCTTCCATTGGGGGAGTCAATGCCATGGGCAAATATATGGAGGAAGCTATGAGAGGAGAGCGTGTTTCTGGCTTTGGCAAATCCGACAGTCATCCCTCCTGGGAGCCAGATTTCAAAGACGAATCTCCTCCCTACCGCAGCCATCGAATCACCCGTGAAGACTGGATCATCACATGCAGCAGCTCCGCTAGTGGCCACCCATGCAGGAAGGCGATCGATGGCAAAAACTCTACCACCTGGCGCAGCGACCCGTCCGACAAAGGACATGAGATCACTATTGATCTTGGGGCATGGTACCAAGTGAGCAGTGTTGTTATCCTTCCTCCAATTGATACGGATACCAAAGGCCTCATTACCCATCATAAAATCTGGGTCAGCCAAGAGCCTGACAGCTGGCCTGAATCCCCTGTTGCATATGGAATGTGGCCCAATACAAACAGACAGCGAATGTCTGCGTTTGAACCCTCCTCTACTCGATACTTGAAAATCACGATCGACGCCGACCAAGAAAATCCCTGGGTCGGTATCTCCGAACTCAACATATATGGAACTCTGTACACCATTCGTCGTAACCCTGCTCTCGGTGTCTGGGGCCCAACTCTCGATTTCCCTATTGTCCCTGTCTCCGCTGCTCAGGAGGGATCTGGCACGCTTGCTCTTTGGTCGTCGTGGGCCGATGACCAATTCCACTCGACACCGGGTGGAAAGACCGTTATGACCCGATGGGACCCACTGACCGAAAAGGTCACCAACCGCACTGTCAGCGAAACCCATCACGACATGTTCTGCCCCGGCATTTCTTATGACGGCACTGGCATGATGGTTGTGACTGGCGGTAATGATGCCTCGGAGACTAGTCTCTTTGATTCTGTCACTGATAAGTGGATCCGCGCAAGTGAAATGAAGCTCCGTCGTGGCTACCAGGCATCTACAACTCTCTCCGACGGACGTGTCTTCGTCATTGGAGGTTCGTGGGCTGGAGGTTCGAACTATGATAAAGACGGCGAAGTTTACGACCCCGCTACCCGAAACTGGACTATGCTTCCTGGAGCAAAGGTCCAACCAATGTTGACTAGGGATAGGGAAGGTGCTTGGAGAGCGGACAACCATGGCTGGCTCTTCGGATGGAAGAACCTGAGTATCTTCCAAGCCGGGCCTAGCAAAAATATGAACTGGTACTCCGCCCATGTCAATGGAAGCGTTGAGCCCGCAGGACGTCGTCTGGAAGATCAGGATTCCATGTCCGGTAACGCAATCATGTTCGATGCCGTGAAGGGAAAGATCCTCACGCTCGGTGGCTCTCCTAACTATGATAAATCTTGGGCCACTAACGCCGCCCACATTATCACGATCGGTGAACCTGGAGAGGAACCGAAGGTTGAACCGGCCGGAGGAGGCACTATGCACCGTGAGCGTGTGTTCCACACTACGGTCGTTCTCCCCGATGGGAAAGTCGCCATCTTCGGCGGCCAGCAGTACGGTGTTGCATTCAATGAGGAAACCGTCCAATTTGTTCCGGAAATATACGACCCTGTAAGCAACACTTTCACAGAGTTACAGCAGAACAATGTTGTGAGAGTATACCATACTGTGTCAATCCTCCTTCCCGATGGCCGGGTGTTGAACGCAGGTGGTGGACTTTGTGGAAATTGCACAGCCAACCACTATGATGGCCAGGTCTTCACCCCTCCCTACCTACTTACTGAATCTGGTGAGCCTCGACCTCGTCCTGAGATCCTCTCTGGGCTGGAAGATTATGCCATGGTGGGCAGCACCCTGAGATTCCAAACCTCCGACGAAATTGAGTCAGCTTCCCTGATACGTCTGGGAACCAACACTCACACTGTCAACACTGATCAACGCCGCATTCCACTTGATCTCAGAGTTATATCATTCGCCAAAAATATCTACAAAACTACCCTGCCAAAAGATTCGGGTATTCTCATTCCTGGATACTGGATGCTGTTCGTTATGGACGAGGCAGGCGTGCCTAGCATCGCGAAGATTATGATGATTGGCTTGGACAAAAAGAGGACCATCCAACCTGCACAGGATCCGCTAGGCCTGTTGGAGGCACAGAACAGTAAGCATGAACCAGTCCTGATCTTTCAGAAATCTTGGTAACCAACATTAATTTTACAGATGTCGAGTCATTCATGAGGATCGAGTTGCTGAAACGAAAGTGGTTTTGAAGCAAGATGGCAATCTTGGAGAGTTCGGAAGTTGACATAGCATCGCTTTAGATCTCTTGCAGTGCTTGACACTTTCGCATAGATATAAAGAGTCTAATCTGAAAGAATTGTTCAAAACACTGGCCATACTTTGAATGTGGTTTTCCTGTAGCCTTAAGGATAGAGGAAAGATATTAGGACATAAGTAGTCTACCAGGTATGTTTTCTGGTATTCTTCCTGTGTGTCGTTGCCTCTAATTAGATAGTCATCACCAACTGCAAAAGAATTCGGATTTATCAACTAGAGAACCGCGATTATACTCCCAGCCGATAACTCGTACTGGGCTAGGGAGCTTGCATCCGAGTGTTGGTCATACATAAAGGGAATTTGTCTGCACATCGACGGAGGATTTCTGGCCCCATGGTAGTTGGTTTCGAATTGCTCTACCTAACCTTGGAAACTACATAGTGGACCCATCCATGGATCGACAAACCCTTAGCTCACCTAAGCGCGGGGTCAACCAAGGAACCCCTCCAGGAACCCGTGGACGCTAGTCCCTTTTCTTTTTTATGCCAACGGGAGATTCTTCCGACCTCCGGAGATTTGCCTACGTCTATTACCGGCTCTGAATAAAACGCGCATTGATGCAAATAAATCATGTGCGTCGGGAGCCAGTCGCTTTGGATGGTTGCGAAAGCCAAACTGGACAACGATGACCAGAACCTGCTTTCCTTCGACAGCGACAACGATATCAAGAAATCTGGGGAAAATGAGCTTGACATATTGGAGAGTCTTGAGCGAACAACCCGGGAAGCATACGACACATGCATCCACAAGAGATGGAAAATCACCATCCCGGGAAAAGGGAAGAAGATTATACTTCGTGACCTCTTGAACAAAGTCGTGCACTGGATTGAGCTATTCAAATCAGTGGGCGACCAAGTTGTGCAGTATGACCCTGGCCACGCTGCCTTACCGTGGGCTGGAGCTCGGTTTTTGTTGCAGATTGCTATCAACGATTTCAGCAAATTCGATTTCGTTGTGCAGGGTGCGGAAAGAATCGCCAAAATGACGGCGAGGTATAGGATCATCGAACAGATTTACATTCAAAAACGCTCCGCTGCTGCAGAACAACTTGAGCAGGCAGTTGTGAGCGTGTATAGCTTGATCCTCAAATATCTTGTCGAAGCCAAGCGCTATTTTGAACAGCGAACAGGAGGTGAGCTCATATTTCCGAGTTCGACTGTAACTCGAAAAGCTCACAACTTCTAGTGCGACTGTTTAAAAGTGGGCTTCTTGGCCATGATGATTTCCAGGGTCTCTTGGACAAAATGGAAGCGGGCGAGAGATGGGTAGACCGGTGCGCGAGCTTGGTTCAAGGTGAGAGTAAGTATTACACTCCTTTTTGTACGGGATATATGATTGGTCGCTAAATCATGACAGTAAACAACGACATTGCCTCTCATCTTGCAACCTTGTCGCTAGGTAAGGTGACAACTCAAATCACGAGCCAAGATGCCCACCACTGATGATGCCGTAGAGACAGCGACCTTCAATTCACTGCGATATACGCTCAGTCGGATGGAACAGCCAATCTCACAGGTGTTCTTCCACTTGAACAGAGTTGAAGATCATCTTGATAGTAGGTCTACCTATTTAACCGATCGCAGCGATCTAACAAATATTCAGGTCTACAGCGACGACAGATGTTAGACTGGTTATCTACTCAGCCGTATCTTGACCACCACACCACGATCAAACTTCGGGTCTTGGATGGCACATGCAGATGGGTTCTGGAACATGCAAGTTTCACTGAATGGAAAGGCGAAAGCACAAACTCGCTGCTCTGGCTTCATGGTTCTCAGGGTGCGGGCAAAAGCTGCTTGGCATCGATGGTCGTTGATGATGGCATAAATGTCTCCCGCCAGATTGCAAACTTTGCCCACGCCTATTTTTATTGTTCTCGCAACACTGCGGAGCCCCAACGTGCAAACGCACAGAGTATTCTCGGATGTATTGCGCGTCAACTTTCCAGCCACTCTTCAAACCAACCCCTTGCTCCCCCGACATTTTCTCTTTACAAGAAAGTACACCTGGCAGATGGTTCCACGAGAGCTCCTACTCTACGGGAATGCCGCGATTTAATTATTGGACTGACAGAATCCTATTCCCGCACCACTTTTGTGATAGACGCTCTGGACGCGTGCGGTAGGGAGGATCGAGCTGACCTCATCGAGGCACTGGAGTATATTATCGACAACTCCCCGAGTCTTGTCAAGGTCTTTGTCACTTCGCGCGAAGAGAGTGACTTGAGGTTATCTATCCAGGCGCATTCCGGGGTTCAGGTGACGTGGGTAGAGAATGGGGCCGATATCGAGAAATTTGTGAATTTTGAAACGGACAGGCTTGTTGCAAAGAACCAGCTACTTGCCTCTATCCGAATCAAAGCAACAAAAGAGAATTTGAAGGCGTTGATCAAGGAAGACACTATTTCCAAGGCCAATGGGATGTGAGTTGGGATATTTCCGGGTCTTCAGTTACGCCAAAGCTTACGAGATTCAGGTTCCGTTGGGCCCAGTTACAGCTGCAGAGTCTTCGGTGGATTCGTACGGAGAAGGACATTCGATTTGCTATGTCGAAGATCCCGCGCCCACTCAGCGAGCTATACGAGGACCTCCACACGAAGGCACTTGAAGAAACCGAAGAAACAGACCGTGCTTTGTTCCAAAACACGTTGAGATGGATGTTATGCACGAGGCGGGTTTTGGGCTGGGAAGATTTCTCCCAAGCTATCACGAGCTTTGTGGACATCGATATACACGAGATCGATGAAGACTTCATCTTGGATCTTCTCAGCAATTTCGTGATCTCTCAAACAAACCAAGAAGGGGATCGCACCTTCCGTTTCGCCCGTCTGTCGGTGCGAGAGTTTTTAGAAAATAAGCCTGAGTACTCCGCCGAAGTTAGCAACACCTTCACCGTGGAGGTGTGTTTATTAAAATCGCTTGGAGCTTCCGGATCGCCCAGCGCAGAACAATTCCTCGGCAGACTAGGCCTCAGCGATGAAGGTACCGTAACTTTGGCAGAGATCGACTCTTACAAGAAAGGCATACATGACTACTCCTTGCGAAATTGGTATGTACACTGTGTGCATGCTGGCGAAGCAAATCGATCAAACGAGGAACTGCACCTCTTTCACCTCCTGCGCTATTTTCTCTTTGATGAGTCGGATCCGAACTGTCCACTAAAGTGTTGGGTACGTTCTCGTCAGCGGCGCAAAATGGAATCCTTACACGGATCCCACCTTCTTGGGCTGCTACGGAATTACCATCGACCTCGAGACCTAGCATTTTTACTTTCGTGTGTCTTCGGCTTCGGCGAAATTCTTCGCATCGATCAGTATCATGAGCTCGATGATGACGTCAAAGAAGCGTGTATCCTGGCAGCCACGATGCACGCCCAGTATCATATCTTGGAGCATTTGATGGCAGGACCAAAGGTCCCATTATTGCAAAAGCGCATTTTGAGTACTCTAGTCCAGAATGGTCACGTTAAGCCGCTTCAATGGTTCTTGAGTCTCACCGAGCCTGACCTGATTACCGGGTCGACCATTGTGGAAGCGGGGGAAGATACGGAAATAATCGAGCTGTTGCTTGATCATAACACAAATCTTCACATTACGACGGAGCTCATTGAACGATGCAGTTCATACAGGACGGTTGAAACACTTCTCAGCCGAGCCCCCGACGTCGTAGTCACTTCTACGATACTCAAGAATGCTATAGACAATATGCCCATTGAACGCCTGAGAGAAATCCTTGACAAGAATGGTGGATCGATTGTTACATGTGACACTATCGCGTGGGCCTGCCATTGTGCGGCTTTTGTAGAAGGGATGCGACCAAAGATAGAGCTTATGTTGGAACGTGGTGGCCAGATCAAATGGACCGAGAGAGTAATGTTGCATGCTATTGCCAATAACGGAGACTCTGAGGTGATTCAGATTCTTCTTGATCACGGTTGCCCGGTAACAGAAAACGTTATGGTGGAAGCTGCAACAAGGGGAAAGAGCTGCTGCTTTCGGGCTCTTGCTCAAGGCTGGGGGCGTAATTACGTCCGAAGTCATAGTTGGCGGAGCCCGAAATATTTATGACGGGCCTCGAATGGTCAAGCTCCTTGTATCGTTGATGAACCGACCATTAGACAATGAGTTGTGGGTCCAGATGATGCTGCAATGTGCTCAGAATACATGGGGAAATCCGGAAACCCTTCAAACGCTCCTGGAAATGAAACCTGGTCTGAATGTTCCAGAAGAGGTCTTAATCGCTTTCACGGAAAATTCCATCAAAGGGAACATTACACTGGATGTCATGCTTGAAGACAACCGTGAGATGCAGATTACCGATGCGGTGATCGTGAATGCATTAAAGAAGTTGGACTATGACAAAACCATATCGAAACTTCTCGACCGACACGGCTCAACGAGGATTTCAAGCCAGATGCTTCTTGGAGCTGCTCAAAATTGTCAATTCGGAGACGAAATGACGAAGCTTTTATTGCAGCGCACTGCAATGATTGAGAAACCATCCTCGACGGTTGTTGATGCAGCCCTCGGTAATCGGTATTCGGGTTATGAAACACTACAGATGCTCGAGAGTTATTTTGGACAGTTTCATCTCTGCGAGGCGAATGTGAAAACTGCAGCCTAGTCCGGCAGTCAGTCTATACTGACCTTGGTATTGGATCGATGTTCAATAACTGACGCCACGCCATCTGTTCTGTTAGCCGCCGCGGCCAAGGGGAGCTTAGATGTCATGAAGCACCTTTTGAAACTAGAGAACGCTGTTGTTACCGAAGAGATTCTGATTGCGGCATCAGGAAATCTCGGCTGTAGCATTGACATGCTCAAGCTGCTTTGGAATTTTGCACCACACATCAAAGTGTGTCCTGGGATATTTCTGAATGCTGCCGACCCCGTCCTTTGGAGGTCTGCGCATGTTGAGTATCTCTTTTCGCGGGTGAAAGATTCCAAAACGTGCCAGGATCTTCTGGAGGCAGTGATGACAGCAAAAGACAGTCAGAACGATTGGATATCTGGTATTGTTCTGGAATACATCCTTGAGAGCGAGTTTGACATTGAAGTGACCGATGAACTTGTAATCGATGTCTTAAAAGCAGGCAGGGGACGGCTCTTGAAGATTTTCTTTGACCACGCGATAGATATTGAACTCTCACAGGATATGGTGAACATAGCAGTACAGCTAGAGGACTACTGGGCCCTACTAGTGTTGGTCGAGCATGGGAACTCAGGTGAATTGAACCTGCAGGAGGCAAGGATTATCATCGACAATACACGTTTGAACGAGGAGTGAGCATCTTCACCTTTGTCAGTTAACTTGTTTAGGAAAGATAGTTGCCTCGGTAGTTAATCAATCTAGTAGTACATCAAGCTTGATCTGCTCCCAGTGCCTCACGAATATGTCTTTTTCTGGTCTTATAGGTGTCTTTTTAGATGTCTAGTTATATAGATATTTTCTTCCTTATACTATCTCGGCCCACATTGCTGGGAGGAAACTCACCAAAAAAGAAGCACTATATATTGAGGAGTCATAATAACAGCGTCGAATTGTCTTGTTGAGTACAGTCTCATGAGGATGCCCAATTTTCACGAAGAGCTATATGTGGAAGAGCGGCACAGACAGGAGAGCCAGCAATCTAGGAACACGATGATACAGTAGTAGCATATCTTAGAACGCGCATTTAAACACGCGAACGAGGCTGCAGTGACAAGCAATTGTAATTACTCATATACATATCACTTATGAACACCTTTATCCGGAGTGGTCTCGAATAGTTGACTAGAGGCCGCCGGTCCTCGGTGAGGATGACCTAGAGGAGTTGTAGAAGAGGTTGTCGCCAGATAGCGTTGGTTATAGCCGGTTGTTATTTCCGCGTTCGCAATGTGGTCTGGAAGCGGGTCAAGGCCACTGTAGTCTTTCATGCTGAGGTCAGTAGACACCATGGCGCCCCGGGTGACCTGAATATCGTCGAAAATTTACTGCTATAAGAGCCGTCGGTTGAGAGGTACAGAATGATGCCTGCAGTGACACAGAGCGCAGTGATGCCGAGTGCAGTGCCGTAGGCGGCCCAGAGAACCGATCGGGTGTAGGTGATGTTGCGGTAAGAGTGGATTGTCACATTCGTGTCTGGCACTGCCTCCACTGTGTAGTTGGGTCTATTATGCATGTTTAGTGCTCTGAGGAGGTTTAGCATGCAGACTGATAGTACATACTGGAACATTTCGGAGCTCATGAGCGAAAACGTGATGTTCTCGAAAAGTACTTCAAGGGCGTCTGATAACCGAGGATAATCTTTTGAAGAATTGACAGATCTCCCCTTCCAATAATCCATGAAGGGATTGGGATCAGATGCTGCTGATGAAAAGATACTCATCTCTTCTGTTTCCATCAATGTTGTTGATAAGACGTTGGAGGTCAGGTTAATCGAATTCACAGCGTTCACTTCAACACCGTTTTTAGGGTACGCGAGATGGGTCATATTGGTACTAATCGAACCAATCAAAAGATTAACAAATGCGTTCATTATAGACTGATAGGACAGAGACTCCATGACCCGAGAATTGTGCACGATCAAATTATTTGTGGACACTTCAGGTTCGTCGAAGTTGGCAGCACCGTGAAGGTAGCCAATTCCGTTGAGAACTGCCTTGTCTGTCACCTGAATTGTCTGGCCACCATTGACGTAGGTAAGATTGGCCTGATACGACGAATTGTGGAGCATACAGCGTAAAATAATTGGATCTTGTACAGCTCCGGCCACGTTCTCCAGGACTTCATCATGTTCGGGGTTTTCCGTAGCATGCGGAAAGACAGCGACAAACAGAGATAGAGGTGATCCTTCACTGAGAGGCTTTTTCTGAGTTGAAAATATTCTACCGCCATCCTTCGGATCCCTAGGAATAGGACCAAGCTCGTACAACCGTTGGGTGAACTTATCACCCCCATTTTGAACGAAAGGAGTGCAATCCGTCAGATTATCTGACTCTCGTGTCCAAGAAAGATATCCGTACCTAGTCAAAGAGTACTCGGGCCCGCTTGGATTTGCTGTCCAATGCGCCTGAGATTGGTTGGTAGCTTGAGCGACATTTTGAGTGATATAAGCGGCAAGAGTCTGGTCCACTTTGTCACAGATAATAGCAGGACCATAAAACTCCATTAACCACGACGAGTTGATAGCTGGGGGCTCTATTGGCAGGATTGTACCTTGTGCCGCGACACTATTGGCAACCCTTTGAATTTCTGTCGTAGGACCTCTATACGCGCTAAGCCACTTGTTCTGCCTACTTGGCTCTGAGAATGGGTTGCTGACAGAAATGAAACTGGCAAAATTCGCGCTCGTAAAATCGACACGAGGGATTCGTTTCAACGCATACTCATTGAAGGGAGCCAAACGCACGCTTAAGGTAGCGGGCGATATGACCGACACCACAGGAAGAAGCCAACAAATTAAAGCAAGAGCCATGCTGATCGGGAAACGCTTCCATAATTGTAGATTGAGAACTGTAAAGCCATTCTTAAGAAGCGAGAGTAGATCGTCGATGATACCGATTCGAGTTCTTCTATTTTGAATAGACTTCCAAACAAACTGATCAAAGACCGTGGAGACCGACACTCCCAGGAAACTCTTCACTAGGAAGGCAAATAATGTACCGACAGACAGATAAACCTGCTGGCTGGATACATTCAAAGATGAATTTATCAACGCGAGCGGCTGGGCGTTTAGCACAGGTTTCCCATTCAAACTCTGATAAAAGGTGTCATGCCCAACAGCAAAGGCGACCGCGACCAGAAGTGAGGACACCATCAGAATCACAGCGGAGCATTTCAAGTTAAAAGGGAACCTCGCCATATTTGGGGGAGCATTTGAGAGAACGGAGAGACAGGATGAGATTGACTGGGCCGATCAGTCTGAGCTTTGGGGGGAGCGACCAGGTTACTCAGTGAGCTGCTCAGGGTCACTCACTCAGGGCGGCGCAGTGACTAACTCACCCTATGATCCACCTAAACAGGGCTCCGAGAGCCGATCACTTCCCGAGGCGGCAGTTTTACCGTCACCTAGAATTCTATAGTCAATAACACATATACTAGCTTTATGAAATCTTCTGCGAAATACGATACGGCGCACTGGCGGCTATACACTGCCGTGGCAGACGGAGTGTCTAAAACACCCAGCTAGAAGTATCACTGTCCCATGTTGACCAGTTGAGCTTTTCAGGTATCTTGACCAAACCAAACCAAGAAACTCAAGTTCAGACCAGGGCATGGGTTTGAAGCCCATCCTCGGAACCCAACCATGAAGCTACGATTCATGTTAGTGGACATAGGCTTGCGTGGGAATACTACCAAAGGAGTCATACAGAGTGTTGGATGTGGAATCCCAAACCAGGTTGCGGCCGCCAGCAAAAAGAGGCTGATACCCCAAACGCTCAATCTTGCTAAGGGCGATCCACATTTAGTATGTATATATGCTAGGTAGAGTAAAGGCAGGTGGCGGGGTATTGACTTACGAAAGTGTCACTTTGAGTCGCGGATCCTCCTACGATCGGCTTGGTCGAGCTTCCAGAACGCTTCTGATCCTAGCTGGTCACCCAGCTGTGTACCGGGGACTTCCTCCCAGGCTAAGGATACTAGAAATCAGCCGGGGACAAGCCTTCCCTCCGGCTCTCATCCACTCGGTGATGTTAAGCTGCACGCAGGTGAGGCAGAACAGGAACTGCGAGATCGACACAGAGAGCTGAGAGCGGACATGGTGCCGTCCACCTCCACTGGAGATGAGCTGCTGATCAGGCATCGTGCGACTGAGCTAAAAAAAAAACAAAGGAAGATGTCAGCCCCCGACCCATCCTGTTGTTCTCTGCTCCATCCTAGGAGGCGAGGCGTGACGTCGGAGTTCTTTTCGTCAGTTCCTTGTATGCTATTAGCTCTTAGGGGATCCACTTCGGTTTTGCCTGACGGACACAAATGTCCGGGTTATCAATTTCAGTCTCAAAGTGCGGAATCTGCATCTAAATGCGGATGTATGCGGTCTGAGCTTTGTCGTTCCAGTTTTGGCAGCGATACTTAATGTAGGTATAGAGACCCCGTCGTCACTCTCGTCAAAATGAGAGAAATGAGAGAGATAAGGGAAATCCGAGAGAAATGTAACAAGCATTTGAAGGCTGACGCTTCCGTTATAGGCATACGGAAGAGATATATGTATAGAGAGAGAGGGAAGAAAATAAAGAAAGGACGAAGAAGTTTATATAGTAGGAAAAATCCAGAAGCAAACAAATCAAAGATAATACCTAGGTATGTATATATGTGGCTATAACTAATCTAATAAATAACTCGTGGACATTTCCCTGATAAATACTTATAGTCGTGTGGACTAGCAGCCTGAGAACACATCCGTATCACTAAGGTTATATAATATCTGTGATTATACTACGGATGTTAAGACATCTAAAGCATATATTGACGCCTAAGACACGTAAACACGCGAAAGCAATGCTAAAAGACGGACACGAGATGCAAGCGTTTCAAGCTGTCACCGGTTCTTTAATTTTGCCTCAATCTACTCGCTTATTCTCTTCTCTTCCCTCCTTAAATCGAGGCTTCAGTTGTAGATCCAGTTAAGCTTGTTATTGGCCGAACTCAAATCCACTTATTTTTTTACCAAGGCAATACTATCCGTCCACGGGTGGATAGATACGAACCTTGGAAGTTACGATGCTACTCCGTATATTGTACGGAGTAGACTTAAGCCGATCGTGGAATGTGGGTCCCAACTTTCTACGCGTTAGCATGCTGACCTTGGCTAGGATGAAGTTGTGGAAGGAAAATGCTACCTAGGTAACTATTCATCATTACCAAAGTCACGTAAAGGTTAAAAAGATCAACATTGTCGGATTTAAGATTATCGCCGAAAACGAAATTGGCTACACTACTAAATCCGACCATTCGGTGTTACCTGTTTGGCTTCCAGTCTTTGTAAACCTCTTTCGACCTGTCATTCAAAAGTGCTCCAAAAACTATTCCTCTTTGAATATCTGTCCTTGAACCGTCATGTCTACCCCCGAATCTTCTTATCTCTCTCTTCAGGGTAGCACGGCTATCGTAACCGGGGGTTCTCGAGGTATCGGCGCAGACATTGCAATCGAACTCGGACGACGCGGGGCCGATGTAAGCTCTTTCCGTATTGAATCTTCCCAATTTACTATCTGAGGCTAACAGACCTCCAGGTCATACTCATATACTCCGCTCCTAGCAGCGAACACTTAGCCCAATGCATCGCCGAGAGAATCACCTCACTCCGTCACCATCCCATAGCCCTCTGCATCCGCGGTGATCTCGTCGACTGTCAGACCCCGAGTACTATCGTAGATACGGCTATCAACTGGCTCCGAGCGAACGGGAAGGAGGAGAAGATCCATATCCTCGTCAACAACGCAGGGGTGGAACTTGCAAAGTCCTTAGGTGACATCACACCCGGGGATTTCGCCTCGGTATACGACGTGAATGTGCGCGGGACGCTGCTCATGACTCAGGCCGTCTTACCCTACCTGGCGACCAATGGCCGCATCATCAATCTCTCGTCGGTAGGCGCTCGGGCGGCGTTCGCAAACCTCTCAGTATACTGTTCGTCGAAAGCGGCGATCGAGGGGCTGACAAGGTGCTGGGCTGCCGAACTTGGGCGCAACGGCACGACTGTCAACGCTGTCAGCCCTGGGCCTGTCCAATCTCAGATGCTGGATCACATCCCGCAGGAGCTGGTGGAGGCGCAGAAGAAGGCGACGCCGATAGAGCATCGTGTCGGAACTACGGAGGAAGTGGCGGACATTGTGGCGTGGCTGGCAAGCAAGGAAAGTAGGTGGGTTACAGGGCAGACGATTAGTGCAAGCGGTGGATGGGCTGTGTACTGAATGATGAATGTACGAAGAACTATATAATAGCCTATAGCCTGAGACAACAAATTCATATCATTAGAGGCGTTATAGTATGTGATATCTGTGATCATAACTATTACAGATGTTAAGACATCTTAAGGCATATATTGACGCCTGAGACACGCAAACACGCGAAAGCAATTCTGAAAGGCGGACACGAGATGCAAGGATTTCAAGCCTGTGTAACTCGGTAAATTTGCCTGATCAATCTAGTCCCTGATTCTCTTGAAATATTTTCTTAAATCGAGGCTTCATCCGTAGACCCAGTTAAACTTCGATGTTAAGCTTGTTATTGGCCGAACTCAAATCCACCCCCTTCAAAAGCCAAGCAGACATTCCGACCTCTCATTTTCCGTCTCTGTCTACTTTCTATATCTATTTTTTCTAGGTGATATTAACAGTCTAGACCTGGTCAACACTCTCAGGGGCTCTGCAACCATGCCCAGTCCTCCATCCCACCCATACTACCCCCTCGACGCCAATGTTGTGGGTTATGAGCCCAACCAGGCCCCAGTGTTACAGCTTCTCGTCTCTGCCGGTGGGGCATGTACTGTTCTTCTTAGTGTGACTTTCGCGTTGGCCAGCTATGTGAAACCAAAACTGCGCGTGGCGGATCGAATCGCCATTCTGTGGTTTGTGCTCTGTAAGACGCCAATCGAGAAAAGATCAATTTGAAGGCTGAATATTGACAATGGGGTTATATAGCTGGGACTTTGCACTGCTTCTTCGAGGGATATTTTATGGTCCACCATAACCATATGGCTTCTGCCCAAGATCTATTTGGGCAACTATGGAAAGAATATGCTCTATCGGATTCCCGGTATATGACCTCGGACACGTTGGTGTTGTGTATGGAGACAATGACCGTGGTGAGTCCCACCACTATATACAAAGCCAACAGGATTCACCGCTGATTCCCACAAAGCTCTTGTGGGGACCATTGTGCTTTGTTGTTGCATACTTGACCGCAACCAGGCATTCTCTGCGCCACCCAATCCAGGTCATTGTGTGCATGAGCCATCTGTACGGCGACATGCTGTATTATGCGACCAGCTTGTTTGACGAGTATGTCCACGGGCGACCATATTCCCGACCGGAGCCGTATTATTTTTGGCTGTATTACTTTTTGATGAACTTCATCTGGATTGTTGTCCCCGCGTGTATGTGTAGTTCCCGGGATCCATGGATGTCCATTATAAGCTGACTCTGTATAATAGACTATCTCTACCGGAGCATTTCCACCATCTCGGCTGCACTCAAACAGTCGGAAAAGGACAAGACTAAGTAACACCTCTTTCGTCATTTCTGGAATAGTGGCGGGTCGAGGCGCAGTGGAGCATCGGGCTAGAACTGTGTTGGCGCGAAATATTAAGGGAATTTGGTGTTGGGATTGAGGAGATGCGATGGTCAGAAGGGGGGAATTGGTCAATGTATATAGTATATAGAATCATATAATAGCCCTACAGGATGACCTAACGAGGTTATTTCAAATTAATCCATTCATATTCCAGTAATATCTACTCCGTAGGTGTTAATAGACTTGGTATCCCACACCAAGTACCCTATGACGCTTATGCACAAGGGGGGGCCACCTGACGCGCAACCCGATATTAACCAATATTGTGTCTCCCAGAAGTGATTTACTTTTCATTTTTCAGAGGTCATTTCCAATACTCACCAGATCAAATCACGGGGGACTTAAATAAGGAGCCTACAATATACTCCGTAGGTTGATCCGATCTGGTTTCCCGGCAACCAACTTAGTGCGGGAGGGGGAGGCTTATCGCTGGTCAGCCGCTCAACCTTCCAAGAGGGTCTGACGCATTTGTTTATGATCCCTGAAGGATTTTCCTGCGATCGTCGAAAAAGCAAATGCTCCAAATTTGTTAATCCTTGGGGGCTTTGGTAAGTAACTACTGTGTCGAAGTCAAACAAACCCCCCGTGTTTTTCTCGGGTACCTGCTTTTGACAACAATACCTCGATGAGAGCTCCCTACTAAATGTCGGCCTCTGTTTTGCTCTCTAGGTACCGATGCCATCTCCTGCGACGACACAACGTCCCTCCAATCGTGGAGGAACTGCGAAACCCACGTCAAAACCGCTGGATATCGGAGAGCCGCTAGGGCTACACGACACGAACACGGTACGCTCGAGAGTGCGGAAATGGCAACAACAAGGCGGCGGGGTCGTAACGGTAGACGACCCCTATGCTGAGGATGAGGAAAATGACGCGAAGCCAAAACCAAAGCCTGCTAAGGTCAAGGTGGGGAAGCTGGACAAGCTAGACAAGCTGGAAAAGCCGAACAATGACAAACCCCCGACCACAAGGAAGCGCAGTCACAGCACGCCCCGCAAGCGTGTGGTGAGCGACGAGCATTGGAAACGAACGCGAAGTCGAGCCTCAACCCAGTCTTCGTCGCGTAACCTACCTCCACCTAAGCGCATAGCCGAATATACCACAAACGAAGGGCAGCCTAGGTCTTCACGGGGAAGACACGACAAAAACGACCTCGAAGATGAGAAAGGTCGCGATCGTCCCCGATCTCAGGTAAAAGGAGGCGCTGGGGCGAGGTCCAAATCTCCTACGCGAGACACCAAGTCCGCGGGTGCACGACAGAACATCGATACCATCACCGAGAGCGACTATGAGTCGGACCATCCCGGGTCTGTGGAACCTTCGGAGCTCCCGGACAGACTCAGAACGCACTCCCCTCCTCCTGAGGATGCATGGGCAGCAAGCGAGGCGGATTTCTCTGAGCTGTCAAGGAGACGCAAGCGCGGCCCAGCAAAGCCTCCCAAAGGTGGTATATTCGCACACATGATCGACGAGTCGAGGAAAATGTTCGGGATACCAGAACCCGAACCGCCGCGACCTACGCCTACGCCGACTACGGGCCGTGGAGCCAAAATCGAGGCATGGCTTTCTGACACACCGGATCCTTTTCTGGATGAAGCCGTATCTAAGAGTGATATGCCAGCTCCTTTGGATCTGAAATCAGGCCGAGCCAGACGATCTCAAAAACTTACGGACGGAGAGCTACAACCTGGGACTGAATCCGAACCATCAACGATCAGTGAGCGCCCAAAGACCTCCGAGTCACGCCCAAAGAGTGCTGTAAGTAGGCATTCCAAAGGAAAGGACAGCTCTTCTTCAATCGACAAAACACCAAAGGCACAAGATCGCGAGATAGCCTCAGAGTCGAAGCGGGCTAGCATCGATAAGATTTCCAAGTCATCTGTCAGGAGCAAAGAGGACCACCATGTCGGCGACAAGCCTTATGAGGATAGTCTCGCGCCCTCGGAGTCCGATTTACAGCCATTTTCTGACAACGGCTCTGAAGTATCGGGTCTTAATCCACCTGTACCGCTTGGCCGTAAGAAGCCATTCCCGGCCACCGGTTACCATCGCTTATCAACGATTGCTTCCACGGACACGTTGAGCACCACTCTGACAGAGGGAACTGAGCACGTACCCAAGTCTACCCCCACCGAAAAGCCTAAATCGAAACTTGTGGAGGAAGCAGAAGAAGCAGAAAAGGACGACCAGTTCGATCCGGACTCGTTACCTGTGGTCTCCTCGCAACTGAAAAGACGGCTTACGACTCACAATGACCTCATGTCTGTACTATCTGTTTCGGCTTCGCGGAGCAGAAGCACCCGGTCGAATCGGAGTATTCGCACCAACAAAAGCCGACTGGCCCATGCGACAGTTGAAGATTTGCTCTATGAGCTTTCGGGTGATGAGACGAAGTATATGCGCGAGCTGAAAACACTTGTCGGGGGTGTGATTCCGGTCCTCTTGACTTGCGTGTTGTCCCGTTCTGATTCGGCTATTGCTGCAGGTCTGTTTCGACCGTCTTTGGACCCTCAGGACGACGTGAACTTCTCGAAGCCAATTGTCAATATGGGAGTGGCGATCGAGCGCCTCAAGAACCTGCACAAGCGAATCCCGCAGGATAACGCGGATGCACTGCTTACATGGGCGCAAGGTGCCCAGAGAGTCTACCGCGAGTACTTGAAGGCGTGGCGCCTTGGATTCAAAGATGTCATTGTCAACCTGGCTCCTTTAGAAGAAGATGAAGTCACGAATGATGCCGACACAAAGAGCCTAGATGAAGGCTTGGAGCGAGATGAAAACGGCGACTTCGTAGACAGCGACGGGGAGAAGGTCGACGTGGCTTATCTGCTGAAACGTCCGTTAGTACGTCTTAAGTACCTGGCAAAGAGTTTCAAGGGTATCAATATGCTGGAGCCGTCCCCAAAGGCTGAAGAAACCGCTGCCGCCTATCAAAGCCTTGTTATCGATGCCCGAAAACGCGTCCGAGATGAAAGAGCGAGGTTGGAAGATGATTCTGCTGCCAGTATCGACCCAACACGCACAAGAGACCCGATGACCTTGGGCGTCCTGCACGGGATCGGCATTGACCAGACTCGCCATGTCCGAGCTCGCGATTTCTTCAATCTATCTTTGTATCACTCAAGTGGACAACTTGTGGATTGTCGGGCCGAGCTTTTATATCGAGACAATCCCTCGAGCAAGGGGCCTGGAGGTGATCTTTTGATTTGCGAAATTGATCATTCAGATCGCTGGCTTCTTTTCCCTCCCATGGACCTAAGATGTGTTTCAGCCCGCAAGGGAGAATCGAAGCATGAGATCGTGGTCATGCTGCGCAGCGCTCCCGGAGATGAAACCAAGTACTGGCAAGAATTGATCTCGCTCCGCATTGACGAAGAAGAAGTTGGCGCTGAGTGGGTCTCATTGCTCGGATCGGACCCTATTCCACCATCAATTTGTCGAAGCCAGAGCTTCATCAGCCGAGCGAAGCAGAACAAGGCTCGGAAGCCCCCTGCCATTGGTTCTCCGCCCAGGCCAAATGATGTTGATGTCCCCATCGGCGAGAAGGCAGCCGGTAAACGACGCTCATGGCCCCCCAAAGAGCACTCGTCTGAGCCAAGTACGGTCGGCTCTGTTACTGATGCTAGGAGCTCTTTGTCCTCGATCGTCACTCGGGAGACTGATTATACCACTGGAGGATCTGACCTGTCTCCCAAGCCAATTCGCTCCGATCTACCTCTTCTGCCTTCTACAGCTCCCAGGAGCTCGCCAAGTAGCCCGGAAAAGACTCCCACCGGACTCAAACGATCCAAGGCGAAGAGGCTTTCTCGCTATGGTGACAGCCCGGCTTCCGAGGCTGCCTCGCAGCACACTGTTGTATCCGATAAAGCACCCGAACACAGCGCACCTGCGGTTGTTTCTCCTCAAACCTTAAGCACGCCAACGGGAGGTAGATTCTATGGCGAAAAGGAGGAATCCTCAACCAGGGCATCACCGAGAGAAAAGTCGCGTTCGAGGATTCCTCAACCTCAGAAGACCCCTGTCAGGGACCCCGAGCCGGAGTCTCCTAGAGTTTCATCTGTTCCCTCAGCAACTCTCCCATTGATTCCCAAAATCCGAACTTCTAGCAGCCAAACTCACCTTACTACACCCACAAGCATCGGCCCCGAAGATGAGGAAGATTACCCTCCACTTGAATGCTTGCCCAAGCAAGAAGTCCCAGAGACACCAACGAGAACTAGGAGAAGGAAGTCTCGAAGACGGCCGAAGGATGACGATAGTCCTCCCCCTCCCCCGCCTCATCGCTCGCCTAGCCCTGCCAATGGCAAGCGCTCAACTCCCCCAGTCCTCACTTCCAGTAGTGGTGGACTCAAGCGACGTGGCTCTTCCCCCCTGAAGCACGAATATGAACCCTCTACAGCTTCAGACTACTCAGAAACCGACTCGGACGCCTCGACAGTGCGCCACTATTCCTACTCATCATCCGAATACTCAAGATCAGGTGGCTTTACTGACTCAGAAGATGATTACTCCTCGATGTCTGAAGATGAAGAATATGTTACTCCCAAGCCAAAAGCACCAGACGCGGATACCGACGCCAGTTCGCTGTCACCTTCTAATTCTGTGTCGCAGAGTGGCTATCGTTCTGTGCCGGTACAGCCCAACAAGACTAACAAGACTATTGCGTCTGTCTTTGCCTGGTCTGACAAAGGCAGCTGGGAGCCTTTGCTTCCTGACGAATGTAGCATCATCGTTGGTCCTGGCCTGATCGAGGCCTTCGCCTTGGGCTCTGAGCCTGATGAGAACTTGGATTCTGTATCATCAAGGCCGCTCATCTCCCTTGAATTGACACCACTCGTTCCTATTCGCCGCGGCACAGCCATCGATATCAGCATTCGCTCTCCTCCCACTGAGCGATCCAAGATCACATCTAGCAACAACATCATGTTCCGGTCACGCAACCCTGACGAATGTGACGCCCTATATGGTCTAATCAACCAATCAAGAATCAATAACCCAACCTATATCGCGCTCCAGAACGCCCGCGGTCCATTCAACGGCCATGTCTCTACCTTTGAACCTGCCCCCAAATCCGGCGGAGGCCTGTTTGGCTGGCCCCGCCGCAGAAAGAGCTATCGCGCGTCGAGCTCCCCGCGCTCTTTAGCTGAAGGATCCGAAAGCAGCGTGGGAACCATGAGCAGCGCTTTCTCCGCCCTGAAACGCTTCGGGAACAGCAGCAAAATGTTCAACATTGCCCGCTCGACCGTCGAATCCCGCACTGGCCGCGAAGGCAGCATCTACTCCGGCTCCGGTGATTCCGGCAACGGGCTATCCTCTAACTCGGGCATAGGCCGCATCGCCGCAGCGGTCAAAGGCGCCGACGGAATCGGTCTCTCAAACGCCAAGGTGCGCCTGTACGCACGCGAATCCGCCTCCAAGTGGCGCGACATGGGCGCCGCCCGTATGACCATCATGCCCGCACCACCCAAGAACCCCTCCCGCCCTGGTACTGGCGTCAGCGGCCGCAGCGAAAACAGCTCCCCGCAGGGTGATAATGACAATGCAAGCGGTACTTCACCTCCCGCATCAGGGTCCGCCTCCCCACGCGGCGCCATCTCGACCGAGAAGCGCATCGTCATCCGTGGCAAGACACGCGGCGAGACCCTCCTCGATGTCTGCCTTGGCGAGAACGCCTTTGAGCGTATCGCCCGCACGGGAATTGCAGTCTCCATTCGCGAGGAGAATGAAGACGCCTCCATCGCGCAGAAGGGTGGTGTTGCTACTGGCTCTGGCAAGATATTTATGATTCAAATGAAAAGTGAGGCTGAGGCAGCTTATACCTTCGGGCTTGTTGGCAAGCTCAGGTATTGATGAGTGATGTGATGAGTTGATGTTGGGATTGGGATTGGGTACGGGGTATGGATATGGGGCATGGGGGGTGTATTGTTGGCTTTTTTCTCTCCTTTTACTTTTCCTTTTCTAGTTAACTTTTACATATCTTCGATCATTATTAGTTCTTTCCTTTTGTACATTTAGACTCAACTGAATGATATCCGGGCTGTGGAATAATGCAATCGTGCCCAACCTATCCCTCTTCTCCGTCCGTTGTTGTATAGTAATATATTTTGAGGCCTATAACTTCATACATATACTAAGCCCTTCCTTTTGGATACTATTGCTCGACGAATTTAGCTCTGCTTGTTCGTTTGAGGTCTATTGATGTCATTTAAATCTTATATATACATGTATAATATAGTCCAAATAAATGAAAATGTATCACAATGCATCGTCCCAAATGCCATTCCAACACTCCAACATAGAGCTGTCTAACTCTTTATTTCCGGCCCATTAGTCTTTTTGAAAACATACCCAACCAAGTTACACTCATCCTTCAGCATAGAAACCAGCACATCGTCATCAATGGCAGCTTCAAGTTCATCATCTTCAACCCCAACCCCAACATTTGAATCGGACTCAGCTGCAAGCAGAGTTGGGTCAATGTGCGAGTACTGAGCCAAAGACTGGTGCATCTTATCTTTTTGACTCTTAGTATCGCCCTCTTTCTTCGTACCCTTCTTTCCCTTCCCAACCATCTTAGCACGATAAGTGCCGTCACGGATAGATTGCTCTTGTTTCTCCATATCGACCTCGGAAGCTTTAACAAGAGTACAAGGTTTCGGCAGCGAGTCATCCGAATCATCAAGGTCAGAAGGCGGATCCGATAAATCATCAACCTCAGATCCACCCCCACCATCGACAGTAGCAGGCGTCACAGCCCCAGACGAAGAAGCCTCAGAGCCAGCCTGAACTCCCCGTCCACCACAGCGACAACCCAACAACTCATGAGTCTGACAAGCCCTGTCCTCATCAAGCCTGAACAAATCCCTCAGCTCGGCCGCCGAGAACTGCGTCCCACCGTTACTGCTACTCTTCTCTTGCATAACACTATCCGCAAGACCAAGCTTGGTAACCTGTCTCTGCCAGATCCTCTCCTCGAGACTGCCCTTAAGCAGAATACGGTAGATACGACAAGGTCGTTTCTGGCCGTCGCGGTGGATGCGCGCCATGGCCTGGATATCCGTTGCCGGGTTCCAGTCTACATCGAAGAGGATGAGACGGCTTGCGCCAATCAGGTTGAGACCCGTTCCGCCTGCTTTTGCGGATAGAAGGAAGGCGAAGCAGGAGCTTGCTGGGAGACGGTTGAAGTCGTCTACCAGGCCTTGTCGTTTCTGGGCTGGTGTGCTGCCGTCGAGGCGGAGGTAGGGGAGGCCTAGGGAGGTGAGGAGGGTTGCGAGGAGGGAGAGGGTTGAGGTGTAGTTTGAGACGAGGACTATTTTCTCGTCTGTTTTGCTGCGCATGGTGTCGAGGAGTTGGTCGAGAACGCGGATTTTTGCGCTGGAGGAGGGGGATAGGTGGCGGTGGAGAGGTTGGGGGATGGAGGCGATGAGGGCGGTCATTGTTTCGTTGGGGGTGCCGTCGTTGTTTTTGGCTGTTAGGAGGGAAGGGCTGTTGCTGAGCTTTTTGAGGATTGTTATTAGCTGCAGGGCGCTTTCGGCGTTGCCCATTGCGCTTTGGAAGATCGGGGAGGCGAGGACAGCTTTGTATATGTTTGCTTGAGGGCGGGTGGGTTTGCAGAAGAGGACGTATTCGGTCTTTGGGGGAGATATTTGGCCAAGATGTCTGCTGTTCGGCGGAGCATGAATTGCGAGGTGAGTTCTCGAAGCTCTTCGCCTCTGGACTCTCCTTTCTCGATGTCCTTGCTCGTTGCTTCTGGCTGTCTGCTGCGAACGATTGGGGTCTCGAACTCTCGAATGAAGGACTTGAAGCTGCCAAGTATCCCTGGGTTAACAAGGTCCACGGCTGCAAAGAACTCTCTCAGATCATTTTGGATTGGCGTGCCGGAGAGAATAACTCTCTTCACGGCGCTGAGCGACTGGATCGCTAGGCCACTCTTGTTCTGCAATGTCTTGAGCCTGTGGCCTTCGTCCGCGATAATGATATCGACTCCAGAACTATTCGCCAAAGCTTCCTGGACGGTTCTGAGCTTCTCATATCCAACAATCATAATACTATAAGCCCGGCCCTTAGTGAAATCCGTAAGACGCTTGCTCTTATCATCGAAAACAAAAACTCCAATGCGCTCATTTCCGAGCCACTTGCGGAACTCCTTCCTCCAGTTATTGATAAGAGTGACAGGACACACAATCAATGCCTTCTTAATAACCGGCGGGGCTTCAAACACAGGATTCTGCTTAAGCAGAGTCCATAGCAGTGCAATAGTCTGCAAAGTCTTTCCCAAACCCATGTCATCCGCAAGAATGGCACCTTCGCCATTAAACGACCGCATTCCCATCACACACTCGTACAAGAACTTCACACCCTCACGCTGATGCGGCCGCAAGTTCTTGGCCAAGAGAGGATCAACAACAACATCCACAACCTGTCTCCCTTTCGGCACAGACTTCGGCCGCGGCATAACCAACGCACCAACGGCCTTAGGGTCATGACGTGGAACGACCTTCCCCACGACCTTGGGAGTAACGGTATTCGCAAGCAGCGGCGCTTTATAAGCGGCAAATGTTGCCGGTGCTGTTCCAGGGTTCGCATTGGGGTTGGTAACTAGAGCCAGTGAGCGCTTGAGGGATTGTGTCCGCTCAGCAGCCGTAGGCTTGCGTACTTCACCCTTCTTTCGAGCGGGGAGAGCTTCTTTCTTCGGTGTGGGCACCGGGTCCGACGTAGAGGTAGGTGCTGGTTTCGCGCCTTCCAGGAACATTCTGCCGGAGAGATATTCTTTGCGCGACATTTCAGAGTCTATTTCAACCTCTTTGCCAGAGATAGACAGTGTTGTTCCCGGCTCGAGGCGGGCTTCGTGCACCTTCCGTCCCATCTCCTTCCCGGCAATGTCTCGTAGGTATACAAATTCTCCGCGAGTGGAGAGGATTCCGTCTCCGTCCCATGTTTTGTGCTTTTTGGCGCTTGGTTTGCGCCTGTCTGGGTTAGCTGATTCGGTGTGATTGGTAGTGGCCCTGTGACGGACCAGAGTTCTGAGGACACATACCAGAGAACATTGAAGTATCTTTCGTCCGATGTATCATCTTTGGTCGATTCACTGACTGATGACTGTGCCGTGCTGTCTGACCCTCGATTGCTGACTTGGAGCGGCTTTCGACTGGTTTGCACATCCTTCGGTGCTTGTTCGTCTCCGAGGCGGGGCTTTTTGGTAGGACGACTGGGCTCGCTGGTAGTGTCGGAGGATGAAGTAGCGCGATTCCTAATTAAAGGGGACTTGAAGGGTTTGAAGACCATGATTGAGTTGGTCTTTATTCCCTTGATCAAGATGGCGTTGGGATGAGGACGCGACACGGGCGCGGGACGCGTGATCACGTGAGTTAATCTATCACTTGTGTATAGAAGGCTGAGTCTCGAATCAGGAAACATTTGGCTTGGTTTAAATTCAGCAAGAATACTGCCATGGGAAGTGGGCGTATTAAAATGCGCTTGGACAAAAGGAACACGAATTATGTCTTCACAGTAGCTATGTATGTATAGGTTCGGGAAAAGCCCGACAAGAATAGAAATGTACAAAAGGTGTATATAACATTAAGTCGCATCATGAAAGGGAGCATTTTATATCCGCACAGCGAAGGAAGAGGCGTGCCAACCAAAATTGTATATGGATAACAATCGTCCTAACATTCCCGCCGAGGAGATTTACCGAGCATCGTCGGCCAGGGCCTTGTCGGTCAACGGGACATGCTTCGGGCCCACATAGGAGCCCTGGTGGATGAACCACCAGATGGTAATGAAGATTGACAGACCGCCAGTCATCAGGCTGGCATAATTCATCGACGCGGCATCAGTAGGGAGAGCGTAAGGGAAGCAGAAGATGATGGCGAAGGCGATGATGTAGGCACAGGCCAGGGAGTTGACGACGTAGCCAATTTTGTTGTTCATGAAGAAGTATCCAGGGACAAAGGACGAACGGCGGGTCAAGATGTGAGGGAAGATGGCCATGAAGTACGAAAGACTGGACAACTGCACGAAACATCCCACAAAGGCGCTGAAGGCGGTGCTCGAGCCAAGGTAGATGCACGCCAGGATGGTGATGAAACCACCGCAGGTCAGGGTGGCGTTGAAGGGGTTCTTGAACTTCAGGCTGATATGACCAAGCCATCCCGAGAATGGAGTCGCGCCATCACGAGAGATGGTCCAGAGTGTGCGGCCGGCAGTGATGTAGCAGCCGCAGGCAGTAATCAAGGTGGGTAGGAAAGCGACAACCAAGAGGCCGAGAGCGCCGCCACGGGAGCCGGTGGCCTGACGGTAGATCTCAGCCAGGGGGAAGAACGTGGTCGCGCCGCGCACTGCGTCGAGGTCGTTAACGGCATAGAAGATTGCGATCATGTAGCAGATACCAGTGATAAAACCGACACCCATCTGGGCTAGAATAGCCTTGGGGATATTTCGGCTCGGCCTGTAAGTTCAAGTCAGCATTGATAATACAAGGGATGGGGGGTTAAGGCCACTGACTTTGGAATCTCCTCAGCCAAGTGAGTTGAGCAGTCAGGGGTGCCAACACTGTAAGCACCGTTGAGCATACCAGCCACAAAAACGAATCCTTGCTGGGTATAACCGGTTCCGTTATCCCAAGTTGCCCACACAAGCTTGTCGGTGGCATATCCAGTGCCGTTCACATGAGGCATCACAGCACACACGATGATGGTAACGAACACACCAGCTAGGATGAAGAACATGCCGAGGTTTCCAATGTAAGGGAGGAAGCGGTTCATGAACAGCACAATGCAGCAACAAGTCCAGGTGCAGAGGAGGAAGCTGACAAAGACGTTCCATTGTGAGGGCGCAAAGCCGGGATGCATCAATTGATACATAGACACGGTCTGCTGAGCCAGAATCAGAGACATAGATGCAGCACCGAGCATCCAAGCCAGGCAGTTCCACCATCCAGCGTAGAAGCCGCACACGCGACCGTACTTGCTTCCCGCAGTGACAGTCGCCCAATGGTAGACACCACTAGCTGAGGGCATACCCGATGCCAATTCCGCAATCGATGCTGCGACTAACCAGTAGCAAACAGACACAGCCATGCTAAATAAGGGGTTAGCTTTAGTTGGTTAGACGGGTAGGGAGGGCGATATACAATTCATAGATAGTTCCTGCAATTCCACCATTGCTCAAAGCCGTAACAACACTACCACCTTGGGCAATCCATGTGTTTCCGGTGGTCACAGCCACAGCACAGATACTGATTAAGCCAAAGTTGCGCTCGAGTTCCTGGCGATGGCCTGAGGCGTTGACCAACACACCATCGATTGGGCCATCATCGTTGGTATAATCCGACGTAGGTGCGACCTCCTTCTCAGGGACATATCCGACCTCCTTCTTCGGCGAATAGCTGATCTCGCTCTCAGACATTTCGGGCGTATTTTCGGGGATTTCCCTTAAACCACAACAGAATACTCCTTGACGACAACGAGTAACGGATTCCGATATGCACCTCCCAAGAATACACCTCCCAGGCGTATTAAAGAATGATATGGGAAGAATTGAGGTGAACACAGATGTTAAGGAAAGAGAGAGCAAAAGGCGTGCAGCCTATATTATCACGGCAAAGCCGATCAAGTCGGCTCGACAATCCATGTATTCCTCCCGACCCCACCCTTACTTTCTCAATCTCCAGCCAATCAGCTTTCATGGGGGCACATCATCCGGTGGCCAACCGGCCCATAGTGGAGTCACCCCAGAGTTTCTATTGGGCGAACCCGGAGGCAAGGATGAACATTGTCCTCCAACGGAAACTCTAGTAAACGCGGCTGCACCTCATGGTTGCATTGCGCTTAACCCAGAAGGGGAGCTTCAGCAGAAAGAATTTTCCATTCCCTTGGTAGGCATTCCATCTTATTTCTTCTATCAAGTTGCTTTTCTTTAGGGCTCTTTGGCGGGTCAATTGACCCCAGACTGCTTAACATCATCCCGTTCATGATACATTACTCTAAATAAGTGTCCATCTGGATCCTTTAGGACCTCGGGAGGTATCCATGCATTACATAAACATAAGAAATCCATGGACGGATTTTTTATGGCATGATACAGAATACTTTGTACCCACATACAATATACCCAGGATGCAATACTATTAGAGACTTTCTTCTAGACTCCCCCCTATTTGATTCAACATGTCATTTGCGAGTGAGACAAGCCAAAAAAGCCGCCAATTACACGAGCACTGCAAGTGGCCACGAACAATCTATGTTTGTCAAGCTAGTGCGACCAGGGTATGTCTCATATAGGGTATATAGCATGCTATATAGGGCTAGAGGGTGGCTGTAGTTTAGCCTCTATACCCACTTAAGACCTTGAACCAGACCATCCTCCGGAAGTATACAAAATATAGTCCAGCTGAGTGTGGATAGCACAGACAAGGCGACTCCGATTCTAGCCTCAGATGTAGTGGGAACGGTGATATAGGAGACTTCGTGGTCGGGTTGATGTTTCGCCTCTAAATTAATTAAGTACCTAGGTGCTACTTCGTACCTATTAATTCGTATGACTAATTAAGAGATTTAAGAAATTAATTTGAAGTATAATGTCTTTGTACAGAGTACAAAGTACGATGTCGGCAGTGAAGATACTAATAAAGCCTCTTGTTCCTTCAGGCTTGCTAGAGTTTAGCGTCGAGTAAATTTATGACACATACCTCCGACCACTCCGATCCTTCGAACCTGACTATATAAGCCAGTTCCCAATATTTCGATCTCTAGATTTCCAGTTCATGCAAGTTCTACTCCGTACGAAGTACTCCGTACAGCATATCTAGAACTCGCCTCTGGTCCCACCATAAAAATATTAAGGAGTCCTCCGTTCCGAGTAAGGAACCACTCTCATCTCCACTTTCCAAAATCCCTCAAAAAGCAAGGCTCGGGGCCAATCAGAGTTTCATCCGCGCATGTCGTTGTTTACCCCACTTTTCCCGCTTGTAGCTAGTGGCAAACTCAGAATATCTCAATGCCCGATCTAGCAGGTCTTCGTCTGTCTAGTCTTGAGTGAAGTATACCCGACCATAAACTCAACCATACGAAGCTCCAATAGGTCTATATTCTTGGGCTTATGCAGGGCTTGGATATTGAGTTACCTCGATACTTCTTACCAAACCTTCAAATGTTGGCATCTTGGCTGATCACCCTCTCAGCTCCTCCACTGTGGACCTATCCCCCAGATAGAAAGAGCTAATGTCTATCTTCGCTTAGGTGTATGTCTTGGTGATTGGGCATAACAATATAGATGTGCTCATTTGGCCTCTTGCCTAGTCAAGCAGGTAGGTAACAACTAGGTTCATTATGGATCTAAGTGATAAAAACTCTGCCTACTAAAATTGGGGGGTTAATGGGCTTCTAAACTGTAAATCAGCTAAATTTACAGGATTTACAGGGATTAGAGGAAATTCCAGAGTAAAGCAACCTTGGAAAGTATGGTAAAGTGGACCAATGACAAAAACGGGAGTTACAAATTATAATGCAGCATTGAAATCAATTTCCCAAACTAATCCCATCCAAGGATACACTCGCCATCAGATACCCCACTGTCCAATTGATTGTCAGTGCTCTATCTTTGAGTGATTGGGCGTTTCTATCTTTTGCATCTTACCATACTTAGCATTCTATCAAAGGTTCTAACGCAATTTCCATCCCCTGTCGTACCATCGGCATATGCCTATGCAGCATCGGGACTTGGCTGGAACCATATACATAGTATCGCATATCCCGGCTAATTTCATAAAATGTGAGTGCGCCTCTTAACTCTCGTTTCTCCCTTAGATCCTGTTAACGTCTATTCGAACAGGCCAGGGGCAATGTCAGGCTTAGGAGGTCACTTCGCGGTGGAATTCGCCCGTGAAACATGGGCTCTGTATGCCGTCGGCATATTGGGTGCAGCCTTGCGATGGTACGTATTAACTGAGTATCCCAATATACAAGCACCCACTAACTAAATACCTTTGATAGGCTTGCTCGTATTCGACGTTTGGGCATTCGCAATCTCCAGGTCGATGACTATCTTATGCTCTTCGCAGTACTCTGGTATACAATACTATGTGTCGCTTTAAATCAAGTCGCTTCTGGTGGCGGGTCAAATCTCATGACCGAGGAGGACAGGAAATCGTTAACGGATAAAATTATCGGCGAACGAGTGCGCGGTAGCAAATGGGTCTTTGTGTCGGAGCATTCCTTTATTCTTTGCGTCTGGAGTTTGAAAGCATGCATGCTGGTGATCTATGCGCGTATCACGTATGTTGACCCTCGATGTCTGGGGCTTGTTCGTTTCGCTAACAACCAACAGTGAAGGGTTGAAGCAGAAACGCTGGATCAACTATCTCGCAATTTACGTCGCAGTAGGATTTGTTGTGACTGAACTGTCACTTTTCCTGCTCTGCCGCCCATTATCAGACTACTGGGCCGTCGTCCCAACACCAGACTACCAATGCTCGTCCTATCAGTACTATGAAATCGTGCAGGGCTGCATCTCAATCTCTGCCGACATATTCATGCTTGTAATCGCCATCCCGATGCTACTCCAAGTCCGGGTCCCGCTCAAGCAAAAGATGATCCTGACTCTCCTCTTCGGCATGGGAATCTTCGTCATCGTCGCCGCCGTCCTGAACAAGGTATACTGTCTCGTCCCTTCTCTGATCTCCTACGTCTACATGAACTGGTACTTCCGCGAAGCAACCGTCGCCATCCTGGTCACCAACCTGCCTCTGATCTGGTCACTGCTCCGCGACGTCTTCCCCGCCCTCAAGAGCTGGACCGGAGGCTCCAAGCGCGGCACCGACCGCTACAAGTCCGGGCCCTGGACAAGCAAGGGAGGCTCTAATCTACCTCCCTATGGCCAGCCCAGCCATACCCGATCGGGAGACTTCGGCATGCAAGAGTTCGAGGGCACCACTACAATTACCCCGCAAAAGGCGACTGCTTCCGATGCCAGTCTCAGCGAGGGGCGCGATGCGAGCAGTGACGATGGCTCGGCTCGCGCTTTGCGCATTCGTCGGGATATTACCGTTACGGTGCAGCGTGACTCGCGGCCGTCGGATTATGAAGCGAATACTTCGCAAATCACCCGTGCCCGCGAGGAGGTTTAATCAAGTCCTGTTATACTGAGAAAAGTCTCATTTTTTATTATTTGTCTTTTACGAATCCACGAAGTCCCCGAGGGTTTGATGCCCGGTCCTGTATTATTGTGTTTCTATTTTGTCTGTACATATTTACTTCCTACATATTTTTGTTTCTCTGGTTTTCTTTCCCGGCGACTATGGAGAATACCTGTTTCTTAGACATAGAGTTTTCTCCTTGCAACATACCTCACAATGTACTAAAAGTTCAAATCCATGAATTGCATACGCCACTATAACTACAATATCCACTGTCATTTCCACAGAGCATCTCATCCCAAAACTAGAGCCTCTGCTCCCAACCACCTATACGCAACCCCCACGGCGAGTGGGTTAACCGCTTTTCAAGACAGATAGAACCTTGGAATCCATTCCATCACAACCCGCTGATCTCCCGGCACCTTGCATCAAGAGCATGCCGATCTTATCGGCATCGGACAGGGACATTCCAAGCTGGGAAGGGATTAGCCTATGGCATTGGATTGCCGAGCTTAGCCCAGGTTCTTTGACCCCTGCAGGGAGGGGGTTGGGCGAACCGGCGAACATAGCTTGGGCGCAATGGGACCTTCCCAGAAAACCATGTTGATGTTAATCAACCTATTCCCGGTTCTGATAACAGTGCCTGGGCCGAGCATTATGTGGCGTTGCCGGTCTGCATATACGGGCTATTGCGAATGCACAGCTAACTATGTCGGATAGTTCATGTCGGTAATTGTCGGACGCTCTAAGTTATATATTGCCCACAAACTATAAAACATACAGCGTTGGGCACCAACAGCTATGTCGTACAATATAATGTATCATATGGCGGTGACTACCCCGGAAGACGAAATTCCGAAATCGGTGAAGTCGCGATCCCAAAAAGGAAAATGCGAAAAGGAAAAAGACAAATTTCGTATCAAGTGAACATGGTTCACCATCAAGGTTCCCGCTCCACAAGCAGTCGATCGACGCATCAGCCTTGGAAAAGCTGGTCAAAGCCGACTAGAACCTTGGAACCACGGAAGAGCCCACTTGTGCATCCACGGATGCTTTGCTGACATTTTACGCTGGTACCGTGGACACGCACCAGCTCTGTCTGGATCGGTTGGGGTCGGGACCCGAACATTGCGCTGGATTTTCGCGGGATCTGCGTGGAGAGAGAGATATGACGTGATAAGGGGGAGCGATTATCAATTGCCGTCGGTCATATATCGTACGAGTTCATTTATGTTTACTGATGTACTCCATAGCGATGGGAATTGCAATGGATACCTACAATATCCATAAATTATAGGTATTATTAGAAGGCTTTTAATGACCTCGGGATTAAGCCGCGTAAGTGCATCTGGGCACTAAATCTGAGTTTCAATTGAGTTTTGGCGACCCAGCATGCCACGGTCACCAATCTTGGAAATTTCGTACAATGTTTGTATATGTAACTACATATGTATTGTGCAATACTAATGGACAACAATATACGGAGTACCCATAAGCTGGACATCCCATTCTTCTAGATGTCGCTTAGAACCCGAACCACGTGTATTCGGTCTCATTTTTGAGTGAATAGACGATCATTTATCCCTATTCAAGTAACTTGCACGGGTAATACTCGGTTCCTGAAGGATTCACTTAAAAGTTAGCCTAACGGGCTCGACTAGGATGAATTACACTACTCTACAACATATGTTGTATACATCGTACTCTATTGTAATTGTACACAGCTAGGTACCGTCATAAAGTGGGTCCTAAGCCGAGCACTACGTTGTATGCGCATAACACCGACAAGGTTCATCTTTTCCCGATAAGGAGGTAATTTCTTTTCTTTTTCAGCAATTACAATTTCATTCCATTCTTTTTCTTTTTCTTTTATTTTTTATCCTTGTCTCTTCTCTCGTCTCCGCCGGAGTGACCCGCTTGACCCCACTATCAACTCCGAGACCTGCTCTTCGATCGCAGTTATGCTTGTGAACTCTGGTCTAAGGTTTTAGCCCCCACTCTATCTTTGCATCCAAAGTATATATCCTCTCGCTTAGATGCAGGCTTGTTCCTGGGCTAGTCTATTTGTAGATAGCTACGGAATGCTCGCCGAAATAAGATTTTTGCCCGACGCTTTAGTCTTCAGGTACGAAGTAGAAAAGTATATATACTTATCGTTTGTTATATGTTGTGCATATGCAGGACAGGCAAAGGATAGTCAATGTAACACTACAACACATATGGTGGCGAAGTGCAGGGCGATTTGCCTTCGCTCTAGCTGCATCTCGTAGGTACCCCGGCCGCCACGAGGGAGATGCATGAATAGCCGCTGGGAACGGTGTTTGATTCGCTGTTACGTGCAGAGTATAATAATATGAGACATTCGAGAACCACCTTCGGCAGTTCCTTGCAGGTACGGAGTATATACCCTGTTTACCAGGTTGCATCGCTTGAGGCTAGTTAGAAGCTAAGGTACATCGGCTCGATTGTTTAACTGTGAAGAGCCTATCTAAAGATGTTCTCTAATAGTAAAAGATGTCAGGTTGTCCAAATCCCTTTGTCTGCTGGTCAGCATCCAAAAAGTTTGTATCACCGGCAACTTGTACCCTCAAAAGTACCTAGGTACCTAAGGTATGGAATTTAAATCTCTGTCCCTCGCCAATCCGAAACCTAATCTCGCTTTTACGCAACGCATACCCAAACTATTGAAGTCTCAAGGTAGGATTTACTTAGACTTCGGATCCCATGGATGGATCTGGGTCTGGATCTGGTTCGCACAGGCAGCCCTGCGGACCCTCTTTCCTCGACACAGAAACCATACGGTCCTTCGGATCTAATATACTACGGAAATTGCCAGCCCATTCAGCCAGAGGTCGTATTTTTCCAATCCTCGGGTTGCAGTGCATGATAAGGCAAAATACTCGAATTCTTTGTCGGTTCATACAAGTACCATACGATAAAATGTCATATATATCCCAAACATGAGGGCATCAAATGCACCTCGATTGTTATTACTGGAGCCACGCACGGATCGATGTTGAGACCACTCGTGCCTTGTCAGCCATCGGGGCTGGAACACACTCTGGCTCAACGGTTTCTCCTTCGTTCCATCCAGCATATCATCCTCTTCATAATCAATCATATGTTCCCGTGGCGCAGAATCCAATTTACGAGCCTCCTCAAAATCAAACAGTTGCTCTTCATAGCAAGCGGAATCTATGTCAGTCCAATCAGAGGATGATTCAAGAAACGTAGCAACGGCATAGTGGCAATCTTGTTGAGCCAGCTTGATGGCCCTGATATACTCAATCCGGCCATCCCCCTCGATCAGCACCCCCTCATTCAAGAGAAGTTGTAGCATGTCCAATCGGCCATGTTCAGCAGCACCCTCAAGAGCTGTTCTTCCATACCGCTCAGCCCTAGGGGCTTGGACGTTAGCACCAGCATCGAGTAGCTTGTGGGAAATTCCAATGTAACCCTGAATTGCGGCAGACTGCAATGCCGTCGCTCCTTGGCGAGAAGCTGGTGTCTGGTTCACATTTGCACCGGCTTTGAGCAAAAGGTCCACAAGCTCCATGTTTCCCGCTTCGCCGGCAATATATAACGCAGTCTCTAGAAATGGCTTTCCTTCTGGGTTCTGCAGTAGGTCCGGGATAGTGGTGTTGGCTGTGAGGAGGATTTTGACTTGTTCAATGTTTCCAGACTCGATGGCGTGTCGCATGTATACTTGGCTGTTGATATGGTCAACAATACGATCAACGCTCAATAATTTCCGTAATAAGAGAATATCCCCTTCGCCCAAAGCAAACATGACGGGGTTTGACAACCCCCTCATTATTTGCCTGTGCTTGTCAATGGAGGAAACATCTTGGTGTATGTCTGCACCATCATCTAGCAAGTCCTGGACAAATATCTTATCCCAAACATGAAGGCTTGTCGACAAGACTCGTCCTCTTTTTTCCCTTGTCCAGGTAGTTGCTCCCAGTAGGGCTTGTAAGATTCATCGGTTGCCATGTATCACTGCCAGTTCAAGGACCGACCGAAGAGGATGACGAGTTTCCTGATGGCGAGGAGAATCCTACCAGCCTATTGTCCAGTCGGTGTATGTATTGATGGAAAGCTTGGATTTCAAAGTCTCTCGAAAACTCCAATCAATATTTAGTTTGGGAACACCGCTTGGGTCAAGACCGGCCTCGAGTAAATGATGAACAACAGCTTCGTCATTTGCGCACATTGCCATTGCAAGTGCGGTTGGAGAAGAAAGGGAAAATGGTCCGAACATGTTGAGAAATTCCAGCAGAACGGAGCGATCCTGGGCCATCCCTGCTCTCCACACGATTGCATTTATCTCAGCCTCAGTCACCTGTCCCCTGTGGCTGATTGCCACAGCATAATGCTGCTTCCAATGGGGTGTTGACCTCGGTTTTTGATTCTATTCCAAGCTCATTTTTGATGGAACGACGTTGTTGGTCGGCTCTATGTCCCAGAAGAAGGCTTATTAAAGGCTCGTTCTTTGCGAGGATTGCCTCAATAAGTACCATCTGCCCATTGGCCAAAGTAAGTTGTGATGGCAGGTTGCTCTGCTCCAGAAACTGTACGGTCTCACAACGTTAGCAATGAAGGGAATCACATGGCCAACTCCTGTCGCCCCTGCACTTTGTAGCAGAGAGATCATGGTCCAATTCTATTGCGTTATAGCTACGCCCAGTGCGCTGTTAGGGAGGCTCCGAAGAAGATCATTTGCTCGGGCTGAAAGTTGTAGAAGTAGTGCAACGGTTTCAGGGTCGTTATCTTTGACGTGCTCCCACAATTGAGAAGAATAATAATTCTGCATGAGCTGTGCCCCTGCCTCGGCTCCATTTGCCAGGAGAATCTGGCACATGGGAAGGTCGTTTGCTTCCAAGGCTAGTTCAAACAAACTTATCTGCCCATCCTGATTTGCCGCTTCATCTCTTGCAGCTTGTAGACTGGCACCGGCTTCCAGTAAAAGCCTAGGTGCGTCTTTCTTTCTTTCGGTAACAGCCAACACGAGCGGGTGTAAATAATCGTCCGGATTGTTTGCCCGATTGACGGTTGCATGTGCTGCTAGAAGAATTTGCAACATTGGGATATCTCCTTTAGAAGCTGCCACTCCTAGCGCAGTCGTCTGATAGCGCTTTGGTCGTATTCCGAAGACATGCTTTGACACTCTCAAGGAAACCCTCCTTGATGCTCTGGGATGAAAACCAGAGTGATCTTTGAAACCAAAACGGACCAACGGGATTTGCATCTCGTGAAAGCAGAAATTGTGCAAGTTCTGCGTCTCTGAGTTGAACAATATATCGTTACCTGAGGTAGGCCTCGCGATGGTGGATTCGAAAGCATGTGGTCCGATCTCATACTTCACCTTTTTAGGTAAACAGAGAATGCCATTGACAACACACTTCACTTTCTTTGCCCTTCTGTCGCTTTCTTTTTTCGATGCGATGTTTGACGACCTTCCACTTCTCAGGTGTCATTTTGTACTTCTTGAAGTTCCACCGTTCGAATGCCTTCTCATATTGGGCTTTCTGTTTGCTATTAGCGATAATTTGATGAACAGCAGCAGCTAGGGCAGGATGGTACGTTTTTCGAAACCCGTGTCTCTTCCATGATCCGACTTAGTTCTTTTTGGATCTTGTTCTCACGTAGATAGATCTGCTCAATCTGGGCCTTATGGGGTTCCCAGTCTTCGTAGTTCGGTTTCGTCGACATGGCGAAGGATGGGTCAAAACGGGTAGTGGATAAAAATGTTTGTCAAGAGAACAAGGGTTCAGGGGTTCCTGCTTGAATGTAGAACATGGTCACGGTCGAAGCCAACAGGTGTGGCTGTGTCCTTGGGCATAACTCGCTGCACCCTAAATCCCTAACTCACTGCACCGCACCGTCCAGCACAGCACAGCACAAGCAACGCAATGTGCTGTGATTTGCAGTGTCACATTTTCTTCTCCACTTACGTGCATCGCCTGGGTTTTCTGGTGGCGGAGTCACTTGTGAGTATTTTTGCAGTATAGAAAGAAACGTCAGGGATCTTTCGTTTGCTACCATTGGATAATTTCACATTCTTCTATTTGACTTTTGTTTTCAAAACTGAAAAATACAGGCATCTACCTACATGTAGCCTGATTGGATCAAAATAGATTCTACTGACCCTAACTCGGCAGATCGATGGTCCAAGGCTAAGGTACACTTGCCAACCCGCTTATTATCTATGTAGTGAACCTGGAACTGGGTATGTCGATTAAAATAACCCTATGCCCATATAGAACTATAAAAACCCCTTTCCCTGAGGCCAAAGAAAGCAGAAAATCATCTCGTCTTCCAAACTTCAAAGGACCACTCCACCTCATCTTTTCATCTCACGATGGCGTGGCCATTATACAACATTGCCTTCAACGATTCGAGTCCATCCTACGAGCCCGGATGGGACACCAGTGGCTTCAAATGGCCTCAAGTCTCCCCTACTCATCCATCCTCTGTCTCCTGGGGCTCGGAGTCATCCATGTCTCCAAACCATCTTTTATACAACCATTATATGCAGGATTTGTCCGCACAACTCGATCCTAATTTTGCGATGCCGGAAGCCTCATATGCCCTCGACCTAAGTCGCCTGAACCAGAATGTCACACACTGTTTCTCGCTCGAGGGCAACGTCGCCGCCAAACCCTTTCCTATGGACGCCGTCAGCCCGACTACTTGTGCCGCCTCCCCATCCTCCGATGGCTCTGTGCGAGAGACGCCTCGGCCAAAGGTCAACGCAGGCCATTGTCCCAGTGTTGACACGCCATATCGCCACCATGGAGCGCACAAATCGAGCCCGGGGTAAGTCGTCCATGTTCAAGCTTAGTGTCAAGTTACGACATTCCAAGGGTACCATTACCAACTTGCTAACAGCAATGATCTCATGTAAGTAACGCCCACGGTGCTTTCCGTTGCCACTGGAAGGATTGCCCATACACTCACACGTTCTCCCGCAAAGGGGTATTGAAACGCCACGTTAAGACACAGCATGTCAATCCGCGCTCATTCGGTTGTCCTACATGTGGCAAACTCTTCAGTCGGAAGGACAATATGACTGAGCACCTTGGAAGAATGCATCGGCAAAGAGTTTGATTTGGACGCTGGAGTGAGGAACATCGACAAAGGGAGAGTCTGTGTTAGCTCTAACCCAGAGTTAATCGGCGTTCATTGGCACCTGTATTATTGAGAGATACGTGGAGATAATGGGGGTTTCTTTTTGGCCGTGAGCTCGAACGAGCGTTTGGCAGGATGCTCGATAACAACAATATCATTTTTCTAAGACATTTTTAATGGTCTAGAAGTAAGGGAGATAGACATGGAGTTCTCCAGTAGCTTTAAAATTATATAACTGCTCGATTCTATACTAGAAGTTATAGTCCACACAAACGTCTATCAATCTGACAGAATGAAGAATAGCAATATCACCATTCGTGCGCACTAGTACCGCACAAGATCTATGAAGTCGACACGTAATTACTATCCTCGTTATAGACGTAGTTCAGGCTTTAGTTTAGATGCCTTACTCAGAACTCCAATCGACTACCATGGTACCTAGGTAGCCTCGAGTTTGTAATTTAACTTTGATCTACCTAGGTACAATTGATTTATACAATAAGCTTAAGAGTATCCATGGGTTTGGTTTGAATTTCGGGATAAAAATAAACTTGTATTAACATGACCATTGCCGAGGCTTATAAGCCTTCGATTCAAATATGTAGGGACGTATCCCCCCAGCAAAGACTACATAAGTACATGAAAGGAGAATGCTCGAAGATAGCGCTAACGTCGTGCCAAAATAAGAAAGCAAAACCGGAAAACAAAGCCAGAAAAAAGTCGTGTATCATCACATCATCGCTGGGTATGTTCAAATACTTTTGTATGTGAGGTTCGCTTTATGACAAAAAGGAAGCCTTAAGGAAACCAGATCTGTTTAATCATCGTAGAGATCGGGCGAGGCGGGGTTATCGTCCATCTCAGCATCGAGATCATCCTCGTCCATCATTTCATCATCGCTGATGTCACTGTCCTCACCAATATCGTGGTTAGGCAGGACATCAATGCGGCTGTCGCGCATGACGACACGGGCGATCTCGCCATCCTTGATACTTCCACGCAAAATGAGCACAGCGAGACGGTTGAGGACTTCGCGCTCGATGAGTCGGCCCAGTGGACGAGCACCGTAGGCTGGGGAATAGCCTGCTGCGCCGAGGTAGTCCTTGACTTCCTCCGTGCACTGGATAGTGACATTGCGCTCGTTTTGATCGAGCCGCTTCTGCACCTCGGCGAGACGGAGGTCCACGATCTTGCGGATCTCCCGTCTGGTGAGACGGTTGAAGATGACGGTGCTGGAGATACGGTTGAGGAATTCAGGCAGGAAGTAGTCGCGCAGTGCGTTCATGACCAACTCGCGAGTGCCGGGGTCGATGCGACCGTCCTTAGTAGTGGGGCGGGCGAGATATTGGGCACCCAGGTTGGAGGTCATGACGACGATGCAGTTCTTTGCGTCGACGATGCGGCCCTGGCCGTCGGTGATACGGCCATCATCCATGAGTTGCAGGAGGACAGTGAGAACTTCCTTTGCGGCCTTCTCGACCTCGTCGAAGAGCAAGATCGAGAATGGGCGGCGGCGGAGATTTTCAGTAAGTTGGCCACCGGCGTCGTGGCCAACATATCCAGGGGGTGCACCGATCATACGGCTGAGTGAGTGTCGCTCCTGATACTCGGACATGTCGAACCGGATCATTGCCTTTGGATCATCGAAGAGGAATTCGGCAAGTGCTTTCGTGAGCAGTGTCTTACCGGTACCGGAGGGACCACAGAACAAGAAGCTGGGGGGCGCGTTAGGGTTACTGAGACCCGAGCGTTGCAAACGGATCGCGTTGGAGACGGAAACAACGGCTTCCTTCTGGCCGACAACAACTTTGCCGAGGTATTTCTCCATGTTGAGCAGCTTGTCCTTTTCGGTGGTCTTGAGTCTCGTGACAGGGATACCAGTCCACCGGCCAACGATTTCATTGATCTGATCCGGACCAACTGCGTCGGCAAGTAGTGCTTCGCCAGCGTCACCTTGTTGAGCGCGACGTTCAGCATCGGCCCTGGCCCGGTCAGCCTCGAGACGCTCGATGAGGGCCTTGGTCTCTGGGATGGCGTAGTATTCAAGATCAGCAGCTGTCTGGGTGTCACCCGAACGCTCGGCTTCGTCACGCTTGACCTTGAGAGAGTCAAGCTTGATCTTGGCCTCCTGCACTTCGCGGCTGCGTTGCTTTTCACTTTCGTACTTCTCGCGCATCGGCCGGAGCTCCTCGCCAACATTAGCGGCTTCTTGTTTGGCAGCCTCAAGACGAGCCTTGGATGCGTCGTCCTGCTCGCGTGAAAGGGCGTGAATTTCTATCTGAAGCTGGCGAGCCTTTCTCTCCAGTGTGTCGAGAGCTTCTGGCTCGGACTCGCGAGTGACTCGAACTGCAGCTGCAGCTTCATCAATCAAATCGACCGCAGAATCGGGTAGTCGACGTGCCGTCAGGTAGCGAGACGCGAGAGTGGCAGCAGTGACGATCGCGCCATCGAGAATGTTGACACCGTGGTGAGCTTCGTACTTTTCCTTCAGACCACGAAGGATAGAGATAGTCTCTGGGACGGTAGGCTCCTTGACAAGGACCTGTTGGAATCGTCGCTCGAAGGCCTGATCCTTCTCAATGTACTTTCTGTATTCAGAGAGAGTCGTGGCACCAATGCAGTGCAGCTGGCCGCGAGCCAGCATTGGCTTGAGAAGGTTGGCAGCGTCCATACCGCCCTCGCCGCTAGATCCAGCACCCATAAGCAGGTGGATCTCATCGACGAAGAGAACGATGGTATCCTTGGAATCTTCAATTTCCTTGAGAACACCCTTCATACGTTCTTCGAATTCACCGCGGTATTTGCTGCCGGCAACTAGAGAACCAACATCAAGAGAAAGAAGACGGCATTGAGCCAGGTTGGCGGGAATATCGGCGTTGACAATGCGGCGAGCGAGACCTTCGACAATGGTGGTCTTACCCACACCAGGCTCACCGATAAGCACAGGGTTGTTCTTCGTGCGTCGACTGAGAATACGAATGACGCGACGGATTTCCTCCTCTCGGCCAATAACTGGATCAATCTTACCCTCCCGAGCCAAGGAAGTCATGTCGATGGTGAATTTCTTTAGGTTCTCATTCTCGCCTTCCGCGTCGGCGGTCTTGGAGTCGACCCGCTTTGTACCACGAATTTGCTGGATAGCAGTGTCGATCAACTTGAGGTTGGGAATATTGGCATCGCCGAGAGCACGTTGAACCTGCGAATCTTGGCAGACAGACTGAATTAGATGATCGACCGCAACGAAGCTGTCCTTCTGCGTCTTTGACAAATCGGTGGCCGATCGAATGACTTTGGAGAGTTGGGGAGAAACACTAGGATTTTCTGGAGGAGGGTCTTGGCTTGGTAGGCGGACTAGTAGCTTCATGAGAGATCGGTCAAGGAGCTGAGCGTCGCCGTGAGCTCGTTCGACCACCTGGCGGAAGAGAGGCGCGGTTGCAGAATCGTGGGAGGAATGGGCACCGGAAGGTGTCTGTTGATCTTCCGATTCATCTGGGGAGGGGTTGAGCAATGCGACTGCGAGGTGAACAGGCATAATCTGGGATTGCGAATATTGCTCGCAGAGGCCGCTGGAGTCCAGCAAGGCCTTGTTAGCCCGATCTGTGAACTGGACGCCGTTCATCTTGAACGGAATAGTGGGGTAATATCAGTAGGTGTAAATGCTGATGCTCGAAAGATGGGATAGTGGCAGTAGTGTAAAGAGTAGAAAGTAATTGAGCAAGTAAATTTGAAGAATATGCAATTTGAAACACGATGATGCAAGTTCATATACTCCTGGCGCGTGGAGTGCCCGAAGCTGCCATGAGGTCCATGTCGTCACTACTGGCTTCCACCGCCTTCCAGAAGCTGCCTGACGTTGCCTGACGTTGCCTGACAGCGCAGAGTATCCGGCCAAGACACCGGATAAACCATTACTCCGGGATAACTATGGACCACATACATAGTGTAGCATGTCACTCTCTACTAAAATACAGTCAATGACACTTGCATTCTGCTATACATAGGTTTGGTATAGCTAGTCCATTACCGACTTATTATATCAGGTAGCAGGTTATTTTCCATACCACTATTTTATACAATTAGGCTAAACTGAGAGTACCGCCTTGGGCAGATTTTGACTGACACGTGATATATCAGTGTGAAGCCACGTGAAGTGAATGTGGAACACGTGACCTCTATTGTTTGCTGACCTAAGCCCTATCCGTTCCGAGATGAGGTCAGCAGTCTCGGATTAAATCGCGCAAACCAGCAAACCAGAACCCTTGGATGGTCAGACTCCCCACGTTGGAGAGATGATTCGGTGTTGATGCCACTTTGAGCTTGCGTGCCTTGCAGTGGGGCATCGAAACAACCCACCCTCCTCCTACCCGCAAAAAAATCAAGATGCGAACAATCTGTGTTGGAGTTTATGATGTGCCACTGACGCCTGCCTAGACGAAATTTACATAGCTAGCTCCAGTTACCTTACCTTCGAGTTTACCTTCTGCCATCCGTCGCTTCCGTTTTATATCATGTTCCACGATAGCCGACAAAAAATGTACCCCAGCTAGTCAATGACGTCAGGTGGGACACCCACAGAGCAATGAGAATGCGAAGAAATCGATCTCGAACCTTTGCCCAGGATCAGACCCCCTGCAAGTATCTACTCGAATTAGGCCGAGGGATTTTTATATATGATTTAGCCGTGCTTTCAAAGGGAATCACCACCGTTTAGGAAGCAAACTTTCACCGGGCTGCATGGAAGAGGAGCACCGTCTCAGCCCAGGAGCTAAGAGACGACTGGACCGTGGATTGTGGACACTTGTTCCAGGTCGACGCATCCAGAATTGAAGATCGATCCACACAACTGTCCACAAGTTGTTTTCCCATTGGTTATCTCCTCACGGGTGGTGGTCTCTGGGCTTTTCTTTTGCTTTTGTTTCGTGTTTCGTAGCTGGTGAGGGGAGAAAAAAAATAGAAGCGGATAGGCTCCTGCGGGGCAGAGAGGGGCAAGAGGCTTTATGGCGTTCATGATCTTGATGTTGCTTTTCCGACCCTTACCTAGGAAAGCACGCAGAAGCTGATACTGGACATGGACATGGATTCGAGGCTTTTGGATGCCATATGTACGTCGTATACATCGTATGCAGTACTACATGTACTCCAACTATACGGAGTACTACTATAACAATACTACTATGTACTACGAGGAGGGATCGTGCTACTATACCATAGCTTATGCATAGAACCATCGGGCTACCTATGTAGGCAATTTGTAGATCTCCGTCTGGCCTGCCGGATACGATATTTATAAATTATTTTCAACATTTCTTTTCCATGGTTAAGGGTCATAACCAACTCTGGTAGCTCTCCGCCTCCCGAGGTTTCCTGAAAAAGAAAAAGAATAAAATAAAAGTTATTAAAACCTGGTGCCTATGTCATTCGTTCATATAAAGAGTTTTAGCCCCCCCTCTGCATCCTTTTTCCTTCTCACGCCATAGTGACTGCAGCTGAGACCATCAAAAAGCTCTCACATTCGCTGGCATAGGACGCTTGTGAAGAGCTTGACCCGCCATTCAAACAGATTTCCTGACAGCTTTAACGGCTGGATTTGAATTATCCTTGCTTTAATTGATCAGAGATTTGATCCACTGCAAGTTTATTTACGATTACCTTTCGTGCCTTTTCCCTGAGACAAATCTGCAGATCGCAGTTCTCTTGGTTAATATCAAATATTGCACGGCATACAAGGATGTCGGACAAGCCGATCTTTGTGGCTACGCATCCGCGAGCATGCTCGACGGCCTTTGAGCGAGTAAGAACTCCCGAAAGATTCTGACATCCAGTCCATTCCAAACACATATCTAACAGACTACAGGTCTTCATGACTCAGCGAGATACTATCCAATGTGTCCATGAACCATTTGGTGATGCATTCTACTACGGTCCGGAGCGTCTCTCTAGCCGATTCGCAGGCGATGAGCATGCACAAGAACGCCTGGACAGTGGATTCGCCAATTCCACATATAATACTGTGATGGAAAGGCTCGAGCGAGAAGCTACTCAGGTCCGACCCTTCTTTCTGCGAAATCTCTCGCGTTCTTACACATCCCCCTCGTAATGCTCCTCGTGTTCTCCCCTGTGGATCGAACATGAGGGAAGATTCCTTTACCTCATTACGTGTTTTTCTTTTCTTTTTCTTTTTTTACACCGCAGATGTAGCCCGAGGCAATCTGTTCCCCCCTTCTCTTTTACTGTAGATCACAGACTGGCTTCGAAATATTGAATGATCACGGAGATCCGCGCCGCGGAATGGAATATTTGCACTTTTCGATGGGATACTTACCTTGTCACAGGGAAAGAGAATCTTTATTAAAGATATCGACCACTACCTGCTTCCACCGAATGGCCAGCCTGCCAGCATCGCCCCGTCTCTACTGCGCGTTAAGCGAGGAGTCGGCACCAACGGCGACTCGCACACGGCCAATGGTGTGAACGGTGCCAACGGTACCCACACCAACGGCCACTCCGCCACGCCAAACGGTCACACCAACGGGGTCAACGGAGCCTCGAACGGTACCAACGGCGCGGCGAACGGTGTGAACGGTCATCACGAGATGAACGGCCACACTAACGGTGCGACCAACGGCCACACCAATGGGATTCCCAAGGAGCCCTACCCGTACGACACACCCACGGAGCCGGGCAACCCGACCGTTATGCCGCGCGAGCTGCAAGAGCAGTTCCACTGGGCATTCCTAATCCGCGACCCGCATTACAGCGTGCCGTCCTACCTGCGGTGCACAATCCCACCTCTGAGATGAGGTGACCGGGTTCCACAACTACGACCCGCTGGAGGCCGGGTATGATGAGCTGCGCCGGCACTTCGATTATCTGCGTGACAGTGGATTGGTCGGGCCCCGGGTTGCGACGCGTCCGGATCTGAGCTCCCAGAGTGACGCGCAGGCGACTACTGGTATTGAGGTGTGTGTCATCGATGCGGATGATATGCTCGACGAGCCGGCCAAGACCATCGAGGCTTTCTGTAACAGTGTTGGTCTCCCGTACCGCCCGGAGATGCTGACGTGGGATACGGAGGAGGAACATGCTGTTGCTCGGAATGCGTTCGAGAAATGGCGTGGATTCCATAATGATGCTATTGAGTCGAGCGCTCTGGTGCAGAGAGCTCATGTAAGTTTTTGTGTCATTCTTCGTTCTGGTGGAATGGGGATACGAGGGTATCGGGGACTTGCGCTAACACTGTTCATAGAAACGTGCCGTGAAGACCGAGGAGGAGTTTGACGCCGAGTGGCAGAAGAAGTATGGTGAAAAGCGGGCTGCTCTCATCCGCCAGACAGTTGATGCCAACATGGCCGACTACCTGTACCTCAAGTCATTCGCCGTGAAGGTTTAGAAATGACTGAAATGGGAGGAAAGGAAGGGGAGCCGAGGGGCACCTACCCCATATTATTTCTTATTGTCTTGAGACACGATAACGAACTAGTTCGGATGGCGCCATCTCCACGAGGATTGGCTGATGACGATGACGATCTTTGCATGTGTTCTTTCTATTTGTTCTACGTGGTTATTTCTATTTGCTTTTTGCTCGAGTGTAGCTGGTTTAAGATGAGTATGTTTCAAGGTGACGATGTTGTTAGCCTGGTGAGGCCGGTGTTTACTTCCCATTCCTTCCTATTTAGGTCATAGCCCAGTAGCCCTTTCCCCATCTTCCTCCTTCCCCAATATCCCAATGAAAGTCCGGAAGGATCGACTCGTTTCCACGACAGTGTCCCCGAGCAGTTGCTCATGGATATCCACGACTACCAGCCTTTGCCAGTCTGGCTGGAGTGTTATAGGTCCGAAAGGTGATTGAAGTTGATAGGAAGGTCTGCCTCGCTTTTTGAAGAAACCATGGACTATGCACCACTGGTTTCATCTACTAGTAGTCTGTTAAAAGACGGGAGGGAATCCAGATACTTCCCTTCCCTTGCTTTGGGCAGCTCCTGTTATTACTTGTCACTAACCTTCTATTGGGGAGAAAGTGTCCTCAGCACTACAACTACTCGGTAAGCCCCATGGCAAAGGCCGAGCGATACTCTCTAGACAGGAATGTCGTCTACAAGAGGTACAATCCAGAGCCTAACAGTCATTCCGATATTCACGTTAACAGAAGCATAAATTTTTCGACATATGAACACATGACTTGAAATACAAATATGACAATGGCTTTATTTCAAATACCAAAAGTAATGGGTAAAAAGCCAAGCCAGCAGCACGGCCGTCTAGGGCAGTTCCACATGCCCTATTTGTGAACCTTGGCATTAGCCTTGAGGGCACTGTTCGGCACGTACAAAGGCATCGAATCCTCCCAGATAGAATCAGTAAGCACGCGCTTATTCGAGCCATCAGCATTCATAACGACGACCTGACCATAAGGTTGGAAAGTATCATCATAGAGAGCACATTCATACTGGAACCCGAACATGCCAGAAGAGAAAGCGATTCGACCGTCCCAAGTCCAGACCGCATGAGCATCATTGGCACCACTGCTAGTGAGGACCTTGATATCAGTTCCATCAGCACGCATGGTGCAGATATCGTAGTTGTAATCACTAGTCTTGCGGGTGAAGACGATTCTCTTTCCATCGGGGAGAAGGAAGGCAGGTTATCCCACTCGGTGCTCAGGACGGAGGTCTTGCCAGTTTCCAGATCCAGGAGACGGAGTCCAAGCTGGGATTTGTCGCCCAGAGTGGAGTTTGTTCCCCAAATACGGAAGACGATCTTCTTGCCGTCGTGTGAGAAACTGGGGAAGCCGGAGTTGATCACGCTGCTGTTACTGCTTAGGGTCGCGTTACTCTCGGTCAGGACTTCCGAGTACGTGCCGTTGGCAGTGGCTCGTACAAGCCAGCCGCCGCCGGTTGCGCGGCCTTGGAACCAGAAGCCTACTCCGAAGGTGACCCAATTGCCGTCGCGCGACCAGGACGGGTTAAAGGCACCTGCGGTGCCCATGGCAACTGACTTTGCATCAATGAAGCCGGACTCCATGACGTTGTAGACTAGGCCCTCGTTTGTTCCGTTGGCGTCGAAGGACACAATGGAAGAGTTTCCAAGTTGTTTCTCGGTCATTGCAATCTTGTTGGTGTTGGACAGCTGTGGGAAGACGTCTGTAAAGCGATATTCCCACTCCGAGTCCCAGCTGTACAGCTTCTTGTCCATAGGACGGACAGTCCAGGAGGTCTTCTCATAGACGACCTTCTTGCCATCTGGAGACCAGGCAGGAGAGCGGATCACCTCACTAGAGGTGTTTACATATCCACCGGCAGTGGTGTGGAAACCTTCGACACCGGCACCCTTGGCGAAGTAGGCGACAGTGCTGTCAGAGATGTATTGAGGGAAGATCTTCACACCCGCTCCTTCAACTTCCACGCGACGGTCAGCACCTGTGGCAAACTCCACCGACACAAGGGTAGAGTTGGCAGAGTCGGTTGACTCAGGACGGTGAGCGTTCCAGGTATTCTCGCGGGTCATCTCGTAGAAGAGAATACGCTCGCCATCGAGCGACCACTTGGGCGAACCAAGACTGTAACCGGGCTTCGACACGACGGAACGGAAATCAGATCCATCAGGGCGGATAGCGTAGATGGACAGCTCCTGTGTATGTTCCCAGCCGGCCACGCCTTGGAATACCGGGTCACCGTGTCCGTACCAGCCCGAGTTACGGTCCGACGAGAAAGCAATCCATTGGCCGTCGGGAGACCACGAAGGGCGGAAGTAACCATTAGGAAGAGAATCATCGGCGGCGGTCGACGCTGTATCAGTGAGGTTCCATTTCTTTCCGCTCTCTAGATCCATGACCCAGATATTGGCCTTGTAGCCATTGGCAGTGGACACATAAGCGATTTGCTTTCCATTCGGAGACATGACAGCTCCATCTTCCACGGAGGAGGTTGCTACCAACTCCTCAAGGTCCGATCCGTCTGTCCGGACGCGGTAGATATCCGAATTACCGTCACCGTTCCGTTCCCCAGTAAAGGTGATCCATTCCCCGTCAGGGGTAAAGGTGGCATGGTATTCGTAGATAGGGTTCGAGAGGAGAGGTTGTTCATCGGTGCCATCAACATTGGCAACATACAGTTCTGATGTCCCGGGAGCGATGCGGTTCATATAAAAGATACCTTTCTTGTCGTACGGTGTCTTGCGCGGTATGTGCATATGTGGCGGGGACGTGCTCTTCTTTTCCAGGCTCATCTTCTCTGCATATGGGCACAGGGCCAAAGCCGGCCGCAAGGCAAGGCCTAGCAGCGCAATTGAAGCGGTAAAACGCATGGTGAAAAGGGGTGAGTGCACCAAAACAGTTCAAGGCCTGGAGGTCATTATTTCTGGCACTGCCATACTTATACATGAAACGTCTACAGGGGAAAAGGCCTGAAGGACCAATCGTTCCCCTTCATGGTCGTAGCGCAATTCTTTCGTCCGACAGGCCCGCCTTCTTGTAATGAAGTCCGCGTTATTAGCGGGCCTTCATCTTATCTGATGAAGCAAGCGAGAGACTGACCACTGAGAAGCCCTGCACAATGTTGACTCTTCATCTGATTGGCTTTTCCGAATGAAGCTGTGAGTTGAGGAAAGACTCGAAACAAGGCAATGATCGTCATGGCTTGAGATGGACGGAGAAAGTCTCTTCCGCTGGTTACCGGTAGCATTATTGTCGTAACTGTTTGGGAACTGTTTGGAACCCTGGTAGACCCTGTCTGGACGAGCATCGTTTGTCTGGTGCATCCATATACACGCACAACAATGTCGAGCGATGCTGTATGCAAGAGCGAGCAGATCCTGCAGTTTCTGCGCATAACTGTCAATCCTGGATATTGCAAATAGGGCTCGGATGTAGGAGCGAGAAACCGAGTGCCAAGTGACTTGGCACGGAGGATATGCCTCTGGTCTTGCACCATATCCTACGGACCAAGGTAACTCCGCTTATTTCGTTGGTCGATGTAAGCCACTGAACGTCCAAGCTCGATGGCCGACGCAATTTCCCGGCTTGGAGACTACTGCCATTAGTTTGAAACACGGCAAAATTTGCCGCCTTCTGTACGTCAAACAGCGTATGTTGTAGGCTTTGAATCCGTTGGGTATACTCGGAGTCCGAAGATCGGTCGGAACTACCGGATTCAGGGTGTGAAGTGTTGATCAATAGTGGAGTATTCTTATTCCAGTCTTCGCACTGGGCCTGTGTTTTCAATGTTCATTAATATGAAGTTGGTGGAGGACAAAGTACTGCGTAGCGTGTTGACAACATTGAAGGCATTTGGGTAAGATATATGTAAGAAATGAAATACGGCAGCAACATCGTATATCCACGTGACGGGGCTTTCGACCTAGAGATTGTACATGTATTAAATGGTAAATATTGTTGGTACCAGGCTGTCCTTATAGGATAAGAAACCCGTCCTACTATATAGCGACCTAGGTATACAGTAGGATATGTATATAAACGATAGACATCTAGATCAACTACCAATAAATACTAGCCATCATGATCCTTATAAACAACTGACTGGGGGATGACAAAAGGAACTTAGTGTACAACGAACGGGCCCGAGCGATAGAAAAATCATATTTCTGCATTTCCATCTTAAGAGCTCCGAAGGGGTTCTTGGTATCGAATGTGACAACCAAACTCTTCAACTGTGACCTCAGTGGTAAACATTTGAACCCTGGTGCATTCACATTTTGGACCAAATTGTGAATCAACAATTTACCACGGCGGGCATGAACTTGTTAGTTCATCGCATGCTGAGTGCCTTCATCGGGATTGCTCTGCGTAGGCTGCAGGACAGGCCCTTAAATCGTTTTATAACTATATACTACCAACCGCCTTTTTCAATCTGGTCATACCAACTCGAAACCCTCCCTCTCCTTCGGAGGTGGGACAACTGCCTGCTGTACCAGCAGGTGGTGGAGGATATAGGTCTCTTTGGTGTTTGGCAAGTAGCCACAAACAGTCCTCATAAGAGTCAGGACGATAAAACTCAAGACGCTGGGGAAATATCCAAAATGACCGATAGCCACCGTTTCAGGTCTGGCCTTCCAAGCCTTCGTCACTCCACAGAGTGGGCGTTGAAAATAGCAGACGACATCGAAAAGAGTTGACCACCGGGAGCGAGGCATGCCAGCAACCATGCGTTGCATTATTCATTGCCCATGTAGTATCCCAACCAGTGCTTGCCTGAGTTTCTGGACTCCAAGCGTTGCGAGGAAGCTGTAGATTTGAATCACAAGAGCCCACACAAGCTGGATGATACTGGCGAAAGAGCAATATGGGAGACCTTGAGTAAAGGTAAACATGAGGTGGAGATGCTTGCGCCGATCACCGAAATCTGCTTGATATAATTGTTAGTAAAAGAATTGTAGTGAGGCTGGCTACTTGGTGCTGACCTGTTATTGATGTGTGTCTTCGGTTCCCATTGATATTCAAGACTCTCCCAGACGAGGAAGTGCTTTAGGATACAATGTCATTTGAAGTGAACAACATGGCGAAGAGCACTATTGAAGTGTGCAAGGAGATGAAAGTACCAAAGAGGGAAAGGGATATGGAAACCGAGTATTGATATAGTCACTGATACCATATGTCGATCGGATGGCTAGAAGCACCCTGGAAGGCTTGCTTGCAAGGAGGATGAAGTTAAACGAAGAAGGGACTGGTAATGGAAACCAGGTATCTATATAGTGACTGCAAGAGTTCCCTACGATTTTCCGAGCGTAGAGATGTCGATGAAATATAGAAACATAACTCACTAGAAGTCAAAGGGAGGAAGAAAGCAATAGATGTTAGTTGGTTTTTATATGAATGACCACAGCCTTTTGGGGGCCTGAAAAGCCAGGCTGTAAGACAGCAATCCTCACCCGCAAGACAGACGCAATATGTCTGAGAAATGATAGAGCGTCCTATCTACCGACATTCTAGGAAGCTCAAATATCTTATAGCGTAAAGGATGCGTAGATCGTAACAACCGGCCTTGAAATCATATCATTCGTTACGGCCAAGCATATAAACTCCTCTTCTAGCGCCATACAAAACATTTGCAGAGTACCTGCAAGAAAGGCATGGAAACCCCGGCCGAAACAGCCCGTAAGAAAAAGAAGACATTGTATCTCCATCCAAAAGTACAAAAGACTATAGAAACCAATCTATCCAAGCCAAGTTCCTTCATACCGCACTGTAACCACCCCGCGAGCCCGCTCCTTGCAGAGTATTGACCACACGACGGAGCCAGTCCTGGAAGATATAGGGGATATCACGGATGGTATCACCATGAGGGAGCAGATCCCAGCCACGGGCGCCGTAACGGTTGTAGTTGAGCCAGGAGCCGAAGATGAGGTAGGCAGCAATGAAGAGGAAGGCACTGAATAAGTTAATTAGCAGTGCGTCCCAACACGGAAGAAGACACAGGAAATGAAGCTCCTAGGAGCCAAGAAAAACTCACATGATGATCAACCAGGTAAAGAACCCCCAGCTCTTGGAGCTAGGAGTATCGCCCTTCTCCTTCTCGTACTCGTCGCAGGCGTACTTTGTGCGCCAATCCAGTCTCAGGATGTAGGTATCGTCATCCGACGGACCAGCGCTCTTGAATTGCAGACTACTGCTGCTGTTGCTCGAGGACACACCACCTCCCTCACCGTCCGCTCTTCGTCGTCGCTCCTTCGCTTCCGGATCCTCAATTGTATCCAGGCCCTCCAGTCCAGATCGCTCGTGGTCGCACTGGAACTCAATTATAGCGCCTGCCTTCTTACCCTTGTCTTTGGAATATTCCTTGTATGTGCCACCTCCCAGCTTAACGCGTAGACCCTCGGTCTCTGGGTCGATATCCTTCAATCGCTTCAGTTCTGGGCTCTTCGAGTCTTCGCCAGCGGCCTCGAGGTCGACGATCGGGAACGGGAAAGTATGAACGCCACTTCCGTCTTTCTCGGCTCGGCGCACGAATGCGCAAACTAAACAATACATCAGTTATCGTGGTCATGCAAGCAGAAGACCACTTCAACATGGTCGCGTCATCTCAGCCTGGAACGTACTGTTTTTGTTAGTTCCGCACGATATGTTCTCGTCGTACTGGGCAGAGCTCTTGAGAGTATTGCAAATATTCAATCGGTATGTTGTGCTCGTCCTCGTCATGTTGTCAGGTGTCTCCACGGTGGTATTCAGTACGTGGACGCCTTTTAGGGGACTGAGATCGTATTTGTGATTGCCGACATTGATGTTCGCGCAGTCGAAGCCAGACGCGGATGCCAGGCTCGGTAGGAGGGCGGAGAGGAGGAGTGGAACTCCATTTGATTGTATTCGCATTTTGATAGTGTGGCGCTGGCTGGGTCGCGAAGGGTAGGGAGGACGGATGAAAGCTGGGATAAGGCTTTCGCGCGGGATGGAGCTCGATAGCTCAGGTGGAGATGGTCACGAGGACAGGTTTACACAGGACAAGTGTGACCAGTGCAGTTAAAGCGAGATTGGAGAGATCTGGTTCGGGTTCGAGGTCCCTGTGGAGGTTGAAAAGTGACGATGACGGGGTTGTCCCTGCGGAGGTGTTTCGTTTCTCCGGTGGCGGTGTTTTGGCACTAAAAGGTGATGCCTATCCCCCAACTCGAAATGAGGATGCCTCGAAATGCTTAAAACTATTTCTGGAGTTCTAATGACTTTTATCAAAATGTTCTTTTATATTCCTTGAAAGTAATAGCTATGATGTCACCCCAAGTACCCGATGGCGTACCCAACCCGATATATGGCATGTACAGAATAATATAAGCAAAATAGAAGAACTAATACATCTGAAAAAGAAGCAGAAATAAGACCTGATGATACTCTCCCTATATAAATATGTAGTGTATAGCTCCCATATATCACCAGCTCATCGCCACGCACGGACCACCCACTCAAACCCGATATCAAACGCGCAAACCAACCAACCTGCAACGAGGACAAAAACATAATCCCATACACAAAAGAACAGACAAATTTCCAAAGACCAACCAAATATCTCCCCACGCAGACAGCCAAAATGGTGCAGCCGCGTATGGTAAGCCAACCCCCCACCAAGCTCAAGCGACAAACCCCGCCAAAGCCCACTCGAGCTAACCGGAAAACCAACGCGCAGCTCACAAAGGCGGACGAGACAACAGCCAATGACGAGAATGAAGTCCGCCGCGAGGATCAGGAGAAGATTAACCGGTTCAGTCGATTGCATCAGCGCGAGACTTTGCTTGAGGAGCAGTTGAAGGGGAAGCAGGTATGGAGTTTTCACTTTGGAGGATTTTGTTTTCCGCTATGTATTGCATCTCTTGCTAACTGGATTATAGAAGGATAAGGAGGATTTGGAAGAGGTTTCGATGGAGTTGGAGCTTGCTGATGAAGATGAGCTTGTGCCGTAAGGAATACCTTCTTCCCATATCTGTTCTTCTCATGTTTTTTCCTGTCCGTTTTGGTATCTATTCTGGGTCTTCTCTGCTATTCCCATTAAGGAGGTCTATGAAGAAACCGAAAACCGAAAACCGAAAAGGAAGGAAAGGAAGGAAAGGAAAAAAGCCATAACTAACAACACCCCAGTTACAAAATCGGCGACTCATTCTTCCAACTACCGCTATCAGATGCACAGGGAATGCTATCCACATCAACAGAGAAGATCGACGCAGATGTCTCCAAGCTGGAGGACTCACTTGGTGAGCTGCGCGAGGAAATGCAGCAGCTGAAGGTTGCGCTGTATGCGCGGTTTGGTCGCAGCATTAACCTGGAGACTTGATTGGGATGGATTAGATGTATTACCACTTTACTTTTTCGTCTCCTAAGGACTTGTTTCTCATTCCTTTCTATTGTCTATGTGAAAAATGGAGATAGAGGGTTGACAATCTTCAATGTCTAGATTGAATATACGGAATGGATGAACTTGATGATAGGTCAGATGGCGTGGCATTTGCTTTGTACCCACTCATAATCATGAGTACATGGAGGTGTATATTTGTAGATAAAGCGGGATATTATAAGTCAGATGAGGGCCACAGCTCGTCAATATCATTCAAACAAAACATAGTCAAGAGGTATCTAAGAGGGCGAGAAAGAAAAAGAAAAGATAAAAAGATAAAAACACGAACAGGGACCGCCAAAGCAAGTAGGCAAAACATATGGCTCCACAACCTGTGGCATATATTTAGGAACGGCACAGGGCAAGAATCAACACAGATAACGCCTATGCGCCGTAGTGATGCCCAGTCATCCAGTAAGGGGTGATCCAAGACCAATATGAGGGAAATTCAATCAATAAAACTTAAGCTGATGATGTCGTGGGCCTCGTCCAGGAGGAATGTATATACGGCGGGCGTATTTGTGTTTTCGTATGTGTTTCCTGTGTATAATAGTAAATCACCGGAACTTGGCACGGCAGCGGCCCATGATCTCGTTTTGGCAGACTAGTTCGGCGCTGAATTCACTCCCGTCTAGCGTCAGGTAGATATCGAAGTAGACACGGTAGAAGATGCCCTGGGGTGTGTCCATGCGCTCGAAGTCGGTCTCAAGGTTCTTGCGCGACAGATCGGATGTGAGCGTGACGACTTCCTTGATGCCTAGGGAAAGTATTAGTACTTGGTACAAGGAAAATATCATCTCTTAACCTACGTGGATCCTTGGTGTACTCGGGGCAGACGTCCTCATCACAGGCGTACAGCACATCCTCGTACATGAGTGTGGCGCCAGGTGCAACTTGACGGAAGAAGCTGACCTTGACTGGTTCGCCAATTCTGACACGCTCTCCCTTTTGGACGAAGATCTGACGGGTGTACTTGCATCGATCGCGGCCATCCAAACTAGGAACACGGTACTGTTCTGGGTGATAGCCTTCCTTGAATGGCTGAAGCGTGGCCATAAGGTAGTGCCGACGTGCTACGCGGTGTGTGATGACCCGCTCGGTGATACCTGCAGTGACTGCACCCTTGACGATGGCAGCCACAGAGTCCATCGGGCGGACCACCTTTGTCTGATACTGCGGCGGCACATGGAGCTTGATCTGCTGGAAGAGGTATTCTGAAGCACCAAATCCGCCGACGACCAGGACGTTCTACAAAATGTTAGCTCTGCACTGAAGACTAGGCCGGGATGCTCTTACCTGGAGCAGACGGTTCTGTGCTTGAATAGCGATAATCTGGTTGCGGACCAACTCCAGGATACGGTTCACGACAGGCTCGAAGCACTGAAGAATCTCCTCGTTCATGAAGGTCATGTAGCCCTCCTCAATGCCGGCATCGGGGAAGTCAGCCTCGATACCCACGTCCACTGCCCATTTTTGCCCGTTGTTACGGAAGTCGGCCTTGATGCGGTTCTCAAAGTCCATGATACACTTCGCGTAGACCTTGCCCGCAGTCCGAGAGCCATCCGGCAGCTTCATCTTACGGATCTTCGCGCGCAAGATGTTACTGAAATTCCGATTCAATGCTGTTGAACCACACGAGTCACCAGACCCGGCAGTGCATTCCATCACACTGAAGGGCTGCTCTTCCTCAACCTCATACGCAATCAAATCCACGGTACCACCACCGCAATCCACAATCAAAATAGCGTCGCCCACCTTCAAGTTGAGCAGACCGCTCTTGGCACAGAACAAAGCCGCTGCCTCGGGCTCTGAGACTAGGGTGAGGCGGTTATCATTCTCGTCGCGCAGGAATCCAGCTTGGATAGCAGCGGTTCGCGTCGCAGCCTTGCCAGCATCGTTCCAGATAGCCGGTACCGTCAGATAGTATCGGATATTGCGTTCCTCACGCGTAAACACCTCTCCCAGAGCCTTTTGCAGCTGGGCGCGAATGGCTTGTCGTAGTTTGAAGAGGTAATCGGCAGCGACATCGATTTCGGACTTGCCCGGGGGAAGGGGAGGCAGGTTGATGGGGTCAATATAGGTGTTTCCGGAGAGCATCAGCTGGAGCTTGAACCACTCAACCTTTTGCACTTGGGGCTTGGGGTATCCGGTCGGGGCAAGAGCATCGGCGATATCAGGGCCCCATCCTACCACCTTTTGGTATTGGTCGTAGTAGAGGACGGTTGGGATCTAGCAGAGAAACCCGTTGTTAGACTCGCGCTCATGGAGTACAGTTATTAGTCACGCTCACCTTTTGTTTTGCGTGGGTTCCGGCCCCGGGCCATTCCGTGATGATATCCTCGCTTGCCTGGTTGTTGGTCGCGAATGCATATGCGACACCGGAGAAGGTTGTGCCGAAGTCAATACCGACAATCAGTTGGGCCTTGCTCCGACCCCCACCCTCGACCTCGACCGCAGGGTTGCGCCCTGGATACTGAGAATTAGACAGTGAGGGTGCAACACTAGGAGCCATCTGCTGCTGCATGCCATAGCCCGGTGGGCCATTTAAGGGAGCATTTGGGTATTGGAGGTTTGTGGTGATGGGTGGGGGTTGATGTTGTTGACCGTGCACCATTGGGCTGGTTGGTCGGTTTGTGTAACTTGGCGGTCGGCCTAACTGTTGAGGCTGTTGAGGCTGTTGATTCATTGGGAGACTTGTTGTTGATGAACTGTGACCAGATGGGGGTGGGGAACTAGGGGTGGGAGGGACAATCGGGTTGGAATTAGGAAGAGGTTTTTTGTTCCTAAAGCCAAATGACTTAAATCGGGAACTCATGAGATCCATGTGAGGCGACAAGAAAGGGAAGAGTAAGAAAATTGGAAGGGGGGAAAAAGGTGAAAGAGGGGGAAAGTGAGGCTGAGGTGAATTGTGGAGATCAAAGAATGACAATACTTTTTCCGTATATACGAAGTACAATAATTTAGAATTAGAAAATTAGCATAAAAGAAGACTGACGGTTTTAAATTCCCGAGAGAAACTGTTTATACGCTATATTTAGATAGATATAGTTCTTGTTTATAAGATATACTCCGTACCATATACGGAGTGGATATAAATCTCCAAATCACCCAATTTACTATTTTGACCCTTCAATCTCACTGGCTTGGCGCCCAGCTCTCCGCGGGGTAGGGAATACATGCTCTTTGTGAAATACGTAAACTACTATATATGTATGGAGTACGGAGTACATTGAGGTAGTATATAGATGTTTTCATGGCTCCCATGTTCGATTCATAATTCTCTGGATCATTAGGCTCCTTCTTTGTCCTGAGTTTTTGGCCCCCAAAAGGTGAAATAAAATTGGAAGGACACAGCCTTGTTGCAGGCACGCTGTGTCTCCGACTTACAGGGATCCGCTTTCCGACCAGCCCCCCCTTTTAAACTGCTACTTTTCGCATCACCCAGTGGGAAGGCTGATAAAGATTTTGAAGCATGCTGTTGGGGTCCTGGATATAGCCGCAAGCCTTCCGCTCTCCGCGCTTTTCAAGGCGGAAACCCATGCGCTCCACAAGGGTCAGCACTTCTTCCTCAGATAACTCGACATTGCCTGGCTCGCCAATCCCGGCCCCCTCGTATTCGGGACTACTTCCTCTACGGGAGTGACCGTCATCGAAATGCCACAATAGTGGACCCACGTTGATCCAAAGCCCATTTGGTTTGAGGCTGTGTCGGATCGTCTCGATGTACCGAATAAGGTTTGGCGCCGTGTCAATGAAGAAAACAGTCGTTACCGCGTCAAACGTCTCGCGGTTGTTCGGCTGGGTATACAACACGGTGAAATCCGCTGCAGACATGGACATAGTACCTAAGCGACGACCAGCATTGGCAGCCTCCTGCATGGTGAATCCGGGGTGCACGTCGGGGATCATAACTTGCTGGAGTTGCTGCGCTCGGGATTGCAGATTGGAGAAATGCAATGCAAAAGGATGAAGGGCGTGTTTTGCCGGTCCCTCGGTGTGGTTCAGAACCCAGCTACTGGCTAGGAGCTGGTGGTAGGAGATCTCGTTTCCCTCGGCGTCATAGCCTGCCATACAGATTTCGAAAACTAAACGGCCGAGGCCAGCGCCAGGGACCAGAACACGGATTTTCTCTCCGCTATCACGCCGTGTCTTGAACTCCTCGTCGAGAGCCTGGAGAACGGGGTCATAGCAGACTTCTCTCTCGGATCGTCCTTCGAGACTCCAGTCACGATAGAACTGGCGTATAGTTGAGTGGGCTTTGTTGACATCTGATGAAGTTGCTATGTCATGCCAATTCTGAGTAGGATCCGTTCTGTTGGGGTCTGCGGGAAGACCAAATGACTGGAGACCCACCGCCAGAATTGCATCGGCAATATCGGCGTTCGTATCAATGGCATCGTCTACCTTATTGAAGTTATCAAGGATAGAGAATGGAGGCTCCGAGAGCATCTGCCAGTGCGCCGAGGGCAGGGCATAGAACGCTTGACGTCGACGATGAGTAGTATTCATATGCGCTGTCCGCCGAAATTGTCTGTGGGCGGATTAGCCATTGCAATTGTATGTAGACAATGGTTTCTATCTGAGGCAGAAGCTACCAGTCAAAGACATGTGTTGGAATCAACTGTCTACCCACATACCTGAATGAGTCAAATGCAGCAAATAGCACCCTACGCTCCTCGGGATCAGCGAAAGGGTTGAAGTCCCCTCCCCAGCTGCTCTCTTCCCCGGCCTGGGGCTTTTGTTGCTCAGATGCCATGCGGAGGTTGTCAGATTAGCTCCACGTTTTAAGGGTAATTGATGCTCAATGCTACAGGGCCCCAAGTCCTATGGGGAATTGACAGCGACGAAGAAGCAATTGTTGAAAAGAAGAGAAGAGAGTGACCAGTGAAAGTATATGGAGGGGCAGACAAAACAAGTTGGGCAATCCTTAGGAGGCCAAC